TCTAGTGTAGAAGTTAAATTTAAAATTGGTAAAAGAATTTTAATTTATTAATAATAATAATATATTTTTTATTGCATATTTTATTTATTATTTTATTTTGGGAAGGTAGCGGGTAAGAATTTAATATTACAATTTTATTTAAAGCTTTAAGATTTATTATTATATAATTTTTATATTATTTATTAATGTTTTTTTATAAAACGAAAATAAGGTAATTAAACGGTATGGGATTTTTTATTTAATCAACCTTTTTATTTTAATATATATCGTTAAAAATTTTGTCGATTATTTTTCTATTTTTAATATTAAGTAAATAAATTTTTATGGTTAAATTAATTTAGTTTTATTAGTTTTTAATAAAGGGGATTTTTATTATTTCATTCTTTTATATCTTAATATAATTAAACTAATCCTAAATATTATAACGTTCGGCTAGTTTTTTAGCCTTTTTAATAAACCCGATATCTGGGTTTTTTTTATATACGAAGGCCCCTTATTTAATTTTAACAAATGATAAATCAGGCCGTTAAGTTTTAAAAAAGGGGGTTATAAAAACCTCCTTAATTTTAAGCATAATTTAAACGTCTTAAAAAATAATTTACTAAGTAGTAAAAGTATATGCTAATTTATTAGAAATAGTTATATTAACGTTAAATTATAAACCGATATAATAAACGTTATATTTATCTTTTTTAACTAACGTTACAACTATTTAAATAAAAAAAGCTTTTTTCTAAAAAATTTAAATTATACCATCGTTAATATAATTGTGTAAATGCCTTAAAAGGATACGTTTAAATATTATTATAATATTATTCATTATATTTAAGTAGGGGATAACTTTAATAGTATTTATATTAATAAATATATTAATTATTTCGTTATATATCTTTGTAAAAATATAATTTCAAATAAAGCTAAAATTATTTAAGGGTGGTAATTTAATGTATAATATAAAGATTTATATAAACGTTTTAAACGGGATAACTGTTTTTACAGCGTTTAATATTTTTTTATGTATAAGATTTTACTTATAAGATATTATAATAAGCATTATAATATTAATATAAGAGGTAAAGGTTATAATAAATCTAGAATAATTTATATTAATTCCGTATAAATATAAAAAAGATATTTTTAAAAGGAGGTTTAATTTTAACGGATTAAAGTTAACTTATATATCGATAATAAAAATCTCTTATTTACTCTTACCATTATATAAATTATTAATTGTAAAATTAAAAGTAACTTTTTTTATCATTTTAATTATGTTATTAATTCCCTTAACGCTAATTAATAACATTATAATAATTTATACGCTAAGTATATAAATAATAAACTAATTTTTTAACATTATTATATTTAAGTAATTAATATTAACATATATTATTGTTTTTTTAAAATCCTTAAAAGTTATAAAGAATTACATATATATATATAATATTAATTTATTATTAATACTTAAATACCCTTCTAATAATTAAGTTATAATTATATTAAAAAAATTATTTATTATAAATATATCTTTATTATTGATATAGATTTAAAGATTAATAACTTATAAAATTAAATAATTCTTATAAACATAATTAATAATATATATAAAAAAGTTAATAATATTTTAAAATATTTTAAAATAAATATCACACATATAAAAGGTTATGTCTTTAATAAAAAAATTACTTTTATAACTTAGGTAGGCGTTAATAATCTCCTTAATTTTATTATTAAATTTTATATATACCTTTTTATAACCTTCTTTTTATTCCTTCTTAAGTATAACGTATTTAGTTTCTTATAATTTATATTCGGTTATCTTTATATTTAAATTATTAACTTCGACTTAAACCTTATCTTAAATCCTAACATATCCGTTAACATATTTAATAAAATAAACTTAACGTCGAAAATATTAAATCTATAGTTTTTAATTATAATAAAAACCTTATTTAAAACGAAAATTAAATCTTTGGCTATAATTGTAAAAGCTTTTTTAAATATTAATTAATTAATCGTTATAACCTTAAAATCTAATTAAATAGTTAAAATTTAAAAAATAATTTAAATAATAATAATCATTTTATAAAATAAAACTATTATAACCGTTATATCCTTAACTAATATATCCTTATATAACATAATTATATCCATAATTAACACGTTTATATTAATTATTTAAAAAATAAAATCTTACATTCCAATTAACGTTTTCCTTATTAAAAACGGCGTTAATAATAATTAATTTCTAACTAATCTTAATAATAAAAGTTATAAAAATAATAGGTAAGTTAAAAATTTAACGATATAATTTAGTTAATATAATTTTATTTTAATAAAAATGTTACTTTTTTTAAATATATCGTAAATAATTATTTAAAATAACCTTATTCTTTAGTTTATTAATAAATTTACAAAGGTTAACTATTAAAAAATTATATATTTAAGCGGCTTATTAATTAGTAATAATAAACCCATAACTTTTAACATATTTTATAAACTTTATAACTTAAAACATTATATCCATGTTTTAAATAAATTTTATCTTATTATATATTATTACTTATATCTTTTTAAAAACGTTAATAAAATTAAACTTATAAGCTTAGGTGATTTTAATTAAAACAAACTTAAGACTATTATAGCAAAAAGTTTACTCGTTTAGCATAAAATAAGCTTAAAACCAAATAAATACATTATCTTAAAATAATTAAATAAAATTAATAAAGATAATACCAGCCTTAATTAAATAAAAAAAATGATTATAACACACATCGTAAAATAAGCTAACATTACGTTAATACATATTAAATCCAATAATTACGTAATCTCCAACGCTAATAAATGCAAAAACGTCAAAATAAAAATACTTTACATATTATAACTTTTAATTATAAAAATTTTCACTTCTCTTAAAAATAACATTTACGGCGGTATTAATACTCCTTAAAATCTCTTAAATAATATTATCCTAAAAAATAACTTTAACTATAATAACTAACTCCATGATACGCTTTTATTAATTTTTATTTATTATAAATTTAAAAAGTTTCCACGCGTTAATATAAATAATATCCGCTTTTAATAAAAAAAAATAAAATAATCTTTTAAACGATAATAAAGGTAATAAATATAAAGGTTATTAAAATAATAAAAAAGGTTTTATAAATAAAGGTGGTATTATTAAAGAGGCTATTAATTATAATTATAATTATGATATAAAAGGGGTTATTAATAGTGATAATAATTAAAATAATATTAAAGGGGTTATTAATAATGGCTGTGGCAGTAATATTACTAATAATATTATTAATAATAATAATGGTAACGGTAGTAATAAACGGGGTAAAAATGATAAATAAATATGTAATAATAAAAGCAGGAATAATAATTATAATTTGGAAAAGTTTAAAAATAATAACCTAATATTTTATAAGATTCCATAAGTAATTATCGTAAAGTTAAACGTAAATAACCCCGAAAATTTATTAAAAGGTTTGATAAAAAAAGGAGAAAATAAGGTTAAATTAAAAGATTAAAAAAGTGATAAATTTAATAAGTTTTATCATAAATAGCTTAACTCCTTAAAAAAGTAAATATACCTTTTATCCTTCCTTTTAAAATTAAGGTTTATATTAGAAAAGTTAAAAATGTTAATATTTATTTTAACAAAAATATTATTTAAATTTAGTAAATTATTAAAAAGGTTTTATAAGTTATAATTATTAAAAAAAAAAGTATAATTACCCGGTTATCTCTTAAATTATATTGGAAAATATGTTAAAATAATCGTAACTTAATAAATTAAAAAATTATCCTTAATTATAATATAAGAATTTTAATGTTAAAAAATGATGTAAGAGTGAGACCAGATAAAGTTAATATGCTAATAGGAATGTATTTAGTTTAAAGCTTAAAAAGTGAAAAAAAAGCTATTCTTGTTTACTAACGCCTGGTAATTTTATATCCTACAAAGGGGGATCACGTAATATCTGAGACATTAAGGCTTGTAAGGCCCACGAGGCCCAAAGGGCCTCATGAGGTCTTAAAGCCTTACAAATAATGCGTTTTTTAAAATCTACGGCGTAATTTTTAAAATCTGCGGAATTCCTACCGTTACTAAAGATATAAGCCTTATAAATTTATATTTAAAACGTTTAAATCTAAAAAATAAGAAAGTTTTTTAAAAGGATTTTTATTATATTAGCGTTAAAAATCTTAAGCGGTTAGATTAAGTAACGTTAAAAATTAATTTATTAATATAAATAATTATTTATTTAATTTTAAATTAATTAACGTATTATTTGTTAAGGAATAATAATATATTTATATTTTAACTTTAAATAATATAACATTAAAAAAGTGGGAACGCTTAAAATTTTTATTTAATATAAGGTAGTAAATTAATAACCTTAAAAAATATGCGATTTATAATATTTAAATTTAATTAATACACCTATAATAAATCCCTATTTTTAATAATAAAAATTATTACCTAACAAAAGTTTTAATAATTTAAGGTTATTATAAAAAAAGATAATAATAGCAAAATAAATAATAATAATAATATAAATAAATAATAATAACGATAAATTAAAAAACCCCTTTTCAACATAAAACCGGTAAGGCAAAATTTTGGTAAGTAAAAAATAAATAAGCAGAAAAAATAATAAAAAAAATTACAAGCCTTTTAAAAAATTTAAAAACTTTTTTATAACAACTAAAATCACCGGCAAAATAAAAATAAATTTAAAAAAAATAAAGTAAAGTTATTAAATGTTAATCTTAATACAAATATTGTAAGATTAAATTAAAGAAATTTATATTAAAAAGGTTAGTTAAGATTTAAAGATCTTAGTTATCTACTTATATATCTAGCTACTTTAGTGGAAGGAAGGAGCGTTCGAGGGTATGTGACAGGTGGCCCTGTCACATATTAACTTTACCTGGTCCCATTCTTACATATAACAAATGGCCTTATCAATTATTATACCCTTAATCACTTAACCAGTGTATTCACAGACTACAGTGCTTGACCCAGATGTTGAGCAGTCCGTTAAGACTTTGCCGTTTTGCTGTATATCAATGATCGTCGCACCACTCACTCCAGTACCACCGTTAACTGAAGCTCCTGTAAACTGGACAGTCCCAAAGTCGGCAAAGTTAACCAAGCTGCCTCCACTAGAGAAATCCTCCACAATCCACTCAGCGTTTGTCTCACATAGGGCATCAGTCTCTCCAGAGAAGCTGTGACTGACCCTCTGCCCTGTCGTCTCATTCTCGATCACGGCAGTTCCTGCAGACTTGCTGCTTGCAGTAACAGTCTACGAAATCGTTAGTTGTACGGCTCCTAAGGAGGGCCAGCGCTAAACTTACCATAGTGATGGTATCGCCGGCCTTGATGGTAATGCCAGAGAAATCATAAGCCTATAACTACATGTGAGCGCAATTCCTCGATGAACTACTCAAAAGGATCGTAGTTTTCATGGAATCTCAAAAATGTCCTCCCAATGGCGTGCCCCAGAAGTATGAAATCCCGAAATCACACTCACGTAGTCAGGGTACCATTCGTACCACGCATCATAAGACACAGATGACCCTCGAACTGTAAAGTCGATACCAGTTTGCAGAATGGCAGTCGCACATGTATCTCCATCAATGCCCACCCACCCGGAAGCCGAGTATTGTTGCGAGCTGCTACCACCTGACGGGGTCTTCGGGGTAGGGACGACAATGCTACCGGTTACCGTCTTATAGCCACTGCCTATGAGAACAGCACCGGCCCAGTTGGAACTGTACTCGGGGTGGGCCGTATCGTTCCCAGTAGAGGCAACGGCAACTTCATTCTCAGCAGGCTGGAGGATGTTGGAAGAACGAGAAAGTTTCCTCTCAGCAAGACGCTCAGCTGCCCGCTGGCGACGCATGAGCGTACCCGGCGCACCTAGCGCTAGGTTGGCGTATAGCAAAACGCACGCAACGATAGGAATCTGCATATTGGCAGTAGCAAAAAAAGAACAAGGAAGGATGGGGAGAGGGAAGGGCTGCGCTTGGTTGACTTGGCGAGTAATGAGTAGCAGGCGACGTTTGTGAGATGGCTGGAATGGTTGTCGTGCTCTGCAATGAAGAGCGAGTATATCAAGCCGTCTTTATATAGACTTTATAATGCCCCCGAACCCCACGCACAAGAGCCGCGATAAACAAAGCCAGGTCCCAATCAAAGCCAAGTTCTAATCACTGACGGTAAATTGCCGGAAGCATTCCTAGAAGCCCTATCCTTCCAACACCGAACACACCGAGTTGAATGTGGTGTGTTCTGGATGTCGTCGTGACATGGGAGCCGAAGCTACCTTCCTGATATATCTAGGAGGCTGCCCCGGCCGCCAAGGGATGACACAAATATGCCAGCAAGACATATCATATGCCTAGTTAAACCTAGCGAGTGGTAAACGGCCATGTCCTAGGAGGACGCATGTGTGCCATAATTAGCCAAGGGTTTAAGGAGAGATACGGCCATCTACCCAGCTTCGCAATTAGCAACACTAATATACCCCGAAATCAGCTCTACCTGGCAATTCTCGAAAAGCGACGCTGGATAACCCCAGGAATGTGCCAAGCCGAAGTTTCTCGACGTCTATTGGAGGGGGAGAAACACGCAGGTCTTGGCCATAGAGGAAGGTAGTATTGGCTACCAGGCCTCTCGGAGGTGCATGGTAGGAGATATTCACGCTATAACTATCTAAATACAACAGAACAGACAACAACCAGAAGAAAACCAGGGACATGTGAAGTAGGAATTGGTGTGGAGGAACAAAGGTGAGATCATTGGGCAAGCTATCAGCTGGTGAATAAATCGCTCGTGATAAGGAAAACGTAGGTATGTGATGTTGATGGCAAGGGGCTGATGCTTAGCATGGGGAAGATAAGGCGTTGGAAATGCATAGTCCTACGGACGTAGTGCTACATACATGGCGCTGCATACATACATACATACCTACCTACATACCTACATACCTACTTAGGTATGTAGAAAACAAAGTCTACCGATAACTTGAAGCCTAGGTTGATATGGGCTGTTGAAACAAGCTTTTTGCGCCGAGCTGCCAAGTTTGTATAGGGTTGATGTGCAGTCTTCCAGCCAGGTTTTGTGACAGAAGCCGGATTACGTGTCCGGGAGCGAGCCGACTTGGTCTTGCTACTACATACCTACCTGGGACCGTTGGGTAGGTCTCTAGCCATACTCAGATGTGTATTTTTATACATAGATATCTACCTACCTTAATAGGTTAGGTACCCATATACTGCTAATGCGTACTTGCAAGTTGCTACTCAACCCAACTCACCGGAGTCCGGACTAGCTACTATCTTCGGACTTGTTTCTAGCCACTGTTTCTTTTAGATACTGCTGCTAGATGGCTCTTCGACTTAGGTTAATGACTGGTTACCTATACTCATTTTATGATATTTCGAAGTAGAGTTTCGAGAATTAGCAATATAGACGTAATTATACTAACCTAGGTTAGGCTAATGCGTTGCAAACCAACGAGGACTTGCTCTTTGTCCTTCCCCTCTTGTCGATAGCATCAGCGACTATAGTACGCTGGTATTGCTACCTTCTGATAAAATATCTTGTATGCACGGTCTAGGCCTAGACGAATATGCAAAACATTAACTTAGAGATGACCTCCGTCTAATGTTACATAAGGCGTGTGAAGTGATCTGGAAGAAGTGAAAGTTGAACAACTACTGGGTGGGCATACCGTCTAGTAGCGTATTTGAGATAGGACTAGATAGGACAATCCTTAAGGTAGGGGCTTAACTAATCGTTGGTCGTGTCATTCGCGCTAGGAATTACGAGCTCAAACCCCTGTGTTCTCATCCAATTGCGTGCCATGATGTTCTGATCTTGGCATATTAATAATAAGTATTATGTACCTAGTCGTAATTATTATCGCGGGGTTTTTTCATGTATGAAGTTTAGTCGAAGGGCGATGTCGATATAAGAGAATGTAAAATGTAAAAGGAGAAGAAGAGAGACATATAGTATGAGATTTAAAGAGTAACCTAGGTTAGGTTAGATAGATGATTAATTACATACATAGTAGGTACTACCTATGTATATGTATGTATGACATTCATCATTGATGTTGTATGTACTATGTAGTTAGTTCATATGATGTATATACATAGTTAGTATGTAGGTACAAATTCAATACTGACCCTTGCTCCTTGACCCCCCCTGCCCCTTAATACAACCTTTGCCAGCTTACGGTTCTCGGCTTTGTCGGCACTTCCCATTGATGATTGGGTATGTAGGTAAGTATCACTACTACCTACTGTACAACTTCAAACTTCTTTCTTCTCTCACCCCAAAAAGACTAACCCCGTGGGCTTCAAAGATATTCGATACCTACCCAGTGTACAGTACCGGTGCCGGATTTTCAAGTCACCATTAATACCTGCTGCCACAATTTTGTGGTTGACTGAGACTTCCTGAAAAGGGACCTCGGTGAATAGGTAGGGGAATCTCTATTGGTAGGAGTGTCGTAGGCTACCAATGACCGAAGCTCCACGACCTCTGCGACCTTTGCAGGTTTCTAGCGAACCCCGTGATTTGCAGAGCTTGCAGCTCAAGTCGGGACTAGCAGCCGAAGTCATATCTGCACCAGACCCCTTGAAAAAGCGTGCAATCTGCTCCCAGTGCAGAATACGAAAAGTACGTTGCGATGGAAGGCCCAATTTTTGCCAGAACTGTGATCGGCTTGGCTTCGAGTGTTCCTTTCAGCAGCTACCTGGAAAGTCACCTGGCCAATATATGGTGAAACTCCCTGAACGGCGCCGTGGAACGCAAGCATGTATACCTTGCCATTCCAAGAAGACCCGCTGCCTCGGCGAGTTACCGAGTTGCTCTAGTTGCGTCCGGAGGAATCGAGTCTGCAGTTATCCGCGGGCCAAGAGGTATGCTTCCTCTTCTTCACATGCACGTGATTCGGTCGAATCCATCCAGTCACCCGCCGGAGAGGCTTCTCCTGCTCCAGATATTGGCATCGTGGGGTCTACTGAAGTGCCCGAGCTCGACTCAGCGACCACAATGGATCTGATGGAAGATTATTTCCGACATCTTTATCCCCTACCCTCCTTCGCTTTCCTGCACAAACCAACCGTGCTACAACGGTGTAAGGACAACACCATAAATCGGACATTGAAGCTCTCTATCTGTGCCATCACCGCCCTACAGCTCCAGCGCACCTCACTATGTCACGACATCTGGATTCAACAGGCTGAGCAGTCCATATTGCAGCAAATAGGACGCGCTTCTATCTTCCACCTACAAGCTCTGCTCCTCGTCATACGCTATAGGATTGAAAGCGGCGAGTTCCCAACCGCTTTCATGCTGGCTGCCCTCGCCGCTCGTACCGCCTTGGCTCTCCGTCTTAACTACGAGCGCCCCGAGCTGAGTGATGTCGCCCAGGAAGCACGACGACGATTATTCTGGGCATTATACCTGCTGGACGACTTCTTCTGCGTGGGACTCAGGGAATTTGAGCTATGCCCAGAAGAAACCATCCATCTCCGGCTACCTTGCGACGAGATCTACTTTGAAACCGGTCAACATGTACACACAGGCCTGCTCCGACCTGAAGCTTCTAAAACTGTTGATCCCATCGGTATACGCGGCGCATTCCTTCGTCTGGCATCTGTCCGACGGGCAGTTATGAGGTAAAATACCCAACTTCACAAATCATACTCAAAGCGCCATCTTGTCTAGGCACTAAGGCATATGTAGTACCTCCCTACATATACGTTTTTCTCTTTTTTCTTTTAACCTCCCTCTTTGTCCATGCTTTCGCGGCTGACGCGACCTTGAACAGGTTTAATCGACGAGTCGGTCTGGGTGATGAGTTGTCTTCTACTATCGGCGAGAGTATTCGGCGATTTGAGGAGGAGTTAAGGTCACTTAGAGCATCTCTTGGTTCATCCGATCAGTACTCGGTGTCCAATCTGACATCCTGTAGGTGGCAGGCCCAATTTTTAATGCTACACATGTCGTGGCACCAGTGTCACTGTGACCTGTATCGTTTGGGGCTCGACGGCTACAGTGAAGCGGCCCCTTCACCAGTACTGATCGCAATCCATCCACGGGATCGGGTTGCCATGCAGTTTAAATGCCTTGAACATGCCGAGAGCATCATCAGAACTGTGTCTGATTTCTCTGACCATGGAGATAGTGAATGCCTTTTGGAGCGCGACGCTGCAGTATGTGCATTTGAGAGTGCACGTCTGGTCATGTTCGGCTCTCGTATACCTGGAGCACTTTCTGATCTGGATCTGGCTATAAATAAGGCAAAACTGTCGCTCAACTTGATTACGAAATATTTCCCCCTCTCTGCCTCAACCCAGCCGCTGGTAAGTTGTTGTATATTCGGTCTGGTGTTATATTTCTATATTTACATATTTCTTTCCCCGTGCCGATACTAAGCATTCACAGCGAAAGGATCTAGAACGCTTGATAGCGAGCTACTCGGTTCGTCTGGCTTTGCAGACCCAGGAAACCTTTTCAGAGCCGGATCCGCCGTCGCGCTCTACCTCTAAGCTTTCACAGTACGCAAACTCACGCCAGAGGTTGTCTGTTCAAAGCTTACTGCTCCAGTCGGATTTCGTTGACGACAGCAATGAGCTCGCTAGTCTAACGCAAGGGTCTGAGTCTCAAACCACCACCAACCATATTCACACAGACGGCCAAATCGCCCAGGTATCTGAGCCGGCTAGTGAATTGACTACTATGACCACCGACACCCCCAAGAGCCTATCATGGGGTGCAGTGGGACGGACCCATAGTGGGAATAGCAGCCAGGCGCCACCGCCTAGTTTACCTCTAGATGCGAGGCAAGAGGACGCCGGGCTTATTTTCAATCCCTGGATGGGATTCATCGGTACCGAAGACATGTCTGGACGGCCACCACACCTGGACGAAGAGTTTTGAAATGGTGTAATTAGTGATATGTTTACTGTATACCTGGATACCTTACACACATCTAAGTCCTGACTGCCTACCACGGCCTGTTTACAGTATGTCTACAATGTTTCATGGGTTCGCAATCTCATGGTTATGTTTACACCATCCGCATCTTAGCCTCTATTACTGATTATATAGGTACCTAGTAAGTATTTGAAGAGCTGGCTTATACCGAAGTCTTTCTGATCCTGAATTCTTATCATAACGTGGCCAGGCCGTTCTTTATGTAGCGGACATGCTTGAGTTGTCAGTGGTCTGTGGCTGCTGCTGCTGCTGTTCATGGGAAACACTGTTGCGTGATTTTAACAATTTGTAGGCTGAATGTGTTTTCTCTTCGTCTGTATGACTTTCGATATCGGCATCCGAAGTGTGCAAATCGCTGGTCTCTAGCTCGACATCGAAATGTGCTGCCTGCTGAGGCGACGTCATGGAAGCCGTCTCTGTGACTAGATCGCCTGCACTGTCATCGCCGAGTACCGTGCACATGGTTGAGAGGGTGCTTGCGGGGATGGCGCTTTTGGGAGGGGGGCAATTGGCATTGCCGGTCCCAGTGGGCGTAATAGGCTGAGAGAAATCAAAAGAGTCGGGATCTACCGTCGAGAATAAGACAGGGCTGGTTTTGGGCCCCGTCTGTAGTATGTGCCCCTTTAAAAGTTTCTTGAGCTTGATTCTCGGCTTCGCGCGAGTATGGCGCGTAGACATTTCAAGACGTTCTTCCTCATCTGTATCCTCATCTGTTATCTTGTAAGGAGTTTCGTTAAGAAGACCGTGATGGAATGGGTTCAATAAATTGCTTCCACTCGACCGTCGGTGGCGATATCTGAATTTGTCCTTCGAAGACAGAGGGCTTGCATGCGTTGAAGTTGGTGCTAGGAATCCATGGCTCGCCCTTTGTGAACCCACCAGCGAACCGGTCACCATCCTTCGTAGGTTGACTTGACTCTTGCTAAATACAACACGGGCTCGCAAGGAATGAACAGCACGGTCCAGTGCCAACTCGATGGCACAACGGTCGCGTATGCGAGATAGTTTGGGCCAGGTCGCACGCTCACCTAACAAACACGAGCGCATCATGAACTCAGTTGTGGGATTCTTTAAGACCTTGGGAAGGTCCCAGACGCCTATAGCCGGGAGGATATTAATATCGCCGGAATACTTTTGGCTGAGAATAGATCGTAGTTTGCTGACGAGGGTTGGAAAGATGCCGATTTCAGCCATGAACTGCATCCTATGTAAGGCCTCGCTCTTGGCTAGGGAAGTAATGGTGTGCATCCAGTCTAATTCATTTTTCTGTGTTGTTTCGTGACGCGTACCAGTAGGTGGAAATGGCGTGTCATCTTTGGCGAGGAAGGGAACGACGTGGGGATTGACTTGCGAAACGATGAAGTGATTGACATTGAACATTTCGGCAAGTCGCGTCATAGGAAGGTCATTGTCAACAGAACCATCAATCCACATTTGCGGAGTGGGATTCCATGTACTATGCTCGCCTGTCAGCGGGTTCTTGACGAGTAGCGGTGCAGCGCTGAAAACCAGAGGAACTGAGCAGGATGCTGCGACGGCGGACCAGACCATAACGTTAGGCGCTGTGACATAGTTGAGTAGTCGGGGTAACTCGTATATAGAAGCCGAGGAGACGCATATATTGCAGATCCTTCTCGTGCGGTTGTAAGCTTCTTGAAATGTGATGTCGCCTAGCAAGTCACGCATCACGCGAGTGAGATGTTTGATATCAGACCAGTTGCCTTCGGTAAGTAATCTTTTGAGATGTCCAATGAGACCATCCCCATTACCGTCTTCTTCGAATACGGCTAGATCACCGTGGGGGAACTCTTCCATTAACTGTGGAATCTCGTCGTCCGTTCTTGTGCAGACTACAGAACAGATAATAGAACCGGCCGATGCGCCTGAGATGATACGTGGCAGTAATCTTGCCTCAAACATCGACTTCAAGACGCCAATATGAGTCATTCCGAAAGTACCTCCGCCGCTGAGGAGAAGGGCGCTTCGGCCGAAGCTCTGGCGAGCATAGAGCATCGCATCTAACAAGTCCTTGGGCTCCAAGTCATCTGGTATATGATGCGGGCTCTGCTCTACAAGAGTCGTAATTGTCTGTAGTGTAGAATCCACGTATTGCTCGATCAGCTTTTTAGTACCGCAATAAGAATGGCGGTACAAGTCAATATTGCCCATGCCGCCCAGGTCGCGTGAGAGGGCCGTTCGGATGATGTGCATCATAGCTCGCCTATCACCCTTATGCCGGGCACAGTCGAGCTCTCGCAGACGTGCTTCAAGAAGGACGGGGTTGTAGTCACCACTCGACGTATCGACTTTCCATTCCTCGTTGCCCTCAAGCACGTCTAACTCATGTGCTGCTGCGTCCCATTCTCCATATGATTCAGCTCCCTGTAAGCGTGCTGATAATATTTGTTTGCGTTCCTCGAGTTGCCTCTTTTCCGTTCTCTCACTGTGCGTAAGGCCATCTTTGAGGTAGAGGAAACCGTCTAGGGCCCGGGAGAGGGGGGTGGCACTCGTCTGCCGCTTACCATTTGATGGATTATTAACGCCAAAGGGTTGTAGTCGAGGGACGGATGGGTGGATATCCACGATATGAGACATTATGTAGGTTTAGGCAAAGAGACCGTCGCTTTCACGGTATACTAGGAGGTTGACATTGCATTATAGCCCAGCCTATACAAATCAGCTCGTGATAGCAAGAGGCTCCTAGAAATCGTTGGAGCCGCAGAGGAAGACGCGAGAGTTAAAATGAACGGTAAAGATTTGTATGTTCAAGATGCAAGGATTATTACGTGTGGTGGATAATGTACCTAGACTAATAACTAGTTGTAGTAGTTAAGACCTGATCCAGATCCAGATCCAGATCAAGAATTGTGTATCGAGTCAAGGGAAGCGCAAGGGCACGCACACACACACACACACATACAAGAAAAGCAAAGCAAAGAGAAGCAAAGAGAAGAGAGGAGGAAGTGGACAAGAGCTTAGACGATGCTTAAGCACATGGAATAGGTATAAGTTAGGTAGGTAGGTAGGTAGGTAGGTAGGTAGGTAGGTACGTACGTACAACGTATTGAATTATGTATGGCTAGATTGGCTAGGGATCATCAATGATGGAGGTTGGCTTGGGAAGACGTCAAAAATGCGGATCGATGCGGGATGCCGAGCTCCAAGGAGATGGAATCCGGGGGACATGTGAACAAATGAAATGATCAGATGCTGGGGTCAGATGGGGCAGGGACAAGGGCATGGACAGGGAATATACATACAGTGCATAGATAATGTACTAGGTATGTACTACCACCTAGTAATGTACGCCGTATATGAGGGGCAAAGATGGGATATATGCATAAATATATATTACCTACTACTAGGTAGGTACCTAGTATAACTACTTCATACATACAATGTACAACGCACATATTGTATATACGGCATAGTACCTATAAGCACCTACCTGTCTATATCATTGATACATATAGTAGTATAAATAGCGTTCAAGGGAAGATGAAGGTAAGGAGACAAACAGTAAAAGATGCCTATATGTAAAGATAATATATATATATATATGGATTATGACTGAGTCTTCTGGAGATCTCTTGGTCTTATGAGCTTAGCTGCGAAAGAGGAAACGGCCTCTTTAAGCTTGTATCCGACGTTGTCTTCTGCCCAGAAATGTCCCGCGCCCGGAATTACTACATAGCGGAATTGAGATCCATCGGTGCTGCTCAGCTGCACCGTCCAGTCGCGCATTTTTCTTGGGGTTAGGAAGCCATCTTGATCACCATATATAACTAGGGTGGGGTGAAGCATAAGCTTCGTCTCTGCCTCATCCTCTTGCTCCATATCGCCTTGTTGGTCGCCTCGTTGGTCTTTCATTGTCCCAGTGCCTCCTCCCCTTATCCTCCTCGACCAATTTGACAAGGGATTCGAGAAGCTCATGGTCGCTAAGTGCGTAACAATGCCGACTGGAGGGGATACTAGTAGATATGCACTGCAGAATCTCGTGAGATTATCCAATTTTTCTAGGCAGGGCTCCCTGTGCATCTCGTGCCCCTCGTGCCCAGAACCCCCGGATTCGACGGCATGATGATGATCCTGCTTCCTATGGATTAACTTGCTCCGCGATAGCAAGTCCTTTACTCCTTTTCGTATCCTTTCTTCTCGGTCAGGCGAATGCATCCTTAGCTTATCGTGAGCCTTTCGTGGCGAAGTGTCCTCATCACCGCCAACCCGCATGCCTAACGACTTCCTCGGAGAGGAAGGAGTATCAAGCACGACAGTCTGCTGTTCGGCAAGGTGCTGTGCTCGCAGTCGGATGTCTGCGAAGGCGGTATGTGTTACTGGAGACGCAAAGTGTCCCAGAAAAGCAGTGAGAGGGGGGAGTTGCATCGTCACCATGGCCCCGTATGAATACCCTGCAAACAAGAAGGTCGGAGCAGTCGGGATCCCGGAAGTGGCGACGGATGGACGTTGGGGAGGACGTAGATAGTGAATATAATAAATGAGAAAGCCTGCAACAGACATATAATCGGCGCGCTCAGGTTTCGAGGTCCATGAGGTATGGCCGTCCGACGAGGATGCGCCCCTGTTAGTCCAGCATAGCGGTTAGTATTAAAGCCCGAACGTTATGTAGGCACATCGGTATAATATATTCTCTGTGCTCAGTCTTGTTAGGCGCAATGCGTACCTAAAATTGAAGGTGGCGACGACAAAGCCAACATCTAAGAGGGTTTTCGCAAGGAGACACACAATCGGGTCATCATAGGATCCGCCCAAGGGGGCATATGGATGGGCTACGACAGCGGCATGTCGTTGCGATGTACCCATGGGCTCGCTATGATACGGCGGATGGTATACTCGGCAGTCCAGTCGTGTGTTGTCGTGTATGCTAGGGAGCGTGAAGCTCAAGTCGGGCCGCGGAAACATTATCTGATTCCCTCGATTGTAAGACAAGGCAAGGCATGGTGTTAGACTCGGCGAGCCCTATGCAAACAAAGTATCAGTAATGATAGGGTAATGACTAGCTGTGGTGATAGGGCTTTACTACCTATGGATTTAGTAGCATCTCTTTTTATCACGGCTCGGCTAAACTGGACAAGATGAGCTTGTTGTAGAGAAAAACAAAATGGAAGATGGAGCTGGAAACATTGAGAGTTACAGACTTAGTTATGACTTATGACTTATGACTTATATGCATGTGAATGTGCATGTGCATGAATATTTATCTACATGGATACCTAGGTACCTACTAGGTACTAAGGTAGTATTACCTACCTAGGGGTATAATGTAACTAGTAGTGAGTAAAGCTTGTTAAGCAACTACCTAGTAGTACGAACTTCGTAGGTTTGGTTAGAACCCACTTAAAACCTTCCCGTAGGACCCGTATGAGATACTTATGTAATACTACCTAGGGTAGTATATAGTACTACTATAATATAGTACTATTGTACATGTGCTTATACGTCAACAGCTCCTATGTAGATAGATGAAACGCTTCAATGGATGTATATATCGTCCTACCAGATCTAGACTCCGTATCTATGCTTTCGAATATTTTATTTTCACCTGATCATCTAATCTAATATGGTCCAACTGACTTTGCTATGATGCCGCAATCCCCAATCCTACCCTTGACCCTTGTCTTTCCGTTCGCCCTCCATCGCGTTCACGATCGACGGTCGCTCGCATTCGTCGCCCTTCCATTAACCCCTTCAAGCCTCGCTTCTGTAGTCCGATGACACTGCTGAGCTCTCCACTCCACACTTCTCTGACGGCTCCGTGTTCACTATCGCCGACCTCACTGTCCCACTCGCTTCCTGACACGCTCGTTGTTGCACTGAGCTCTTCAGGTTCTGTCCTTGCTCCCGAAACACTCGTATTAATCCGGAGGCCCTCCAGAGCACTTCCTGTCTCGTCGGTGCTAGACTGTGACACTGACATCGAACGATCATGCATGAAACCGTTAGAATCCGCCATTAAGGATGGATCGCTGCCCGCATAGAAGTTGGGATTCATGCTACCATCGATCCCGCGCCCCCCGCCAGCTGCCATGGCGGTGGCGTTGAACACGGCGGCGGCGTTACGCGAATCGAGACGTGAATGAAGACGCTCCACTATGGCTTCTAACAGGCCATCTATCTTGTAGGGCCGAGCAATCTGTAGTAACGAGCAGAGTATTTGCGGCGTGCAGAGAGGAGACGATGGGGGAGGTAGGGCTGATGTGTAAAGGAAGTGCAGGAGAGCTTGGACGGTGGGACAGGTGTGGGGAAGATATAGACATCTCGGTCGAGAAGTCGGCGGCAATGAAGCAGGTGTTGGCGCGGAATTGATGGCGGCAGGATCTGCCGGGCCTCCATTTGTACCTGCAGTATTGGATTGCTTGATAGATCCAGTAGATGATGGATTATTCAACGTAGTTGCCAGCGACAGAGTGCTGTCACCCGTGTTCCTATTCGACTGAGTTATTGTAACAGTGGACATGCGTGCACCTGCCTGACCCGACATGCCCGTTCTCAGGGTTGCCGAATCACTACCGTCCTGCGTAGCTGCACCCTCCCGCAGTAGCTGCACAAAATAGGGGCCCCATCTCCGCGCGACAATCCGTGAATTGATAGGGATGCGCTCCCCGTGGAAACACAGTATATCCATGTCTGCTAACTCGCGCAGAGCTAAAGCTTTCTCGCCCAGCTCTTCGGCAGCTCGCGTTTGTGATCTCCCCCCACCTGTCCATCCAGCCTTTCTGGCTATGCTAAGACCAGGGACTGTGTAAGGACTGCTGGCAGATACAAAGCCTGACATAGGCGACGTTCTGCGAGGGTTGTCGTAAAAACCGAAAGCCTCTAGTTCAACCATGCAAACGTTGGAAAAGTTAATGCGACGGTGATTGTAATCGTCCACCAAGCTCCTTTTACGATTCCCGAGGATAACAAAAATATTCCGCCTATTCCATAGAACGCCTCTGTTCCAGCTACCTTGGCTGAATACGCTACCGCCAGTATCGATGCGTAACCAGGTAAGATTCCTAAGATCTAAAGCCCACAAGGCATATTCTTGCTTCGAGCTGGTCAGGTATGTGCCGCTCACAACGAAGTAAGTGTCGATGATGCCACCGTTCGGAAATCGGAGTCCCGGCGGCGAGTAAGTCCCAGACATTGGCTTCTCGGCAAGCGAGCCGTCCGAGGCTCGAACTTGGAGCTCCAGTTTTACGTCCAAGAAGTTGAAGTTCGAGTAAATAAGCATCGAGGATCCCGGTTCTTTGGCTTCTTGGCTAATTACACTGTCCTGGCGCGAGCTACTGGAGTTCATTTTCCCAATCTTGGCGGTTACACTCGGCGGTAAAGGCGCGACGACACTACGATAAGCACCACAGGATTTTCCTAGAGGCTGCGTTGAGGTCCACTTAAGGCTGCGGAGGTTAAAGACGCTGATCTGTTCAATGTAATGGTTTGCACCATCTTGACCACCAACCACAACCATCTCGGCTCCGCCGGCACCATCTATATTGATACCGATTCTGCCCTCATTTGGATTGCCGCTGGGGGGGTTATGCTGAAGGGCAGATAAGGGGGCCTTGTGGGATGAGAACGTTGCAGACGAAGGCAGAATGCACGCGCAGTGAGCATACCGGCCCTGTGGAGCGTCTTGCGAGGGTATGTAAGTCCACTTGTTAGTCGGGGCGTCATATATGTATATATCAGACATAACTGTCACTTCGGGCTGTTGATCAGGAGTTGCCGAGGCGGGCTGTGTAGCGGTAGGCGACATACCACCATAGCAAACCATTTTGGTATCCCCCAGAGCACACATGGAATGGAAGTAACGTGGTGGAGGGACGTCTCCGGCAGTCTCTAACTTGGTCCAATGCCTCCGGATTAGATCCAGCTCGTAGAGATCAGACGTTAAAGGAGCCGGCCGGCTCCGCGAGAGAATCCTTCCGCCAAAAACGTATAACTTGTCCCCCAGTATCGTTGTCGTTGCTCCCACCAGAGGATGGGGCTCTTGACCTGTAGTGCGGTGGACATTACACATCAACCCAGAAAGGTGAGCGGATGATGCTGAGGTTGCTGGGGTGCCGACGGCAGCACCGACAGCTGGGGTCCGACTCGTTGACGCGACCGGTGGAGAGGGCCCAGCGGAAAGTGGTCCATTGCTCCGAGGAGTGAGATTATCCCTTTGCCCATCTCCTCCGTCATTTCTTGAAGAACTGGCTATACTACTCTGGCTGCTGCTCATATCGATTCCACCGTTATATAGCTGGTTCGGGAACATGGAATTGTTGGGCTCCATCGTATTAGGAACAGTGTCTACGTCCGTTTCGTCGACGATGTCACTGTCAATTATAACGCTCAAGCTATTTTGTGCCTGGCTGGATGAGAGTGAAAGGGGTACGGGAGTCGTGGGGGATAGCGAAGGCGGTGGTGGCGCCGGAAGTGGTTTCTCAAGGCTGTTCTGGAGACTCAAATTTCTGGCATGTTGTTGTGTTTGTGGCCTTGGTAAAAAAGGAGTCGAGTTGACCTCTGGCGCTCCGGCACTGCTAATCGATGCCTTCGAATTTAGCCTCGAAGGTGCCCTTGTGAACCTGAAAGACTCTTCCCGAGTAGGAATAGCCCTTTTTATTCCTCGATAGACGTCGGACAGAAGGTCGGACGGGGATTTGGAAGGATGCTGTCGATGATCTTGGTCGTCAGGCTCACTCTCGTAAACGTCGTCGATTATTGGCTGTGGACTATTTAGGCGGTCTGGTCGACCTGAGGTTAGACCATGACTTGACATAGACATAATTCACCCCTTCTCCCTCGGCCCCCCCAAGTCCACGACAATGCTTGAGGCTGGAGAAAGGAGCTAGAAGATAAAAAGTGAGGATGAGGGAGCTGAAGGCAAAGGCTATGAGGGTGAAGGTGAGGGTGAAGGTGAGGGTGAAGGTGAGGGTGAAGGTGAGGGTAAAGGTGAGGGTAAAGGTGAAGGTGAAGATGAACTGAAGTGCGAGGAGAGTACTACTCTGCTGTGATGCTAGGACGGACCGGGGAGCAGGGGCTGAAGAGAATAGAAGAAACACTTGAAGAGAAAGGCGGCGCTAAGAATGGGTAATAACAGGGGGCACTTCTTTAGTTCATGTTGAAACGCTGCCTTCGCTGAAAGTATGAAACGGTGAAACGATGAAACAATGACATGATGACATGATGACCACAGGGCTAAAGCGAATAAGAAGCCACGATGCGGCTCCGCGGGGTCCAGGGGTATCATAAGCATCCAGAAAGTGCGTGTGTGGTATGTATATGTATACCTACATGGGAGTATGTATGTAGTATGTAGTATGTAGTATGCTCGTATGATAAGGAAAGAATTGACGATAAGTAGGTACCGACTGGTAATACAATGGCATGGCATGACATACCTTCAATGTTGGTTTTTTTAGTAGCCAAATATAATAAAGTCGACCTCGCAATTGGTAATCTTAGATATTTTGTCGTCGACGTGTCTACCCTGTTTTCTGCACCGTAGCCGCGCGCTCTGCTATATATTTTTCGTCTGTCTGTCTTTCTCTTTTGCAACCTCGATCCCGGGATTACACGTGCTCCCTATACAAATATATATATATCTTAGTTTCTCCTTTGTCTTGCGTGTACTGACTTTGGAGGTAGCTCGACTCTGCTCGAGGATACCAAGTACGCTTGCACGGACGCTTGTGTCCTCGTATCTCAGTAATCCTGTGAAGAGGAGATTTCTCTTTCTTTTCTTTCCTTTCTTTCTTTTTGGGGTTTGGGGGGGTAAAAAAAAAAGGGGGTGGAGGCCAGTTGGCTGCTAATAGTTCAAGATTGAGGAGTTACGAGTTGAGTTAACTAGCTCTTTTGTGGAGAGGAGCGGATGCCTCAATCCATTAATACTACTAAGAAGGGTGGAGTAGATACCCCTTTTTGGATACCGGTTGGATCGATTGAATAATATGATAGGCAAGGAAGGATTGGGCCTGAACTAACTACATGTAGCATAAATCAAGATCTTGTATGTACACGTGTAGTTAGTTGTACATACTACCTAGTTAGTAGGTACTAGTAGTACATACATACCCTAGGTAGGTATGGAGCCAATGGTGTATTAGATGACAAGGGACTCTATTATACTAGCCTACTAAAGCAGCTGCTAGGTTAGGTACTAAACCTACCTACATATGTACCTACCTAAGTAGTTCCACATTTCCAAGATTCTAACTACATACATATGTACGGCGCATAGTACCTAATATCAAATGCACAGTACAATATACTATGTGTGCATGTACCTTTGTAGTAACTCCTCTTCCTGGAGTCTTCCATTGTTAATCTTTTCTTCAATGTACAATGTCGTACAATCTTCTCGAACCCCATAATAAACAATATGACCTACATCAATGTATGTATCTTTTTAAGAGCACATGTCGCCAAGACCCAGGGGCTTGTTAGCCCTTCTCTCGCCATCATTCTTAAAGCACGTGCAATGGGTAATATGAGTGTATGATAATGATGATCCAGCCGGCATATCAAATCTAACGATGGCTATAAATACATACATCCAAGTACGAGCACGTGGTTTTAGACTTTATGTGAAAATTCTGAGATCTACACTATGTAGTTATATCAATATGAAATATATTTATTTGGAAACATCGGACAGTCACCTACTCGCTCACTCACTCACTCTAGTCTAGGACGAGTGGATTGTCTTGATACAATTATTAATTGATTTATATTTCTCTTCTTGAATTATGGCGCAAAAAAAGAGACGTTGACTTTCTTGCCTGATACTCAGCCGAAATTGATAAAAGTGCAGTTAAATGGACCTCCACATGAATATCATATTCCTGATCTGAGTAACACGTCCCCGTCCCAGCTCTCCTATTGCTCATCGACTAGCGCCTAAGAGACAGTAGCTTTGTCTTTGGGTAGAGGAGTAAATCTGAGGTATGGCTTGACTATGCGGAAATCGGGGAATAGCTCCTTGGCCTGCTCGTTCTTGACACTAGGGTGAACGATGACATCGTCACCAGGGACCCAGTTGATGGGGGTGGTGATTTTGTGCTTATCTCCAGTCTGGAGAGAATCAACGATACGCAGAACCTCGGCCGAATTTCGACCAGTCGAGGCAGGGTACGATAGGATGGTGCGGATAGTCTTCTTAGGGTCAATGATGAAGACGGAGCGGATAGTGAACGCAATCCCCTTCTCATCAACGTTGGTGGTGTCTTGGTAGTCGAGCCTATATCATGCGAGGGGCAGTTGTTAGGGGGCAGCCTTCGGTATTTGGGAGGCTGGTAATATGACAACTTACATGTCATAAAGATAGGCAACCTTGCGCTCTTTGTCTGCAATGATGGGGAAGGCGACATGGCCTCCGGTAACCTCATCGATGTCGGTAATCCAACTCTCGTGGCTGCCTCGAGTATTGGCGGACAGGCCAATTAGCTTGACGCCTCGCTTGGTGAACTCGGGCTCTAGCTTGGCGAAGGCGCCGAGCTCGGTGGTGCATACTGGGGTAAAATCTTCAGGGTGAGAGAAGAAGACGACCCAGCCATCACCAACGAACTCATGGAAGTCAATAGGGCCTTTGGTGGTTTCGGCCTGGAAGTTGGGGGCAGTAGAGCCCAGGCGAAGACTACACCAGCTTGTGAGCTACGCCGACCAGTTACGGTATAAGTACCGACAGAGGCAGGTCAGGGTAACTTACGGAGCAGGTCTAGGGTCAGCCATTGTGATTTGCAATTAGTATATATCTTGTAGTTTTGGTGGTGATTCTCGGGTATCACAAGTATCACGGGTCGTAGTACGATAGATAAGAAAAGGGGATATATTGAAGAAAGAAGGCAAAGAGCAAAGTCAGAGAGAGAAAGGAGGGAAGAGGTCAAAGGGTGGGCTGGCGCACGACGTCAGCTATTTAATATCAAATTAAGCTCGCCTAATAAGCCGTTCAATGTTCATATGATCAATAGATAATAGATACATAATGGTATGTATACATGTACTATGTATGTATACTATGTATGTATATACTACATACCTAGTAGTATGTAGTAATAGTTTGTATAATAGCCACTTCCTACATACATACACAGTAGTTACCCGTGGTTATCAAACCCAAAAAAAGGAATTGGCAATGTCGCAATTCATCGGCCATCTTATGTTTTTTTTTTGGTTTGCCTTCTCTTTTTTGATCGAGCGCTGGAGAAGATAATGCCCCGCGAACCTCCCCCACCTCCCTCGTCTTAAGCCATCATGTCCATGTCGTAGAAGGATACCCCTCACTAAGCTATTCCTGGGATAGTAGAGAATTGCGTGCTGTGAAGCTTATATGATTGGCTACCAGCTTCTATCTTTCTCCGCATCATGCCATTCAAGCCTTACGATGGTATCATCTATATCCCTGTCCCGCATACCTTCACCTCCGGCCCTCGGTCGGCTTACCTAGCCTACCTAGCCTGGATCCACGGTTATCGGCTTGATGCCGACATACCTACAGGTACAACATTATATTCATACCTAGTATTCCTTCACACTGTTCACAGTACTAGGCAGTATATATACATAGCATATAACCCACGTGGTCGATAATACGATATTGACGATTTATATGTATCTCGATTCTCGCCATCAAAATGATGTTTATAGTATTACCTATAGGTAACATTACATCATGTACCTACCTTAATAGGTAGCACCTAATTAGGAGAAACTTGACCTTATGAGGCTTATGTACATTTGTAGAAACTAACTACTGCGATCCACTTACTGTACCGAGTGTCAGGGACGTGAAAAGGAGTTGGGAGATAAGCCAACGGTGATGAAAGCTAGTATCTAATACTAGCAGGAAGAGACAACATATTGAGGACCTATTCATGGCTATATCTGGGTACACTAGGCATACTAGGTACCAAATAGTTAGGGTAAATATCGAGGATTATGGATTTATAAGTGACGGTAGACATGTTGGAGTAGACATGTTGGACACCTAGGTAATATTCTGTGCAACCGATTGTGCCATTTTTCAACTTCCTTGGTGATAAATAGCACGTCTTTAGAGCCATACGATCTTCATCCCTAGAGAGTCAGGGTTCTTCGATGAAGTTTGGGCATTGTGCCTATCATGTTGATAGACTGTCATCCTATCACAAAATCATATGCTCAACACAATCCCCTTCCCCTTCCCCTTTCCCTTCCCCCTTCTACCACCACTTTTTCTATCCAAGCCCATAAATTTGAGAATGAAAATTTCCACACGTCATAGCACGATCATAACACATGTGAAGAAATCCGATTTTGGCGATACTCTCTGCCAATGAACGGGGATCTATGTATTTAGAGAAGTCCCTGCTCAGTGCTGTCAGATGGTGACCCTATCCACGGATTTTCCTATAGCCTGGGGTGTAACACTAACGCTCATCTTCCTCCCCGACTTTACTTTGTTTAAAAGGTCTCATTGCTTACAGAAAACAACATCTTACACGTCCCCGTCATGTTCCCGCGTGCAGTCATCGCAGAGGCCACCAGCCTCCGACTCTTCCTCCCTCACGAAGTTCCTCTGATCGCAGGCGCCCGTAGAGTCAAATGCTGTGCAATCCTCGACTTTGACCTCATCACTGGTGTACCACTGCAAGAAAATTAATCAGCGTCTCCGCCCGTAAGGAGTCTCGGATTTGAAGCCCCGAGCTTTTGTAGACTCAGCCAAAGAGGAGTTCGCAAAACTCAACGAGGCCTGATGAACCTGAGCTCGCGACATGGAAATCGGTCAAGGACGGGTAAAGATAAGTATGCAGAAAATGCGTACTGCTCCACACTCTTCGCAGTACCATTTTAACAACATGTATCCACACATTTTCGGACGAATACTCGCTGGTCTTGTCGACGACCAAGTTAACGACTGCTCTTCCTGAGTACGTGAACCTTGTTTGTATCCCGTTCCCGGGGGCCTTAGAGGAAACCCGGATCATGTTACTCAAGGAACGCCACACACACACGATCCCGGACTCTGATTTGTGGCATGGACATTTACTCGAGAGACGTGGACTTCCAGGGAACACCAACAGATTAGGAGATTTGGTGAATATCACCCTTCTTCTGCCACGTGTGCGTGCGAGTGCAGACGCAGGTGCGCGTAAAATCTGGAGCCTGAGAAAAGCTTGACAAATGTTTTGACGACTGGAGCGCACCAAAAATAAAGATAAAAATAAAAACAAATTTGCAGTTCTTAATAAAGATATAGCGACTTCATCAATTGGCTGCATATACATGGCAGCATCACAGGCATTTTCGATTCCAATTTATTGGGCAACATATCGGGAAGGGCATGAGGCATCTGATTGGTTTAGAGGTGCTCAACTCTTCTCAGGCTGTACTTCAGGTGCCATTTAGAAATGCATCTACCCGAACAAATAACTGCCGCAGCGCATAAGATATGCGTCCGAGGGGCGGGATCGAAGCACCTGTAGCAAATTGTACGCGGTACAAGCTGGAGCGATGAGGTCCGGGGTCCTTATAGATTCGACATGGAGGATTCCGCGTGGAATCATGCAAAAAATAGCCTAGTCGTGAGCGCCCCCGATCACTGAACCCATGAAATTCGTTGTCAAATCATGGGTACATCCATATAGATGCCGCCTACCTGCCCCATCGTAAAGCGATATCCCCAGCACCCACCCAGGCTCAGATTTGTGTCTTGCTGTTAAAATGTTAGCTGCTATTAAATGACTATCGGAATGAGGTTTGGACGAACCCTACGCCACTCAAAGCCTCAATATCTAGGCGGTTCCTCCTGTCTACACCACCACCTATCGGGTTCGCCCGGTAGTTAAACAGATAGTAATGTAGTTGGCCATCTCCAGGACCAAACTTCTGCTCTTCTAAAAACAGGCCATTGTCCATGAGCGAAAGGGCGTTGTAGACGTCGAATTTAGCCTGCTTGCAAAACACCAGAGAATCAGAGACGAGGGCGTTGAGTCGAGTCTTCAAGGCTTCTCTATCGACTGGGGTCGCAAGTCCTGTTTCAGTAGCGTAGTAGAAAAGGTAGGCTGCTTTCACGTTTGAGTGTTTGGATGGGCCGATAACTGACGAGTCAAGACAATAGAACGAAATGAAATCGGTAATTTTTTTGTGCTCATCCTATCGGCTTAGTTAGTATACGTAGCACATACGCTGGATAAAGGGTCTTGCCTCAACGACGTAAGTCCAAACAACCTGCTCTTCTAGTGCATTCTTCTTGTTGTGTAGCAGCCAATGCTCGACTTCTTGCTTGTTGAATTCGGCAGCTAACTCATACTTGGCTAGGTACCGGGTAAGGAGGTCCTGAACGGCCCCAACATCCTTCTTTTGCATCTCCCTCAGACCCCTGATCGATGTCCGATCTGGTACAGCGTACTTTCTAATCTGAAATTGGGGCTTGCTGTTGGCAGGCAAAGGACTAAATCCAACTTCATAGAGTTTCTGCCAATTGATGGCGCGGTGGAAGTATCGGCATGTGCTGACGGGCTTTGGAAGGACGATACCACCGGTATAGATGGCCTGAAAAACGCCCTCCAAGTTGCATAATCGTGTAATCTCCTTTATAAGTACCGGGGCTAAGCGCTTAGATCGCAACTTTTTATGTATACAGAGGAAGTTGACTTCGGAGGCATGGATGATTTTGTCCCGAACGCGCAGCTCGACGGGAATGGCAGCGATGAAGCCGACAAGTTTTCTAGACTGCGCGGCTCGAACTCCCCGATGCCATTCCTTTTTCCATCCAGGAGGCATCAAAGCCCTAGGCATGCATCTGTCAGCTTTATAATGTTTCCGTTCAAAACCGCCCAGCTTCCTTCATTTCCCATTTCCCATTCCCCATTTCTCTTGATTTCATCTATTTGTTGATGGGTACGGAATAGGACATGGTAGAAAGCGAGACTCACCATTTAAGAATGCTGGCGGAATAGCTGAAGCGGAACATTGCTTCGTCATCCTCAACGTAATGGCCATTCAACAGTTCCCAAACTTCTTTTAGCTGGCCATCGTCAAGAAGGTCTATAGTGGACCACTCGAAACCATCAAGCAGCGGGGCAGGGTCCTTAGGGATCTCGTCGATGGTCTGAATCTTGATAGGGCCCTCCTCGAAGGGCTTCGCGGGATCACTATCTTCCCCGAATCGGGGTACAGGCTGGGTAGCCCAGAATTTGTAGGCCCCCATATCCTTAACATTCTTACCACTCGAAGCAAGCCCTGTCATAACATCTTGAAGGCTAAGACGCTTAAGGACATCAGCGACGGCATTGGGATTGTCATTCGTATCGCTGCCGAGTTCATTGGCGAGTGCGGGGTTGAGGTCAAGAAGTTGGGATAGTTGTTCCTTGGAAAGCCCGTCAATTGCTTTATGAATCTTCTTGGCTGCCTTCTCCTTCTCCTTCTCCCTTTCCTTTTCGTCTTTCTCCTTTTCTTTCTCTTTCCCCTTGTCCTTGAGGGGCTTGGGCTCCTCGGACATGACGATCGGTCGCACGCACACGAATACTATCGAAGTATTCAAGTAAGTAGGTGATCTAGTAGGTGATCTAGTAGGTGATCTAATAGGTGATCTAGTAGGTAGCAGGTAAGAGACAAGATATCGTACTCAAGGCAAAAACCCTACAAGATGGAGAATTGCTACCTAGGTAGGTATGATATAAGATTACTTAGCAGTGCAGGGTTTCGGGTTTCCAAGGTTCAAAAATGTTCAAGTTGTTGATCAAATCTGTGGTAGCGCAAAGGGTTACAGTTTACAGCGCGGGGCCATTAACTTTGAATATTGGGGCATTTAAAAGCGGGTACCTACCTAGCTGCCCAAGTATTGTATTGTACCTACATATCCATTCTATGAATATCTACATGTACATAGTATTGACATATGTAGTATTCCAGTTAGTTATATCAATTGATGTTACATACTATGTATGCATATGCTATTATGCACATATGTTACATCATGACAAGTACCCAATGTGTGTGTTAACCGCTCAAAATTATTGTTACAAAATTATTGTTATTATCATTAGTCTTCTTCTTCCTCTTCCTTGAGTTATACTACCTACTAAGGGTATGTATATACAACGTGTACACCAGACTAATTCATATCTAATCCAAATGATCTCATCACAGCAAGTGAAACCGCCGAAGACATCATGATATCGTTGTGTCCTGTTTGTGTTAGCATCGTCTCTTAGTGTACCCTTTTCTCAATCAGCCCACTTACCACCATAAGGCACCACCTCTTCCCGAATGATTGTATCGGGCGCGGTGCTCACAATAGCTACAAAGGTCCCATCATCTCTGTGCACGGTTTGCTGTTCTTTCCACGACGAAAAGCCGGCGTCATCTAGGTCTTCATCAATGACGGCTCTGGCCGCAGAGTTGAATAACACATCACTTTCATGATACGGTATCTCCGCATCGTTTTTGGCATGGATTAACGTCAGACGCAGTCTCGTCCGCGTCAAGCTTACCACGTGAGCGAGTCGACTGGCTGACTCCCATTTGTCGACGATGAAGCTTTGAAAGAAACGAAGCAACGGAGGGATGGGACGAATTGGGGAGAGCACCGGAATTACTCCTCCGGCTGTGTACGAAGCGAGCAGGGCTGGCATACTTGAAAACCCAGCAGCAAGAATAATACCTGCAAACTCGATTCCTTGTATGGCATAATGTTCTGCTACGCCACTTGTGACAGCGGTGCCGAGGCTCTGTCCCAATAGAACAATTCTGTCGGCTGGGATTCCTGCAACATGCATTGCCCAATCTACGGCCGTGGCACCGTCGCGAACTAACCCTTCCTCTGATGGTACACCAGTTGATTTACCAAACCCTCGGTAGTCGATTGCTAAGACATGGTAGCAGGAAGTGTCAGTCAATGTGTGATAGCTGTCTGGACGGAAGCCCTGAGCAACATGACCGGCGTTCTATTGCGCAGTAAAGTTAGCAGGTATAATTTTGGGTCATGCAAATTCCATGCTGTCTCTTCGCTCACACCGTGAACTAAGTCTTGTCAGCAATTGACAATAATAGTAGCTGCACATGGCGAGGCTTCAAAGCTGCAAGGATATCTTACAGTAGATTACAAGTCGAGCATGAGGATCATCCTTGAGTAGTCTGAAAGATGCCGTTTTGGTCACGTCGTTAGAAAAGCCGGATTGTTGAGCCTGGAGGTTATCCTCATGTTTGAGGTACGTGGGGAGTGGTAGAATGTGCCAAGCATATACGTCCTCTCCATCGATGGTAGGTAAGGAGAAGGGTGTTACTTGGTTTCCTTGGTATTAATCACGTTAGTCGATATTATTATATAGCTACCAAGTAGGTAGGTAGGTAGGTAGGTAGGTAGGTAGGTAGGAATAAAAGAACTAACTGGCGAATCCCCAATATTCTGGTTTATTGAGGTCATGCCAAAACACGGTGTTGAATCGATAGGCATACACGAAACTGATCATCATGCTCGCATTAGTATAACATGAAGTCAACTTATTGAGCAACTAGTATAATCCAGGAGTCTGTCTTACTGTCTCTGGAAGAAAGGAACGGAGCCGAGTAATATGAAGATTATATAAAGAGCGATTGGGATACCGAAGCTGAGGCATAAAGGGATGGCCAATTGGGATGCTCTTGGAGCCATGTCTTTCATAAAAAGTATCGAAAACTTCAATAGCCCTGCTTTTTCTTTGTATTGATGTGAATGTGTGAATAACATTGAAGTTTTGCTAAGTTTTGTTTTTCAGAGACGACGGGAGTCTATATACTTACTACCTAGGGTACCTACTAGGTAGTAGCTACATAGTACTAGGTACATACTAGTAGGACTATAAGGTATGTATGTATTGTATGTATGCATGTATGCATATACTAGGTATATAAGTAGTAAGGCGTTAAGCAAGACCCGACTACGAAGTATAGTTAGACCCACCTTGTCGCTGCGGCTCAGAAAACAAACTCTCCAGTCCTCAATCCTGAATCCTCAATTCTAATCTCAATCTCAATCTCAACTTTCTCTTTCGTCGTGAATAAGGTCCAAAAGCACGACTAAATTAATTATTTACTGAAAAACTCGGGCATTTTCCCATTGAAATCAGAATCTCTATGGGGTGATCTTATACCTTATTTAATACTGCTTCTCTCCGTCTTCGCGCGCATATGCTTTTGTCGCCGCGTGCAACCTTCAACAGCCGTGTTGTACGCAAATGATCGTCATACTTATCGACATGCATTTGCGCACCTCGTTTCATTAATGTTCACAGACATTTTCGAGCTGTTTTTCATTGCCTCTAAACCTAATTTAACCAACCAGAAGCTACTAGGCATTGTCACTCTATGGAGAGAAAGAGAAAGCTGCCCGCGAGAGCGGCTGCCAGAGTTGACCATGTCTCGAAGAAACGAACTGCCACGCCTCCAGAGAGATCCTTGACTCCCGCGCCAGCGCCAGCCTCAGCGCCCGCATCAACTCCTGCACCAACTGAAGTCGTTCCCGAAGAGCCGCCATTACCCAAGTCTATTCAGGCGGGAAATCCCTTGCCGACCGTGGAGCATTCGCAACCCGAAGACCTCTCAAATAAAGACTACCAATCCATCCAAGAAAGGTGGGTGGGACTAACCCCAATGCTCCTCCTCCAGTCGTTATCAATATACTTATATACTAACTTATGCTATTGCAGTGGCGTACTAGCTGAATCGCTCTCCAGATCACGCCAGAAATGGATCCACGAAGGCATTTTTGAAAAGTACTGGATCAAGCCTACCAAACGAAAAGGTGTCGTTAAGGAAGACCCTAACAATCCTCCCAAGGATACTATGACCAAGATCGGCCAAGTATCTATTATTGTCGAGCCTCACGTTATCGAGGCCACCATGTACGCTGTTAAGGACCCCAAACCAGCGCCTACCACCAACTCTACCTTTCGGCCTGTCATCCAGTATGGCCCTCCGAATGGCGCCATGCCTCCCCCACCGAAGCCGAGCGCACCATCTACTCCAATAGCACCACCTAACTCACCTTCGCCCTCATACCCGCTAGCTCAGGCGCCACTCCAGCCGCCATCGGCAGCAAGAGCACCGACATCAGCCCAGACCCAACAGCCGCAGCATTCAGACTTGCAGAGACCTCCATCCTCTACCACCCTCCCTGGCAAGCCGCTAGCTTCCCCTCGTGGCCTAGAATCTGTCCTTGCAGCTCCTCAGCACCCATCAACGTTACCTCCCACAACAGGCCCTTCACAACAAACAATACCACCTCAACAGAAAGTTTCTGCCCAACCAAGTTTGATTGGGAACCGGCCATTGCATGCCCCTAGCCCAACAGTAAATCCAGCTACCTCCGGACCAGGGATTACCACCGGGACCAAAGCTCCTACTCCAGCAGCGAAACCAGTAACTCCAGCTGCCCCAGGTGCCGATCCTATCATAGTCACCCTGGCGGAAAAAGCGTCGGAGGATCCATTACTTCGGGAACTTATGAAGCGTGTTGCTGTTGGAGATGCCCAGCCGCATGAGCTGACACACTTCCAAAAGATTATTGACCAGATCACTCACGAATACAAAAAAAAGGGAGGACAGCATGGCCCTTCAGCAGATCGGCTCATAGTGGATGGAAGGACAGTCAAGTACTTTGCCAACGAAGTTCGAACCTTGCTCGACATTGTTCTCGTTTCCAATCCACAACAGAAATCAAGTGACTTGAAGCCGCCGCCGGGGTGCGACCCCTTGCTTATACTCCTGCTTAAGAAGGCTTTGGATGACTCAACCACACGAGACATTGTCCGAAGAATAGCTAGTGGCAAGCCAAAATTTACAGATACCACTGATTTGAAATCAACCCTTGATTCGCTGAACATTTTAGCAAAGGAAGCTACCAAGCCTGACCCCCTCCGTGCTTCTCAGATTCGATCGACAAATAAGATAGATAGTCCGACTGCGTTGAATGACGCTGCTACTAGAAAACCGTCGCTTGCCGCACCAGCGCAACCTCACCATGTACCCACATCACAACAAGCGTTGCGATCGAAGGGGCCACCGCCCTCTGTCAAACCTGATATTTCGGCTATTGTGCTTGAATTTTCTGGTGGCACTGGTGACCGATACTTGTTTCCCAAGTACAGCATCCTCGAATATGTCAACCCGAACCAGGTTATTGCTTCATTTCTTATCGTGCGCAAGGGAAGCAGACTGGAATATGGAGGAGATCCCGTCTTGGACTACTATCAGCCTGTGACCGTTCGATTGCATGCGCAGTCAGGCAAGCAGCTTGAGAATTTGGCAAGGGTGGTTGCTCCTCAAGATGAAGTGCGGCGTTATATGGATGATGTGATGGACAACATGACTCGGGCTGAATATGTACTACTCGCAATGCGTTTGCCGAGAGCGGACAGGGACGACCCGGCCGAAGATGGCTTCGGCACACCGAAAGCAGATCTTGCAAGCCAACCCCAGCAGCCCGGAGTATTATGGGCTGGCAAAGCATCCTCCGGAGCCACACCACCTCAGAAAAATCTGGCAAAGCCGCCAGACGAGGACGAGCAGTACCAGAGCTTCATAACGTCAGTAACTTAAAGACCTACGACAGACTAGGTAGTGAAGGCTTCCCAGGTATTGCATGAATGATCTGGAGTTCCTTGGGATTAGAGGTGGGCCAAGATGCAGCTCTCTGAAATTCGAGCGATGGCTGGAGTGAGGGGTTTGGAGGACGGTTGAACGGACTTGTAATTCACTACATTAGATACCTAACCTGGCGGAACAAGGTGTCCTTGCGCTCCACGAGTCATCACGAAGCAAATAATACGAGGTCAATCTCAACATATGATAACCACCATTTCCACTAATTCTTGGTAATGCCTAGATTTGTAGTTGTTCTCTCCTTATTGAGTACGTATTCTATCCAGTGTACCAAGCTTACTGTGTCTCTTCTTCTATCACCCGTTGAGTTTCTCACCTATAGAACAACGTGCCTCTATCAGCTCATTAAACCATTGTGTTCGTTCAAGAAGAGGCGCGTGCCCTAGGCCTTGAACTATCAATTTTTGATCAGGCTGTAGGTACTCTATAAGCTTCCTCCCATGGGGAATCGATATCATCCTGTCTTCGGTGCCATGTACGACTAGGATTCTCTCACGTCCTACCTCGTCACCTAATCTTTTCAACTGTTCTGGACTTTTGTGATGCCAGCCGGCCGCAATGAGCTGCAGCAAGAAGCCGGTTTTGGTGAAGCCACTATCTCGCTGCTTCGTAAGTTCTTGGGCAGCAAATCGTTCGTAGTTAGTTTTGAATTTGCGGTAACCTCCGGTAGGAACATTGCATCTTGGGATAGATTCGTCTGGAACGATAGCATCGTCTGGTTGGGCTAGATAGCCTGGAGGGAAGACTATAGTCTGGGGTTAGTCGAGTTTTGTTCTCAGAGGACAAAACGATAGCAAAGCGTATATGTTTAATATTTTCTTTTCTTTGGCAGGATTCGGTATGACCAGAACGCATCACTTAGGGTTCACCTACTACTATCGGCCGCATACTGTATGCTACGGTCAAGGCTCTTGGGCAAGAGCATGGTGATGCGGTTCGCCATATTTTCCGAGAAAGACGTTGTGTTCTCGATATGAGCGGCGGTACTGATCAAGCTCAAACTACTGATGCGATGAGGTACTAGATAGGCCAATTCCTGAGCAATCATGCCACCCATACTTATACCACATATGTGTAGCTGCCGCGAAGATGTCCAGCCAAGGTAGTCAGCTACATCTAAGATGTCACGCGCCATCTCCAATGTGCTATATCGCCCCAGAGGTTTATCAGAGCCGCCCATACCTCTGTTGTCGAGAATTAGTACTGAGTATTTCGACCCGTGAACGTGTCCAAAGTACATCGTCTGGCGCTGATAGGCAGTCTTGAAGAAGCCCAGGCCAGAGATGAGCTATGAGGAATTATGGTGAGCCTTTCTTCTACTTATTTCTCCATGATAAGTCTCGAGTGAACTCACAATAAGTTTTATAGGGCCATCACCGTGAACTTCCCAACTGATTTTAAAGGGGCCGCCTCTGGCGGTTGCTACGGGTAGAAGACCAGTTTGATGTGGCTCAAGCTGCCATAGGGCGGTTGGAAACGCTGGACTATTAGCCACCTCTGTGAGGGAGGGCAAAGTCGCTGTAGTCGTCGTCATAGTTGATATTACTTTTATGTGTCGGATCAAACGAACTTTGAGGCTGGCATGGAAAATATCAGATATATTTATATTTACATCAATTACAAGGAGGTATTATGTAGATAGTAGATATGTAGATAGTATGGTTTGATGCACTGACTACCTACTATGTAACATTGTAACCTAGGGTACTTGTACCTACATGATCGTGTCCGGCGAGAGAATGCATGACGACGTCATGTATCTTTAAGTACATATGTAGATAAGAGATACTACTACGTAGTCTATACATTAATAGGTTAGTATTTATGTACATGGTATGTAGTACTATTACTACTATATGCATGTATATATCTAGGGTATCTATGTAGGTACTATTTCAAGTTCATGTATTTTAATTTATTACTTCTCGTCAGCTTCATTCTCGATAAAAGTATAAAAGGGTATCTGCTTTAAAACTGACAACTCCAAAAAAAAAAAAAAAAAAAAGAAAACCGCACCCATGCACCACCGATAGACCGAAAACGAGGCCAAAATCTGTAAACTCCGTAGTGATCATATACCATTGGGCGTAAATCCATAAAGCTAGACCCTCGGCGCTAGATATCATCTTTACTCGAGGATTGGTTCCACTCAGCGGGTTGGGAGAAAGTTCTTGGAATCTTCTTCCTGTTGTGCGAACGACTGGGGGAATGCAGCAATACCGGCGACAATTCCAGCGGCCATGAAGCACACGGATATAATAGACCATATGACACCCCAGCATTGAGATGAGCCACCATAGCGCTGGGCGAAAACACTTGCGTCAGAGCTGTTGACTTTCCGGAGGATTAAGTCGTCGCACTAAATGGCTGATTAGCTTCGTTACTTCGTTATCTCAACGGGAGTCCTTTCCGAGCTTACAATATCCCAAACGCTATATAACGAGCTCATCACACCAATGAAAAGTACGACAAATCGCAACGGCTCTGCGTGGACAATGAACCAGCAAGCAACCAAAAGCCCGACGGCGAGAAGAATAGTGACGATAGTAAGCCAGTCCCTTTTACCCCACCACATAGTAAGGAGAAAACACACTGCCAGAACAAGGCTGGCGATTTTGCTTGCGACGATGTCGAATCCGCAGAATATAAGAAGGGCACCGATAAGTGAGGATCCCAAGTAACCGGCTGGCAACGTGATAGCACTCTTTCCACCAACCACTGACCATATGGCTTAGCATTAGAATCAAAAAAAAGATGAACTCGGACGACTTAGGGAAGGGGGGGGGGGGTTGGAACTGACTGTGGGTGACACCGCCTTCACGCGGATCAAGCGAGATGGATTTAACACGACCACCAGTGCAGCAGGCAGTGATGGCATGCCCAAACTCATGAAATGCGATGACCAGCATCTAAAGTTAGGTGTCAGCAAACAATCTCGCCAGGTCAAGAGGCCAAGAAGTCAAGAGTTCAAGGAGGAGGGGAAAGGGCAGATGAGGACAAAATAGATGCGCTTATACCTTGAAGGGCCATAATGACCAGCGTACGTAGGGAACGTTCCATAAAATGGCTATAATGACGACGTAGGCAGCGATGATGCCAAGTGTAACTTTCTGAGCATCGCTGGTGACAGTCAAGTCGCGACGGGATAAGACATCTCGGCGGGTGAGTCTTGCGACTTCGGGGCCGGCAGCAACTACGGCAGCTCTAGCGCTCCGAATTAAATGATCGGTAAAGAGGATTCCGGGTCTTTCGTATACGGGGGCCATATTTATTGTACGAGGGCCGAAGGATTTCGGAATCGGAATCGAAATCGAAATCAGAAGGATTAATTGCAACAAGCGTAATGTATTAATAAATGTATAAAGGATGTAGTAGGAACGAGCGCATGCAATTACGAATAGGTAAAAGAAAGAGGCACCAAATATTTTAATGGTATAATGGTATGAACAATTGAACAATCAAAGGTTCAAAGGTTTTAGTGTTGTGACCAACAGCTGGATTACGTGGACAGCTGCACAAGCTGCACAAGCTGCATAGCGTGGTAGGCTGATAACTACATAATAATGTATGTACTGTACCTAGTAACTGCATATGTAGCTTGAAGTGACGTAACCTATGGCTGCGCCACGTTCTTTTGTATTGTGGCAGTGGTGTCTTTAAATAGTATGTAACCTAGTTACATACCTAGTACCTAGTAGTATTGTATGGCAGTGCATAAAGGCTTTCATTTTCTGCAATAACATAGATAAACAGAAAAAGAAAAAGAAAAAAAAAGGGAAAAGGGAAAAGGGAAAAGGGCCAATTATACGTAGATAAAACTCAACACTTGCCAAAGCTCACTGCATCATATCCAGAGGTAGGTATATATTTGATATACCTATATCAATTCAAAACAAGCTGACAAGATTGCATATCCATAAAACTATAACTAATGTAGACATGTCTCGTACACTGTAGGCAAGTACATTATACGATACATATTTATAATAATATATCAAATGCGAATTTCGCCCGTTGATTATAACTATATGACCAAATTAATATAGTTAGTCGCCGACCTCAAAAGCAGACAAGGCCGGAACAACGTCGAAAGCCCCAATTATTTCCACTTTCCACCAAGAGCCTCAGTTCAAACTTTATGGAATATGTAGTGAATTGCGGTGAGTAGGTAAGTTATGTACACCTGTAGTGGATGAAGTTTTGTCATTATTTTCGATTCTAACGACGATTCTGGCAAACGTAATAACTCTGACCTAATGTGGCTCAGAAGCCATACGAGGCGCTCCTTCAACAATATGCCGAGTACCTTTGTGAGAAGGATACATTAGGTTGGGGGGGCACAGAGATACTTGGAAGAGACCAGACAGCCAATGTGAATGGCATGGATGTCGTTACGACGGTGAACTGTTGATCAATATTAGCAAAGAGGCACGGCTACTTCTCCACCGTCCCGCTATCTTGAGCTGATGCGAAGAATACCGTATTGGCTGCTGGAAACCTTGAAAGGGGTCATGATTATGGGAAGGGAGACCGAAGTTTGGGCATTATCCTATCATCGGCTCATAGACTGGAATATATAAACTCGAGAAGAATCTCATTTAAAGGTAAGTTCCCTTCAGTCACCCTCCTCGCCCTCCTCCTCATAATACCTACCATCACGACTCTAGTTCATTTGTTCAAGTTTTAAACCAACTATTTGAGTTTACCAGGACTTTCATCAAGATGAAGTTCCTGTCAAGTGCATCGATTATTGCTGTCGCTGCCGGCGTAACCAACGCTCAGCGCCCTCAAGATCCCAACAGCCATATCCCCTTTCTCGTCCAAAAATTCACGGCCAGAGGAATTCCGCACTCGAACAACGGACTGTGAGTTGGCCCAAGCTATTGATGCAAACCTAGCTACACAAAAGACTTTGTTTCGTTGTTTCTGACTTTCTTTGCAGCATCGATTTCCATTGGTCGTTGCCAAATGGGCAGAGCCAAACACAATGCAATGCCTCTCCAGCAGTCTATTTAAAATTCCCAACTGTGGCCATGACTCCATGTGCCCACCCTAGTACGTCTTTCAGCCTCGAAAAGTCGGCTGACGGCGGTGCAATCCTCAAAATACAGCACGAGATGTCATCAGGAAAGATTGCGGTAGCGGAGCATCCGATCAAGAAGGAGGAGATCAAGGAGGAAGGCAATGTTAACCCGGGTGGAATCGTCGAGGTCTATTCGGGCCCGGCAGACTTCCAGCTCATGGCTACGTACTAGGAAGGAACATGAGGGATTCTGAGAGTGCTCTTTGGAGGCTCGTGAATGGGTGACAAGTGTATTAGAGGATGCAGATGATGGATAGGATTCTTTTTAGATTACCCAGTATCCTACTTGGTATAATATGTTACGTGGTATAATGTTATCAACTATAATATAGAAAGATATAAGACGATAGAATATATATTGTATACCGAGTTTTACATATGCAGAGGTACATTGATAGATTTAAATAACCAAATGTGCACATAACTATGGTTTGATGTTGATAGTACGTAGTAGTAGTATCGAGTAGGTACTTGACGGTCTTGACCTTCGTAGTTAGGTACGTACATATGTCTGGTGGCTGTAACTGCACAAATGATGTGATGTGATGTGCAGCTATGGATGTAGTAGCTACCCCACTACAGATACATGACATATTACATGTACATACAATACCCTACCTAGTAGGTAGTAGCTAGTAGTAGTGACTGCACTGAGTAGGTACTATTGCCAGGTACTAGGTAGTTACCTACATCCTAGTAGGCACCTAACATCATTGATCATCGCTTTCCAACATTGAACCCGTCTAAACTCAACATTTCTTATCCCATACCTAACAACTTTTTTTTTAAAAAAACGTAGGAAAGTTGCGCTCTTCTTTCTACCTGCTACCTACCTCATCTACTTACATACCTAGGGTAGTAAGTACCTAGGTAGGCATTGAAATCATTCCCATAATTACCTAGGCTAGACATCCTTTTCTTTTCTTTCCTTTCGTTACTCGTTCACTCCATTTCTTCGCCATGAGCCTCCCGCATCTATCATGGCATATCATTCTTCCCCTGCGGATTCAGCCTTAACCCGCCCGCGAGTAGCTATCGCTTTCATTTCTACTGTCACAGCCGTCTCCTTAGGACTTTACTACTACTACAATATCCGAGACCCTTCGAATTCCGATTCCCCCCCACCCTCAAGCCTGCACCGCCGAAATGCTCTAAGGCGACCTCACCGAGCCTCAAACCACAATGAAGACCTCTCTGAATCCGAATCCCATGGCGACGAGAATATAGCTACTGCTACATCGGTTCCTACCGGAGAAGTTTCTTCCCGCCTCGACGACCACAACCCAGATGAATGGTACAACGACATCAGCCAAGCCCCGCGCCAACGTACAGGCGAGAATATAGTCACCTTACTATTCCGCGTATCCGAGGATAATGCGAGGCGCAACGCTTATGTTCACCGTGGCTGTCAGTGTAATGGCTGTGGCATGGTGCCTATACGCGGGATCCGATATCGTTGTGCCAACTGCGCTGACTTTGACCTATGCGAGGCTTGCGAATCCCAGGGCCTGCATAATAAGACGCACATTTTCTATAAAGTCAAGGTACCCGCTCCTCCTTTCGGTACTCGACACGTGCAACCCGCTTGGTATCCAGGCGATCCAGACAACTCTATACGCAACCTCCCACGTTTCTTGATTAATAAGTGGTCTCGTGATACCGGCTTCGAACGCGTTGAGCTCGATGCCTTCTGGGAGCAATGGACTTTCATGGCCAACACCGAGTGGAGGGACGATCCTGATGGGCTCGGTCTAGCTATGGATCGCAAGACCTTCGAACGATGCCTCGTTCCCTCTGGTGGCTATCGACATGCTGCACCTAATCTCATCTACGACCGTATGTTTGCATTCTACGATACAAACCACGACGATTTAATCGGCTTCGAAGAGTTCCTTCACGGTGTCTCATACAGAAAGAGGAAGGACAAGCTCAAGAGAACATTCGATGGTTACGATATTGATGGCGACGGCTACGTGAGCCGACGGGACTTTCTACGCATGTTTCGCGCCTATTATGTACTATACAAACAGATGCACAAGGACATTCTTGAGGGCCTCGATGACCACATGATGACAACAACTGAGGTCCAGCAGCTTATCAATGGCAGGCAGCCTCTGAGTAGCCTCTTTGGTAGGGAGGGCAGGGTCCCCCCAGCTGATTACCCGAGGCCAATGGAGGGCAAGAGATTCGGTCCGAATGGAGACGTCGAGATCAATGATAGCAAGGGAGCCATCAACGAGGATAAGCCGGATACGTCTAGCCGTGAAGAGGTCTTGGGCAGTCTGTTCGCTCGCAGCGCTACCCTGGGCATCTTCGCCGAGTCTTTTGGGTCTTCTTCTAGAAGGCCTCAATCGCCTAGCGGGGATACTCGTTACTGGTCAGGAGTAATCAACCCTCCGAATGATACAGTTGACCTATCATCTTTGCTCTCAGGTGGATACACGCAAACCGACATTATCGAGTCTATGCACCATGGCGAGCGGCATTCTCTAAGCAATGGTGTCGAGACAGGATCATCCGATGAAGAGGAGCAGAGCGAGCCCGACAACCAAGGTGTTGACGATGCTGACGAGGGTGAACAGCCTAGCCTAGACGTACTACTGGATGACGCTGCACCGGCATCTACTCGGGCCATTCCAGATGCTAGCAGATTCACCAACACACTACCAACCGAAAGCCAACTTAGGGTGCAGCACCAAGCAATTGTAGCGAATGGTCAGCGATTAGATGTTGACAAGAGAAGACGAGTGCTGGCTAGGAGGAAGCTTCTTGAAAGGTGGAAGCGACGGCAATTCTACCTGGATGAGGAAGAAGGGGCCCTACCGCCGCAAGGATGGGACGAGAACCAAGACGTCTTACTGCACTTGAATGGTGTCGCCGAGTCGTCCAAGTCAGTACCTCACGTCCTCTCTCCGCGATCAAGATCATCATCTAAGGTACGATTTGCTGAAGATGCGGATGATTTTGAGACCCGATCGAACCCATCCACCTCCTCCCGAAGTATCCCAGAGAGATGGGGCGGGATGGAAATACCAGACGCGGAGCGAGACGCTGGTAAAGAGATTCTCTACCAAGTCACCCAGCAAGCATTCAACGAGTTACTTGACGAGATCTTCAAGAGGAAGGAAGACCTCGCCGTCCAGGCTGCCGAAACTAAAGAACAGCGTGAGAAATATCGGGATCATCTGGATATGATCAATCTAGAAGACGAGAATGGCGAACACAGGGATGTTTCAGCAAAACGGCCTCAAGTGCATGGTTCAGACAGGAGCCATTCAGCACAGCAGCAACAACCAACCTTGGACGAATTGCTGTCAGCTAGCGGCTACACGCTCAACAGCTCTTCAGGCTGTGATGATGACGATGATGATGATGATGACAGAGAAGACGATGACGAAGATGAGATGCCTGAGTTGTCCTCACGAGTACAGGATGAGGACGACACGGCACAGACCGTTGTTGAAGATATGACTATTTCCGCACGCGATTTACAAGTCTTGGAATATCGCGATCCTACTCTACCCCAAAATCGTCCCAGCAGTCTAACACATATGTCACCCGAAAATACTCCATCTCAATCTGGAGAGAGCAAAGCTAAAAACAGAAGACCTCTTAATGGCGACAAACCTCTAAAAGATGTTCGTGGCGCTGAGTCAAAAACTCAGGAGGGTTTAGCTTCGAGTCGTATACCTCATTCGACGCTGGTAGCATGGAAGCGCATTGAGCTTGCCGAGCAAGAGGCGAAGGAAAGGGGTGGCTGGGGTAGACTATGTTATAAGGAGTTTGAGGAAATATACCGAGCCCAGGAGTTCCAGGACAGCAGCCGCAACAGGCTGGATTACCTAGGTAGCTGGATCGACTTTTGCATTCCTTAGGGTGGTTGACTGAGATCAGAGCACATAGGCACATGGAGCATGACTATCCGCAGAGTAATCATAAGGACGATACCCCTCATGCGAATTTTTCTAATAGGTTCAATCCGCATTGCATCTTGTATCTTGAAGACGATAGGGATATGGCTACAAACACCTACCTAGTATCGTTTCAAAAAAGGGGTGGCTTAAGAATACGAAGAACCAGTCTGCCCGTCTCAGTTAGTCGGGTAGCAATCATGAAGAAAGTGGCTGTATTCTAGACGTGAATTGACCTTAAGCCTCGTTCGTTTCTATATCGACTTTCACAAAGCACTATGATCCAATTGCCGAGAGATCTTTATGCATGTAATATAAGCTGGCGTCAACGAATGTCACTTTAATTTACGGGTTTATTATTTCATAATTCCAAAGCTACCTCCCTAACCAAGGTGCCTACTAAAAAATCATCACAACAGGCTATTGTCGTTGCAATTCACCCTGAGGATGAAAGTCAATATATATATATATATATATAGCGGTTTTGGCAAGGAAGTGAGCGTTGAGTCTACCTGGGTAGGTCAGCTTGATTATTGACTACATTCACCCTGCTCCGCCGTTTTCAGTACTTAGTAGCTTAGACATGGCTACTATTTTCTTGCTAGAATTGCTCTTGCTTTCTACGTTGGCTTCTGCCGAGTGTGCCAGAGAGTTTCTCACAGGTATCACCGACCAGTACGTTGCAGCCCAGGCCAGAGGATCCAGCAGTGACGTGGTTCGGTTGGCAGCATCTAATGTCATGTATACTGAGAACGAAGTATCCAAAGCCATCGAGGATGGCATTTTGGCAGAACCCATCAAGATAGACCACAGCCGCAGCATCCACGACACTGTCAACTGCGCTGCTTTCACCGAGATCATTGCCTCGAGCAATCCTCACCAGTATGTTATAGGGACGCGTATGGTATTTGATGGCGAGGAACATATTTCTTTGATGGAATCCATCGTGACGGATGAAGGGGATTGGGCATTCAACGCGACGGGATATCAATACTGGAATTCGCTTGAAAATTGGGACCCCATCCCTGAAGATCAACGAGACACACGAGAGGTGATACAAGCGGCTGGCGATGCCTACTTTGAACGATTCAAGAACGAGAGCGTAACTGTGCCCTTCGGCGTCCCCTGCTCTCGGCTAGAAGGAGGCGCTTCCACTGCGCCATTGAATATGACGGGTGACTCTTGCACGCTCGCAGGCTTGCCCTCGACACTGGTAGTCACCAACCGTCGGTACGTCGTCGATGAGACGTTTGGTGTCGTGGACATTTATCTTGGGTTCCCAGGGCTGGATCGATCACAGGGAGAGAAACCAATGCCAGATAGCCACATGTTTAGAATCGAATCCGGAAAGATCAGATATATTCACACTGTTTCGTCATGTGTGGAGGTGGGCTGTGGATTTAACGGAACCATTCCAACGTCGAGGGCTCGACGGCTGCGACATCTTTGAGACCATTGTATCTTGTGTTTGGGGTTTATTTGACAACAAACCTATTCAAGCACTGCTCTCTTATCCTTTTGAACTGGCCAGTATGCAATTTGATTGTATAAATGTTGGGTCATTTTCCAGTCTGCAGATAGGGGGATGGTAGTATTATAATAGCACAAAGGAATCTTTTAAGAGGGGCTAATAGGTGGTGAAAGATTATTGAAGTGTCATAAGCCAAGTCTTAGCATAACAGAAGACTACCTAGGTAGTTATACTATATACTTCTCATCTAGCACTATTTGTACAATACTACATACAGGACATGTGTGCGTAGCGATGGCGTGACCTAACTAACTCGGAATGTGATGGAACCATGATATTAACAGTTAATTACTAATGGCACTACTTATATAAAGCTCAAACCCCGCTCATTGAGCGATCATCCTACAGTTTTGGACCCAACACACATATATATACACACATCAGTCAGTACCTATTGGATTAGGCTGGAAAGGGGTAAGGGGTCTACGTATGTATAATCGCGACGACTTCCTAAAATAACTTGAACCTCATCTACACTGTTCCCATTGACGAACTATTCTATCTCAGCTAGCAACAGAAGAAACATTTGCACGATGAAGGAGGCTGTAGTAGCCCCAGGTGAGCAGAACTTTATACAATCGATGTGAGATTTTTTGTTAATGCTAATATCGCCATCGCCATCGCCATCGCCAAGGGCCAAAGGTTGAAATTATTGACTCGCCCGTTCCAAAGCCTAATGCAGACCAGATTCTTATTAAGGTTATCGTGAGTGGTTCCAATCCGAAGGACTGGAAAGTCCCCGACTGGCGCCAAGTCACTGCGAACCAAGGGGATGACATAGCCGGTATCGTTCAAGATGTTGGTTCTAATGTGACTGAATTCAAACCTGGCGATCGCGTTGCGGCGTTCCATGAGATAATGAGCCCCCATGGTTCCTATGCTGAATATGCTATCGCGTGGCAGCACACCACTTTCCATCTACCACAGGCAACCACCTTTGAGGGTACGAGCCGAGATTAGAATGCCATTATGATAAAGTGTGCCTGGAGGTATGCTAACAATCTTGATAGAAGGAGCTGCCATCCCCTTGGCTGCCATGACATCGGCAGTCGGACTCTATCTTCAACTTGGTCTCCCGCAGCCATGGACACCGGCGGTTGAGCCCACACCCCTTGTAATATACGGTGCGGCCTCTGCTGTCGGTACTTACGCTGTCCAGTTCGCCAGCAAGAGCAACATACACCCTTTGATTTGCGTTGCTGGAAAGTCCCAATCTCACGTGGAAAACCTGATTGACCGTGGTAAAGGGGACACCGTCGTCGACTACCGAGATGGGGACGACGCTGTGACTGAGGCTCTGAAGAAAGCAGCCGAAGGGTCTAAACTCCTGTATGCTTTCGATGCGATATCAGAACACAACAGCTATGTTATTTTGAGCAAGGTACTAGCCCAGGGCTCCAAGATAACGCTCGTGCTGCCACCAAAGGATTACGAGTTTCCTTCACATGTTACGCAGTCCCTGACTTCAGTGGGCTCGGTACATTCAACCGCCAAGGACTTCGGCTTCGTGTACTTCAGGTACATCACTCGAGGACTACAGGAAGGATGGTTCAAGCCGCAGCCGCAAGAACTCGTGCCGGGGGGGCTGGGTGGTATTCAAAAGGGGTTGGATAACTTGAAGGCTGGCAAAGCGAACGCCATAAAATACGTGTTCAGAATCGCCGACACGGAAGGTATTTGATGTATGAATATATGAAATCAGGGCATGAAATCAAGGCGGCACAAACTCGTAGGATCCTTCTATTCCCTTCGTTACCCCAGAACCACCCCCTCCCTGATTTACCTAGCAGGATCTAGCAATGTCACGTTATTACCAACCGCGAGTAATGGATTGCATTCTACATGAGTAGACAAAGATCGCTTGCATATTGGAATCTATGATGAAACGAGTTGTCGTGTGCATAACGGAAGGCCAAATCGAACCTCCCACCGAAGGTTTTTTTTTTTTTTTTTTTTTTTCCTACGAATGCAGACCAGAATCATCTCGATCACCAACAATACTGTACATACAATTCGCACCTAGCACCTAGATAGGTAGTTGACTCTGCGTGAAACGGCGGGTATCATTCGGTGTATCTCGGTATGAATTGAGACGAGTAGTTATTAGGTATTAAACTTCTTGAGAGAGAGAGAGAAAGAGAGAGAGAGAGTGTGTGTGTGTGTGTGTCTGTGTGTGAATGAGTGAATGAATGAGTGAGTGGGTGAGAGTGAGTGAGAGAGGCAAGGGAGGCGAGTTTCAAAAGAATCGAAATGGCCAAACTGTTTTGTATAATTCAACCAACCTCCTGCGCGCGTAATAGTTAATTCGTTCTCACTGTTGTATATAATATATGCTTAGCGACGGCCATGGCCGTGCCCCTTTATCCCCGCCCAGACAACTTGACATGGTCGTATTTCCATAATATGAGATGAGTTCAGGAGCAAATGAAACTACCTACAAGCAATTTTACTTTGCTGATACCTAATATTATACTTAAATATACATAGTATATAACTAAGTATAGTTATATATTATATAACATATACATAATTAGACCGGCGCTTGTAAATAGTAAGTACTAGTAGTAGTAGTGTAGTTGGATACTATACAGAACCTCGACAACGACAGATTTGTCTCAATCAATCAAGCGCTTCCTGATTCTTCCTTGGCAATAATAATCATCATTAAAGATGTTATTACCCCTTACTACGACCCCCTAAAGAATTGGTGCGTCGATACTTGAAACGTCTTCGTGGGCCAACAAATCAAATCGACCACCCAAGATCAGAAATCAGCAGATCATAGGATCATTATTTTTTGCATTCTCTGCAGAATACTACATAGTACTACCACTAGTAAATGGGATTTACTTGATCATCGACAGGGTATTTCTTTAGCGCCCAACCCTTTTCTTCTAAATAGTAACGGTAGTATGGTAGTATAATGCCTTAATTACCGTCATATCCACATTAGAAACGTCTTGGCCCGAGATCTGGCACAAGGGTCGAAACGTAAGAGGATCAACACTAACCGGCAGATCATAAGCGATCCTCGACCATCATTTTCCTGGACCATTCTCCGAACATCTGGAACATTGCACCTCGAACCCCTTCACTGTCACATTTTCTTTTTTTCCATTTGGCGATCACTGCATTCCTTCACTCCTTCAAGCATTAGTCGGCTCGAGCCGAACTACCTTTCTTTTCCTAGCTATGACGATGTATAGTTACTGTAACTATACTACATACATATTACCATACTAACCTAGGTGATTGATTAGTCTCTATCACGATATCCTGGTAAACCATCCATCTTCAGAGAATAACCAGGACCTCGAACTCCGTAACAGCAGACTCCATAGCAACAAGCTGACACAACAACTCATTCATCGATTCATGGGCTTCTATACTTACTTGTACATAGTAATTACTGTACAATGTAATGTATTGTACAATGTAATGTACACACATAACCATCATACTCCTATTTATCAAGCACGTAGTAGTATAAGGCACCCCCAGGTACTGTATCATGTAAAAAGAAGAAAAGAAGGCTTGTCTGATGGAGAAAGGGTCCCACTACAAGGGGAGGCTCCTCTGCTTGCTGAAACCCACCAGCTTGATACAGATCGTGTTGGATATTGGCTCATGCAACATAATATTGGCCTAGCTCCTATTCACTGGCTACTCACTGGCTACTCACTGGCTACTCACTGGCTACGAGGCATCTACCAGGTAAGCTTGCGGGGACCCAACAAGATCTCCACCACTTCTATATAGACGAGGGATGCTCACCATAGATCGTCAGCTTTCACGTTGCTCTGCAGGCCGGTTTCCCTTTCTATCTGATTCAATCATTCCTTCTATTCTTCGTTACTGACGATCCTGTGGATCCGTTCTACTAATTCCCCATCCTCTCTTTTGAATTTTCTGTGCCTTATCTTTTACTAGTCGGCCCGGTGCCATTTCCATATTTCCAATATGCAGTCATTCTCATCTATTATTTCACTCGCCTCCTTGCTGGCTCTGGCACAGGCTCATGGCGTCATATTAGGCGCGCAAGGTCTTGACGGTTCGCCGGCAAGCGTTGGCTTCAAGGGTAAGTTGATCGAACCTCAATTAGCGTATCTCACTCTTTCGCTGTGGCTGTAGCTGACAATCTCCTAGTCGAGGCTGAGTTGGCAAGAAATTGCACATCCATCAGCCCATGCCAACAAGATACGACGATCATTCGAGATGCAGAGATTGCGGCCAACGTTGTGAACGAGTGCGGACGAACAGAATTAGCTGGTAACATTGACATCGGCGAGAACACGGAAAATGCTCTTGCCGCCGGCGCTGTTACTCAAGTCAAGGCTGGAACTCAACTCGAGGTTACGATTCGTAAGGAGCCACGAACCAATCCTGTTGACTGAAGTCATTAGCTAACATGCATCAAGACCAAGTGAACGCCGACGGAGCCGGTCCTTATGCATGTGACTTGGTGGAGGCAGGAAACAACGGTGTCATCACGCAGAACTTGACTGTCGAGAACAATGTTCCTGGTGTCAACGGCTTCTCGCAGGCCAAGACCCAACAGTTCAAGATCCTTGTGAACATGCCTGATAACTTTGCCTGCAGTGGTTGTGAGTATAAGCCTATGTCCTTCATAGTATCGTGACATTGCTAACATCCAATAGCATCTGCTGGCAATGTCTGCACTGTGCGATGCAGAAACAATGCACTAGCTGGCCCCTTCGTACGTGTTCCCATGCTTTACGGAGCGATTGCCCGACGAGTTCGTCATGATTGCAAATAATGGTTGCTAACAATGAACGCTATAGGGTGGATGCTTTCCCGTCCAGCAAGTAGACGTGGAGCCTAGCCAGAACACTGCTGCCAAGGTGCCTACCAACTTGTCTCTAGACAAGGTTCTCAAGCAAGTTTCGCAAGATCAGGAAGACCTCCCTGCCGCCATTGCCGCTGTTCAAAATGCAGGCTCGGATAAGGGGCTTGCGGCCGCGGCCGCGGTCAGCTCTCTTCTGAAGCAGACCGTCACCAGCCTGCCCGCTTCTGTTCAGACACTCGATGTTGTCACCGGCGTGGCAGCAACGGCAACGGCCACTTCGGCTGCCGCTGCGACCCAGACGAATGATGCCACCAACAATGGATCCCGCAATGGCCGTAACGGAAACAACAGCAGCAACAACAGCAACAACAGCAATGCCAATACCAATGCCAACAGCAGAAACGGCCGTGGTAATGCTGCCAACAACAATAACAGACGGAGAACTGTGTTTTTCGCTTAAACAAACTTAGCAGTACATCCGCATCCAATCTATTGCATTGGAATGGTGACGATGAAAGACGGTGGTAGCCAGGAGTTGGGACATACCGGTTAGAAGGAATTCGATAGGGCACTTTTTTACTGTACAAAGATTTATCTGTACATATATCCAGCTACATACGTAGATTATTCACAACATGACTAATTCGTTGTGGCTGGCGTTATTCCACCGGACTTAGTACAACATATATGATATATGATAAATCTACGATTATGTACTGTACGTACATGATGTCTAGCATAACCGGAGATAACGGCAGAGTAGATAGTTAATAACCAATAAGAGCATGTTGGCCATGGTTCTACATACGGAATTTGCTTACTACCTAGATATACGGAGTAAAGGATACCTATAGTCGGCGTCATACTATACTTGGTAATCACTTAAATCCGAAACGACTCAAAATCCGACCCGTGTAATACTATAGATAGATAGGGGAGTCGAGCAAACTCTAGGGTAAGTTCATATGTCAGCATTTTTCTTATCTGCTTATTACCCTCTAGGTAACTTATCAACGATTTACCCTTCTACCTAGACGACTTACCACCACTCCCAGGTATTTCTCGATACAAATCATGGCAACCCATCTAGCAGCCGTAGCCGTTGCAAAAGCCCAACCGCTTGAGGTCCAGGAGCGACGAACCCCCAAACCCGGTCACAATGAATTGTTACTCGACGTCAAGTCTATTGCCTTGAACCCGCTCGATATCAGCTCCAAGGATTTTGGCTTCGCCATCGCGGAATACCCAGCCGTGTTTGGTTCAGACATCAGTGGTGTGGTCCTAGAGACAGGACCCAACGTTTCTGCTGCCGCCTTCAAGCCCGGTACGCGCGTGGCGGCTATCGCGTCTGCTTTCTTCGCTCAGGGTGCACCAGACTACGGTGCTTTCCAGCAACGAGTCATCGTGCCGGTCGAGAACGCTGGTCCCATCCCGGATGACGTAAGCTTCAACGAAGCTGCTACCCTCCCCATGGCCGTCACTACTGTTTGTATTGGGTGGGACACAATTGGCCTTCCTCGAGAAACCTCTTATTCTCCTGGTGACAAGCAAGGAGTTTTGATCTGGGGCGCATCTGTGAGTACTACTAATACATATTCAAGTGACCCCCTTTCCATACCCAAGTCACAAGGGGTAAAGTCATGGCTCGGCCATGTGATCAAATGGGGGATGTACAGAGTGAACTACTAACTACCTGGGATGCCACAGTCTAGTGTTGGTAGTATGGCGGTGCAGAGTGCGAAGCTCCTGGGCTTCACAGTTTACGCCACCGCGAGCACAAGACACCATGAATACATCAAGTCGCTTGGTGCGTCTCGGGTATTCGACTACAAGGATGCTGGCGTACAGGCGGCTATCATTAAAGCTGCTAAGGGGGACGGCCTTACATTCCAGTATGGCTATGACGCCGTGGGGGCTGCACAGCCATGCCAGAATATCCTCCAAGCATTAAAGGGGGATGGTACGGCCCACCTGGCTTCCGCGCCCCCATTAAAACCAAACGAGGCCACAGCGGAGGGCGTCGAGACCAAGTTTGTCATGGCTTCGAACGATAAGAAGGAACGAGCCAAGCAGTTCTCCTTTGCATTCAATGTCTGGCTCAAAGAAAAGCTGGAAAGGCGCGAGATAGTCCCAAGCCCGGGGGTCAAGGTTATCGATGGAGGGTTGCGTGGAATCAATAAGGGGCTAGACATATTGAAGGCAGGAGTGAGTTGCACAAAGCTAGTCCTAGAGGTTTGATGGGAATTCGTGATGTATAGCCACATATTTAACTGTCTGGGTACACATGAAGCCCTTTGAATGCTCGCTGAAGGGTTTGCAACAAAGCAGTAAAAACTGCCTCAGTTTTCAATAGTATCTTGGTTGAGGCTTTTCGAATTTCACTATCGGAAAGAGTGAGGTGACCAAGACACATAATCCAAGTACTTCTAAAGCAACCTAGAAAGTCATTTTCATCTTTAGTAAATCTTTTTCGATGATCTCGTCCTTTTTATCCAAGAACTCGGACATATCCCACATTACGCTGAGATATCTGCCCGCCAGCCAGTCTTGTCTCTTGCTTGTCAGAAACGCGATAGTATCACCGCCTAAAGCTGGTGTGCAGGTAAGCCAAGCTATTCGTGCTCTAAGTTAGTTTTCGGTTAGGTAGTCACTTGGGAGAATATTCCTACCTTGTGTCTGCTCTGGTAGTCGTCGGGCCAAATCCGTAGCCACGCTGTCTTTGAGGTTAATATTTGGTGGTTATATGGTGGGTATATAGCTAATAAATAGACAACATATCTTACTTACCCTCCCGGATGTATAGAATATGTGAGCAGACACTGAAGTGATGTCAAAAGAGAGACACTGGCGATTTGAGTCTTCATTGGTAACTTACCTGATCGGCATACTCTGCCATGAGATACTCTGTAAGCCTCAGTAGAGCAAATTTGCTGATCTGATAACTGCTTCCTCCCGTGTGGAAGTGCATTGTCCCCGTAGACGACATGGTGATAATCGTCTTGTCACCGCCTTTCAACATAAGCGGAAGAAAAGCCTTTGCGACAAGGTAGCTTCCGCGGACATTAATCTCGAAGCTCCTCCACCACTCGTCTTCGTTTCCATCTAGAATCTTCTCGTACTTTGCTAAATAGCCCGCATTGCTGATGAGGATGTCGAGTCGACCCCAATCTGCCTCTATTGTTTGAGCAGCACTGCGCACAGTCGACATATCTAAGATCTCCATCTGTAATAGGGTTACCACTGGCCTCTCTCGTCCAGCCTCAGTCGCGGCTGTCTCAATTTCCTTGACGACCTCTGGGGCATTGGAGCGCGATGTGATGGCGATATGTGAAGCCCCAGCTCTAGCAAATGATATAGCCACACCCTTACCAATTCCCTTGCTTCCACCGGTCACGAGAATAGCTTTCCCTCTGCAATCTGACTTGGTTAGAGGGTTGATATACTCATATGTGTCATGCCTTAGTGTTTTGCAATAGTTACTGCCCCAGTTAGGTACCACTGGTGGATATGACTGTGCTGCAAGCAACCCCTGAAGCGCTTGCCCTGTCATTTTACCGTGCGTAGATTTGAGGAAGTGCTGGGGAAATTTGAAATGATGATATTTTGGGTTGCCTCGTGGTATCTGCAAACTAATTTGAAGCCTAAGCTGCAGCGTGACATATATAATAAGAGCAATGATCAATATGCATATCCATGGATGTACGGAGGTGGCTTACTGACAGGGGGACTGGCAGGGATGCCCTATGGAAAAATGTTATGAAAGCCACCTCCGTAGGCAGAAACTATTCACCGATTTGTCTATAACGACCGTATAAGTACTATTTAGACTGTATTCCACTCTTACTAACCCTAATCTAGTAAGGTAATACAGGCCCACTCACCCCCGGAGTCAGCCCTCGAGCCGCTGTCGGCTCTTGAAAGTCGGGCTTGGGACACTCTAGAGGAGGGCTTGGGAAAGGGACTCAGGCCGGGGGACAGTAAGGTTGGTGATAGCTTCAGGTGTGGCTAACAGTAAAGGTACAAGTGTAAACGAGGCACCTAACCTATATTTATTCATTAGACTAGGGTCAGTAAGAGTGGAATGCAGTCTAAATAGCTACTTGCACAGTCGTTACAGATGAACCGCTATTAACCTACATATTACGTATTTATGATTGGAAGTAAATTATTTTATATGGGTTTGATCCCAGGGCTGATATTATAGTAGGCTGAATTTAGGTAGACACTTCAAATAGCGTTAACACCGTGAACTGTGAACTATCAGGGCTGACGTCTTCGTACCAATCCATTCCTGCTATTGGCTTTGTTTAGACCCTATTGAAAATTAAATATATATATATATATACTTCGTATATATACCGATACATACCTACTTAGATTAGGTAGGTATACATATTATACATTTCCTTGGTACCATACAAGTTCCAAGGCGACACATGACTGCCATAGCAAAGGTGGAAGAATATAATAAAGTAACGAGTATGCCACAGCTCGCGTATTTACAACGAGAAATGATGACAGGGCTTTCAACGACACCTGCAGGACGTTCATACGCAAAAGACTCACTTTGAATCTCCAGGCCTAGGAGTAACATAATTGCACTCGGTTTGCTAGCTGTCCTGCATAAAAGGTAACGGTTGGCCCATGAGTATTGTACAATCTCCTTTCGACTGGTACCTAGCTTTCCTAACACCTACCAGCTATATCTAGGTGGTGGCAGTCGGATTGGCAGGGTCATATCAACCCGAGCCGGGATCTCGAAGTTGATGGATATTCTCTGTGTTATTACGGCGCATCGTGAACAGCGAATGCTATTAGGCTTGCAGATAGGACAAGGTGTATGGATATAGTGTATATCATCGATAGCTCGCACATTACCAGTCTGTCCAGTCATCCGCATACGAGACACACAAGGCATCCCATTGCGAAAACATCCAGATAGCTAGAAAATGAAAAGCGAGCAAGGAAAAACTTACTCTCCAACCCCACCTCCTCGGGGTTGGCCCTGGTGTGATTTGTCGCTGAAATCCTGCTCCATGGTTGAACAGCATCGCATCTCTGTGAGATGAAATGCCCATGTCGATTCCCGCGATCGTAATAAGGGGAATTCCGACACTGAGCTTGACGGTGAAGGGCCAACATGGTTTAATGAGCGAAAGTATTTTAATTAGCAACATGAAGAGCCGAAAGGTGAATACAATCAAGTCCGCTTGGTTGCGAATCAAGTAGATTAGTCTACTTTCTGTTTGTTGTCCGAATGCTATGGGTCTGTCACCTGGAGGTGCTATGAGTAAGGGGGTGTGTATGGTAGGAAGTGGCTGTGGGTGTGCCACTCCAGTAGAAAGACCGCGATCCGGAGAAGATGGCGCAAGTCCCTCTTGACTTCGAGACAAATTCATGGCCTGGGGACGATGTCGGGGCGTGTTGGGCGTGCTATATGGTTGAAAACTATTAAGGAGGTTGGCTTGAGGGGGATGGGCCGTGGCTTGTGGGCTTTCATCACTACTGGGAGACGCAACCCCCTCGGGCGGCATCATACTTCCGAGATGTTTCTGCGGATCGGGAACCGGCGTGCTGGGAGGTATGGGCGAGTCGAGGCTTTGAATTCGTCGGCCTTGCAGTCCAACAGAAGGGCTTGTGCTTCGGCCTCGTAACTCGCCGTGATACGTCTCATGATTCATAACGGCCAATACCTCGGTGGCACTCGGCCGTTCAGATGGATCAAGAGCCAACATCTTTTTTAGCAGTTGGTAGAGCTTCAACGGGAGGTCAGGCCGCTCCCGTTTTTCATCCTGGAAGCCTTTCCAATCGGCTATTTCAGCTCGGAGCTGATCGATATCTTCAAGTTCTTCTTGCACAGCATTGGCGTTCATATAGGGTAGTCGACCGAAGCATAAGAAATACAGTATCATACCCAACGAAAACACGTCGGACTTAATTGTAAAATTACCCAGTCGGCCTCTCGCATCTCTCTTCAATACTTCGGGGGCACAATACGATATAGTGCCGGTAGTTCCTGTCGACTTTCGAATAGCATTTCCAGCCTGCACCTCACCAAAATCGCTTATTAAACACGTTATCTTGCCACTTTCGTGATGCAGGAGGCAATTACTCGGTTTGAGATCGCGATGAATATAGTTGGCGTTGTGTAAATAGGCAAGGCCTGAGGTGATGTCCTTGAATAGGGAGTATATTTCCTCAAACGATAAACAGCGCTGGGAGGCGAAGACATCCTGGGGACGCTCGGCGGTGCTTTTTGACTTGCGGCGCATCTGGGCCTTGAGTTGCTCTTTGGTTGTCTGCTTTGGCTGATCGCCGGCAACATAGCGTAGTAAGTCGCCACCATTGCAGTACTGCTGGAGTATGAAGGCGCAGGCAACGCTTGGCCCAAACCGATTGAGCTTAACATCCTCAAGCCAGACGTGGCGGTAGGAGACCAGATTCGGATGGGAGAGCTTGGCGAGAAGCTCAACCTCTATAAGAACCTTTTCTAACCAGGCATGATCGTTTCCAACGGGAACTCGCTTGCAAGCAAAGTGGCCAAGAGCACATCCGTCAATTTCGTGACGGACAAGAAGCACGACACCCTTGCCGCCACGACCAAGTTCCCTCTCCTCAACAAAGAACCGGGCGAAATAATTGGGACTGAATGCATCCTTCCTTATGCGAGCTCCTTCTTGGGGAGCGGGTGAACTAGAAATGAACTCGGCGTCACCAAGTTCCTGGGTTCTAGGACTACTGCCTGGCAAGGTGGGTTGTGTGAGTCGGCGAATTGGACTGGGTGGAGGCTGGCGGTTTGTTTGTTCATCTTCGTCATGGCCAGCCTGAAGCATGCGAAAGTAATTGGGGTTGACGTAGGATTCATGGACTGTGGGGTCATCGTAGTGTCGTTCCGGGGAGGGAGGGCGGAGAGGTTGATGACAGGTGGGACATTCTGTCAAAGCGGCACCTCGGATCTCGAGACGTTGCGAGGAGGGATCACGGACAACGATGGCATTGCGGTGACGCCTGAGTCATGCATGTGAGTAAGTATACATATCTAGCACGGGGGAACAGTAGCAGTAGTAGTAGCAGTAACAATAGCAATGACATTATGAATGAGAATTGGGTATGACACCTGGAATGAACTTGGCGGGGTCTTGGCTCGATCCAGCCCTTTCAAGGGTCAGAGACAAAATGGAGAGACAAATGGATATGGGAAAAGAGGAGTTACGTACAGCACGATTTCACGACCGTCCCGCGAAGTATACGGAATCAACTCCATTACGTGACGTTTATCATCTAGTGGTGGTAAGTAGTAGAAGAAGAGAATGAATGAATGCTAAGATTATAGAAATTTCAAGTTGGAGTAAGCCATGATATACGAAGTACTATACACGTACATTTGTACAACTAGAAGGGAGAAGACAATGAATCAAGCATAGAAATAGACAATGGTGTAATGGTGTGGTGTTGTGGAAGGTCAATGGGAATCCCTTCACGAGTTTTGGTAACGTTGTTTTATGAAATTCAGTCTTTGTTGACGTACTACTACTACTAGTTAACTAGTAGTATGTAAATTGTTAGTTACTATTTACCCCATGTAGGTATGTATGTCATGGTTGAAGAGCAAGGGTTGATTTGTTTGGATAACATCCAATGCATAAAATCTAGGTACATTTGATGTTAACACTACTAAGTTACGTGTACATAGTAGGTACTAGGCACTACTAGTAGATTCGACCGACATCTGGAGGTAGGTACTAGGTAGCAGCTGCCACCTGTCATGGTAGCTACTTGCACCGGCGATTTCCAACATTAAAGGTCAACATTGAAGTACTACGTAGGTTAGCCTGGTTAGGTAGGGCCTGGTAGGTATACCTACATGGTAGCTTAGGTGGGGTTGGACACCGTTGGAGGGGCAAAGTGTTATGTACTACATGTATCTAATTACTAGTAGTACAGATGATAGTTACTTGAACATTGAAATATCAAAACTCAATTCATCCCATCCATTTCTCAACAACATCTCGGATATGTGACAAAGTGCTCGATGCATCAAACCCCTCCGTTTTAGATCTTTCAAATCTGGTCCTCGTCCTGGTCCCTGTGAAGGACCTTTGCTTGGCAATGTCATCTTCCGAAAACCAAGCACCATGTAGACCATAAGGTACACGTTGTGGTAGCTTGACTTTAGCCACCACATCTCGCATGTTTCTAGCATTGATAACCCAAAGCTCACTAACGGACTCATCATTACACTCGCCTTTATCGTTTAGCTGATACTCGTCAAATACGTACGTAAGTAGCCATCCATCATCTTCTTCCTCTGCTTTTGCACGTCGCACGAAACGCGGTTCTTGCGCAAACCAACCCTCGGGCATCGGGAATACCTTTATTGGATCACTTTCATCCGTACTCTGCATCACCTCGCTGATGCTTCTGTTGTCAACGCAACCTTTAATCTGTTGTGGTGGGTGAGCAATGCCTCGGGCAATCAGCTTCGTCGCCTCAATTTTAACTAGACAATCGATCTTGGTTGCTCTTCCAAGTGCAGGCGAGTACGATGATACTCTTGTGCTGCAACCATAGATGTAACGGGCTTCCCTCATGGCATATGATGCTGATAAGCTTGGAAACTCGAATGGAATCGCCGATAACGCCCACTGGTGCCGAATTGTCGGCGTCTCCTCCAGCGCTCCGCTAAATACCGGGAAACTGTAGTAGTAGAGTCGACATTGTTCCTCCTCGACATATTCCAAAGGCACCGCTTTAAGTATAGGTGTTTCCAGAGCCCCTGCGCTATACAATAGCGATGCCGATGTAAGACGGCATACGAGAAGGTGGACGCATGTCTCGGGTTGCGGCACCATCCCATGCGTTTCCCAGCAGTTGGCCGTATGGAAGATGACACATGGATTGGTCTCGAACCATTGAACCTTTTCCGGTTCGTATCGGGGAAACACCCCATAACGTGATCGTCCAGATGCATCATATGAAACAACAGGCTGCCCTCCAATGCTGTTCATCGGATTTAGGGATAACGGAAGGTCCATGATCACTGTATAGCGTGCTGATACACCAAAATCATGCATCATCTTGGGCGACCTCACGCCTAAAACTGGCATATTAAACACAGAGTCAAAGCCACCCTCTTTTGTCGGTGATATTGGTACAATCGAATAGTAGACGAATGGCTTGAAGAAGACGGCGTGGAATGCAATCAGCTCTTTCGTCACAGGATCGACATGTGGGTGGCCAGTTGTCCATTCTTTCATGAACGCCATCGGACCATCTCCCCCGAAGCCTGTTCTATTGTCGAGGCTCTGTTCATTCTCCGCCCGGCGTCCGTTATACCATCCAATAGTCTCCAGATTAGGGAGTTGAAATCGAATCGGTGGACCACTCTCGCAGGTCGCCAAAGCTCTGCCATCATGATATATCACACTAGTATTAGCAACACTGATCTTCTTGATTGATGCTTTAGACCCCGGAAATTTCGACAAGACCACAAGAATTATCGTTCTCAAGACCGCTATAATGATGGCTATTTTTGAGGTACCGATCAAAGTCGCGATGCTGGGCAACAATGGGCGCCTTAAATTACAATTGTCATCTGCGTTCAAGAACACATCAGTGAGAACAAACTGGTTCACAAATTCCGGGTTAATGTTGCCCTTCTCCCCTCGCCGGAAGAGGACGCCAGTGAGCATTCCATCCCCATCGAACCAATGCGAAACTCTCCCTAAATTATTGTTGGTTATCGGATTCGCACCGTTGCGAACATACTGGCCTCCCGCAAGCACCCCCGGAAGATCGCCGGTATAAGTACATCGTGTAAGTCTTCGAGTCCGATCAATAGGCGCGAAGTTCCCAGTCAGATATCTGCTTCCAACAATAAGCAACGATAACACTCATTGTTAGAGCCTGCTCTTAGTACGTACGGATGCAGTTTATGGATCATGTTCTCCATTTGATACAAGAAGTTGTCCAGCCAAAATTATTCAAGGCAGGTCTACTTCTAAAGTCCTTCATACCCGGATAGTCTGCGTAGCCCTCGCACCAACTTGCAATCAACTGTGCACTACGAAAAGTCTGACAATTATTGTCCAGTAACTTCTCGAGTTTTGTCCTTGCCCAAGCTGTCGACTTCATGATGACGAGACCTGGATCGAGTGCTCGCTGCTGGAGTGAAGGATGATGCGTTTATTGGGATGAATGTGACGACATGCATACATCGGTTTCCCACCACCGCATAAGATGTATTCTAGCATCAGCCTAGACTTTTGGAAGATACTTGCCCAAAGACCGCGCCAACAGAGGCCGTACATACTATATAGTGGTGATTCAGTCGGATGATGTCATCAAGTCCTGTTCGGCTCGTGCGGGAACAAGGAATAGGTACATGTGAAGCCGCCATTAGAACTCAAATCACACGATAGTGGGAAAGTTTGTTCACCTAGTAATTTCTCCCTTCCATCCATAGGAAATGTCTTCTTTCTCCTGTATCGTTAGTATGGTAGTACCTCATAGTCTTACCACCCTTCGGACAAACGTCAGATCCGATACCACTCCCCTTACCTTAGAACCCGTCATTAGACGAGATTCTCAAGGAAAGCCTGGTGCGTTGCTAACAGGCATACCCGGATAGTGCTTCTACTAATTGCAGAGATATGACACGATCATGTTTTCTGGGCTGGTTTAGTATATTGTACGAGATAATGAAGTCACCATTCATGAAGTTAAGTAGGTACGCTTTCATTTCAAGCTGGATCTCAGGCATTCAAATATATAGTCTTCTGTCCACGGGTGCAACACTTTCCAACTTCGATCTTACCTACTACTTAGGAGTCAGACGTACGCTTCATATACTCTATATTACCAACACCGTTGCTCAACGGCCACTTGTAAATACGCTACCGTATCCACAGCCCTCAAGATGTATGGACTTGGGAACCAGGCACTTAACGTCAACAGTGTCGTCGGCCAACATGCCAATCTGGAAATTACTAATCATGGTTCAGACTGGTTCTATGCCGTCTGTGCCTTGATGGGTCTAGCCACCCTTATTTTCATGGGTATGGCCTTCATGAAGCCCAAAGGAGAACGAATCTTTCACTACATCACAGCCGGTATAACAGCTATCGCGTGTATCTCGTACTTCGCCTTGGGCTCAAATCTTGGCCAAGTTCCTATCCAAGCGGAATTCATCCGCCCAGGCAACAGATGGACTCGATCGGCAGGAACTCGAGAGATATTCTATGTTCGGTATATTGACTGGGCTATCACCACCCCTTTGCTCCTCCTCGACCTTCTCCTAACTGCGGGAGTTTCCACCCCAACGATTCTGATCACACTACTTGCCGACGAGATTATGATTATTACTGGCCTAATTGGCGCTCTAACTCAGACTCGTTACAAGTGGGGGTTCTGGACCTTTGGCATGGCATCACTCTTGTTCATCGCGTACCAACTGCTGTTCAACGCACGGCGTCAAGCATCAAGGCTAGGTGGCGACCCTAAGCGAACCTTCATGATATGTGGCGTATTGCTCCTCTTCGTATGGTTCATGTATCCAATTGCTTGGGGCCTAAGCGAGGGCGGGAATGTCATCCACCCGGACGGCGAGGCTGTATTTTACGGGGTCCTCGATATCTTAGCGAAGCCTATTTTCGGAATAATCCTCCTAATGGGCCACCGGAAGACTAGCATGTCACAGCTGGGCCTTCGAATTCGGGACCGTAGCCACATCACTAGTGAGAAGTATAGTCCAGGAGACATCCACCGTGACGGCGTCCATTCCGAAGGCCCTGGAGAAAACGTTGGTGGCCACCCCAGTCATATGCCTGCTCCCCAACCCCACGTCTGATCAAATATTGGGATACGAATCCTTCATCGCATCATATTATCGGCAGTACTTCTATCAATTGTGTCTACCATTTCGAGGCACTCGATTTATCATCTCAGCCCCTTAACCTAGGTTGACTTGAGACTTGATTTTCAGATGAGAGCATGAATTGTTTGGGTTTATTCATCTAGCCGACGAGTGGATTATTGGGCTAGTTCCAGGGGATGAACTAAATAGTCACGGCGTATATGATACTCAATCTATTGTCACAATACAGTACCTAGTATATACCTACAAGTACATTGTTTGTTATTCACCCCTTTCTTTCCAGTCTACAAGTCCCTGTCTAGGTGTTGATAAAAAGAACTCTTTACATGTATGTAGTAAGCTGCATAGGTACCCATCTAGGTTGGCAGCCACTACGTATTCGGACAGATTATGTAGGACGGAGGCTGTTATTCAGCTCAATACAGCTCAATACCACTCAAATCCCTGAATAAGCCGGCATCCCCACATTTCTTTTGCATGACTTACAACGGGAGCCTACCGAGTACATATCGTGTCTGCCTGGAATAAGCACGTGGTATCGGGTGTGTACCTATGCAAAAACGTTCGTTACTGCTATGTAGGTACTAGGTAGTTAAATATGCTCTACCACACATTCTCGGGCCATCGTAGCTAGACGATCTATAATCTACAGTAGGTCATTAAATCTTATTCTAAGGATGGAAATATCCACAACAGTCCGCCTCTTCACATTACCGGATGGACGGACCATCTCCTACGCCATCTACGGCGACCCCAACTCCTCCCGAACCATCTTCTACCACCACGGCTACCCCTCCAGCCACGAAGAGGCCCTCTCCTGCCATGACGCCGCGGCCCAGCACAGCATCCGCTTAATAAGCGCCGACCGCCCCGGCTTCGGCTCTTCTACCTTTCAACCCGCTCGGAAACTTTTAGACTGGCCGGCCGACCTCCTGGCTCTGGCCGACCATCTGAAGGTCGACCGGTTCGCCGTCCTCGGCGTCTCCGGCGGCGCCCCCTACGTGCTTGCCTGCTGGCACCGGATGCCGAGGTCGCGGTGCGTCGGGCTCGGCACCCTCTGCGGCCTGTTCCCGACGAACCTGGGGCTCTCGGGGATGCTGGTCATGACGCGCGTGCTGTTCTGGACGGCGTCGTGGTCGCCTTGGTTGGCGGGGACGGTGCTGGACCTTGCGGTGGGGAGTACGGCGAGGAGCGCGAAGAAGGAGGAGCTGGAGAGGAAGGTTGATGGGTCGTTTGGGTCGAGGCCGAGGGCTGATCGCGATGGTGAGTGAGGTGCGATGAGAAGATTGTTTGATGTGCCCCCTTTTGATGGTTGGTTGGTTGGTTGGTGCTGACAACAATTAGCCTGGAATCGTGGTACGCACCACGTTCGTGAAGCGCTCACCGGAGGCACGAGGGGCGCGTTTGAGAATGGGCCCAAGGGTGCTGGGGTAAGAGTTCACTTTCACGACTGCATTTTTTTTTCTTAGCTGGAATTTTGATCCGCTAACTGACAGCACCCCCGTACCTAGTGGGAAGCCCAAATCTACGCGTCAGACTGGGGCTTCACTCTCGAAGAGCTCGAGACAGAGCCCGGGAAGGTGATATTCTGGCACGGCGATCAGGATGTCAATGTTCCCCTTGCCATGGCGCAGAAGGCGTCGAAGTTGCTGCGGAACTCGGAGCTGCGTGTTGTGACGGGGCAAGCGCACCTGAGCTTGGTGGTGGATAAAGCGGATGAGGCTATCCACACTTTGGGTCGCTTGATTGATGAGGCGTAGTAGAACTTACGGTGCACTAATGTAGTGACTATTCACTAACTATTCAGGCGGTAGAGGGCTGTCTGCTTTTTTAATGCGTTTTTCGAAGGTCTTTCTATATCATGGGACGGGGACGTTTGGGTACAGCGACTAGGGTAAAATCAAGCGTCATCTGAGTCAAAGGTGATATTCAATATTGCTTAAGAGGGATTAATTATTTTCTAAAAAGGGGCGAGGTTCCTAATTTAATTTTCATAACACTTTATTACAGCTAACTCCCCTTCCCCCTTTTCTAACGGAACCGTTGCCGAATTAATTACAGCTATCTAGGCCCCTTTGCACGTTGGCACTAGGTAATCGTTACCAAGAATTTATACTGGCACATGAAAAATGCGAGTTTTTCTTCCCTTGGAATGAAGAAGTAGTAGCGTGTACGATTTCCTATAATCAGATTCAAGCTTTGAAAAAAAAAAAGAATACGGTCCCTTGATTGGGATATTGTTGCTTCATGCCCCCTGTAAATCATTTGCCTGTGGGGGTCAGTATATTTTCAATTCGCTCCTTAATCCTCAACACCCCGTCATGTCCTTGTTTCGCAGCCGCCTCGTAGGCCATACGATAAACATGTAAGTTTTCCGCGAATCCGAGTCTCTTGTCCGTCCAGCCCGTTAGCTGCCGAATCTTGGTACTGTCGACCCACTGGCTGTACCCAAATAGCAGATCTACAAATGATGCTGTCTCTTCACTGGAAGGACCTGGGACCACGCCGCCATGCAGGTTGTACTCGGTGCTCAGCGCTTGTGCTATGCTACCCAACGTATCATAGGAGTGTCCCGAGATATTAAAACACTGTCCTGCAACGGCCTTCCGGTCGGGATATTCCGCTAGGGCCAAGTACGCCTCGGCACAATCATCCACATGGCAGCTGTGAATGATAGTGTTAAAGTCGTGAGGGATTCTGAGTGTACCATCCTCAGCTTTGGTTGCCGCAGCCCCAAGTTCAAACGCGAAACCGGTGTAAGAGCCGTCGTAGCCGAAAAGTGGCGTAGGGCGTATGAGCGCGGCATCAAACAGGTCTGCATGCTCAAAGATCTTTAGTGAGCTGTAAGTTCGCTCCTGAACAAACGCAGCAGGTCGCAGAGGCGACTCTTCAGTGTGAGGCGCAAGGCCTGGGGATCCGTGTACCCCAGTTGTGCCGTAATCTTTGCAGCCGGAGCTAAATAACACAAGGGGCCCGACCCCGTTCCGATTAGAAGTCTCGGCCAGCTCGCGAAATATGGCCACGAGTGCCTCGAAGTGCGCGCCAAAGGGAAGTTGTTCTGTGCATGATACAACTACGTCGACAGTCTTGGTGTATTGGTATAGGTCCTTGAGGAAAGTAGTATCCGGGGATACTGAGCCGACGATAGGTATAATTTCCTTGGCAGCAAGATCGTGGGCTGATTCAGCACGCCGGACAAGTCCATATGTTTTCCAACCGGCGCGTACGAAAGCACGACACACTGCAAAACCGATATATCCGTTGGCACCGGTTACGAAGACGCTCTTGGTCGGCGGCGGGGGCATAGGGGATGGCATCGCTACTATTGTAGTAGTGACGTAAACGATTCGGACACGAAAGCGCACCTATTTGACTCCAATTCTATCATCAAATATTGAGCTAAGCTGGCTCGACTTATTATATGCTTGCTGACAAGCACGTAAAGAGGCCTTTTCTATCAGGGGGTTGATAGGCTTGAACTGGGGAACTGGATTTGTCATCGTATCACCCCCAATTGCATGTTGTAGCTTATTAACCATACCGAATCCTGGCCCGTCTCGGGGCAATTGAAGGCTCCGTTAAATAGTAGGGCCCTAAACTCGATTAAGCCGAGATTGATACCAGAGCTTTTGTGACACTCCTCGATCGAATGAAAACAGAGCTCAAAGGTATTTCCCTAGGGTAGGTTAGGAAATATCACAAACTGCTGGGATGGCATTTAGCTATGTCAGGTCTCGGTCGTGGAGTATTTGCCATTTGGTGTGAGACACATTGATATGATCTCTCAACTCCCCGACACTGCCGTACGTTGGTGTTTTCCCGCTCGAAACACATAACACACAGCCGAACCCGTCTTCGTGATGTGATTTACCAAGAAACCTAGGCGAAAGCTTGAACCCTTCCTTCAGCACCGTGGCTTTCCAGCACTTGGTATGATCCCCATACCATTCATATCCGCATCTACAAGCGTGATGTTGCGGTATCGCTTTTCGTGGGTTAATTTGATATTTCAGTGCCTCGGGGCAGAACATGCTGAATACGCTATTGTCAACCTGCCAACCAGGGCTGGTCATGGAGGAGTAAGTGGAATGACGATTATGGGAAATTAAGTTGGGAGTTGGGGGCGGAGAAGGGGGTTCCGATTGCGAGTAAGGAGACTTGAGGCTGGTCGTGGAGGAAGTGATGTGCGTGTCTTCCGAAACGTCTGTATGGACTGAGCCATCATCATCGGCTGGCTTCACTGTACTATCATCACTCATCATACTACTACGTCTCGACTGCTGATAGGCTCTGCTAGGTAGAGTTCGGGGCAACAGCCGGCCGACGGCAACGCGTTTATATTGATCGGCTAAAGCGGCCAAGCAAGAGACCCGGACGTCTTCCGAGGCACGTACCATTGCAAACAGTGGAAGCGAGTTGTCCTCTGCTTGTGTCACTTCGCGCAGTGGGTTTAATTGGCTTTGCAGACGCTTGAGGTCGTCCTGTAGTATTCGGCGGCATATTTCTACACGTCCTGGTTAGAAGAAGAAACAAGTCAACTGGGAATGATCATGGAAGCACACCATCCCCGATTGCGTATCCATCACCAAGAATCTCGGTTCTGTTCTCATAAGTTTCCCTAATCTTCCAGGCTGAATGACTTAAAGACGCATGCAAGGCACAAGCCTTGCTACTATAAGGGACATCTTGGGTACGTGATGGATAATGGTTCGCGCGCCATTGTCGGTGCCGCCACTCGGTGTAGTACTCAAGAGCCGCTTCGTAGGTCGCCACCAATGTCTCAACGAGGTCGCTTACAGTGTCAAGGTCCATGAAACTTGACTCTAGTGCCTACTTCAAAGCCCTACCAAATGATTACGCGGCAGCGCCGTGGCACATGACGATTCACTTAAAGGTGGACTCGAGATAAATGTTATGAGTATAATGAGGAAAAGAAAAAAAAGAAAAAAAAGAAAAAAAAGAAAAAAAAAATACAAGGGAGACGGGTAGGAGACGAGCGGTAAAGGAGTGGAAGATAATCGATAGGCCGAGAATAGAGGCATGTGAGTGAAATGTAAGACATCTGCAGATAACCTGAATGGTAGATACTGATACTATGTATGTGACTATGTATGTGACCATGTATGTGTGGTTGGCACTGGTTGCGTAGTCTCTGGTCCGTATTCGTTCAATTTCGTTGCTTGAGTCTGATGGATGCAAGCATTGCAAGGCCTTATCTTCAGCTTGGATATCGCCCTAGGAGATTTAGGTGTATTAGGTGTATGAGAATATAACCTAATCAACAAACATTTAAAGTATCTAAGCCGACTTGAGGTATGGTAATGACGATCTATAAATGTGTCGTTGTATCTGATGTGACATAGTATTCGTGTTTGTTTCGTTGCGGAAGAGGCCGCGGCAACTGTTAATATCGGAGTTGTTGTTCCCTAATGTTTCTATCTGTGACCTGGTAGATAGTTAAACCTAGGCACTAAACCTAGGTACTAAACCTAGAGCTGGTGGGTACTGGTAGGGATGAGATAGACGTGCCAGTGTGCCACCTCCCCGCGTCAAATCGGGTTCGTCTCTGTAAGCCACTAGCTAAGCTGCTATTAGCTTAGCAGCCTGCTAAGCTATTATTAATTAAGCTACTAACCTAGGTAACTTCGTAAGCCCCGGGGTATCTGGGGGCGCTCTCGTTAATTTTCCCTTCATCTTACATACTATGTACATGAATTTACATGAATTTACATGAATTTCCATACGATTGATCATTTTCAGAACTTCGACATTCCTCATCAACCCGACCCCAACAAGCATGACTACTACCCAGTAGAAGTAATAAATGAAAACAAGTCACAAATATGTCACGTCCCCTACGGTCTAGCTGTGATCGTTGTCATTCTCAAAAGCTCAAGTGTCCCAAAGAACCCGGACTTTTCTCATGTACGAGATGTCTAAAAGCTGGATCTACATGCGTATTCAGTCCGGCTGGTCCGAGTATCCGACGCGCTAATACCCCTACTACCGCCTTCTTAGACGGCAGTCTTAGCAGTCTAGACATGCAGTTCGATTGGTCTTGCCCCGGCCCGGGGAATTCTCTAGGAGCAGACCCTCCTGAATTTATCATGAACCATTCACAGCCGGATGTATCCCAATCGGCCGAGACAGAACCAGACCCAGTCTCGCAGGATCCACGGTCAATCTGTGTTCGACAGCTAACCACCTTAGCTGCTGAGCTTGACCAAGTATCTTTAGATCTTACATCTGTATTACATATTCATATACCCCAAAATGAGCTCCTTGAAGATGGACATGCCAAGCTCTTTGGCCACTTTGCCCGTCGTGGTTTCGTCGATCGGCTCTTCATCTTGGTACAACGTCTTACCGAGATCTACCCCCAAGCGCTAGAGCTTCTATTCGATACGCTCAATCCTCCCCAGTGCCAAGATCCTGATTGCTTTCATACTCTTAAAATACCTAACGAACTACACGAATTATTCTCAGGCTTGGACGATAATCAAAACGAAGTCGATGTCTTCCTCTTTAACCTTTTGGTATTATGTCACGGAAAAGTCGTAGATGTAATGGGGTCCTTGATCCTTTGCGCCAGACTGTGCTCGCTGACTACGGTAGCCTCTCCGAGTCTACACCAATCAGGCGCGCACATTTCTGAAGTTCGTATTGGAAGCTTCGTTGCCAACAATTCGGCAGCGTCGACGATGCAAGTAGTTCTCTTGATACACCTTACCTCCGTTCTCCTAGATTACTCTCGGCAACTGAGTGAGCGGACAACTAAAATGGTGGAGCATGAGTCCAATAGTAAACAAGGTCAAGTGCTGTTACTCCAATGCCAAATATTGGAAGAGAAGGTTGTTGGAAAGAAGAAATTATTGGAAAAGGTCAAAGTTTGGGTAGCAAAGCCTGATATTGTAAAATTATTAGCAACAAGCTCATGAGTTACGAGAAAAGGTATCACTTGATTATCTAAATACCTACCTGGCCTAGATACTAACCTAGGTGGCATATATAGCTGTTCACATATAAAGTAGTGCAAGACACAAGAATGCTTTTAAGAATGTTTTATAAATGTTTTTATATTATACTACATGCTGATGACCTCACCAAGACTAACCAGTAGCTGCACTCCGTCGATCTACGATCAGAGAAAAGGGGCTACCAGGCCAACTTTACATACTTATCCGCACTTACCTCTTCTTTGAGCTGCACTTGGAACACTTTTCGCTTTTGCGTACCGTGTGGGAATCGGGAGCATCCATCGGACCAATCAGGGGGCAACGACCATAAGACGCGACCAAAGGGCACTGGACGACCTGGCTCGAGTAGTTGGCTCGGTGGCCGCAGCGGTAGAGGAACTGAGGTTGCCAGCACATGATGAAAGAGTGATGGGGATGATGGAGTTGACTTGGAAGATGGGTTGCTCGACTCGATTCGTGTTCCCGTGGAAAGAAGTAAGTGCGTTTAAGGATCAACTCAGTTCAATCTGGGAAATCTATTCCTTGATTGAATGAATGATTGTGAAGCTTGATGGTGAAGTGATGAGAAGAAAATGACTTGACTTGGGATCGCAACTTGACTTATATACACATTCCTTCTCCTTGATGATGCTCGGGGGCTTTACTGACAATGAATATTGTGTGACTTGGATTTGAAAGGGGCCCTTGAAAGAGCATTGTAGTGCCCCCCTTTCTCTTTGGCAAAGGTTCAGTGATATGGACATAAGACATCTAAGACTAGAATTCTTAGTACCTACCTAGGTACTTAGTCTGATTTTCTTTCTTGTCTCTAAGATCAAGGAGGGCTACAATAGTGTATTGTCTATTTCTCTTGACGTCTTTACGCGGGCTCTTACTACTAGGTACTCTTTGAAGTTTTCAAAAGGCTTTAACTAGGTGCCTGGCAATTATGAGACTAAAGGTCAATTTAGACAATGCATTACCCTTGTTCTTGAAAGAGAATCAGGTGCTTTCCATAATAACAACTAGTGAGCTTTGTTACCTATCTCTATTGTCTTCTCTCAAGTGTCGGTCACTTTAGGGCAGTGAGGATTAGCTAATGAAGTACCTATCACCACATGAAAGGCCAGATCAATATAGGGCAGTGATTGATAAATTAGACATGATTGTCAGGTGTTGTAGACTTGGCTAAGCACGTTGATGAGAAGTGGCTCAAGTGAACGTCGATGATCGACTCAAGGAAGGGGACTCAAGTGCCAGAAAGTCTAAGAATAGCATGACAGTGAAAACGACCTTCTACCAAAAGTGAAGTTGTAGTTCCACTCCATAATCACAGCTCCGTTTGCCTAATGCTACCAGTCTGACAAATACTCACTCTATCACACAACTAATCATCACCCCCCCTATAAACCTGGGCAGTCATGCGGCTACCTCGTGGCCACCAGCCAATTACTCCACATAATGTGACCTACACACCGTTGCCCCAAGAGCTCATGCGTCTATTCACCTCTGAACTCAATCAAGTCGAGAATGCTGATTGGTACGAGTATGGGGCTTGCAACTATGCTGCAATTTACCCGGACGACCTTTAGCCGTGCTCGGTAGCCGTCTCGCCGTGTCCAAGGATGTAAGGTCGTCGTCAAGTATGATTCGGTCATTCGGAAACACAAATGCTATATTAATATTATTATAGCTTTACGAATCGTAAATGTGTAGACCATGGGTAACTAACTATAAGAACATCTTCATCGACTCGCAGTGACCCGAGTTGACTTGCCTATGTACTATCTAGCGACGAACATCTAAAACCTCAAGCTAAGACCATATAAACATATTTCTACACATTTTTCATATAGTATGAGAATATTGCATAGGTATCTACACAATATGAAGTCAATTACGGCCCTGCTTGCTCTTTTGACGGCTGCGGAAGCTCATTGTAAGTGAAGACAAATATGACAGTGGATGTTCAACAAGATTCTAGGGGGCTAATAATCAGGTATACAGACACCTTCCCGGCTCTGATAGCGAACAACGCGGCGACTAACAAGTGGGAGTATGTGAGAAAGACGACGAATTACCAGAGTAATGGACCAGGTTCGTGCTGATATTCTTTGCGTTTCGATACTCGACAATACCTGGAAACTAGATAAAAGTTGGCTAACTTAACGATGTGCATAGTCACCGACGTGAACTCCGAACAATTCCGCTGCTACCAGCTTGCGCCGGGCAACGAGGGCGCCAAAACCATGACCGTCGCCGCCGGCTCGACCGTCGGCTTCGCCGCAGACGCATCCGTCTCGCACCCGGGGACCCTGCAATTCTACATGGCGAAAGTGCCGGCCGGCAGCACCGCCGACGCGTGGGACGGGTCCGGCGCCGTGTGGTTCAAGATCTTCTCGCAGGGCCCCAACATCGCGCCCAGCGGCCTCACGTGGCCGAGCCAGGGGGCCAAGCAGGTCACGACGAAGATCCCGGAGTGCATCCCCGCCGGCGACTACCTGTTGAGGGTGGAGCACATAGCGCTCCACTCCGCGGGCTCAGCTGGGGGTGCGCAGACGTATATTTCGTGCGCGCAGCTCACGGTCACGGGGGGAGGCAATAAGACGCCCACGAACCTGGTCTCTTTCCCGGGCGCGTACAAGGCGACGGACCCTGGGCTGCTGATTAACATCTACTATCCGGTTCCTACGTCTTACACTGCTCCAGGGCCGGCCGTTTTCACTTGCTAGGGCTTGGTGGAGGTAGGCTAGGTAGTTAGGGGAAGTTGAAAAGGCTGCTCGAATTATGTGGCCTACTTAGGTACTTGGCCAGAGAACCACTCTTCAGCATAGGGATTAATGAAACAAATCATTCAAAAATAAATTGCATTAACCGGGAGGGAGTATTGCCCGCTTCGAGTATGTGATTATCCAGTAGGCGTAGATGGGATACTAACTGAGGTACTTTCTATGATGTGAATTTACCCCTTTTAACACAAGACACAGACACTTCAACATTTGCACACGTAGACCATAAAGAACACAATCAAAAAGCTTCATGCCATCGGTATCAATAAATTAAAGACCATGCTCGTGCCTACGCTATGCTACTCCTGACTCGTCTATAAAACACTTGGGGGTAGTATCTACTCTCATCTCAAGACCCTTCCTCATCCGCAAACCCTTACACTAGCTTCTTCTAAGAAGTAGTAGCGTCAAAGGACAAAAAGGTGGAAGCGTTTCCGGCCTCGTCCTCGTCCTGCTGGATGTTGTTGTTCAGCTTCTTCGTCTCCGTCGCCATGTCAGCCGTCACGTCCTCTCCCTGGGCCTGCTGGATCTGGAGCTTGAGGATGGTGGCCTGGAGCTTGAGCACCTTGTTCTTGATCTTGCCGCGCTGGAGGGCCGCGGCCGCCTCGCCGTCGGCGCTGTCGATGGCCGGGTTGAAGGCGCCCTTCTCGGCCTTGTTGCAGATCTGGTTGACCGAGTTGAGAAAGTCGAGGTCGGCCTCGTCGGCGGCGGCCAAGTTGTTCAGGTCCAAGGCGCTGAAGACGGCAAGCGCTTCCTCCTGCGCGTTACCGGCGACACCTCCAGAGATGGAGATGTCGTTGTAGGTTTGTTGGGTGAAAACACCGGCCTGGACAGCAGCAGCTGCGGCGGCGATGAGAGCAAGCGAGAAACGCATGGTGAAGGGTGGATGATTTTGAGTGTGAAGGGTAAGAAGTAAGATGCGAATACTTTTAGTCGTCAACGACTGGGCCGGCTTTATCCGAGTTAACGAAAGAGTAGAATTAGACGAAGTCCGAGTATTGGGAAGAAAAGAAAACAGCACAGCTGCACGAAAAAGAGGGAAAGGATGATGAGGGGGTGGTGGTGTGGTTGAAGATGTTTTGCGATGGGATGGAGAGGAAAGGAAAATGGTGATATGCAGGCGGGATTATCGCAGATCTTATACGACATGATTTTCATAAACCCAGAGATCATCTTAACAATCCCGGGTCCCTCATTCCATATTGGTAAACATAACCAGACCATGAAGCGCCGGCAACGACGAGCATCGCTTATACTAGTCGATTTGGTGTGCAACGCACTTTGCGTGAAGTCATTCTTGGCTGAAACCCATGCCTCCTTTTTACTCGTCCCAAGATTAGTATCGTAGAGATGGCCCAAGGTTACCCTAGGTTAGGTGCCTAGTATAACGCCCGATATTGGCGGAGATCAAGAGCTGACATCTGATAGTTATGGGTGGAACATTTATCGATACGCGGAAATCAGATATCAGATGAGGACCCTTCATTGATGGGGATGGTCGTGGTGGAGTAGCCTGTGTTGTGCCGAGGAACACCTACCTACTACTATGTACTAGTAGTAGCCGCTATCGTGAGGCTCTCTGAACCCTTAAACTAGATACCTTAATTTGAAATATCATCATGATCTGACTATATATTTACCGCTTACCTATCTGGTAGGTAGGTAACTTTTAGTACGTACTAGGTATAGATCCGCACAGGGTATTCTGCGATGGAAGACCACGGAGTTCACTTCTTCTTCGCTCTGTAGGACCCGACTACGACCTCCTAGGTCAAGGGGTGAGCGGTTAGGTATTGTACAAGTACACTGGTACAGCGTACTAGATAAAATGGGTGGCTAGCGAAACTGCAAGGTACCTAGGTAGCCCCTACATGATGCTACATCAAACAGCCCTGAATACTTCTAGGCCCGCATTTCGAAGCTACGGGGCATGTAACCTGCCGACCCTAGGTAGGTATTTACAGCTTGAATCAAGGGGCAAACCACGTTTTAGAGCATGGATTTGAGACGAATATACAGAATAAAACATTCTTCTTTTCTTTTCTTTTATTACAGACGAAATACTAGCCGCAATCGTCCATGGAGAAACATCATGGTTCCCGTGGACGGGTAACACCCACCTAACTTACATGCATATGTATGATGTAGGTGTAAGCAGTGTGCATGTAAATCCTATGAAGCAAAGAATGAGATCAGTTGGAAGATAAATGTAGTTATAACTACATTCTTGATTTATAATCTGCTGCTCATTTGTAAGCTATAACTCTCTTTCCATCCATCTCATCGCGTTACCATCTCGCAGCTATCGCCATACCCCTCAAAAATGGCGACATCTCACCCATTTGTAATCCAATCTGATCTGATCTGTCCGGAGTAAAGAGTAATATAAAGATACAAAAATATAAGGGGGTTTCATCATGAAATAACCTGTCGGAGGAACATCCTCTACTGGTTATTTTCGTAGCCATTCCAGTACTAGTCATGGCCGCCGAACAACAAAAGAAAAAACAGCTTCACCTAGGCGCTTTCATGCGCCCGGTGAGCTTGCACACGGGAGCATGGCGTTACCCCGGCTCTTACCCCGACGCGAACTTCAACTTCCAGCACATCAAGTCGTTTGCGCAGAAGTTGGAAGCCGCCAAGTTCGACGCCTTTTTCATGGCGGACCATCTGGCCGTCTTGAATATGCCGGTAGAGGCCTTGCGCCGCAGCCACACCGTGACCTCGTTCGAGCCCTTCACTCTGCTGTCCAGCCTGGCTGCCGTGACTGAGCGGATTGGTCTCGTGGCCACTGCGTCCACGACCTACGACCAACCCTACCACATCGCACGGCGCTTCGCGTCGCTTGACCATCTAAGCGCAGGCCGCGCGGGCTGGAACATCGTCACGACGGCCAACCCGGATTCCGCGCGCAATTTTGGCCAGGACGAGCACAAAGAGCACGGCGAGCGCTACGCGCGAGCCCGCGAATTCTACGACGTCGTGACGGGCCTCTGGGATTCCTTTGCCGAGGACGCCTTTGTCCGCGACGTCGAGAGCGGCATCTACTTCAAACCGGAGCGCATGCACGTGCTGGACCACCACGGGCCCGAACTCAACGTCCGGGGCCCTCTGAACATCGCCCGCCCGCCTCAGGGGTGGCCCGTCATCGTGCAGGCGGGACAGTCCGAGCCGGGGCGGCAGCTGGCGGCCGAGACGGCAGAGGTGGTGTTCTGCGCGCCGCGCAACCTCGAGGCCGGCAAAGAGTTCTTCAAGGACGTCAAGGGGCGGCTTGCTGCCGTGGGCCGCGACCGCGATGATATGAAGCTGCTCCCTGCGGCATTCGTGCTGATTGGGAACACGGTGGAGGAAGCCCAGGCGAAGCGACTGAAGCTGGACAGCCTCGTGCACTACGAGAGCTCGATTGCTTCGCTCTCCATCGCGCTCGGCTGCGACGTGGCGAACTTGGACCCGGACGGCCCTCTGCCGACAGAGCTCCCCGAAACCAACGCGAGCAAGTCGGGTCGCGAGAGTGTTCTCAAGCTGGCTGCTACGGAGGGGTTGACGGTCCGGCAACTCGCACAGAGGTATGGCGGGTACTCGGGTCTCGCCTTCGTTGGGACGGTGGAAACGGTAGCCGACGAAATGGAGCAGTGGCTGGTGCAGGAAGGATCCGACGGGTTCAACCTCACTTTCCCTTTCCTACCCCAGGGTCTTGATGATGTGGTGGATCTTTTGATACCTGAGTTACAGCGCCGGGGCCTCTTTCGTAAAGACTATGAAGGAACGACGCTTAGAGATCATCTAGGCCTGAAGCGTCCACAAAACAAGTTCTTCTCTTAAGAACTTGGTGTAGAGATATATACATATATATATCTGTAATGATTAACTAAGTTTTAATGCTTGTGGACCATGTAGGAATGTATGTATGTAATCCATATCGTTCCCTCGCCGAATGGTCTAGCTAATTTCTTTAGTGTAAGTGATGGTTGGCCTGTTCCCCTAACCTGGCCGGAATTGCTAGACATCTCACAGAGACCTAAAATTCACGCTTAGGCAGCTGGTTGCTTCCAATAATATAGTAGCTATACGGGTCAAGTGTAATGAATGAGTATGATATTTCCGTACTAGATATCTCCTGGGTTCCTAGCCAGGTCGTAGAGATACCCAACACCTAAACTAGGTATTTTGGCTATCTGTTCCAACTGGAACCCGTTGCCACGATTTGATAACTAAACTAATTCCATCCCCCCTTTCTCCACCGATTCAACCCCACAGGGGCTTGTCACCAAGGCTGATACAGTGTGTGCTTGTTGTGTCCGTTGGCTTGTATAGAGGCCATACGAGGCTCAAAGAAGATAGCTTGTCATGATGTCTTTGGCGTATCAAGACACTACAATCGGACATTATCATTTCCCAAAAGCTACATTGTTAGTCGAGTCTCCTAGGTTGACGATGAGAGCGATTGCAAATACTTACAAGGGTCGATAGGCTGCGCGCCACCGTCACCGTTCTCGTTGTTGTAGCAGAGATTCTGGGTCTTGTGTAGTGCCATTGTTGATAGGAGTCTTTAGCGATGATGCTAAAGATGGTTGAGTAGGTGAAGATGAAGGTTGATTTGAGTGTGCTCGATGGCTTTGAATGAATGTAGAGATACTGGGGGAGCACTGCCATTATATACAGTCCATGAAGCCATGTCGAAGTAAGTCAAAAATGCTGCGCAAGTGAGCCCATTATCAAGTTTTCTTTTCCCTTCCTTGCACATTTTCGCAGTCGCTGTAGATGTGGTCGACTGAATTGCTCGCACTTGAGCGAGAGGTAGCGTGCTTCGTTGACAACATAGCTTGCCATATCCCGCGCAAATGCGAAAGAGAGCACACGCCTCATATTTACTAGCGTTCCCTTATAGGGACGCAACTTGAAGGGATTCGCGAATATTTGGCACCGAAGTCCGATTTTTCGCAGACATCCGATAAACTCAGTAGGTATCTCGCAGCCCCTATTTGCCTAGGTTAGACATTAGGAACCTCTGAAATTCTGCGAACTGGGAAATGGGTTTATTCCCTGGATAAAGTGTTAAGCTATCACGTATATCTAGTTAGGTATTTATCAGGTCTGGATCGATGAAGGGAATTTCTTCTGTACTGCTACCATGATCTTTACATATAAGTACCTGTGCCTATAGTTTGTAAATAAGGTCTGCATGGTATAACTAGAAGTCAACCTACCCGCTATCAACGTACCCGACCTACTAGATTGACTGTACTATGTCCAGAGGAATCAATGTAGGGCTACTTTCCTATTTGATTACTCATAATAGGCATCCCGGCGGTAGGTAATAATTCCAGCTTTTATTCATGTTGCCTCAAGATTTATCATACGAACGTGTGGGCTTGTTAGAGACAGTTGCGTTTCTCCAAACATCCATCTTATGTTGCTCCTGTTTCATCTACGTGCATAGACGCTTGAACAGTAGGTGCTTGCAGCTTGCCATTTAAAACATCTGCAGGTTTGGACGGAAATCCAGTCCTAGTGGCCGAGGGTTCGGTTAATAAAAGATATTTCTGCACTTTCATGTACGGGGTTTCCACTCAGTTGCGCGACAAAAGCGTGTAGTGGGCGCATTTGCGCGGGACCTGGTAAGGAAGAGGAGAGAAGAGGGGGAGTTCAGCCCCGGGTTTCTATCAATATTTCCATGTTCCAATATTTTGATAGAAATTACTACCAACTCCCACGCCTTCGATGCTCACGAGTAAAGTCAGCCTAACGTAGAAGCCATACTTTTATTCTCTATATTCAAACTACCACATACCATGGACGGAAGAAATATTGCTAACATTGAAGAGCTAAGCAAGCGTTATGAATACATGCTCACTTCACAACCACACGCAGAGTCCTACCCTGATATTCGATCCGCCAAGAATCCAGCCCAGACTGCACCATACACGTTTAACCCCCCGTCAGTTAAATCTGATACTATTAGCACTTCGAGGGAGAGCATCTTTGACCGGTCCTCAACCGGGCACTCAGCGACCAGCTCAGACGCAGTTGATGATTATCTTCCAGAGCTTCGTGCAACCAAGCCGTGTGACAAACCCCCTAATAACGAGGACCACAGACACACTTTTCCTGATAGCTTACAGTCTTGGCAAGTCTGAATTTTTACATTATCGGCTACCTTTAACCCCTTTCCGCCCTAGAAAATATGACTTCTTGCATTTTAATCGTGAGCTAACTATAGAAATGCATAGGGACCCCTCGAATTGGATCCATGGGGTCGGTGGATTTGTACCTGAGCACCACCCCGAGAGTAACACAAATGTGGCAAGTCAACACGGTCATGCAGAACTTGAGAGCGAACTTGAGAGCGAACTTGATGACGACGACTTCGATTCCGATGACGAAGGCCACGACGATTATCAACGGAGTAGCAAGCTAGATAGGATCGAAACAGCCGTCTTGGAAAATGTCGAAGACTTAGAGTTCGCCTCTCAGTTGATTGTAGAGCTGCACAAGGATCAAGTTCACCGGGAGGAACGAACAATTGGGGGTTGGCAAAAAGGGGTCATGAATTGCCAAAATTCGCCAGGCTTTGGAGAGAGCTCAAATCCAACCAATGGAAGTTCTAATGCAGATCAGAGAGGTTCAAATTCTTCCAAAAGACGGCGATCTTCTAAGTCAAACGGTAGAGGCGGTAGGGGTATTAGTGGTTCCGATAATGGAGATGAAGAAAGAGACGACGAAGGCAGCGGATCACCAGAAAACCATGACGAAGGGTCAATCTCGGGAGATCCTCGAAAACGATACGCCTGCACGCTCAACAAATTTGACCCTGAGCGGTTTTGCAGTAACATCCATACAGGTGATCAGTTCCGAGTGTGTGAATCGGGATTCAAGACAATCCAACGTCTGAAGTATGTGCTGACCATGACACTGGGTATTGTGTAAGGCTAAATATCAGTCTAGGGAGCACATAAAAAGGAAGCACTTGGTCATACAATGCGATCGCTGCTCTAAGAACTTTTCAGAAAAGGGGAAATCCATGGAAGAGGGCATTGCTGAGTTGAGAAGACATCGTCAGCAGTTGGAGTCGTGCACAATAGCAAGGGCTGGACAAGGTTGGGGAATCAACTGTATGCGGCCACTTTACTCCCGTTCTCAATAAGCCAGGTTCAGAGGTTCCTCTCTACCTAGACTTCTCATCACAAAGTACCTGCTAACTTTTATTATCACAGTGGAACAGTGGACACTGCTAGATAGAAGCGTCGGTAAGAAGAGACAAAAGGTGTCCGAAATCGAGAAATGGTATGACATATGGGAAACCATTTACCCAGACGTACCACGTCCTCCTCATCCTTGTGAGCCTTTTTTTTAATTATAGAGACTTCATGCGGAATATTTACTTGATGCTTATATCAGCTGCTTGCTAGGGGCCGAGCGGACTACCCCTGGGATTAAACTACGACCAACATCAGAAAATGCTCGAGATTTCTTCATGATTTTTGCAAGATTCTTACAACATTATACTGATTCTGGCAAGATCCAGTTCATTCCAGGACAAGAATCGTTAATGAGAGAACGTATCAACTCGATGGCTCAACAGGCATATAACCTCCACATGAGCCTGAATGAGAACCTCTCTTTGGAAAATATTTCCTGTAGTGGCCAAACACCAACCCAGATTGTTACGCCTAAGACGCCGGCTACAGAATGTCAGAATCTGGAGATAGCGCAGCTGCAAATATCAGACCCGAATGACATTAGTTGGCCAATGTTTATGCCGGAGTCTTATTCCAATGGTACCTCGGCAAACTTGTATTCTACACCATCGTCCAATATCCCCTTGTCACACATACCAGACAATAATCTTAACGACTTATATTGTCAAAGTCCGCCCACAACCCTCTCTCGAGCTGCAGAATATCCGGAATTCGAGTTTTTTGATTTCGGGCTGTGTCCTCCCACGGGTCCTGGCGAGCAGGATGACTTTTTCCATATGACTTAACTTAACTAGGGACAGGCTAGTAGGATTTCACTTGTTCAACATATTTCATTGTCACCTGATCGGGTTCGAGGAAAATTGAGGGAGGAAGACCGAACAATTTCACTTTCATGTCTGCTGTTTCCTAAACACTTTCCCTTTGCTAATACGACGGTGATCTCCGTATGGAGCAGTGAATTTATTCTACTTTATAAATATGTCTTATGTCTCGTGGAAAGGGTGATTCATATAAATGGATTATCATCAAAACCAATATGGCTGTGAACAGTTACGTACAATACCTAACTACCCTAGGCATATCAAACAACAATACTAGCTTCGTGTTCCTAACCCGTATATACGTGCGTGCTGCCCCTCCCTCAGCCCCGGCGTTTGCACCTAAAGCCGCTGGACAATTTGTTCCATAAATCCCACAACCTATCTTTATTTTCTTTCCATACCTCGTCCCTCTTCTCGCCCCCCTTCTCATCCCCTTCCTCCTCCCCCTCACTCCCCCTTTTCTCCACCACTTCGTCTTCGTCTTCGTCTTCCAGAAAGACCACCATTCGCTTACCCGGCTGGTCCTCAGGCCAGAACTCCATCGTCGGCGTCACCGCCAGCGCATCTATAGCCTCCTCCACCTCCTCCCCATCACGAATACCCTCTTCCCCCCCTCTATCACCACGCCCCGTCATCGCCAAGGCCACAAACACAATCTCCACAAACGCATTCTCACACAACCCCCCCTCATCCTCCGGCGCGTCTCCGCATCGGAAGACGATCTCGCGACTAAGCACGCGGCAGCACGAGTGCAGCGGGCAGGCTATCCCCACCGCCCCCAACGCATCGCCTTCGGGTGACAACAAGGTACTGCTGCTCCTACCATTAGCCTCTACCTCACAGACATGGCGATCCCGCTCGTCGGCGTTGAAGTTGAGCAGTTCGTGATGGTAAGCCGCGTGTACGTTTTGATAGAGACACATGGTTAGTTACCTACTTAATCGCCAAGTTTCCGTCACCAGGATAGAGATATAACCCTAAGACACTAAGAGATACCTAGGCAGGTACGCTGTAAGTACCAGGCAAGTTGTGTGCCTACTAGGTTAGCTGGAGGTGTTCAATACGTCCAGTATAAACTACTAGAGTCGATTATGTAACTCCTGTGGAACGACGTTCGCTATTCGGGCCTCTACTTAATCTTCTTCCCAGATTGTATTGTGACGTCTTGACGTGAATTGGTAAAAGTGCAGGGGATTATCAAATAGGTGGTAAGCAGTAAAGAACCTTACACATTCAACGATAAAAAACATTGGCTTGGTACTCATAGTTTTCAACATTAGTCTCTTTATCAACAAAGGACTGGCTGTTAATTGCTAAAACACGATGTTTGAAAAGCAGAAAGACACAACAGCATATCGAGGCATAGGCAGGTTTCAGAGCCACTAACAAAAAATGTAGAAAGTCTTTCATCATTTGAGAGGCCGGCTACCTCGGGTCTAATACTACATTGGGGGGGCCGACGACCGTAAAAAGCAAAAATAAAACTACGGAAACACCTTGTCACTCCTAATTCCATGCCTGGCCTTTTATGATACCCCCAAATTACTTAGTCATCATCGGTATAGCGCGGACCAGCAGCGGGTGTTTCCGCACTGTAAGCGCCGGGCGTAGGAGCTCCATAGTATCCGCTCGAAGATGCGAAACCACTCGCCGCAGGTGTAGGGGCAGCGGCAGCAGGCGTGGGTGCTGAATCAGCTCCCCACCCTCCTTGCCAACCCCCGCCAGGGGTTGGTGCATTCATGGCGCCCGGCGTGGGGGCATTGTAGGCACCGGGCGTTGGTGCATTCATGGCTCCAGGTGTAGGAGCACCGAGAAGACCAGCACCCGGTGTTGGCGCATCGTACGCGTTCGACGATCCGCTCGCACCAGGCGTGTAGCTCCACGCGTCGTTTCCAGTTGCTCCAGGAGTGGCTGCAGATGCACCGTATGGCGTTTTTGAACCCCAGCTATCACCATTGCTACCACCGTATGCGGGCGTCTTGGATCCGTGACTGAAATGGTCCGGGGCTGGTGTCTTGGCACCTGAAGACCAAGCCGGAGTTCGGCTTCCAGAGCCATAAGAGGTTCTGCTTCCATCATAAGGGTTGACCGTGCGAGAGCCATCAGCCCATGCAGGCGTCCGGCCACCATCACCACTTCTATTCCATGATGGAGTACGCCCGCCACTCGCCCCCCCAGACGGAGTTTTCCAGGCAGGGGTTCGTGACGAGGCGGCACCTACGGGAGTTCGCCCACCACTCCAATCTGTATTTCCCTGAGAAGATTTGCCGGGACCGCCCTGGCCGGGACGACGGTTATCGTAATTCTTGATCTCGCGACCTGTGATACTATCACGGACTGTGATATCGGTTTTCGCTACGCTGACAACCTTGCCCTTGCTATGCAATTCTACACGCGCGTGTGTATCAGTGGTGTCTTTGACGCGACCAAGCGAACCCTTCCAGCCTCCCTTTCGAATCGTAACAGTCTGGCCGATAAGCTTATCACGCCCGAATGAGGCCTTGGGAGGCGGCATGTCGTTCCTACCTCCACTCGGGTTCAACCGCCTTGCAGGATTCATGACAGACAAATCAGGACCAGAACTGGCAGCGCTTACACGGCCACCCTTGGCCGAGACAGTAGACACATTGCTGACCTTGGCCACGAAGACGCCAGCGTTCTCGTTGGTGGCGTTTGTATGACAGAATACATACATGCGGTGGATGTGGATGATCTTGCCCTGTCGTCCCATGCCGCCATTTTCCTTAACGACATCGTCAGGCCTGATTTCAGATCCGGTGCGATCGGCGGCCACGGCAAGTTTTCGCTTTGGCAATTTATTAGCGATCTGAGAGGGCATCACTTGTCTCGCGTCACCGTTTTGATCAAGCACAACCAATGTCTCTCGGTCAACCTTGACGATACAGCCAACAGTTGTAGGATCCAGTTGGACTAGATCAAGCAATGAATACTGGCCTAGAGATCCCTGACCACCGATGTCACTGGCCTCTCTTAGATCTTTACTGAAGACAGTGATCTCGGTGGTTGTTTGATCGGTCAGGAGAGTGACACGATCCTCAGAGATGTTCACAACCATGCCCACCTCATCCCGATATCGACTGCCCCCGATGACCTTGACATGATCACCGGTTCGGAATCGTTTACGGAGACCTTTGGTAGGCACTTCAATAGTTTGTCCGTATAGATCACCCTCCGTGACTTCAATAGTGACAATGTCTGCTTGTACATTCGTAGTCTTGCCAACCACGCCTTTCTGTTCACCTTCGTAGACTTCGACGACATCACCTGGAAGGTACGCAACATTGGCATTACTGTCTTTGAGACTGGCCGCGAGGGATTTGAGATCAATGTTTTCGACACCATCCTCACCGCCAGAGGCAAACTTAGTAACCTCCTCCAGCGTCGGGTTGACATCGCTCACAACCAAGTGCTGGATTTTGATATCCTTGACATGGAAACCCTTCTCAAACTCGTCGCCATTGTAATTCCAGGTATTGGTCTGGCTGCTGTATTGCAAGGTGCGTGGGTGTCTCTTTCGGGCTTCGACTTCGCTGAACAACCTCTGAGGAGGCTTTGGGCCAGCGACTGGGCGCTTTCGTTTCCCATCAATGCCCATAGACATGGACTCGTCGCGTAGTCCGTAGTCGAGCCTGGGAATGAAACGGACCCTAGCATCGAGGCCGTTCTCTGTGATGTCAAGAACCTGGGCAAGGTCACCTGCATGTTTGGCGGGTCTGCGTAGCCGTACCCAGGCACCGGGTTCTAGAGTAGGCGTCTTCTGAACTCTCATGAGGTCGGGCCGCTCTTTGATATCGACGAGGAGGAGCTTGGAGCGGGGATACACGTTCATCATTTCCTCTAGAGCCAACAAAACGTCGGTTTGTCGGGGGGCTTCTACGTAGATGAGACCTTTCATGATGGAATTGGGGCCAGCTTTTTCAAAGGCTCCCGTGATAGCCATTTGCTCCTTGGAATGTATTCGCTCAATAACCTTTTTCATGATGGCCTGGATCACCTCGCGCTCCTTTCCTTCTTTGCATCGTACGCCCCAGATGCCAGGATCCTCAACACTTGGGAGAAGGAGGCGCTGAGGAACGATAGCGGAATCGCCCATGCCTCTAGCAGTGCGACGATTGCCATACTTGCGTACGTATCCTTCGGCAGCTTTCTCAAGGTCTTCCTGGGTGATGGCATCGCGTTGTCGGTCGAGTTCTCGATGTCTTCTATCGTCGAGTCGACTTTGTTCGCCGAAGTTGTCAATATCTTCGTTCTCAATAAATCCCTCGTTTTCTTCAGCAGCATCTTCGTCATCTTCAGCTTCATCTTCTTCGTCGACTTCAGCTTCAATATCGACAAAGTGATTTCGGTTGTTGCGACGACGTTTGCGACGGTGGCTCTATATAGGAAAAGTTGGTTAGGCATTGGATATGATGTGGTGGGAATATTGTATTGCGGGGTAGAGAGTAGCGAAGAATTGCTCACTTGGACTTCATCATCCTCATCCTCTTCGTCATCCTCCTCCTCTTCGTCGTCTTCCTCATTTACACCACCTAACTCGCCCTCCGCATCCTCGTCTTCCTCATCGCCGTCATCATTATCACCTCTTCCAGTACGAGAAGGCGAGGATTTTCTTGATGGCTTGGGTTGGTTGTGCTCATCATCATCCTGATTTTCCTCGTCACTGAGGTCGGCAGGCGCTGGATTGAAATCCTCCTCGTCTTCGGACTCGGGCTGATCGTGGTCGCGAGGATCACTCATTGTATTGGTTGATCAGTTGATTGATTGATTAGAATGTAATTGATTGATTGATGAAAGGAGTGAAGGTGAGTGGATGAAAAAGAAAAAGGAAAGAAAAAAGGGAAGAAAGTTTAAGATGAAGAGTAGATTAATGAAGAGTTAACGCGGAAAGACGGTTTCTTTATGATCAAGCTTGCATCAGCAAGCACGACGTGATGGGGAAATCCTAGGGAATAAATTCTGGAGGATAGGAAGGAATAAGCCAATCATAGGTCACTGGTACGTGCTACAGTGCTACAGCCTACTAGTAGTCACGGTATTGCACAGTACCTAGTAACTACCTAGTAGTTACATATGTATGTACTAAAAAGTTGAAAGTGGGTCCTGTTCTGTATCTAGGTATATATGGATACCTGGCACCTGCGGGCATTAGTTAGTGTTGTTGACTTCAAAGTTAAAAGTTCAAAGTGAATTCATAAAATTCGGAATTTGAGAATTTGAGAGAGCTTAAAAATCAAATATCGGTCAAAGCACAGACCTAGTTATTTTCAAAGCTACAAAACATTGAAGCTGTCAAGACACTAACTTACGGAATACCATCACACCTAGGGCAGGATATAATTTATAGCTCAGCCTGTATAATTTCGATTTCGACGTGCCATCTCATTGCATTGAAACCATTTGAAGTCCCTATCAATCAAGGCCCTGCGAACCTATCACGTAGTCTACGTCTACGTACCTATTACATAGGCATGTAAGTCATGACACTGGCTTGTCACATTAACACGTTCGTCCTTTTCCTCCCATGCGATGACTGCTAATATACAGGTTAAAGCTCCTCTTTGAATGAATAATTGGTATTGTTTTTCATGGCCCCGCCTTATAATCCCCTTCCCCCTTATCATCATATGTCGTATTCGAGCCTCCCTTCGTCAAAAGTAACCTGCTCTAGTCGAACCAGTCATGTCCATTCACCAGCGTAATGCTAAGAGCTCCTTCATAACCAAAACGAGATGCAGGCCCAAAGAACGCCCTGCTTCGTAAATGCACAAAGCAATCTGAAGAGTGGTGCCAGTCTATAGATACTCGCTTAGCGTCTTCTTTAGCAACTAGGGCTTTGCTCTGCTGTGGCGTGATGAACTGCGTAGACCTTCCCACTTGTATAACCTCACACCTTCACACCCCAAACCCCACGCCCGCCGCTGACGCCTAGCCAGTCGCCAGCACCATCGCTGTTATGGAGAGGAGGAGCCCAGCCCAGGTTACCAACTTCATAATCGCATTGCCAACTTGCGACTGGGGTTAGATGCTTCTCAGTCGATCCAGCACCATTGGAAGAGGAACCTGTGCTAGGGGTGCTGTTCATGAGATCCCACAGCAGAACCTGGCAGTCATCACCCCCTGAGGCAAGTAATCCTCTCCTCCCAGGCGACCATTCAACCGAGTTGAGGGACCCACCGTGGCCTCGTAATTCCAATAGCGCCTGTCCTGGTTGCCGCACGTCGAGTATGCGAATGACGTTTGAGTCTTGTGCGAACGTGGCTAGCAGGTGAGTATCGTGGGGCGAAGTAGCCAATCTTAACAACGGTGGCGCGTGCGACATAGTTTGCTGTGCTAGCGTTGGGCTCATTCTTCCACCATTCACATCTGTCGCGTTGTTAGCAAATATTATAGAGGAACGGAGGGAAATTTCTAGGAATTACGCACCCCGGTCGTCCTTGGCGGTTGGTTCATAGATAATAGTGCTATGCTCCAGGCTACGAAGGTCGAACATGCGCACACTGCCGTCTTGTCCACAGCTGACGAATACGTCCACACTATTGGCACAAAATCGAACATCGTAGACTTCCTTGTCGTGCGCAATCAACTGCGTCTTGGCAGTCAGGGACGGAATATCCCATATTGTGCAGGTCGTGTCAATGCTTGACGTAATGATGAGACTCGGTGAGACAGTGTTCCAATCCAACGATGTCAGAGGTGCGGTATGATCAGGCGTCTTCGAATTGGAAAGTAGTGCCAATGGCGTGAGCTTTGTTATGGGTGCGCCCAAACCAGACTTGTTAATATTGTTTGAATGCGCCGATGGGGCGTCGGACGGCAGAGACCAAAGTCGCAGATGATCACCAGAGGTGGCCAGAAGGTCAGTAGTCTGTTTCTGAGAAGATGGGGGCTCCCACAAAAGGCGCGTGACGGGGTATGAATGCGTTGCTTCTGCAACTTTGGTGAACTCCATGCTATATTTGGACGACCCAGGGACATATACATCAGAAGGGGCGCTAGCAACTTGAGTGTCGAGAATTTGTATCTACATAGGAAGTTCGGTTAGTAATTGTCTACATGTTAGAGCTGGGGCGTTTAGGTCATCGGCATACAAAGTTGTGTCCATCTTCTAGATAGCTTCCAATGGCCAACTTGCCGGCTCCCCTACCCTGGGGAGCCCACTTGCACCAATCGAAAGCGTAGAGTGCCCAAGGAGCCATGTAATTGCTGGTAGATGGTTGGACATTGGCGAGGTCGTATCCCAAAGTGCCGGGCGGGCCATCAGACAAACTTGAGTCGGCGCGCGGCCTAATATCCGCTAGACCTAGCGGAGTGTTGGAAATATTTCGCTGGGAACCTGGAGCGCCATATTTGGTATCTTGTGGCGAGATATATTGAGAGGGGCCAGCCGCAGATCCTCCGGGTGTTGTAGGAGTGTAAGGAGAGTAAGAGGTAGAAGGTGTTTCGTAAGGAGCGGCAGGGCTAGAGCGAGAGTAGCTATGCGACATGCTCAGAGCCGGGGGCTTGGAGGGTGAAGCATACTCGCTTGGGGAGTGCTGTATGGCGCCCGACATGGTGGGAAGAGTCGGTGCGGTATTAGCACTCAAAGCGGGAGGGCGACCAGGACCTAGTCCTCCAGGCTGAAGTACGTTAGGCACGCCCGAGTTTTGGTATTGAGAATTGACTGATTGCGATACGGGTTGTTCGAGCTTGATGTGCGGACCGCCGGAAGTGGTGTTGAATTCTCGAGGGGAGATTTGGCCGCTGTGGCTCATGGTGGGAGAAATATGGAGTTCGTCGTGCTGGGAGTGTTGAGAGCTAAAGGTATTAGTTCGTCTCGGGGCGGTACCGTACTGCCCTGGCTGGTTCATATTGGCTGCGCTAGCAGTCGCGACAAAGCGATCGACTCCTATTGGCTCAGATTGCGGCGAAAGGGCACGATGAATGCGAATGCAAGGAGCAGTTGTGGCCGCTGTGATGGTCGTAGTCGCGGTCCCGGTCACTTGGGCTGTGAAGGTGGACGGAAAAGTGGAAGTGGGAGCAGTAGTCAATCCAGTCGACGTGGGTATTGATATCGATATCGGTATCGTTAACGAAGGAGAGGTTGAAGACGGCGTACAAGTTAATGTAGCAGAGACCGAACCCGTGGCGTCGGGCGGAAAGATCTGGTTGGGCTCTGCGACAAATGTTGGTGGTACAATTACCGCCGGCGCTTGAGCTGATAATGATTCTGACACCTGAGGTATTCTTGATATTGCTAGTGATGAAAGCGAAGGTGATTGAGATGGTGATGATGATAACCACTCAAGCCCAATCGTAATTGGAGGTAAATGTAAACTGATATTTGGCGGAGTCGTGACTGGTTGAAGGGTCGTCTTCTCATTGCCCGCGCCTGCGCCTTCGATACTGGCACTGGCTGCTGGCGCTGCCTTTGTAGTTACTAGCAATTGAAGTCGCTAACGTTAGCAATTTCAGTGGGAGAAAAAGACCGTAAGAAATGTTATGGATGTACGATGTACAAGTACCCATCTATGGATGGATGCATGTAAACCCCCACTAAGGTCGCGAAGAGGGATTGGGCTCTGTCTGGGCTTTCCAAGTTTGGGCTTTGGGATTGAGCGAGATAAGGGCAAGTGCCATTGCAACTAGGGAACCACATGCAGGCATCCACTGTGCAGTTTACACAGCACTCCACCTACCTAACTAACCTACTAGGTAGTGCCTAGTACTGCCTACTGGTAGGGTAGGTATTGCTTAGGTAAGTGCTAACTGGAAGGTAACAAGGTTCCCCTCATTGGATAGTGATGTACCTTTTGTCAACTTCAACTTACTTTGTTCCTGAACTTCCTTTACAGCGCCTGGTCTTGTGGTAGCGGGAGCCGCTACATAACCCAGAGTTTGGGCAGCTTGAAAAATAGCAGATGTTGAGGGGTTGATGGATCGATCGTTCTTATCGATCATGTTGCGGGATAAGCGTTGGGATGGCATACTAATTATAATATGTAGGTAGTATTCATTATTGTAGCAACTACAACCATAGCCACCTGTGAAAAAAGTGAATATGGAGTTAGAACCTTGCACTCATGTTGCAATACATTTTCTATCATGTACCACGTGCAACTTGAACTATGTATGGTTAGGGTAGGGAGGGTACCTGGGTAAATATGTAGTATTATGTACATACATTTGACACATGTGGATGTCACTGGATGACACTGGATCATTGATGTGCCTAGGTTAGGCTGTACCTACCTACTTCTCAACCAAGGAAGCTACATGTTTTGACTAAATTTACTACTAGGTATGTAGTTAAACGACATCCATCTCTTAATAATCACACACTAGTACTTTGTAGGTCTACCTGGGACCTAGGTTCAATGGCTGGAGACCTTGATCCTTAAGACTTTAAACAATCCACCAGTCTACTACTATATGTACTAGCCTGAACATTGAACCACTTCAAAACATCCATCCAATGTTCTGCATAGCCATGTACAAATAAAGATAAATAAGCAGGTAAACATCATATCCTATGTGAATTCACAAGTTTTCATTCTTTACCTACATAGGTCTCCACGGATTTTCTAGACATCTAGGATCGGCTTTAGCAATTGAGTCAGCAATAAAGAAACACCTCAAAAGTTCTATTTCCGTCACGCCATTGACATCCCATGAGGAGCTCGATCTTAGCTTCTTAGCATATCGTCGAAAGCTTCAAGTTCACCCATTGTGATTCAACAACAATTCTATATCAATAAATACCTATAGTTTTATTTTATTTTCATCCTTCACACTCCTCATGACACGACCGAGCACTGTTGGGGGAGACAGTCTCCCCTCACTCCTGTTGTTACCTCCGCCTCCGCAACCTGCATCCCGGATTGCGCTTAACGCCGCATATGACCCTCCTATTAGAGCCGTCCTTTCAAGATTGAAATGCAATCAAGCCGAGGATGGCGAGGCAACCTTGATTGTCGCCCTTGTTTCACCTATTCTTACAGGCAAATCTTTACACCAAAAGTCTCTGTCTTGGTCCCATGCCCAATCTATTCTAGCTGATCTATACAGCATCATATCCGTCATCTGCACTCAGTTATCGGTGCCCACGGATGTCCATGCCGGTCCCGGGTCCGTAGATGTCCGCGTTCTCTTGGTTGATCATGGCCGCTCTAAACTACAGCCAAGAGATTCAAAGCAAGCCATAGAACCCAATAATACGGTGATAGTCGACCTTACTACCTTCGCTTCGGCATACCACCCCTGGAGTTACATATTTCACCCTAATAATGAGCCCGGTTACGAACTACTCTCAACTTACCTGAAGTGTTTTGAAGGCGTTCAGACAGTAAAGCACTCCCAGATTGTTGTTGTTGAAGGTGGACTCGCCATATCTGTTCCACCATCAGTTCCTTTGCAGGCAATTCCACAAACAAAACCTCATTCCGTCGTGTGCCTGGGAGGGACTTTTGACCATTTACACCCTGGACACAAGCTACTTTTGACTGCTGCCGTCTTGCTGCTAGATGTCCCCGAGGATGGGGCATTACACCCATGCCAGTTCGTGATTGGCATCACCGGTGACGAATTGTTGAAGAGAAAGAAATATGCGGAATTTGTGCAGCCTTGGGACGAGCGTGCAACGAACACGATTCAATTTCTAGCTTCTATCCTCGAACTATCCAGGCACGGCTGGAAAAATAGTCAGGCCCCGCAGGTCACCAAGACTGGCGGAGAATACACTGCTCTATTCCGAAACGGCACTATCGAAGTTCGCTGTGTAGTTATTCAGGACGCTTACGGACCTACCATCACAACAGAAAACATGGACGCCCTCGTAGTCTCGGGCGAGACGAGAAGCGGAGGAGAAGCCGTGAATCAGCGACGAAAAGAACTCGGCTGGCGACAGCTAGAAATATTCGAAGTTGATGTCCTCGATGCTCAAGGGGCCGTGTATAAGTCGACGGATACTCGAGATTTTGCAACAAAGATAAGCAGCACCGCCATTCGGAAACAAAAAGCAGAGTCTCGTGCTTAGCCCAGGAGTCACATTTCCATCAAAGATGTACTTAAGTATTCAATATCAGTAGCTGACGGTAGTCTATTACATGAAGAGGGTCTGTCCTCCATCCATAAGAAGATCTGCGCCAGTGAAATAACTTCCCGCACGACTCGCGAGCATCACAATGGCCCCTGCTATTTCATCTGGCTGCCCCAACCTCCCTGATGGATTTCGGCTAAGCCACGTCTTTTTCAATTCGTCCAGGTGATCCCCCTCGTTTAGGATGGTTTCCATGTAGCCAGGGGAAATGCTATTCACCCTAATCCCATATCTAGCCCATTCCGCAGCTAGTGACTTCACCATAGCCAACACACCCGCCTTGGAGACGTTGTAGGGTACTTGGGGTTGCGGAAAATTCACTTTATGGCCTGAAATGCTCGCTATAAACGTCATACTCCCGCCAATTCCACGCTCTATCATCGTCCGAGCGATTGCTCGCGCTACGAAGAAACCACCAAGAGTGTTGACATTAAGCACTTGACTCCATTCTTTTGTTGACCATTCTAGGGCATGTTTGCAAGCGACTATTCCCGCAAAGCTTAACAGGATATCAATGCCACCCAACAGCTTTACTGTTTCACTAATGGCTGCATCCACGCCGTCTTCTTGCGCAACATCGACCTTGAGAAAATGGATCTTGGCATCAGGGAACTCGGATTGAAGCGTATTGATTTTGCCCTGTGCCTCGGTCGGGTGCATATCGAATATCATTAGGCCTTCGAGTCCATGTTCAAGAAGAGCCCTACATGCTGCGAAGCCAAGATCTCCAGCCCCTCCAGTGACGACGGCATTACCCCTTACATGAAATCGTTCATGGGCCCGAGAAGCCGCCGGGATCTCGCGGGGTAAAGGCGGAGGTGGGGCCGTCAAGGAACCCGGGGAGCCATCCCCTAACACCATCTGGGGTATGACCCTAGCCGTAAGATCGGATCTATTAGTTGTCATCTTGGCTTATCGATCGAAGATTATTCAGGGAAGAGATATAGTAGAGATGCCAATTTCTCATCGACATTTTCATAAGCGATCATCTCTTCATTTATGTCAAAATATTGCGGGGTCGTTTCTATCTACCAACCCATGACGGCTGGGCTGAGCTGGACGTGCAGCTTATTCTCCGCTCCAAATTTCATCCCAGAACTTGCGAGATCGGTTAGGGACTCCACCCTTTCTCCATGTGGAAGGACGTCTCCAATACAGTATCTCATAGTCTGGATCCAGTTCCTAAAGCCAATGCTTGATTGTGGTTATGAAGGATTTGCGGAGACTCAACGGCAATTTTACTTGAACTTATCGATCTTACAGTCGATCGCTCCGATTGTGACACCATAACGCACAGCCATAGGCTCAATGATCTACTATTATAAGTCTAGTACTCCGAGTTTGTGCCTGCTTGGGGCTTCATTGTCGAAATTCGGCCGGAAGGCTAGCAGTTGCAATGATTCGCCCATTCATCACGATGGGTGCCTATACTTCTGTCGTTCTGGACATTCGTCGCTTCTTTGAGTTATCTATCATTTGCCATTCAATGATACCATCAGTATTCAATCATACCTATGATACGTGAGGACGATCGAATGGGCGACAAAAGTCTCAAGCACATAAATTTCATCTTCCAGCGACCCTATCGATATATTACCAGGGTTCAACGCAGACCGTCACTTGCTATTGCCCACCTTGGTAGACGCCACAGTCAGGCCGGTAGGGTTACCTGACTTTATATTATATTCATGGTAAAAATCAGCCCACGAGTTTCACACATAAGCGCATGGTTTCAGCCATCTTGTATTTATATACATGTCTCAGAGCTCAGCCTTTCTTAACATATAACATTAATTACCTCGACTTATTACAAAATGTCGTATAGCCTATATTTAGCTGAGGCAGACAGGTAAAAAAAAACACTATAGACATATACCAGCAGTACTTAGCTATTTATCGAGTTAGGGTCATAAAGTTACTGCCCTTATTTAAGCCGGCAGCATCATCGTCATATCTATTACGACTTCTACATTGCTGATATACACCCCTTCACAAAAAATCGAACGCAATGCCTCAACCTACTTACTGCTCACATCAACCTTCAAACCCACTCGAAATAAATTCCGAGCCAGATATTTCAGGACTTGGCGTAAGTGAGGGAGATTCACATGAATCAAAATGGTCTAATGGTATGCTACTAGGTTCTTATCGGGTTCGTCTCAACTGCTTACCTATTACTCCTCATTATCTTGATATATTATGTATTTGGCTATGACCCAACGAGCAATCCCTTCGGAACCACAGAAAACAATCCCCTTAGCACACGAAACCGACCGAACCCAGTTGATCAGCTCGTACTAAAGGTCACAAGGAGGCTATTCTGCTTAAATGTCCTGCAGTGGCAGGGCTTATATAAAAATGGGCTTTTGACGGCCATTTTCGACAAGGTACTTCTTTAGTCATTGTATACATTCAGTGCTAGGTAGATAACCCTGGAAGACCATGAAGTACTAATTTCGTAGTGCGTGGTAAACATGGCCGACATTCAGATCTTAAACGGTCTAGCAGTTTTGATCACAGGTTTAGCCCTTCTCCCTCAAAGGTTATCCGCCTTGCATTGGAAAATGATCGTCTACTTGGCATGGTTCTCTTTCATAGCCAATATCTCAGCTCTCACATTTCTCCGGAGCTATCTGATTCACCATCCATTCGAGAGAGTATGGAGACTTGGATCTACGTTTGTCCTTCTGCTGATTCTAACGGTTGCTCTCGTTCCCACTGGGCACTTCTCTTGGGACTCTGATGCTCGGTATTACAATAATTACATAGAAGATGCAGCTCCGTCCGCTTACGCAATATGCCACTTTAATACCAACTTCACCGACTCCCGTACCTACTTCTATGAGAGAAGAGTTCAAGGCAAGAACTCCATGCTCTTCTCGATACTCTTGATAGTATTTGGTTATACAGTCAGGGTATTCAAATTGTACCGTTATGGCGGCCATGCCGGTTCGGAGTCCTTCTCAGTGTCCGCCGTGCTTGTGGAGAGATGCCTGAAAAGTGCGGCAATGCTACAACGACTTATAGGAAGCGCATCGTTTCTAGAAATAGCTGCCTCCAATATGATAGTAGCCTCTCACTTTGTCGTCTGCGTCTGGATTGACATATACAGTTCAATGGCTTCAGATGTGAGGTTCTCAGTCCCATCGGCAAATAAATCATATCGAGGCTAATCAGAAAAATAGATATTTATGCTAGTCATTTCGATAACCTGGGGAACCATAAGAATCTACGAACTTGAACAAATTTTGGGACAAACCACCGCTTATGAAGAAGACCCGGGCTGGTCATTCGGACAGATACTTCCTGTTCTCCTAACAGCCGGACCAATTCTGATTTTGATACGATCTGCATGGGAGGCGGTTTCATCCGGTATGGATTCTAAGATGCCATCTATACTACAAGGCTTATCTGCCAATGGTAGTAAGGGCTGAAGATACTAATCGTTAGCAGTATCACACGAGACGCCCCACACAAATCCAAGCGAGCCGACACGCACTGCTTCAGATACAGAGGAGGGTAAGTGCTTACCTAGATACTTATTCTACACCTATATATAATCATAATTCCCAGCAGCATTATTATATAACCAGCTTTTCCTTACTGATATTCCGAGCAGTTGGTATCGTCCCGGAACATAACCAGAGGCTCTCGTCGAATATGTTGAGCGTACAGGTTGAAAGCCCGGAGCGCTGGATACTAAGCCCGAACCGCTTTACTGAATACTACGAAAAGAGCTCTTGGATGTGTTGGACGCCCGCCATATGTGCTACCTATATCTTATGCCCGATAGTATACCTACTTGCATCAGAATATGATCCCTTCTACCTCATTAAGGACCTTTCCCTCTGGTTCGTCCTACAGCAAGGGGCATTCCTTCAATGCTACATTTTACTCTGCTCCTTCGTCACCATGAAATGGAAGCATCCTACGGCACACATTGCCAAAACCTTGTTTGCTTTAACTGAAATAGCAATTTCTATCCTCACATCTCGGGGTGCTGGGCCCTGGTCTTTATTTGCCGTTGGCGGCACTTTTAGCATGTTCGTTATTACCCTGATCAGTGCCAAGCTATTACGGAAAGTACGAAAAGTTGACAGTGTGAGATGAATCTCTGCCACATGATCTAATGTGTGGAGCTTTCACTCAACCTGTCCAACTAGCAGGATGAACGTCAAGGCAACAAAACATACTGGGACCTACGGCACTGAACCTCGAGGGGTTCATTCGTGGACAGAGCTGTGAATAGCAGCTCTCGAAGTTTCACACAATTATTAATGCTACATAAGCATGGGGAGCAGAAAGAATCTGTTCATGGGTCAAGTTTGTTCATATCATTTCAAACCCTATGTAATCTCTCTCTCTCTAAGTACCTAGTTTTCATCACTCGCGTTTCAAAGAATTTTGTTCGCGCGAAATCAACTACGCACACAACTTATCCGCGTCACCCTTTCCTGAGTCCTGGCCCGCTTCAAACGGAGCGGCAGGGTTGGCACAGGGGCCCTCATTCCAGCCGTCATAGTACAAGTTCATCCAGCTATCCGTGCCGTTGGTCACACCGTCACCGTCACTGCCTGCCAGAACCTCACCGACATTTCCATTGGGGCACAGGTTGGCCGTCTGCTGGTCGTCGACAACAGAAATGATACCGGTGGCGACCTCGTCCTTGGGGTTGCCGATGTGGTAGACAGCCTCGCAGTCTCCGCGGCCCCAGGGGTCAAAGCCGCCGGGGAGGTGGGCGTTGGGCGTCTGGGTGTAGACCGGGACGAAGCGCCAGGCGACGCAGTTGAAGACATCGGCACACTGGACACAGCAGTCGAGCTTGTTGGACACAGCGCCGATGGTGACAGTGGCAGTGGGGAGGTTTGAGCGAGCCGGCAGGAAGCCCGGGGCGTTAACCATGGCCGAGGGGTTGCAGAAGTTGGGAATGGTGGCCGTGGGGTAGTTGCCGGCAATGGTGGTGCAGACCGCAGTAGCTCCTGGAACATCAACGGCGGTAGTGGCGGAAGGAGTCTCTGCCTTGACCTCAACACCTCGAGTCTGGACGGCTCCGTTGACCAGGGTATGGTGTCGGGTAGGAACCGTGATGGCGGTGGGGGGTGAGGCGTATGACAAGGGGGACTGATCCGCACCAAGAGTGGTCAGAGGAGTGCGTGTCAACGGGTGAGCATAACCAGTGACGGTTGTAGTGACGACGGCGGCAGTGACAACCTCACCCTAGATGAAAGGTTAGCAATGAATAATGAAAATTTATATATTCACAGTCTGAATTCAATTCAATTCAATTCAATTCATCTTTCTTAAACTCACCTCAGTGGTTTGTCGACCAACGACGGGACCAGCAAGAACGGCGCCGAGGCTGGATGCGAGGGCGAGAAGTGAGGCGCCAGCCTTAAGCGAGAAGATCTTGGCCAACATGTTGAAAAGATGGGACTTATAATCAACTTGATATTTTTTTTCGTGATACGAAGGAATGAATTCTTTCGAATATTTTTCCGAGTTGATTTGAGATTTCAAATGTTTGGACAAAAGTCCAGTTTGGTGTTTGGTGTTTGGTGGGTTTATTATGTTCGCGTTTGTGGATGAAAGAGGGTCAGGCGTTGCTGTTCAAGGTTGAGGTTGAAGGTTGGAATTAAATAAGGTGTAAAAAGAAGAAGCACACAAGCTGAAAATCAGTCTGTAGTTGTTCATAGGCCGGTGGGATCAATTTGTAGTGTATTGTACAGAATTTAAAGGTGTGGGTAGGTAGATAACCTTGATACATATATGTATAAGTATCCCAGGCAGGTACGAGCTCAATACGCTCAATACGTAGGTACTTAATTAAATAAGATATGTAAGTAAAAAGGTCTCATGAAAAAAAAAAAAAATATCAACAATAAATAACCTGGCTTGCTTTACTTACCTGACGCTTCCAAGTATCAGTAGCCGAATCAAATGTTGAGAGAGGCGACTTGATTACCGAGTGACTGGTTGTTGAGAGTGAGTTGATGTACACATATGAAGGTGAGGTGACGAGGCTACCGTAGCCATATAGATTATGTACGTACAATACATACAACCTTGAATATCAGGCATGTATAGTTATACCTTATACTTATACCTACATGTATGTATGTTACCTATGTATGTATGTAAGTAGGGTATGTGGCTAGAGACTGATAGATAACCCGTTCCCGACATCAATATACTACCTCATACAATGTAGGTATTCCCCGCAAACACACTCACAAGTTACAACGTCGGTCGTATGTATATAAGTATATGTAGTGAATTCGGCTGCCTAGATAGGTGTAGGCACGTAGATCAGTGCGGCTAGTGATGTATAGGTGACGGTCGTGGGTGGTAATGAGGTGAATATAAGGTCGATTGCTACCTTTAAGTTATTAATAGGGGGGAGGGGGAGAGAGGGCTACATGGTTCGAGATCCCGGCGCGGAGATCACCACCAGCAATGGGATCCTACTAGGTTAACCTTAGTTATGTACATATATGTAGACAGCTGGAGGTAATATGTATTCTTCTTACATAGTATATTGCTCTGGAGGTAGCAGGGTCATGCATTTTTTGCAGGTACTATGTCGTAAAGTACCCGAAATTCAAACACAGTACCAGATTTACCAGATTTTAACCCCCTTGGTACCTTGCCGGCCCAGGTAGGCCCCTACACTTTGTGGTAGTCGTAAGTTCTCGTAACCAACCAAGTGAGCGCATCCCGTTTACTCTACCATTTTGACGGGATGACATTTACGGGGCGTACTCGGCGAAGAATGATCTATTCGGCACAGTCGGTGTTGTTAGCACCGGCTCTGTTTGCTTGAAGAACGAAGATCGTCATCTCTCACTCCTCAAAGGACAAACCATGACTGGACTAGTTCTCGAACCAGCTTGTTTCAAAGTGTTTTTGCGCATGAAAAAAAGAAACAGACAAGGGGATAAATGATGCGGAGGATCTCCCGACAAGGCCAAATAATAACCTGAACAGGCTACACCTGGTTACATCTCCGACGTCACCTAATCTATTTCTTTTCGAAACAAGAGCCCTAAAAGGTCTTGTATGATGTCTGTCCTGATTCATATGATGTAGATTATGTAGGCATTTTTTGTAGGCATTTCTGTAGTTATGTATGTAGTCTCTAGATTCAACAAGAGTATCTCTGAGAAGTTTATCAATGTTGTCGACACATATACATATGTATGTAGTAACATAGTAACTTATATATGTGGTGGCATGTGGTGGGATGTGGTATATATGCACATCTCATTGGTAGAGGTTGATTATTGGCGATGAACCAATGAGAATTACCATTCTGTTCATTTATTGAAAAGTGTAAGCAGTGGTAGCCTAAGGTTACCTTGATTGCAACTGCCTAAGGTTACCTTGATTGCAACTGCCTAAGGCACTATAATGTGATTAGTCAGCTAGGCTAATATATAAGGCCATGATTAGGCTTATAAAATAAAGTAATAATTTAACTTAACCTTTTCCATAATTCGTAATTAGCTATATAATAACACCTTAACATTAATTTTATATTTTAATTAATTACGATAATTATTTTTTAAATGATTTTTTTTAAAGGTAAATAAAAAATAATAATTATTAATTTGTAAAATTAAATTAATAATTTAAAAGGTTAATTACATCGGTTTATAAAAGATTAAATATGTGATTATTTTATTATTAATTATGAGTTTTGCTATTCGTACCACCTCTTTTTGCTATCGGGGCTTATCCGTACACCTAATACATCCCTTAAAACCTTAAAACCTTAAATCCAGGCCTAATCTAGCGCCCCCAGCTGCCCCCATCAATTCAATCCAAATAACTTTTCAACCACATGTCGCACCATAGTGCAACCGGATTCAATTGAAAGCGCGCCCAATTTCGAATTGATTGATATAGCTCCCAAATTGGGGCGATACTCGGTCGCAGAGTTATTCAAGAAAGTAGGTGGCAGCCCGGGAGGCACGTGACAGCTCTTAGCGCCCTTAGACCCCTTAGACCCCTTAGACCCAAACCTTATTCAACAGTTTTAATCTTCAATAACTCCCTGAAACAACTAGCTACAAGCATGCAACCAAATTCAATTGAAAGCGCATTCAATTACCAATTGATTGATATGAAGCCTGAACAGAGGCGATATGTGGTTGAAAAGTTATCTTGGTAATTGTATCGAGGAGGGTCACGTGGCACTCCTTAGCGTGGCCCAGGCGGCTCTAGGGCTCTTAGGCGGCTCTAAGGGCCCTTAGCGTGGCACCAAGAGCTCTTAGTGTGGCTTTAAGGGTGATCACGTGCCACCCAGGATGCCACCTATTTACTTGAATAACTCTGCGACCACCTATCGCCTCAATTTAAGACCTATATCAATCAATCGGTAATTGAATGCGCTTTCAATTGAATCCGGTTGCACGTTTGTGGCTATATGTTTCAGAGAGTTATTTGGATTCAATTGATGTGGGCAGCTGGGGGCGCTAGATGAGGTCCGGATTTAAAGTTTTAAGGGATGTACTAGGTGTACGGATAAGCCCCGATAGCAAAAAGAGGTGGTACGAATAGCAAAACTCTTAATTATATCGTTAAATTATTTAACGAAATTATTAAAATAAAAAAATTAAAGGAAAAGTTTAATAAGATTTAAGTGGATTATAATAAAGAAATAAAGACATTAAAGTTTATTATAGTTTATAATTTTATCAACGTTAAAAAATAATAAAAAATTAACGATAATTAAATCGAGAAATTAATAAAAATGGTTAACTTTTAAATAATTGTTTTTTAATAATAACTTACCTTATTAAGTGGAAACCCCTTAAGTTAATATAAGGGAGGAAATAATTTTTTTTATAATAAGGAATTTATCGATAATAATGGATTTTTTAATAATAATCGTTGTAATTTTTATAATAAAAGCGGTAAGTTTAAACGAAGATTATTTAATAATGAAAATTTAAAATTTGAAAATAATTTACTTAAGTTATTTAAAAGTTTAAAGTTTAAAGACGATTAAAAGACTTATTAAAAACTTAAAATACTTAAAAAAGCTTTAAAGGTTAAAGTAATTAAGATTAAAAAAAAACCACTTTTAACGATATAATTATTACAAATAATTACGAATTAAATAATGATTTATTTGATTTTAATTTCGATTTATTAAGCTTATTATTATTATTATTATTAAATAAAAGCTTGGATAACTTTTCTTAAAAAAAAGAAAAAGTCGAAATTAAAAAAAAAAAAGTCCTTTAAGTAAAAAGATTATAATTTTAAATAAAAACACTTTAATTTTAGATTAAATAAGGAAAATCACTTAAAAAATGTATTAAATTATCGAGTTTATTAAGAAGTTTTAATATTAACTTTTAAAGAAATTAAATATAAAGAAAATACCAAGTTTATTAAGAAAAACGAACTTCGACTTATAAAAGTAATCACTTAAACTTATAAACGTGTTTTATTTAATTTAATCTTAAAAATAAAAAAAAGCATTAAAATACTTAAAATATTTTAAAAGATATATATATTTATTAAAAAAGCTTATTAAAAAGACTTTTAAAACGTTTTATTAAAGAGAAAATACGACGGTGGAAACTTTATTAAGTATATATTTAAATGGTAATTAATCGTACGAAAATGCCGTGAAATTAATATAAAAAGTAATAATAGTTAATAGGTTATTATATTTTTAATTAATGTTAAAGAAAAGGTAAAAGATTAGATTAAAATAATAACGAAGATATTACGTATAAAAGATTTTATTATTTAATAAATTATTAATGATTTTATTAATAAGTTTAAAAATAAAGTAAACGGGAAAAAGTTTAAAATAACTAAGTTTATAAATAATGTTAAAAGTGGTAATTAAAAAAAAAAGCTTTAAAAGTTTAAGTATTTTTCCAATTATAAGGAAAGTAAAGGTTTATTTTATTATAAGTGTGGTAAATATAATTATATATAAAAGAATTATTATATTAAGATAAATAACGATAATTTAAATATTAATATATTTAAAAATAATAATAAAAATATTTTAAGTAATAATAGTTTTTATTAAATTAAGTTATTTATTAGTTACGAAAAATACGAATAACGCTTTAATGGTAATAGCGTTTATATAATAAAAGTTATAAATATTAATTTTATTTAATTTATCCATCCGGAGGATATTTTTATGCTAGAACTTTTTCAGAAAATTACTATGGGAAATTACTATGGGAAATTACTATGGGAAATTATTGAATTAATTACGTCATCAAATACCCCTGTAATTCCCAAAAACCCGTGCAGGAAAATCAGGATTGGTCAGATCGTTCTTAGCGCCAACTGCCCGACAGCCGTGCGTTCTTTTTAAAAGCTTTTCATTGGCTGCATTCCTTTAAAGCAAACGCTTTTTATTGGCTGCATCCCTTTATGCCAGCTGTCCCAAACTTTGTCAACCATAGCCGTGCGTTTCTTTCAACGCTTTTTGTTAGGACATGGCCATGGACGTGGATAGGTGTGGCTATCCATAGCTGCTGCCGTATGGGCACATCTCCATTGCTGCTGCCACAGCTTGCTGAACCTTATCGGTGTATATATAGCTAGCCTGAGACGCTGGGAGCTCAGCTCTTCTTCTCTTCTATATATTGATTGACTGATTGACCTTTTGAGTCCCATCTCTTGCTACGGTTGGAAGACCTCCAACCCCCATACCATCCCGGTTCATCCGAGGGGTGAGCAATATGCTCACCCAGACAATCCTCAGACCTTTTGGTTGTTGAAGGGTTAATCAACAACCGTCCTATTCTTATCCATTGCCCATATCCTTATTCATTGACCATATCCCTATTTTGCCCATTGCTGTATCGATACCTCTCCATACCTCTCTTCAATCCGACCGACCCATATACCAATCTGTTTCAGCATATCCGGCGCCGGTCCGACACCCACCGAGCCATGTCCTGACATCACCCCCCTTTCAATGGAAAGGATAACGTCCACGTTATCCAAGTCCAATACATACACACATGTGTGTTGATCCCTGATACTAATCTCTAAGCTGACCCGTGCTGCTTCAATAATTGAAGTAACGCCAGACAGTCCTCCTAACGGGATACATGTGGTGTTAGTGGTCGGGGTGGTGTCGGGTTGCCTGAGGCTCTGCCGATGGCCTGTGCGTTGAGGCTCTTGCGGCTCTGCTGATATATAGGGATAAAGATATAAGGGGAATAGTGTTTCCAGGACAGCCATGTTGAATGGCTGTTGTGCTGTAGGGTCTCATCGGCTGAGGTGACCGAGAATTGAAGGATCTCGTCGGTTGGAGGGACCGAGAATTGAATGTCCCAGCCACGTGTCTCCTGGCCAGGACGTGGATAGCCACGGGAGTGGCTATCCATGGCTACTGCCATGTGGGCATCTCCATGGCTGCTGCTGCCACAGCTTGCTAAACCTTATCCTCCGGATGGTCACGCCTTCCTTCCGTCACCCATTGCCGACTTTTAACCCCTTTTTGACTTTCTAAGATAGTCTTTTAATTGGACGAGCAAAATTTCTTCGGCCAGCGCAGCGGTTCCTGAAAAAAAAAATATCCAAAAGTGATTCGAAGGCCCGTCCCGGAGCTTGCGGAGGGCCACGGGCCGATGAATCACTTTTGGATATTTTTTTTTGAAGGAAGGCCGGAGAAATTTTATAATATTACGACGACGAGATGTGTTTATAAGATTTAAATTACGTTTTTTTAAATATAAAGCTTTTTTAAGCTTTTTATATAACCGTTATATTTAATAATAAAAGAGGATATGTTTATTATTAAATAGTTAATAATAATAAGAATTACCTTTTTTACGAATATATAATTTCCGAATTATTATTTAATATTAATGCGAACATGTATATTATAAACAACTTATAAGACTTATTATTTAATATTATCGTTATTATAAAAAACGAAAGTTATAAGGTTATAACTAATGTTAAATTAATAATCGTACGAAAAATAAAAATAATTTATTTTATTTTTATAAATTAAAATAAAAAACTTATCGATTTAAATCTTTAATACGCCTTATATATATTAAAATTCCTTATAAAGATATTTTTAAAAGAACTTTTTTATAAAAAAGGCGGATGGTTAAAAAAAAGTAAAGTTATTAACTTTAATGAATTTATATTAATTATTATCGATATTAAAAAATAAGGATTTTATTTTTAATAATACGATTACCTTAAAATTATTAAAGTTTATATTATTAAAAATATAACTTAATATAATCACTTTATAAATAATTACTCTTATAACGTTAAAAAAGTTTTAAATTTATTATTAAACTTTTTAAAAGCTTTAAATAAGAAGTTATTTAAAAAAGTAATAAAAAAACTTATGTTTTAATATAAACGATTTTATTATTTAAATAATAAATAATTACGTTAGATTATTAATATAATTATTGGAATTAACCTTAATATAAAATTAATTAAAACTTTATTTTATTATACTTATAATTAAGTTAAGATTAAGAAAATCTCGTTTAAAAAATCTTAGTCCTACGGTTTATATCTTAAAAAGATTATATAATGTGATTTTAAAAAGTTAAAACTTATTTCGATTAATAATAATTATTATTTCATTTTAATTATTAACGATAATAATAATTATAAGATGTTTAAAGCTTATATATTAAAAAATAACGTTTTTAAAAAGCTTATTTCTTATTTAATTTGCGTATATAATTAATTATATTTTTTGCCATTTAAATTTAATAATAATTAATAAAAACTTAAAATATTTAAAATTAATAATAATTAAAAATTTAAAATATTAATTATTGAAATAATTTATAAGAAATTAGATATAAAGTTATTATTGTTTATATTATATAATTAATATTAAAACGGTAAATTTAAATGTAATATTAAATTTTTATAAAATAAGTTTTATGTAATTTATATTATTATAAATATTTTTATTTGTTTTTAAGATTATGTATTTAATGTTATTACTTATGTTTTAAATAAATTAAAAACGTTAATAATAAAGGGTGTTACGCCTTATAAATAATATATAAACGGCCTTAACCTTTCTTAGCGGTATAAACTTAATTTTATTTACTTAAAAATTATAAATATACGATGTGTTGTTTTTATTAATAAAAATTACCGTATTAAAGTAAAAAAAATAAAGGTTTACAAAGTTAAAGTTTTATTTTTTAAGTATTAAAGAATATATAATTATATTATATAACTTATTAAAGGAGGATGTTTCTTTAATATATTTTATTTTATTTTTTATAAATATTTAAACGACGATAATATTATTTTTAACCCTTGAAATATCGTTTAATTTTTACTTAAATATGTATAAAAGCGATTAAGATATTATAAAAAGTTATAAAAGGTAAGAGTTAAAAATAAAGATAAAAATATTATCGAGAATAATATTATAAATAAAAAGATTAAACGTGTCCGCTTAAAACATAAAAGGCTTAAAAAAAAGCTTTTAAATATTTATGTTTATAAAACCCCTTAAAAGTTTAAATCCGTTTTTAAATTACTTTTAAATATATTTTTTAATTTAAAAAGCAATAAATACGAATTTATAAACGTATATTTACGATTAATTGAATTTTTTTTATAATAAATATAATTATAAATTTATTAAAGCTTAAGAACGTATATATTTTTATTAACGATAAGGCTTTATTTAATTATTTTATTAAGTAAACACTTAAAAACGATTTATATGTGATAAATTTTAACTTTTTATTTTTAAAAGATATAATGATTAGTTTTAATTATAATAAATAATTAAAAGTTATATTTATAAAGATATGGAAAAACCTTAATCGTAATATTTTTAAATTTTACTTTATATTTAATATAACCTACGATTATTTTATCGATACGAAATAAGTATTAAAAAAGAAATATTTATCGACCGGTAAATTAAATAAATATAAGGTTAAAATTATTACATAAAAATTTTCATAAAAAAAAAAATTAAATTATAATAAAACTAAGGTAATAATTATTAAAACAACGTTTTAATAAATACTTATAACTTTTATAGCTATTTTTAACTAACATATAATTTAAATAAATTTTATTGCCGCTTATTTTAACGGTAATTTAAAGGAAAAAATATTTATAAAATAGTTTTTATTATTAAAAAAATATTTTATAAAACACCTTAACGAAGTAAAAAAGTGTAATTATTACCTTTTAAATATTATCGAGTTAATAAATTTATTATATAAATTAAGGTAATTTAAAGCTGCTTAGTAAATTAAAATTTATGGAATATTTTAACGATTAAATTATTTTCCCCTTAAAACGGACGATATTATATACATTAACCGAAAAAATAAAAATATTATCGCATTTTATATTAATAATTTCTTATTATATAAAACGAATTTAAAGTTATTAAAAACTCTTATTTTAGATTTTTAAAAAGACGTTATTATTATAAACTTTAAAAATATAAATTAATATTTTAAAGTTAAGATTATTAGATTTTTACTTATTAAAGATATTAAACTTAATTAAAAATAATACATTATTAAAACGTTAAAGATTTTAAATTTTAACAAATGTAAAGAAGTTATATTATTTATAAACCTTAAATCTTATATATATATAATAATAAAGGATAATATAAATAAAGTTAATTATTAAGCCATTTATAATTACGCTTCACTTATTAATAAAATAAATTTTTTAATATAAATAATTAAATTAAATATTACATTTGCCATATTTATATAAGTTAAATATATAAGTAATTTATTACTTAAATATATTATTAATATAAAACGTGTAATAAAATATTTAAAAGGTAAACTTAATTACTTTTTACGTTATAAAAAGCTTAATAATAATTATTTATATTTAAAGTATAATAACTTTAAATTATTTAAAGTAATTAACTTTAATTACGTTAATAATATTAATATAATTAAGTTAATTATTAAATATATATTCTTCCTTATAAAAACACTTATTTTATGGTTATTTAAACTTTAAGTAATTGTTACACGAAGCATAGTTAAGATTAAATATATAGTTATATTATTCGTGGTTTTAAAATTTGTATAAATCCGTAATTTTTTCAAGGAATTTAAATTTATATCGAATGGATTTATTATTATTTTAAACGATAATAAAGCTGCCTTAAAATAAAGCGAAAAAATAGCTATAAATAAATAAAAAAAACATATACGTAAAAACTTTCACTACGTTAAGCAAAAAATAACTATAAACCACATTAAAATAAAATATATTAAGTTAAAAAAAAACCTAATAAACGGTTTTATAAAAACACTTAAAAAATCGAATTATATTAAATTTATTAAACTATTAAATTTAAAGTTTTACGGATAAAGTTATCGTAAAAGTAAAAAAACATATAAGTAATAAAATTAAACGGCATAAATAGGAATAATATTATATTAACCTTAAGTTAAAAAGGTGTATAAGTAATAATAACTTAAAATTACCTTAATTATAACTATTTAAAGCATTATAATATAATTAATTAATTAGGCTAATATATAAAGCCATAATTAGGCCCATAAAATAAAGTAGTAATTTAATTTAACCTTCTCCATAATTTGTAACTGGTTATAAAAAGGAAAAAAAGAATTAAAAAGAGTTTTATTATCTACACCCCCCTTTTTTGATAAACAAGCCTTATTTGCACCCCGGTACATTGAGATCGCAGCGCAAAAGGTCCGAGCTTTAAGGCTAGCTTCCATCAAAAGATCCAGTATAACCTCCAATCCAAGAATCGGATTGAAGTGCATCCTATATCATTCGAATCAGCTCAATTAGACGATCCAAACGATATATGTTTCAAATTGACGCGACCCGTGGCTGTAAAGTTATTCAACTTTAGAGATTGCAGTCTACCTTGAAAATGGTACAAGTTGAAGTGGTCCGTGCATCACGTGATGCCCCTCCGCTAGCGCCAGGCTAGCGGCAAAGCGTCTATTTCACTCTTTTCTGAATAACTTTGCAACCACCGGTCTGATCAATCTGAAACATATATCATTTGGATTGTCAAGTTGAGACGGTTCTAATGGAGCTGGATGCATTTCAATCCGGTTCCTGGATTGGAAGTTATTTAGGGTTATGTGTTTGGAGCTAGTTGGAGCGCTCGGACGACCGGCATTTTTTCACTTTTTTTCCATGTACCGGGGTGCGAATAAAGCCCTTTAATCAAAAAAGGGGGGTGCGGATAACAAAACTCATTAAAAAAGTCGACTGTCTGAATTAAAGACTTTAGTACTGTGCAGGCATATGCATGTGTTATGTACCGGTATTATGTAGTTATTATGCATGTCTCTCAGGACGGCACCTGCCACTTCTCCCATGACCTTTATCTATTTACTAAGCAGGGGTAGTTAGGTCTTATCGATAGAACCACCTTTACACCTTTACACCTTAAGCTTCACTAGATCCATCCATGCCTCAGCTCACCTCGTACCTCACCCACCTCACCAGATACCTAGTATCAAGAAAACCACACAACTGCCCAACATTCCTTGATGCTTTGCTCTCTGTATATTTCTCTTCTCTTATTCTTTTTGATTTTGTATTCAGTTGACTTTCACACCCCCCTTTTACAAAAGACATAATACATAATTCTAAGATGCAACCGAGAAACACCTTGGAGTGCTAAATTCCAAGCTTCATATCTCATCCTCCGTATTCCATCTGGTGATTATAGTAGTTAGGATAGAAGAAACCATGAGTTTTGGATCTTCTTTTCTGTCAAAAATGGGGTTTACCGAAAACAAAAGGCCCGCTCTCTCACCTTTACGAACCTCCCCGCTACCCTCATCCGAAGAACACGACCTCTCTGAACTCTCACCCCGACCCGACGATGCCCTCCTATCCCCCGACTTTCCGCAAGATTTTTCCAATAGAAATTCCACCTACAGCATCCCCAAAGGGTCAAGCACAAATCGTAAAGGAAAAGCTATCGCCTTTGCCTATCAAGACAGGCCGCAGTACTCACGATCTAGAACCCAAAATTCCTCAACCGACTATAGCGCACAGAAAGATCTTAAAGTACCTCCAGGTATCTGGCGACCAAATATTCGTGCCGAACAACATGACGACAGCCATGCCACCAATAGACTTCACACCTCCCTTGTTGAAAGTATATTCATGGGCCGACCCGATCGAGCATCCGACCGCACGTCACGCCTTGAGGTTGACAACTCTTTCAAAAACATCCAACGAAGAGAGCGACAGATGCAGAAGGAGCTTCAAGGCTTACTAGATGCCCAAGGCGCAGCGTTAGAACGGGACCTTGCGGGAGACGATGCGGGAAAGATGTCTTCTTCCGAGTACACTAAGCGAGGAAACTCCCCCGACTCGGTAGGGACCGCTACGGAGTCTAAACCGTCAAGAAACTCTGTTGTGCCTGTTCGCCAGCCTAAAAAGAAACCCCTATCTAAACGACAGGCTCGCGTTGGCATCGCACGATTTGTCACTATGCTGGCAGACCTTAAAAACGAGGAGGATGCCTACATTGCTAGTGCGCTAGCTGAGCGCAAGACAGCCTTGTCTAAACTGCGCAGCCTATCCTCCCAGCGTAAGTCCGTAGTGGCCGAGATGAAGGCGCTAGAGGAGGACGATGAACTCCCGATCAAGGTGGAAATTGCTACCATGGAAGATCAGCACCGTACGGTGTGTTCTACCATTGAAAGGTTAGAGGAAAAGCTGAGGGTGATGCGGAAAGCCAAGGCTGATCTAGAAAATCGGCTCATGCAGGCGCGAAGCACTCGTGATTCGAGTCTTAGTGGCCATCGGGGCGCACTCAAACAGTGTGACCAGGGGATATCTGAGCTCATGAAGTACCCGGGCATACAAGTGCTACAAGTTGAAGACCTACAAGGAGAGGGTGAAGACACTGACGCGCTCATGGCCAGCAACGTGACCGGTGTCGAGTTTCTTTCCCTCCGCCCCGAAAGAAGAACGATGGAGATGGCAAAAGATTGGTGGGAAGGCGAAGTAGCCATTCTCGAACAGCGTAAATCTGCTGTCGACGAAGAGCGAACCGCCCTAGAGGAGGGCAGCGAGATTTGGCAGCAAGTCCTCTCGCTCACCACCGATTTTGAGACTCATTTGAACGAGACGCTCCAAGTTGCTATGAACCAACGGAGCCCCGCATCTGAGAATCCAGAGAATACTCTACGGGAGCAATATAAATCCCTTAAGGCGACGCTGCGCGAAGTCCGCCGACTACAGGCCTATGTTGAGTCTCACGGATGGAATCTTTTGATCGCAGCCATCGGTGCCGAACTTGCGCATCTTGTCGGGCTTAAGGATTTCCTGGCCGAGGTCATCCGCGGCACTGGTTATGATGACGGGTCTATCACGCCGCGACAGGCACCGGGCCAGGAGACGCCTAACGGCAACGACTTAGTTGATGTACGCGAAAGGGGTTACATAGACGAAGAAAAGAGAGAGCCAGAAAACGAGGAGCTAAGCCGAAGTGTGATTCGCCGTTGGGATACCCCCGAGACCGAGGCTGAACCGCCTCGTGGCTCCCTTCTCACGGAGCTATTAAACGGAGCAGAGCAGCATCGGGATGAGAGCGACAACGAAGTGCCCCCGGGTCTTTTCAACGAAACCCAACATCATCACGAGAGCGAGGACGAGCAGCATAATGACATCCCCGTAGAGTTCTTATCCATGCACAGCTCGCCGCTGAGCCGCGACGGCGGCACGCTTCGCACCATCGCTAGGAGGGAGAGCAGCGAACATGATAACGATAACGAGGTCCCGCCGGACCTACTCGCCGAAGCCCCTAGACATGACGATGGTGTTGATTAGTGTGAAAATACCTAATTACCTAACTAACTCATGAAGAAGTTGGTTCTTTTGGGAGTAATGAGATGGGATCATGGATTGGCGGAGTTTTCTCAAGGGCTTATACATCATTCAACATTAAGGAAAGGAGTCTTAGATCGGAGGTACTGCTTGAGTGTGCTTTGGTTGGTTGGTTGGTTTAAGTGTCAATCGTTCAGTCAGTCATGGCCCGGTGGGACGGAGTTCAGGGTTGGCTAGTTTACCTCTAAGATACCACAAAGCGTAGAGTAGGTAGACAGGCTGTTCTATCATGTTGATACGATATATATATATATATATACATATATATTTTTTCTTCTGCTATCCACAATCACATGCCTCAAGGGTTAACAGTCGGGCAAAGAGCTTTACGGTTCTAGATTCGTCGCTACTCCCAAGGTAACCTACCCACCTACCTACCTACCTAGCCAAGCTTACTAGAGTGTGTCTAACTATATGGTTGCTTGCTTGCTCAGGAGTAAAGTATTAATGGATAGGAGGTACAGTAAATAGGTAACGTCCATGTGATTGATTGATCTACGTAGCCATGTCGCAGCTCAAAGGTCATAATAGATAATAGGGTACACGACAGTCGATTCCCGCAGCGAATGAATACTAAGAAAATATGTTGGGGACGAGGAACAAGTGTCGTTCACAATGCCAAATGCCAATTACCTAAGTAGTAAGGGTGGGTACTGTAAGGTTGGGCAGGTAAAATCAAATCAATCCTCTTTCCTATGTAACACAACACGACAGCAAAGCAAGAAGTTGCTCTGCTGTGCGTGGATCTACACACAAACACAAGGGGGGATAGAGGTTAGGTACTGTAGGTTGGTTCTTGTTCTTGTTTTTGGTAATTTTTTTTTCATTCCGTCGTCTATTGCAATAGCAGGAAATTCATCAAAGGGGGATATATGGTATGGTCCAGTAGCAAACGCCTGTTCGTGAAGTGTGTGGGGGTGGGCAGGGAAACAGAAAAGACAAATCCAATCCACGCGCAGTGGTGATGGATGCGTGGTGAGGTATAAACTGTTGTTAACCAACACCTTCGCAATCAGGTCGACGATGCATCTCCCCGAATGCGTGAGACAAATACTGCTTCCCGTGAATAGAATAGCGCGGCGGAGGATATAGCGGCCGTTTTGAGTCGTTTGCATGGATGGGGTCTTAAAACATTCCATCCATCGAACCTCTCTTTCTCTCGTTCTCTCACTCGGAAACCCTCGACATGTCCCCCTTATCGAGTCCGCTGGAACCAGCCGCTCGAGCCGGCTATTGCAACGGACTGGTCCATAACCCACTCACCCACGCCCAGGTACTTTTCTATCCACTTGTTGGCATCCTTGCCATCGCCGACAGTAACGCGCTCGGTGTTGAAACTAAAGTCGGAATCTGTGTTAGCCCTCCTACTCCTTTCTTTTTTCCCATGTCTCGGAATATTCCCCGTTGCTTTACTTTCCCCGTTGCGCATCGGAAAGTTCACCGCAGAAAGTCGAGCGCCTAGTTCTAAGTGTTGGGGGAGGAGTGGGCGATGGTATGCTACTCACGTCAAACCAGTTGACCGCCTCATACCAGCAAGGATAGTCGAGACTATGAGGGTTTAAATGTTAGTCGCCAGCTCTCAAGTAACTGGTGTATAGAAGAGGCTGGTTGCGTTGCGTACTGAGAACCGCATCTACGGCGTAGTGAGTGAGTCGTCCGAGCTTTCCCCAAAGGCCAAATGTCAGCAAGTTGAGAAACTATTAGGCAGCAAGCACATGCATCAGAGTTCAGCGTCGTCTTAAAAGAAAGCAGGACAAGTTAAAGGGAAATATAAATAGGTAGATAGAGTAGTAACTACCACCGAGGTAAGACGCCTCCTAGTTTCCTCTGTGGAGAACTACTCTGTAAAAAATGTCGCCGCGTGCTGGTAGAGAGGAAAGGAGGTTGCGATGACGGAAAGAGGGGGGAAGCGGTTGCGCGCAGGAAGAACATACCACCATTTTGACGATTATTGAGCTATTGACTAGTAACTTTTGTGTTGCTTCGGTTTGCGAGGGGATATCAGGTATCAAAATAGTGTTGATTGAGAGAATGAGAGGTTTGTGTGTTCGTTGGTGTCACTTTGTTCGGTTTGGGTGTGAGAGGAAGGAGGAAGAAGTATTGTATGAGATTGTATGTATGTAGAAGAGAAGGAAGATCACAAGATGCAGGTGGTTTGTCACAAGATCGGTCAGTTAAGTTACCGGTGCTAACATTCAAATTGAACTTAAACTAACCTCTTAGGTTTAAAGAGAAGGTGTATTTCCGTCTTTGTAGCGCGCTAAACTGTACATCAGACTACATCTTGTAGCTCTTGTAGCCATTATTAGGTCCGCGTGGCGGTGGGCCAGTGGTACCAGCACCTACATTAGCACGTTACAAGGACCCCTTGTCCCCGCACCTGCCTTATGGATGGTACCTTTCGATACATAACAGCCCTGAAAATCTAGAAGCACGGGCCTGGTAGCCACACTTACATAATCCCTATAGGAGGCTGGTAAAACCCCTAACCTACAGTACAGTACTTCAATGTTGTACTAACCTTAGCTAACTTGTACATAACTATCCCGTACTATTTAGTTTAGCCGCCGAAAGAAAGGAGAAACTCCATTTCCAAATCAGTTTAACTATTTGATACTCAAGCTGCGCCATGTTATTATCAGGATCTATCAGGATTTATTCATACATTGGGCCAGCCAAATGAACTGATTAGGCTTTCCCTGGTACTCTTATCCAATGAGATTACCCAAATTCATCGCTCTTAAAAAGGGGAAATACGAAAGCCGTTTTAGATAGGTCCCCAGCTTTGAGAAGGCGGATCGTTCCTTTAAACATCCATGAAAGCATCAACTATTACATCGGTACCGAGTTCTGGAATTTGCTATCCGTCATCCGCCATCCCTATCCATATCCCATTATCTTGGAAGTAATGCCGGTCCGCACAACCAAGCTTTATATCCCCATCCCTATCTCTTAGCCTAGGCATTACTCTACAGATAGTTAAGTCAGATGCAATTACATATAATAACAACTGATCTTGAAGGCGCAAATTCCATGTTCTAAATAATCGAATCGAATTCGCTCCTTAAGGCTTCATCAACTTGTTTCCATAAATTTCTGTATTGATCACCATGAACATGTTGTGTGTCTTCTAGGTCCCGCCTCGTGACACAACAAAGGAGTCTGTATTGTGCCTAACGTAACTTCGATGTCATGTCTTAACCCCTGGGTAAATGGCCCAATCTCAACTAAACCGCCTCAATTCCTACGAAATAGATGTTCACAGGGGTGGGCGAATCCTTTCGCAATGTTACTGCGTGCCTTCGACGCGATGAAGTTTCTTACCCCTATCTCGTTGGTAGAGCAGGCAATGTCAGGGGCTATGGCAGAGGAGCTACTATTGTCAGCAAAACTCCTACAGGTTCCCCTACGTGTATAGGAGGATGGCCTTGTCTTATCCCCCATCGTATTGGAGAACGGCAGACGTTAATACAGTTATGAAACCCCCGTGGGAGATATACTACATACCTAACCATATGGGAGACGTTATAGACTCGCATTCACTCCTTATACCTAAGATCCAATCTCGGACGGCCATTACAGGCAAAGGCTTTTACAGTCAGTCTATGAGGGGTGACTAACTAGCAGCTCAATTTGGGCATGACCTACAAGCTGTCTTGCTATTACATGCCCGAGACAGCGCCTACAAACATAAATGCGACTCTGACAGAGGGGGTGTATCACGAGGCGGAACCTAGAAGACGTAGAATAACATCGTTGTTGCGCGGGGATCTCTCCCAGAGACTATGGAAGCTACATATACACGTAAGTCGTCTTTGTTCCATGTAAACCTCCATGTGCTCCTAGGTAGACCCTTTACAGGGCGAGCTTAATAACTGAGTTACCACACTCCATCTACCTGATCTTTACGATCATGTTCACAAAATCTCGTGCCATGATGGCACTGGAGTCAAGATCTGCCATATAATAGCATATAAACGTGAGTTGGGATGGTTTACAGCAAAGCATCATCGAAATACGGGAGAGTGACAAGTCAGACGTGTACTCAACGTACATTTGTTTATGGGTCCCTGATTGAGATCTGCTTTCTCTGTCAAGTGTCTACCCAGATACCAACTATAGCAAAGATTTATAACTAGATGCATATGTGGTATCCTGTAGCCTTCGGGGAGAAGGGGGGTTTGAAGTCCTAACGCAACAACGACGTTGCTCTGCATCTTCTGAGTCTTGCCTCATGACATCCTCTGGTCCTCCTCTATACGAGTTCCAAGCTAAGTCTCTGTCAGTATACAACAGAAGCTTGTGCTGGATTATGTACAAAGCTTCAGAGAACACACACGTACAGTTAGAGTGCTTCGCATCCTCGCAATAGGTTGAAAAGGTAAGCGTTAGGGGATTACTGTCACTGCACTACTTCTTCCCAGCTTTCACTCTACGTATGACAACGATCACGGAATCCTTTACCAACAGTATCACTCCATCCAAGTAGCGATGAGCAGTGCTGGATCGTCATGATAATAGACTAGGCAGTGACAATGTCTAGTGACTCTAGTCCCCCTCATATTACACCTAGTCACCAGCCCCTTATACGGGCCCGACGCGTGACTCTAAGTTGCCCCTGAGTTTGAGATAAAATGCATAGTTGATATGCATCGTGAAGCACAGAAATTTCACCCTTTATATTTTTTTTTCTTGAGAATGGTAGACGCGCTATAGAGACGCATACATAGGGTTCCCATGTGTTGAAAAGGAACATAGATGAAAACTACCTAGGGTATTAAAGGGGTAGGATTCTACGACTTCGATGGTTCCAAACATTCAATAGCCATCCCGTAACCCTGATAATACGGAGTGCTTTGATACTAGGTACCCTAACACTGGCCTATAAACTTCCACCATGATGCTCATTCACGTTTTTCTTTCGCTGTAGTAGCGCATGCGGGCTAGCAGGCAGCATCGAGGGCTCAGACACGCGGACCCGAACACGGGCTTCGGCCTAGTCACCGGGCCAGCCAATACCGATTCGGTCAGTCTCACCCCGAAGCCTCTGTCACTCCTTGTTGACGGCGAGTGCATCAATGCCAGCCCTGAGATTGTCACCAATCAGTCACCTTTCCACGCCCTTGGATCAGCTACACTGGTAAGCCTTTCGCTGCGCGATGAGAAAAGGGGGTTGCCGATGACTCATCCCTTACGACAAGTTTGGTCTTTGCTTTGCTAGGTACCTAGTTAGTGGTACTTGGCTAACCCAGATTATTGTTAGGGTCTGTCCTGTGATTAGAGATCTTGCGCCGGGTGATAGAAAGTAGGTCATACAGCAACAGCTCAGTGGTTAGATACAAGCCAGGGCTTATAACAGGAGTGATAACTGCATTAACGGCTGCCTTCTATTCTAAATTAGAGAAAAGGGGGTGTGCTGCCTGGCAGCTAGGCAGAGGTCAAGACTGGCTCTCCTTGAGGCTTCTGAAAATTATTGTCTTCAAGGTTCTATTGAAAGCGGTGATGCTTTTCCTGGTGACTAGGTACCGGCCCCCTGGATGAGTATGCGCGATTATAATTCAACAGATATTATAATTAAGAGATAGGTAAATATGAAAAAGGGGTATATTGATGATGAAATTCGCTACGTAAGTTCGTTCAATAAGAACAATAGCTGAAACATATAATGCCCGGTCTCTCCTTTTCTCGCTTCGATCCAATAGGAATGCCCGATTTGTGCCCTGGGCACACTAGCAGCATTCGTAAAACATTTCCATGAGCTGAGGGCCAGCCGTTATAAGTTCGTTAATTGCCTAAACCCCAAAAAGGACAAGCCCTTTTGTGCCCTGCCCCCCTTACAATGACGAAGGGGCAAACAACCCCCAAAACTTGACTTTTATTTTGGTTCTTGATGTCAAGTATAAATCCGACTTCCACCTTGGGGACATCGGTGTCGTCATGTGGCGACTGGCCGTCATAATTTCTGAGACTTTCGGCTGGCCCTGTCAATCTCATCTATGACGACCTATACGGAGGGCGACATTGGCCCAATGAAGCCGACGCTAAGGATTTCTAACCTTCAACGGGTTATAGCGAGCAACCAAAAAGTAGCAAAATAGGGTATATATTCATGATGCTCTTTCAAAGATAGACGTAAACAAGACTCTCTTTTCCCAAGCTCATAACAGATCGACCGATCGGGTATCTTAGATAACCTAAGCACGTCAGGTACATTAATCGACGGCTGGCTAATGGTAAAGGTAGGTATTAATAACACCGCACGGGATTAGCTCAAAGGGTTGGGTAACCTTCTAGGCCCGGCCTAACCTAGCCAACTCTCCACCACGGACCGGTAAGCCAACGCTGCCGCCCCTGGCAACCGGCAGTACATATGGGTTGTAGCGGCGGTAGCATTTCGTCATCATCGCCGTCTGGCCAGGATCGGCAACCTGGTCGAACTAAACGCGAGCACTAAGATCAAAAATGTGATTAGGAGAAAGGAAAAAGAGAAGAGAAAGAAAAAGAGAAAAACAAAAATCATTTAGATTAGATTAGATTCGTGATCGTATCGTGTGTACGGCGTATGTGTGTGTGTTTCTAAATTAAATGATTGGTTGAATCTCTCTGATTCTGATTTCGAAAATTAAATTGCGCGGAAAATAATAAAATAAAATGATTTTTGGGAGTTTGGGGCAAACGAAGGGAGTGAGTGGCTGGCTGGCTGGCTGGCTGGCTGGGCTGGGCTGTTCTTTTTCTTTTTAAAATTTCCTTCCCTTTTCCTCCATTATCCTATTCCATCCCTCCCTTTTTTTTTTCTTTCTCTTTTATCCTTCGTATTCTTTTTTTCCCCCTTCTTCTTTCGGTGTAGAAAAAGTTGGGTGGGGTTAGTGCGCTCTTGAGTTGATCATTGTCTCCTTACAAGCGTCGTGATTGAATGAATGAAAATGTGAGATTGGGGTCGGGTGGACTCATGCTAAGCTGAGCATGACAAGTTCTGATTCCTCGAGATGAATTATTATTGGGATTATTGGGATTAATGGGATTATTGGGGGGGCTGTGGAAATTCTGGCGGGCATAGCGATGCGTCAGTGGCAGAAGTGGAAGAAAGAGGAATTATCGTGATTGGTGAGATTTTGGTAAAGATGCAGGTGAATTAGCCTCAATTATCACCAATCGTTTGCATCAATCACACTTAAACTCCCTAGAATCGTTGGTCCAAAATGACGACTCATTCATCATTGGTCTCCTTCTCTTATGGCATCTTTTATACTCTTCACTGATAGGCAGAGAGCTGGGTTCAAAACATAAACATCCTTCCTGCCCTTGTAACTGTCCTTGTGACATTTCCGGTCTGGTGCAGGGAGGGGTCACACAGGGGGTGAGGCTTTATCCAATAGTGTGGCCAGGTGATGAATACTGTTGCGGATGCCTGTGGGTAAGCCTGGGATAGATGGAGTCTATGGACTACTATGGAGAGTCTACTACATAATATGGAGTCTTATGGCACGACCCATCTCCCGTTTTCCTGCAGGCTGTAGCTCTCAGACTCCCCCATAAACCTCTGGTAATTGATGGCAGGAAAGGTCGGAAACAAATAGAAAAGGACCCAGATTTCCCAGATTTGACCTACACTTTGCATTCGCAAATTACTTTACTGGAAATTACTATCCAGCTATATCCAAGCCTATTATCCAAGCCTACTATCCAAGCTATTCCTTCTATTATTCTTCTATCTGATCTGTCCAAGACTCTACCTTGGTAGTTATACCTTACCCTTCCATGAAATACTGATAGACACTCAAATCTTAGCCTCTACCTAATATTACTACCTATTCTCTCACCTTACCTTACCTTTACCTCGTGTTTACTTAGTAGTAATCTTGTAATATATCCACATTATCTGACAATATTCCGAGATAAGCTAGAGCCATCCATCATGCACCCATCGGCTTCTACACATGACTACTATGCCATCCTCGGTGTCGGGAGGAGAGCGGACGCCGAGAGCATCAAGGCAGCATGGAGGCACCTGGCGAGGGTCAAACACCCGGACAAGAACCCCGGGAACCCGAAAGCGACAGCAGAGTTCCAACTGGTTCGTTCACCGCTCACCATTCACCGCTCACCGTTTCACACACCTACCATTTTTTTTTTCATGAGATATGTTTTTTTTTCAACTTACTTACGCATCATGGCAGTTACAATCAGCTTACTCCACGCTGAGCAACCCAGAGCGACGGAGGCAATACGATGAGCTTCGCTTCGCGTACTCCTTCGAGAAGAAGAAGAAGCAGGCCAGCAGCAACAGCAACACAGAACGCAGCAGCAGCCGTCGCGCATCGTCAACGCCGCAGCCCGCATCATCATCACCACCCCACCCATCTAGTGGCCGAGCGCCCAAGGGACCCGGGAGCCACGCGTTGAAAGCGCGGCTGGAGCGCCTGCGCGCGATGAAGGCCGCGCACGAGGCGGAGATCACGAAAGCGCGGCTGCGGATGAGCTCGATGGACTGGGAGACGAACCACGGCCGCGAGGACGACGTGTCCGACACCGAGTCCGGGGTGTCGACCGCCACCGCCTCGTCAACCTCGTCATCTGGCGCAGGAGCCTCCGCGCCGCGCCGACGGGACCACCACCGCAGCCACATAGACAACCGCAGCTGGTGGGAGAAGCTCGTGGCGACCGTGGTCTCCGGTGGCCAGGAAGAGGAAGACGACGAAGAAGACGAGGATGAGCACTTAGACTACGATGATAGCCAGCGGAAGGCAGCAGCATCAGCAGCAGCAGCAGACCAGCAGCGGAGAAGAGTGAACTGGGAGTCCGCGCGGCAGCACACGAAGGTGGAGCAGTCGATGCGGCAGTGGGAGCTGATCCGCTCGCTCGAGGTCGACCTGAGCCTGATCACGCGCGAGATCCGCAACGTGGTGCAGCAGGAAGCCGAGGAGCAAGAAAAAGCCGAGCTGGCTGCTGCAAAGCAGAAGGCGAAGCTGGAGAGGCAGCGGCGGCGCGAGCAGGAGCGCAGACAAGGGACGACGAGGGCTTGGTAAAGAAAGAAAGAAAGAGAGAAAGAGAGAGAAAGAAACTGAGGGTTGAAATGCAGAAATGCTGGAAACTGGGGGCTTTTCTCTTCTTAAGTTTTATCGTTTTACAGCTTGCGTGTGTGTGTCCTTTCTACTCCCTCTTCTGGTTGGTTTAACTAGACGTTTGACTGGGTTTAAAGCGTCAGGCGTCAAGGGGGGGAAAGGGTCGGTTCCTCGAAGGACAAATCCATGGGTCGTTATGGCTTGGGGCTGGTTCTTTTTAATGAAGCTGGGACCATCATTTCAGGACGATACCAAAAAATGGCTGGGCATAGTTATGGCGGAGATGTTGGGACAGTGTATCATGTATCATGTAAGTCGTGTCTCATACGGAGACTGGGCAGGCAGGCAGGCAGGGAGGCAAGGCATGGCAGGTTACTTATGGGTGATGAATGGCCTATGTAGTTATGTATGTAATTGTTTAATAGATAGTGTAGTGTAGATGTAATGACTGATATCTCCTGATGCATTTTATTTTCTTAGATAAACCAAGTTGATGTGAATGATGTGTGTATGTATGACCGATGCAACCAAACGCCCTTCTAATGCAGGCCATGCATTTTTATTTCTATCTCCCAAACCTATCATCTTCTTTCTATAGATTCTATAGATTCTTAATAGGAAACCGCGTTCTCAATCGCTCTCCATACCTGAACATGACAATTGCTACCGGAAACAGCGCGACAGCAACAAATCCCAGCAAACTGTTGCCCCAGCCGATGCCCAGTTTTTCGTACATCGGCAAGCCCGCCAACGGGAGCAGAGCACCTGCCAGAGACCGGACAACGGTGTTGGATGCAATGGCCGACGCCGCGTAGATCGTAAAGGTATCCACCAAGTAAAGCTGCACCGTCAAGAAGACAATGATGTTCCCCATGCCCACGACAGCCGTCCCAATGATCGGCGCGATCCAGTGCACCCGGAACGAGGCCGTCCACCCGTAGATGAACAACCCGGCCGGGATCAAGAGGGCCCCGACCGGAAGCAGCACCAGCCGGTACTCAGGCTTCATGTCTGGCTTGACGCCGCCGCTTGCCTCGGCTATCGCATCAGCCTCCGCCGATTTCCGCTTCATGTACTTGTCAGACGTCGAGCTGAAGATTAGAATGCCGAATATAGAGCCCACGCCCAGCCCGAGAAACGCCAGGCCGACCATACTCGTCGAGAAGCCGTAGTACTGCTGGAACACCTCCGTGATCGTCGTGAACATGAGGTACAGGTACCCGTACGTGACCGCCACGTAAACCGCCGCAATCGCCACGATGGGCGAGAGGAACAGCATGCGAAACGGGCGGACGATGCCGCGCTTGAAGTAATCCCTGGGCGACAGCCCGGCGTCGAGCTTCGACCGCAGCATATTGTTACCCGTCTCCCGGCGCAGCCTCGCCGCCTTCCGCTCCAGGAGCACCGGCGCGTAGCTCTCCTTCAGCGTGAACAGCATGAGCACGAGCAGCACGCCGCCCACGATCGCCAGCAGCCAAAACGCCCACCTCCACCCCTCGGCCGCGGTCAAGAACCCTCCCGCGACCGGCCCCACGATCGGGCCTAGCAGGGGCCCGATGCTGAAAATCGCAATCGCGATCCCGCGCTTCTCCTGCGTGATCATGTCGGCGATGGTGCCGCTGCCGTTGGAGATGGCGACGGAGCCGAAGACGCCGGACAGGAAGCGGAAGACGATGAGGGCGTCGAGCGTGGGGGAGAGCGCGCAGGCGACGGAGAAGGCGACGAAGCCGACGTTGGCGATGTGGTAGAGCATGAGGCGGCCGTAGATCTCGGAGAGCGGGGCGAAGAGCAGCGGGCCGGCGGCGAAGCCCAGGATGTACACCGACACCACGAAGGAGGCAATCTCGAGGGAGGTGGAGGAGAACTCGGCCATGGCTTGGGGGACGCCGGGGGCGAAGAGGGCTGGAGGGGGAGTTAGCTCTGTATACACTATTCCTCACGCCTTATAAACCTTGAAGGTATGAGAGGTGAGGTGAGGTGAGGTGAGGCAAAACATAAAACTCACATGAAGCCAAAGGCGAGACAAAGGTCATGGCACTGATGAACCCGCAGTTCATAACTTTCCGCCATGTCGGCCAGTTGTACGGATTCTCCTCGTCGTCGGGGCCATCCCACCAGACGACATTGAGACCCGAATCGGCATCATCGTCGCCGTCCTCTTCGCCGCTAGAACGCCCAGCCGCCGCTGGTAGTGGTACCCGCCCTTTCTCCACATCGTGATTTCCATTTCCTCTAACACCCCCCCTCTTACTACTACTAGCGATGGAGTTCCTCCTGCGCTCCGCTATAGACCGCTGGCGTCTGAGCTCCTCCTCCTCGGTGAGCACGAACCCCTCGCTGCTGGGGATGTCTGCGTCGTGTCCCTCGTCAATGGCCTGGCTGATCTTCCGGCGGAGCTCGAGCTGCGGGTCCAGTGGTGATGATGTGTTGTCATTTGGGCGTTCGCTGTCCGAATGCGTGCCAGCAGCTGTTGATGTTGTGCTTGGCGTCATTGCCTCTCTTCCCTCTTCTCCTTACTAAACTAGCTTCTTTCCTATGATGGCTTGGTGTTTTTAATTGACTCTTGCTATGCCACCCACACCTTTCCAAGAAAAAAAAACTATGGAAGATAGTCCAATAAGCTTGTGCGCTACGAGGGGAAGAAATAGAAAAAAAAGCTTGCCTGTTCTTAGCTTCTTGCGGGGAGATCTGGAGATCATGGGGATCCTAGGCGAGTCGATGGTGGCTGGAATGGATGGATCGCCCCGCGTCGCGCTATGTGTCGAATATCGATGCTCTAATGAGAAAGGGGGTCGTGAACCTTTCTCGATCCAGTTACCTTAGTCCGGGGGGGGAGGGGCGTTGCGTAGTTTGAACCTCTGATTACAAGATGTCGTTCGTATACCTAGGTACTGGGAATTCTACATCGTAAGATTGAGAGAAAGAGAAAGGAAAAGGTTGATAAAAGAAAGAAAGAATATTTGAAAATGGAAAGAGAGAGAAACAGTCACAGGGATAATTACACGGAGCCCACTTGTACAATACCTACTCGCCTTGAATCGCGAAGTCGCATATTTGCCGTAGCAACATTCGATTGGCCCATGTGGTGTGAAGGTCAGGGGAGGGCGCCGGCATTAGAGCTTATACGCTTATACTCTCCGAATGCGAATTTGACCTGAGCCAGGATAGCCCCCAAACGAAAATAGAGAGAGAGATATAATATACTAAGCCGACTATGCGGCCGCTACTATGTATAGTCCTGTATGTACTTGTATACCTACGTACGACGTACGTAGTTGCTTAACGACTCTTTACCGTGATGTTCCAGCTACTCGGACAAAGAACATTAGGCTATGATACAGCTTGTATGTATGATTGATATGCATACCTACTACATATGTAACAGTAGCGTTTTGGATACTACATACCCTCGGTAGACCTCAACTACCCTGCCCAGTGCCCATCACTTCGTAGGCACCAATTAGAATCTATCATATAACGAAGTACCTACACGGGTACCTAGACAAGGCGGTGCCTCGGACGCTTCGATATGCCCGATGCTCCAGCAGTCGCTACATAGTGTAGTGAGATGTTATAGAAAAAAGATTGTTTGTTCAGCAAAAGAATACGGATATTAAGCCGGCGCTACAGTTGAGTCCATATTGTGTAACTACCCGTTAATCTGTAGTGCACCTACATCCTACATCCTACATCCTATATATGTACAATATAGTTATGCAGTAGACGTCCAACTGCTTCCTTAGTCGCCGGATTGAGGATGGGTAAGGTCAAGTAAAAAGGTCGATGCCAATTCCCGATCTTATGCGGCACAGCCAAAAGTGCCGATCTACACAGGCATAGTTACATAGATATTGGCCTTCTTTTCTTTCTTCTACCACACTAATACTATGCAATAAAAGCTTACATTAATACCAACCAGCCCTATTAGGATGCTTGTATATAATATGTAGCGTGTTTGACTACCTATTGAGCTGCTGTGTAGAAACGTACCAGTCTGGTAATAATATCCGCCATCAGTGAATGAGACTCATTATGAGAGAGCAAGGTTGATTAACCTAGGTTAGAAAAAGCAGCTGCTCATTTGGGATAGCATGATAAATCGATGGATTTGCAAAAGACCCATTATATCGTATCGATCCTTGGCGACTCCACTGTCCGCTTAACTGCTCAGCTTTGCTTAACCTAGGCAGACAGGCTAGGAGCTAGACATGGACAGGTCACTTATGCAAGATATTATACATGTATGCTACGTGCCGTGTATGTATGTATGTATGTATGTACGAGCTCCAAGCAACCTCAAACCTGCATAAATCGGAACCAAATCGCACATCCGATTTGTTTTGCATCGCTGCATTGTAGCAAACATTGGAGACATTTAAAAAAGAAAAAAGCTTGTATGTCCCGCCCGCTGGGGGGGTCATCGTGTTCTTGACCAATGCATTCAGCGCGGTATTATGTCACTCCCTTCACTAGTCAACGCAGTATTTAGGAGCTGCCCTGCCGTGATACCACGAGCATGGTCATTCGACTGTCACCGCCGAACATTACCGGCCCTCAAATCAAGCATTCCCACGATTCCTGGAGGTCGTCTCACCGGATCAGACGTCAGAGCATTCCGAATACCTGGTGTGCTGTGCCGTAACGCGTAGTAAGTAGTAAGTCGTCTTACGCCCTGGCCTTGATCCTTTGTGTTGGTAAGGAAGTATGTGAGTATGTGGGATTATACCTAGGGATTCATCAGCAGTATCCTGTTTTTGGCAGCTTCAGCTTGTGACAATCCGTCTGTGCTGATTCATCGAAGTACCTAGGGTAGGGGTATCCAATAGGATGGACGGCCATCAACTTCTTGAATAGGCACATCTTACGAGGTTCGATGGATCTTGGAAATCTCCACTGATCTGTAGTCGTGCCACTTACATAGTTGTCGCGATCGTGAACCGTAAAGAAGATATTGTAGGCTCGATTCGCATTACAGATAGATGATGAATAAGCAAAGACGAACAAAGGTGAAATCATTCCCTTGGCCAAGTTGAACTCGATGTCAAGAGCAGCATTGCGATAGTAGACAGTATCTTTTATGATGGACCCCTCAAATATAAACTCAACCACTTAAACGCCATATTTCTTGGTGTCCATCTTGTCATATCATACCAACCAGTAAGCAAACAACCCAGATATGGAGCATACTATACATACCTAGCACCGGCACTGTAACTTGGCATTCTAGCTGTGTTAGAGTGCGTGCTAAAAGCAACGATGTTTATATGCTTACCTAGGTATACACGGACTTTGAAAACCATGATACCCTTGCCGCGGCAATATCATAATAAAACTATGTATCACGAGTAAAACCTCCAACTCTAGAAGCAAACCCCAAAAGGAGATACAACCCCAGTTCACTACCTCTCACTGCCGATGTTGCCATCAAGACTGCTACCGCAGAAGTTGCACCACGACAAAACTCCCTCCTCAGCTACCACTGCGGAGAAAAGGGGGGGTTGCTGTCGGCTAAACCAATATATGCTAGGTAGGTATGTACTTGACCGACTAAACTACATACAAACTACGACATGGTGCGCTTGGGCTTAAGGGGGAGGGGGCCGGGAATAACTAACTGGCAGAAGCTTTGAACTTGAAGCCCAGCAGCAATGACATTTTAGGACGCCACTGAAGGGTTGAGATATGATATATCCAAAAACCCTGAGTGAATCATTTACGCGAAGGAAAAAAAAAGAAAGGGGTTATTTATCGACAAACACTACACTGAGTAGCTACGAGCATCGCAAACTACACATTAATAACTGAAACCTTTATAGAACAATCGTTGTTAGAGTTTCTCTATGGACTACCTAGCATTGTTGTTTATATTGAACAGGACCATTCAACGCCGGTATAGAAAGCCAGTAAGCAAGCATTCAGCTGTTAGTGCAAATCAGCCCATCCATTTCAATCCTGAATAGAACATATAAAATATGTTCTAGACCCGACTATACATATCTACCAATCCACAGAATGGTCTACAGCTCCAGTTGAACCTGTGGCATTATGCTCATCCTCTTCATCATTTTCCGTAGGTGTCTGTGCTCTCCCCTCACACTCAGCGAGGAAATCATAAGTTTCCCTTAGGACACCAAATCTTCTGCCGTTAAGAAGATCAAGAGCAGTGCATAGGTGAGAGTCGACGAGTGCGGCATTCGCGCCGCGACTCACAAGAAGCTCGACTGTATCATGGAGAATAGCGCGGGACCCATTATACTCGGCGCAAATGGTATGAAGGGCGGTACGGCCGTCCCGATCCTGATGGTTGATATTGCCGCCACTCACCAGAACCTTGGTGATAAAGTCGTCGATGATACTTGAGTCAGCTGGTGGGCATTTTGCCATGATGTGAAGTGGCGTGCGGCCACGATTGTCTTCGGCGTTAATATTGGCGCCAACTTCAAGAAGAAGATTGATTACTTTTTCATAACGCTGACTGTGTCGGCAAATAGTATGGAGAGGGGCCCTTCTCCATGGAATACATATCAGATTTGGGTTCGCGCCGCTTTTGATCAAGGCTCGGATAAATCTGATGGCGTATGGAATGATGATTTCGGCATATAGACTTTCCCGTTGATTGGAAACCACAGGCTCCCGGACGCGCAAGAAGAATGGGTCGGGATCGTACTCTGTCAAGTGAGTAACGATTTGGCAAATGGGCCTATGGTGAGTGAAAGATTCTGTGGCATTGGGATTTGTGCCGTGCTTAAGCAGCACCTTAACTTTGCGAAGCCGGACCTTTAGAAGTTTTTCGAAGCAGTCCTTGAAGGTTTGAAAATCTACCAGCTGATCTAGCGACGTTTGGGGTGGGCCAAAGTGTAGCTGACTATGTAGAGACATCAAATCTCCATAGGGAATGGAGAAAAGCCGGCCATTGCCGTTAGGACTAGGATCAAGCTCGTTGTATAGTGGACTTAGATTCATATTAGCACCATGGGTCTTGAGCAGGCCAAGGCATTTGTCCAAATCCGCCTCCTCTTGGAGATAGTGAACTGCCCAATTGACGGGATACCACCGTCGCGAATATCTTTCGATCGGTGAGGGATCCGGTGTGTTGACATCGGCGCCACGACGAAGAAGTACGTCCAGTACATCAAAAGATCTTAGTCGAATAGCAGCTGTGATCGGGCTTAGAGGAGTCTTGCAGGTGTGCTTCAAACCGTCAATCTTTATTGAATGCTGTTTCTGAAACACATAGTTGACTAATAGCTGGCTGTGGCTGAGTACACGGTTCAGGACGTGGACATTGTTTTTGGTGCATGCCCACAGGAGGGCATAGTGATCCTCAGCGGCGTCTTGTTCCAGCATGAAAGTGCACAGAAACGTGGAAAATCCACGACATGTGCGAGCAAGATTGGCTCGATCTTTCTGAGATAAGTACTTGGCGACTTGCAATACCGTTTCGACAGGCACTTTGTTGATGCCTTCAGTGATACTGAGTGTGGAAGACATCTGAAGGGCCAGTCGGGCGACTTGCGATCCACCAAACCGATGTTCCGATATAGTTTCTTGTCGGGAGAGCTGTCGACGGTAAAGGGAAAGGATGTGACGATGAATATCGACGTTCGAGGTCGCGGGGGAATTTGATGTTGATGCCATATTGTAGTGCTGTAGTGTTGTAGTCAAGAGTGTGTAGGGAGTCCCGTATATGTCGTAGAGAAATGTTGAAGGGAATGGCAAGATCGATGTGAAAGGTGATCGATGTGTGGGAGAATGTGTGTAATGGTACGCCGTTAGTGATACTAACGTTTCTCTAACTATGCAATAATGCAATAACGAAAGGATATAACGACCAGAAGTCACAGAATTAACTGCGAATGCTCTGGTTTATTTCGTTAGTAAATTGGGTTCAAGGTTACCTTTGGTTGTGGGGAGGAAAAGAAATTTAAAAATAAAAATAAACGCCTAAAGAATTAGATTAAATAGTGGGAGAGACGCGGGAAAGACTACAAGATCGCACTTGCCACATCGAACGGCGTAAACGAGTACCAAAAGATGGCAACTACGTATCGTAACTTCACAACGCGACTTGTTTGCGAACTCGAATGGAAGGTACGCTAAGGGGGGGACTGGGCCGGAGCCTCAGGTTCTAGGGCCTCAGTCTTGAATACTTCCACAGTACATAGCTACCAGGTAAAATGTAAGTACATACGTATGTACCTGACAATGTCGATAAGATGACACTATATTCAGGTAAGTTGTATGAGTATTTCTGTATTTCAAGTTGTTTGATATCACACCCCCCTACTTGACGTCCTCCCCCCTTTTCCTTATAAAACCAAATCATCCCATGTCATAATGCCTCTTTGTTTGTAGCAGCACCTTTATTATATCAAGGTGTATGAGCTTAATAGAGCAAGAGGTGAACTTCATATCTGGAATATCAACTTTGTGAACCAATATTTCACTACTACTTGGCCGAGTGGCATTAGAAGATCAACGTTGACACGATTCTTGAATGATCTTTTGGGCACCTAGGTATGTATATCCAGTTACTAGCTGAAGTCCATTAGAAGACAAAGGTCTCCTAGCTCAAGTATATCAATCTATATCGCAGAGGATTGTCCTTACTTGGATTACCTGTAGTTATTCCTCAGTTTCGATCTGATACGTTAGCGAAGTACACATCATGAGGCTCAGCGTGATGCATGTAGTCATCGGTACATAAGTAGCTGTACCTAGCACGAGCCTAAACCTTAACCCCAGCTAGCGTCACTACACTAAATCAAGGTATGTAGTACTTAAGTACCTACACATGTTCCAAGTTATTAGCACCTACCGTAATTTTACATGTGGTGAGCAACATCGAACGTGCCTGAGAAAAAACGCCAGGCGCACGTGATCAGACTAGGACGAATAGGAAAAACGACAGGGGTGAAGTATCGAGTTTAAAGTGGAGCAACAACGTCACTCTCACAAGTTAAACCAAAGCAGCTCAAAGTGTTGTACTATGTAGTATGTACCAACCGAGTTTGTTGGGAGAACGGAGAGCCGCCAATCCAGTGAGCTTTTTGCTGGTAATAAAACCCCCTACTACTACCCGTTATATAATACATAAGCTTATCTTGAGGCCTTCTGTCTTAGGAAGCTACCTACTTAGATATCTCTACCTAACCTACCTAACCTACCTACCCTCTACAGGTTCTCTTTCGCTCTCACCACAATACACCTACCTACATGTAGGTACCTATCCTTACTATTGACGGAAAAAAAATATCACCAACCAGCTACATATACTAATCACCAGCTTAATAGGAAGGCAATAATGAAAAAGCAGACTCTCATCAACCCTTGTGATTTCTTACTTAGTCTAGCTACTAGGTAGCCAAGTACCCAACCTAAGACACTGAAGCGACTATACTTTATATCGACTGCAACGCTTTCTGCTATTCGTCTATTGATTTTACTATCTATTAACCGTTGCTATATAGAGTAGAATAGAACAGAAGAAAAACAGACAAGAGAGGTGGTAAACGGTCCGGGATATCCTATCGCAACTTGTCTCCGGCTTGCCAAAGGTCGTAATAACGGCCCGTCATGATTGGTACCTCGTTACCAGAGTACATCTTCATCCGTATATGCATATTCTTGCTGCAGTATACCACGCCACTCTGCATAGCATGTCTGGTCCTCTTGGCAATGTTCCACGGCTTCTGGGCAGCCGTGTCCGGTCCCATTGGTATAACGCTGGTGACCTACTGCTTGGTTGATACGCTGTACACCATTCTCATCTATATACCGCACAATCGGCGCTTAACAGAGGAGGCAAAGCACCCGCCGTCACTGGCACGTGAGGATCGCCGCGCCCTATTCCGGCGCTGCTTTGAGAATGTGCCTGACGTCCGACGCTACCTGCAGATGTGGTTCCTTGGCGCTGATGAATCAGAAATGCGGAGAGATAATGTGCGCGACTTCGTCCTTTGGGCCTTCTTCGATCTGTGGCCTGGTCAGGAGTCCAAAGAGGACGCGGCGGAGCTGGACGAGTACATCGACAACATCGAAAACCGTCTAGGGCGCAGATTGGAGCCTGGGAGAGGAAAGGCAGAGAGTTTGCGGTTAACGCTGGACGAAGTGGAAACCCGATACAGGAGTGTAGTGTGGTATTTGATTGTTGGCTTGGTCGACTTTGTGTCACATTGCCGACTAGCGTGGAATGGGTTTCATTACCATGCCCAGCAGTCGTCGACGATTTTGTCTGTCATCCCTCCACGGTTGCAGAATTCCATCACCCAAAAGTCTTCTGTGTCGGAGGGACTTAGCTATTGGTACCGCCCACACACGGCCACTGACAAGCTTCCCATCGTGTTCCTCCACGGTATCGGCATCGGTCTCTACACATACGTCTCATTTCTCTCACGGTTAAATTCGGAGCCATGGAAGAAAGATGGGGAGGGTGATATTGGTATTATTGCCCTCGAGATCCTCCCTGTCTCCTTTCGACTCACTGAGGCGCCATTGACCAAACACGAGTTCTTAAAGCAAATTACTACAATCTTGAATGCGCACGGGTGGGACAAATTTGTGCTGGTATCCCATTCGTATGGAACCGCACTGACAACCCACATGCTGCGTTCGGAAAGCCTTGCCCATCGGGTTGCGTCAGTAGTACTTGTCGATCCAGTGACCCTTTTGTTGCATCTACCAGACGTAGCACATAACTTTACGCGGCGGAGACCAACGAAAGCCAATGAATGGCAGCTATGGTACTTTGCGAGCATGGATCCTGGGGTAGCGCATTGCTTAGGGCGGCATTTCTTCTGGAAAGACAACATTGTGTGGAAGGAAGAGCTACTGGGAGTGGACAGAAGTTCATCTGCAGATATGGTTGGTACGCATAATAAAGGGGCGAAACCATTGCGAAAGGTGGCGGTATGTCTCGCCGAACGAGATTTGATTGTTGATACAAAGACCGTCGCCCAATACCTGGTTGCTGATGGTGATGGATGGATGGTCCCTGACTCTGCAGAAGGAAGCAACGCCAGCGAGAAGGGGTGGGCTATGGAACAGAACAGAGGGGGTAGGGGCTACCTCACACGTGACGGTATTGAGCTGCTTTGGCTTGGGGGATTGGACCACGGGCAGGCATTTGATTCCGTCCATAACCAGGATCGACTTTGCGCTGTCGTACGGAGCTACTGCACATACTAGATGTACATACATCCACTGGCATTGCCGTCGGTTCTTCTGCTGGTACTTAGCAGGTATGATACCAGCTTCCTGACCTTCGGTATTATGTAACCCATGCTCGTCGAGTCTGTTGCATGTAGTTGTACGATAGCCGCATCAATCAATTGAATCTGCCTTTGCTTCACTACCCCCCCAGCCTGTCAGGTACACTACTACAGGCTCTGGGCCACTTCGAATAAGAATCCAGACGACATCCTCGTCTGTCTCATTGATCTCTTGATGCTCCGTCCATGGCGGGACAAAGGCAAAATCACCCGCTGAGAGTGTATGTTTCTTGGGTTCTTCGTCGGCACCAGAGCTTGTCATTAATCTATCACTTGTCAGAATCATTGTACAGATACTGTCCATCTACTTGCCCATAGGAGTGAACAAAGAGAACCGGCGTGAATTATAGCACTATAACATACTGTAGGCCAATTAGCTCCTATGAAATGTGAAATGTGACCGAGAGTTTACACAAGAAGCGAGCTGAGAAATAATTTGAAGTGCAGACGTAGAAAGTTTATATGACTTACCATGCCCTTGCCTGACGCGGCGTAGATGATGGTCTCTTGATTACCAGGTGTTAGTCGTTACACATCGCCGACGGGTTCGTAACAAATTCAAAACTGACCTTGTTCTCCGTGGTGATGTACAGCCGAAGAACAACGAGGCTTGGCTACTAAAACTGCTGACACTGTTACTACCCAATCTGGCATAAGTTTAAGAGGGCTCTATGCATGAGGTGACATTGTAGTTCTCGGTTGCTGGAAGCACAATGGCTGGCAAGGGTGGTTCCTACTAGGTAGGCTGCCTAGTAACCCAGATGCCTATTTAAGTAGCCAGTAGATGTCCAGATCTGTAACTCACCAGTGGCACACATTCTGTCGCTTTTTCCTACCACGGCTCCTTGACGGATCATTGCCGCATTCTTCCCGTTTCTTTGAGCCTCAAGTTCGGAGGCTTTTGTTATTTGTACCTCGGACGGCATTATCATCGGAAGCAAGTCCGGAAGTAAGGAAAAGAAGCCAGACATGACACCTACGAATTGAGTATTAAAGCACATACGGAGTAGCACTGAGGGATTCAAGATAGAACGGGTGGTGTTATAAGACGAATTTAGGTAGAAGATGCCGGAGACGGTATGATAATATGCGATTGATAAGTTTGGAAGTGATGGCCAAGGTTGAGTACCTGGGTAGCTAAGTAGGTATTTAAGTCTTAAATGCAAATGAAGTAGAATGCCTCAGCTGAGGATGTCACGAAGTAAAGAGCTGACGTCAATGAAGTTTCAACATGTCTTGCATCTACTTAGATAGCCTTGATTTGTGTGAGGTGTGAGGTATGAGGTATGAGGTACGAGGTGTAGTTGAGCTAAGCAGCCAGCCAGCCAGTCAGCCAGCCAGGTAGCTAACTGATCAACCCCTGATGGTGGTGAGGGTGACATGGTCCGTGCATTAACCTTGAAAGAGTGGACCACGTAGACCTCCATGCCTCTCTAGGTATCATGTACCCTTTCAATGTTCATTGATGTACATAATGTTCATTGATGTTCAAATGTTCAAATGTTGCCACTTGGGCTGGCATCGAGTAAATGATGTACGACAAGTTGTACCTAATGTGATGCATGCACTGCATGTATGTACAACAAACTACCTCGTGTATATGAATATGCGGTATTAAGCTATAATCCATGTTTGGTTCAAATAACTATGTAGATATCTTACATAGTAGCATAGGAGTACTACTAGTAGTATAAGGACGTATTTTTGTATAATATTATGAGATGTAAGATGTATGTAGGTACATACACATGTCAGTAGTTTTGCGCAACCACATGCAGTTCAGCTCCCTGTCTGGAGGTATGCGTTCAGTGCGTTGTTCTTCGAACCCAATTCAGCTAGATACATTGTGCGGGTCGCCTAAATAGGCTGTTATAGTAGTTCCGTAGGTATTTATTAACTTATCGTCGAGGAAGTACCCAACGAAGAGTTCGGGTAACTATTTCAGTACATATAACAGCAGGTTGGTTAATGCTTGGCACCGTGGGAGCTGTAGGCCCGCCATGTAGTGGAAGGTAGCGGAAAGGCGGAACGACAACGGATTGCTCGCTTCATCCCCGACGTTGCGCATTTCCAGTTCTTACAGAGTCTTCGACGTACTAGTAATCCGACAAGCTCGAAGAGGAAGTTCGAAGCTGAGATAGTTACAACAAAAGTAGTAATGGATCTCCAAATCAAGCAATTGATTGAGAAATTCCTACCTTGCCTATGCTGTATGACTGCCGATAGCATCACGGGAGCAAGTTCACGTCGATGAAATGAGACTTCCGGCTTCTTGTTGGCATTGCTGATAACAGGATGGAGTCGTATTCACTTCCGTACCTGGGCAAGATGGGCAGGGGACCAGAAGCCCCGAGACAGGCAGATGACTCCTGCCGCAAGATGCCAAGCGTGGCACCGAAGAACGTTAGACTGTTCGGTAGGTAACTAGCCTGCAGGTCTATCAGAAGACTCTATGCATCCATGGCGGCAACGTCCAAAGTAAATATAGCACAAGTGCCAAGAACAGACCCTAGCAGCAAATGGTCTGCGTGAGAGAAACATCTATAAAAAGGTAGCTGGATAATCATGAAATACCATCTCAAGCTCTATCCTAGGGCAGTACATCGGCCGCCAAGAGCCTCGTAGCCTGGACCCGCAAGGTAATATCAAGGGATAGACGGGTAAATCTCTATACGGGCAGTGAAAAAAAAAATCGAAAACTAGAAAGGAAGGAAGTTATCATTTCAAGTTGCGACAAATCCTGTGATTGGCTTCCTGACGCCGGTTGAGTTAGTGAGCGAGCGAGGAGCGACTACTGTACCTCTTCGGCTCTTTTTTGATTGTTTAAACGGCGCGCGAATCCTTTCGCAACCAAAGAATATACTGGGCATATGTACATACCTACCTAGTACCTAAGTATGTACATATGTTGGACAGGTAGTCAAGTACCTACCATCTAGGAGCAGTAGCATCATAACTACACATGTAGTTGTTTGTAATTCTGTTGTCTTTTCTTCTTCTAGTTGATATTCCCGAACGGTTACATAATCACGTGAAGCGGTTTATACCGAGTTTGATGGGAAGTAGTAGATCTGTAAACCCGATGGGGTACAGGGGATAGTCAGATCGGGTATCCTGTAAGTTAGATATACAGTACCTACGCGAAGCGAGCGCGGGCATTGGTCGAGGGGGTTATCGCCGGCAGCATGGGGTACCTAGCTGCTGAACCGATGCTCTGGAGGGCTAGCCGTATCTTGGAGCTGCAGCCGAGCGTGGAGGTTGGTATGTGGTGTGATAACATATCTGCGACGCCGTGTAGGATTCCTTTATCACAGGCGTCTTCGGGTTCGGTTCGAGATATTTCGCTAGCTAGAGGTTAGTTAGGTAGTTAGATAAAACATTCGTATATGTCTTAACCGAGCAAAGTACCTAGTATAGAATATGTTGTATTAGGTAAAAAAGAAGAGAAATCTAAATTGTCTTGGAATGAATTGTAACGATCCAACTGCCAACTGCCATCTACCTAACAGATGTAGGTTAGCCCTAGAGGTTATTTAGGTGCATGCAGTTGTAGTATGTTTGAGTTAGGTAGGTAGCTGGGTAGATGGGCATGTGGATTGGATGGTGCTTGCTAATGATCCATGATAATCCCTGCATGCCTCCCAACCAAGTGGGTTCACTGTATGGAATTTGGAAGCAACGATACACCAGAAAGTGGCAGAAACGCCAGGGTAGGTACCTACCTCTAGCTTGATGCATCCCCGGACCACTGCTATAACTACCTCTAGGCTCTTAAGCTAGGTACCTAGCTTGGGGTTTTAGGGGTACCTACCTACCTGGGATAGGTAGATATTATTTGAAACTTGGAACTTGAAGCTTCAACCTACATAGGTACGTTAAATCCTGTACTGGCCTGCCCGTCTCGGCTCCGATTCCTTCCAATAAGGAAAGAATAAAAATAAAATCAGTTCTGAACAACTCAAAACTCCTACGCCGCTACGCGAATAGGTTGGCATTGGACATCTACATCTGTATCCATATGTTACATGGAACATTGGACACCAACACCGATGTTAATTCGCCTACATTACCTACCTACCTAATGTTGATAAGTCAATAATTCCCTCTTAAAACCCTTCAATGCAGCGATTCAAGAAAGCCATCAATTAAAAACTAATGATTTTACCAATTCCAAATCTCCCTATTGGCTATCACCGTCTTGTGTCCACTTCCCCGTTCACTTCCCGTCCAATACTCATATGATACGCCGTTACTTGTGGGTTGGGCTTGAGAAGTGAAATACCCGACTTTCCGTCACTATGATATCGAAACGTCTTTCTTGTACTTGGAATCATTCATCGACATTTCACCACCCTTCACTTGAAGCCAATTGGTGTTAGGCGTTATATATTGCAGGAGGGGTTTCGTATTACAGCATATTGATTCGGGGCGAAACTACAAGCATTTGTGGCTACGACATCTATCCGCATCGCATCGTCACCACCGGGGCTCGTTTTACGGCTTTTATGATTTACGGCTTACCCCCTCTTGTTTCTCCCCTTCTCAGCCACGTGGCAGTAATCCTTGTTAACTAGATCCTTCGAGCCCCCGAGCTTTGTCGTTTGTGTGACTTTTCCGACTGGGTCCCGCTGCGGACGTCATAGGAAAAATGGCTACTGAGAAGGGACAAGGGCCTATTTGGCGCCTAGAGTCTACCGCCGCCTCGTCTTCTTCGGCTAATTCTAGTGCCAACGACGATGTTGTTGCCGATGCCGCCGATGCTGTCGATGCCCGGATCGATAACGTGGCTGATGATAAATCGTCAGGGTCTGAGTCAGGATCGGGATCAAAGCCAACTGTTACCTTTAATGTCCCGAACCCAGCTGTCACTTATGGAGGATTAAACCCGGAGATCGAAGAAAACGTTTTAATTGTTGAATCTGTCCCCCGTGAATCCCTACGAAGTAATAATACAGATCACGAGATGTTAGCCTCCTACTTGGATGACGATAACAAGGACCCAGGGAAGACTAGCCTAGCAAGCCGAGGTTAGTAAACCTGAAGTCATCAACTTCCCCAAAAATCATAGCATATCCTTCCACGACCTAATCAATTCTCGGCACCTCAATCTTGAAACCCCTTACTAACTCTTGAAAATCTAGACCCAAGCCCTATTATTTCCTCTTTAAGCAACCATGCAGACTCGACCCCTTTTCTTGACTTGCCTACCGAACTCATCGATGCGATAATTTCATGGTTGACACCCTTGGAGCTAGCGACGACCTCGCGCGTTTGTCGAAGTTTACGCAGCCATGCACTTTCTGAGACGCAATGGAGACACCATGTACTATCAAATCTTCCGGGAAATCGTATCGCATCACCGTACCCATGCAAGAGCTGGCGCGAGCTCTACATATCACACGACCCGTATTGGTTTTTAACGGAGCACAAGGTGTGGTTTTGCGATCGCGAGTTAACCGGCCGAATGATCATTGCCCGCTATGACGAACGAAGAGGGTGCATCGAAGGGTACCAAATGGTGGCCAAACGGGCGAGAGACGGCAGCGAGCCATGGGCTTCCAACCAAGATGTGCACATCCACTACTTTGAACCAACTGTCAAACTGCATCTCGACAAACCGATCTTGCAACTCAATATCGATAGTCTCGAAAATATCATGCGTGGCAGATCAGAAGTGTCTTTTTCCTTTCGGCACTTCTTTTCGGAACAGCCGATGCGAATCAAAAATAGTCCCGATCCTCGATTTAGCAACTTCTTGCTTGCAAAACCACTCAGCAAAGCAGTCCTAGCCGGTCGAATGGCTAGAGAATTTCCTTACGGTTATGTGTGGCCTCCTCCCGCGATACCGGCTCACCACCGAGTAACGGGCCAGCCAACAGGCATCCATCCCCTCGCGACATCTGCCAACTACACGAGATCGACTTCTGGAATGTGGCAGCCACAAAACCGGTCGGAGGCGTCCGATCAGATATTCCGCATTAGGCAATGGATGGAAATGGGGCCGCATAATACTCTTGCCGTGCAAACCGCCGAGGAGGTTGTGACTTACTCGACTCTGGACCCCCGTCTGTATACACCGACAGCTGAAAAGCCTTGGAGAGGAATATGGGTTGGCGACTACAGCGGTCATGGCTGTGAGTTCTTATTAATCAACCAACCCGAAGATGAGAAGGAGAAGGACGAGAAACCATTGGTACAACTCGGAGGTGAAACTGAGGAGGAATTCAAGGCCCGTTTCTTATATGAGCGCGTTTATCGCGGACGACTTGAAGCTATTAAACTAACAGGCGATGGGAATGTGCCGAGGGGCGAGTACTCTTTCATAGCGGATGATCTCGGTGAGGAAGGATACATCGGCATATCTCAGGATCCACCATTCCAAGGTGCTCGGGTCGTGAAGAGCAAAGGTCACATTGCCGGTCTAGGGTTTACTAATGGTAAGAATACTCAGTATTGGTAACACTATTGGTGACTGCGGCTAATTCCATCTATAGACAAATATACGGAGTCGCGACTCCTTTTACTCTCGCACAACCGCCTAGCATGCCATTGGCTTGCCTTTGGCCACATTAGCTTCTTTGAGAGGGTTGATATCGACCAGTTCCTCAAGCCTTAATATCCAAGGGGGAAAAGCCTCCCCTATCTCTAATGTATGTAGTTGCAATACACATATCGGCATTCGTGTATACATACCTACATCTCGACCACATTTACGATACATGATAGCTAGGTACTTAGCTAGTTAGACCTAGGTGATGTTTATCGAAGAAATGAGGATGTAGAAAAGCAAATTTACCTTATCAGGCCTACCTAGATTATGCTTTCCGTCACCAGATCTCAAAATGCTAAAATGATGATGCTTACAATAGTAAAGGCCTATATTTAGACACCTCAACGACCCTTACATGACTGCACATGTGTGTAAGGTATGTAAGTACCTTAACCTAATGTACATGTACATGTAGGTGGTAATTTGTCTCCGCCAAATAAGCTATGGTCTGTGCATAGGTACTTAAGAACTTGTCACCTGGCCATAGCGACTGCCGACGTCATTCATCATCGTTCACTTTCGAGACAAAGAATTCCGAGGTCACAATGAACTTTATAATTGTTCCAATTACCATCAATTGTCAACTGATCCATAATACATCTCACAGTATTTACCTTCCATGTTTAAAAACTCCAACGAAGTATTTCATATCATAAACATAAAACTCTGGAGCTAAAACGGGAAAAACAGGAACTGGTCATTATTGGATTCTCATCACGCATAATCTCTCGAAGCATTAATTTTATCTGAATGCAGATCCCCCCCTAACGAGTCCAGTGACGACTAGCAGTCCCTCAAGGTCCCTCAAGTCAGGCCGTATCATGGCAGAGAAATATATCGTCCGAGTAACCGCTGGGCCGGATTACGATATAGACCAGCATATCGTGGTCCCAGTCAATTCACATGAGCCAGTAAAGATCAGCAACGAATTGGTTGACGCTGAAATAAATGTCCGCGTGCAGAACTATCACGGCTTACCGAGAAATTCGCCAAGCACATCACCATATTTCTCTTTAGAGCCGCACTCTACCAACAAGGATCAATACAGCATAGCAGTTCGGTTCACGCCTAAGAGGCCAGCCAAAACCTCGAGATCAAAACCTACTTCCAAGGACCCATCAAGATCGTCATCTACATCCAGAGTGCCACAGGATGACATACCTCCTGAATCATCATCTCCTGCAACTGCCGTTGAAGACGATGATGAATCTATAGACGGAATATCCGGTGAGGACCTCCATTTCGGCAATGATTTTGATCATCCTATCCGCGATCGCCTCCCACCTGGCTTCAATTATGCTATGAACATTGTAAAGTGGTGGATCGATCCCGGCCTCGAAGGCGACGCATACGCCGATAAACCATATCTTTATGGCCCAGCCCTATCCTCATTCAACACCATCCACATAGGGTCAGGAGAGGTCAGTCCTGAAAAGGGTGGGCTATCGTTTGAAGAGGGTGGTGACCAGGACGGCCTGAAAGAACGAAAAGAAGTGGGTATGCCGGGAGGAGCGAAAGAGCGTATGCAATGGGCCTTGAAGGCTGCCAACAAGAGCAGATGGGCCTTCCAGTACGACAAGACCTACTGCCTCGATTTCTTCAATCCGTATCTTGACTTCAACGAATTCAGCCTGCGCTTACCAGGCTTTACTCTGCCTATCATGAAATATTGGGATGGTCAAGGCCTGAGGTAAGGGGTTTTTTCTAACAAGTTTCTAGTACACCCCAAACCCCCCTTATTGCTTTGGTTTGCATTTTTCTCATTGCGCTATTCTTTTTCATCTAGGTACAGACCGAAACGCTCACACATCCTTAGATACGTGCTGCGGAATCGCTCAACTAACGATACGTACTTCGTTGTTGTGTTTACGCTGCACCTCAAAGAGGATGTCAACGAGGATGGGTCGCTAAAGCCAGCTGCAATTGAGGCTCTCAAGGAACGTAAGATGACCACAGGCTCGGAAAAAGAGGCAGACGTGACCAAGGATGGTGATTACCAGGAGGCCCGGAAGCAGTTCGAGAAGCTCGACGTTGGTGAAAAGGGTAATAAGGAAGGAGAAGACGGCGGTGTAGACTAGAATTGCGGTTACATACACTCAGGCGCCTGTTTGAAAATATAGAATAGGTTGGGTACCTAGATATTATACTATAGAGATACTAGTAGGGAGATAAATGGATATACCATTGGATCTATGCGTCAGTGATAGCCAATACCTTGTTTCAACTCAACTCTTTTTATCCTCACCAGCAACGTCGACTTGTGCGACTTCACTATGTCTCGCTCTCTTGTTCGCGGCCTCTGCGTCGACAGACGTGCTCGTTGCACCAAATACTACAAATCGAGATTAGCAACTCCGTTATTCATCATCATGCGCCAGAGCCAGGAATTCTTCTTTTGGGGAAAAAAGAAATAGTAGGCAAACTTACAAGTATCCATTTCCTCCAGCGACTTTCCCTTCGTCTCCTTGATGAAGAACCAGGTAAAAATAACAAGCGAGTAGTTAAAGATACAGAACATGAGAAACGTGCGCCACCCAAGATTCTGTATCGCGTGCGGCGTGACCTGCGAGAAGACAAAGTTAAACAGCCACTGCGTCGCGGTGCCGATCGCAATACCCGCCTCGCGGATGCGCGTGGGGAAGATCTCCGACATGTACAGCCACGACACGGGGCCCCAGCTGATGTTGTAGCTCATGGCCTCGAGGTACACCATGGTCAGCGACGCGATGCCCGTGGGCGTCAGCCCGGCGCTGGCGGACGGCGGGTGCGTCGCGGTCAGCACGGCGATGATCAGCATGTACGTGCCCATGAGAAGCGCGCCAAAGAGGAGAGAGCCGCGCCGCCCGATACGCTCGACGAGGAAGAGCAGGAAGAAGAGGCATGAGATCACTTTGACGACGCCGAAGAAGCCGGTTATGAGGAGGTTGTCCTGGCCGGCGCCGACGGCGGCGAAGACTTGGGGGGCGTCTGGAGGAGGAGGAAGAGGGGTTAGAGGGGGGTTGCGGTTAAGGAGGCGAAGGAGGGGCAACTTGCAGTATGCTAGGGAGGTGTTTCCGGTGAGTTGAACGCCTAAAGAACCAGGACGGGTTAGAAAGCTATATAGGCCTCTCGGAAAGACGATGGAGTACGTTACCGATTTGAATGGCGATGACGAGGAAAACCCTCATGCGGTTAATCGGTAGGAGAAGTTCCTTCACGGTGACGCCGTCCGTAATACGTTCTTCTTCCTCGATGCTGGCCAAGATCTCTGCGAACCTGTGCGCGCACCGTCAGCTACGGGGTATTTCTCACTCGGCGCATTTCGCAAGCTGGCCACTTACTCCTCCTCCACCTCCGCACTCGCGCCCCCCCTAACCCAAGCCAGCGCCTCCATGGCCTCCTCCCTCCTCCCCTTCTTCGCATACCACCGCGGGCTCTCCCTCGTCACCAACATCCCCAACCCCAGCACCGCCCCCGGCGCCAGCTGCAGGCCCACGGGGACCTGCCACTGCGCCGTCGACGGCCTCACGTGCTTCGCCACCGCGTAGTCGACCCAGTACGAGGTCATGACGCCCAGGGTAAAGAAGAACTGGAACATGGAGCCCAGCATGCCGCGGATGCGCTTGGGCGCCATCTCGGCGGAGTACATGGGGATGACGACGGTGGCCATGCCGACGCCGACGCCGCTGACGACGCGGGCGGCGTAGAAGGCGCCGAGGGAGTGCGTGTTGAGGGTCTGCACGATGGCGCCGAGGCAGAAGATGGTGGAGGCGAGGACGAGGGAGGGGCGACGGCCGAATTTGGAGGTGAAGGGCCAGATGAAGAAGCAGGAGAAGAAGGCTAGGAGAACGGTTAGGATATACACATAGGTATTGTGTCTGTGGGGGGGGGAGGGTGGTCATATACCTCCAGCCTGCAACAGACTCGTCGAGTTGGACCCGACGGTCGCCTTTTGGTCAGCCGCGTATCGGAAGTCCTCCTGGAAGCTGGAAAAGGTGAGGATGCCGCCGACGATGCCGGTGTCGTACGCGAAGAGAAATGACCCGACGCAGCATAGCGCGACCAGGTAGACGGCGCGGAAAGTGCCTAGAGCCTGCGACATTTTGGTACTGCTAGGTAGTTTTCGCGGCTCTAGGTAAAAAGATGAACTTGCGACTTGATCAAACTAGATTGGGGAGCAGGATGGGCGCGCTTATTATCTATTATGCCTGCTGAAGAGAGAGCTCGAGGCGGGAACTATCACGCCATTTCCAGCTGCACGTTTGTTGGCTTCTACATAGAATTAGAAATGTCGCCCCAATAATATTTTCCTCAGGCTGCGGCCAACATCAAATCTGTACCTACCTGCCCCATGGGGAGGATCAGATTACCTGTTGGACGCGCAGACGAACCCTGCAGGACCCCTGTCTTTCGCATAAACCGGGAGCTTACGCGAGAGTTGACATGCGCCGCAGAGATAACTATTGCAAACTCTGACGAAGCATCGTCGGTTGCCATGCATGTTCTCTGGGAAGGACCGCGGGATGGGTTACCACAGTAACCGTATCTGGCATAGTCAGCCATTAGTTCCCATAAGAGGATCCATTAATCCATTACCACACCCATGGAATTCGGTTGTCGGCCGGAGAGCTGGGGTAGTGGTCAGGTGAGAGGTTGCGAATTCAATATATAAAGCCTAGTGTTGATCTAGCTCATTGGTGTATCTACATAGTAACTAGTTCGACCAATGATTTTATAGCGAAGCCTTCTATCTATGGTGAAGTTGAATAAAATATGATCTTTTTATTCTGCTTTTCATGATCACCTCGAAATGAGATGTCAAGACTCAAGAGAAGCCCATGCTCAGGGCTATTTCAGGGGTCGAAGCTCTACCTTACAGTTGCACAGAAATATCCAACTTAGAGAAGTAAGACTACCTACCTAGATTTGTATGTCATATAAATGGAAGCCCATGTTTGGAGGGATATAGCTATTGTATTCCTAGTTATGCTGTAAAGCAGTAGGCACCCGAGGGGCATACTGTCCTGACAAATTCAAGGGTACAGCCACTGTTTGTGGTTCACGTACATGTCTCTGGATTGGTGGTAACAAAGGGGCCTTCAAAGGATATCGACATTCAACCTCATCGTCATGTGAATACCGAGACAGTAGAAAAGATCAAATCGAGGTCGAACCTACCCAACCTATCGACTTGGGGGTACTAGGGTATTCTTAGCAAACATTGTTTACTTAATTGTTCTCATTGACCTTTCTTCCTTCTGCCCTCTTCCCTCTTTCTTCTCCCACAACACTGGCTTGAGCATCCAAAGAAATCACCTCTGGCACAGCAATCTGGCTTCCATCATCTCTCTACACTGCTCCTATACCAAGGAACAGTGTTAGGTGAGATCAAGAAGATCTGCTGCATTGGTTTATTTTCAAGCAAGAGCTTCAATTGCTTTCAAGTCCTTCCAGTGCTGTCGTACTCTGTTAAGTATCACAAGGTAAGCTATCGCGCCTCCCTCGCCACTCATCATATCTCAGTGGTCTTCCGAAACCTCCAGTGTACCTATCGCAATATAATGAGATATACACGATTCGACAACTTTTCTCCCTCTATTCCCACATGATGTAGTGGCGTGGGAAGTATCATCTGACTTGATCGATGGTACTTTATGCTAACATACCACAAGATATAGAACCTCATATATCTCCCAAGAGTTCCTGTGTCCCTTGACAGTGCTGGACAACCTTGCTACAAGCTTCAGCTTAGATTGTCTAGTCGGATCTCCCAAAGAAGGGATTGAACCGAGATACTGGCAGTCTGGTTGTCGAGCCATTACTTTCTTCTGTACACTCAACTACCACACATCACAACAAACTCGCCTAATACCCACCCACCTAACCTCGGACAAAAAAAAAACACCGCCAAGATGTGCATCCAATACTACCGCACCTTCCGCAAATGCCCGTGCCACCTCCGCCGCAACGTCGTCCGCTGCGGCGCCACCGACCACCTCGGCCGCCCCGTCAACAAGAAGAAGTGCCCGGGCATGCGCATGATCCTGAAGGTCGCGACGCGCGCGCACTGCCCGTACCACGCGCTGATGGTGCAGCGCGCGGAGCACGCCCACATCCGCCGCTACAACGCGCGCCGCCGCTTCCTCTAGCCCAGGCCGCCGTGCCGCGTCCGTGCCATGCTCGCCGGCTCCGCCGCAGACTTCGACCTCTTCCCCTCGAAGCTGCACTGCTCGGCGACGAGGGATGTGGGGAAGAAGGAGGAGGACGAGGAGAAGGATGAGGACGAGGAGGCGTTTGTGCAGGATGATGATGATGATGATCAGGAGATGGACAGTGACTCCGAGCGCGATCGCGAGGTCTCGGATTAGATGAGAACATGAGTTGGTGGTGATGAGGACTCACTGTTACGACGCAACTTGGCGTGAGTTTCTGAGTTTCTGATACTCGTTGGCACTCGTATTTCATCCTCCAGGCCTGGGTTTGGTCGCCATGTCTTGAAGGTCTTGTCTTCTTGAGCAAACCTTTTGATACTCGGAAGGTTCATGACAGTGGTATCATATGTTGAATGCTTCAGCAGGAACAAGAATGATAAGCAAATGTTCTCGCCATTCTTGTTACCCGCAACATGCAATCTGCAACCAGCAAGATGACACCTGTCGCTAATATGTTTTTGGAGGACGTCTGCCATTTTCCTTTGTTTTGGACCTGCTAGTGGATGATCAAGTAGGTAGTTTGACTGGGATGATTTTGAGATGGGCTCATTGCACATATCGTTGTCTGTCCAGCTATGAAGCAACTTGTGTCTGATTCAGAGGAACTTTGGGGGCTTCTACAGGTCCTACATGATGTCGGCTCGCTTAGGTTAAGTATTAGGTGCTCTTCCTATCGAGTCAACTCATGTTCCCAAGCAGAGATTGTCTGCCAGGGCTTTTATGAGGCACGAGTTAGTCTTGGTACTGAATAAATGCACGAAATTGATTTGAGAAACTTTGCACCGTAACTCTCTCTCATTGCTCTATAAAAGGGGCATCTGACTAAGATAATACCAGCATAACTGCTAACCTAACTCTCGTTCAGTAACATAGAAGGACTGATTGCATGGGAACACTGAGATCTCATCCTTATTCTACCATGGGTCCCAGCATAGGCTTTTGCGATTGAAGTTCGCCCTCCCCGGCACCTAATCTCGACCTTGTAACCCACCATGGCTGGCCCGGAACGCGGATGGTATTGGGGCCACAATAAATCTCACCACCGTCCTCATGATGCGAGTACCAGTCATCGATGTATTCAACCTCGAACCCCACGTCTCCATACACGGCATTCGTGGCCCAGTAGTAAATATCACTGGGACCCGATGGATTTCTTGGCTCGGAATCCCGGTTTCTTGCCGTAGCACGTCTTCGACGCTGTCACTGTACCCAGCAGACCTTATGTTTTCCGCGACTAACTTGTCTGTCAACAGCTCCGCAAGAGTGACGCCTAGGACGTCATCCTGGATCTGAGGAAGAGTTCCATTCGCCCCAGAGAACGCCGCGACGTTTCCGTGGCCCTTCTCCGCAGCGTCCTGCAGTATCCCAACTCCGCCGACCGGATCGGCGATGTAGAGGGCCCAGCCGTGGAGAGTGCCGTCCGCTGGAAGAAACTGAATAATCTCATCGACGTGCCCGACAGCAAGCCAGTCCACGTCTAGGATGAGCGGGTCCTGCAGTTCCTGAGCTCTCATGTAGTCATACACATGTGGCATAGGCTACCCGTGGTAATGGGAACCTTCGATAATGCGCACTGCCGGGAAAGACTTGCCGCCGTACTCGTAAGGAGGGATAGTTTCCAGGTGGCCCATGGAGTCTACTTCGTCTCTGGTCCCTCCCGTGCTATAAACCGCACCGCGGCCAGCTCTTCTCAGGTATTGGAACACTTGTCTGCCAGCGACGCGCGATCCTTGGGATGAACGGATCATTACCTGGAAAGTGACGGGCCCTGAAGGACCAGGCATGCTGGTATACCACGGCTCGAGAATGTCTTGAGCCCACACATCGTCGGAGTGATTGAACAGCCATAGAGTTTTGTCAATGTTTGGCTTGTGCCGGATGAGCTGTAATGGAGGTTTGGATCTGGATTGTGTGTGAATCTTTCTTTGTAAGTTGGAGGGGAGAAAAGGGGGGGGGGGGGGGGGGGGGGTGGCGCTTGAATACGCCTATGATCAGGTTAAACTGAATCTGGGATTGCCAGTCACATTCCTCTATGTACTTGGCATTAAAAGTTATGTTACAAGGAAATCAATCATATTATTTGGCTTACATTAAAACCCCCTACCTACTCATAAAACACCCCCAGCCAACCTCCCAACTCTACACCTCAGCAACCTCCGGCTGCACCACAATAGCCACCTGCGGATCCGCAAACTTGATCTTCCCGCGATGCAGCCTATACTCCTGACACCTGATCCTCTTCACCATCCTCGTTGGCTCCAGCGCCAGCGGACGGACGTAAATTCTCACCGCCGCCAGATTCCCACGGTCATCTCGCTCCCAGCAGTTAAGCGTGAACTTCCCATCGCCCTTTAGCTTCCGCCGTCTGTATGCGAAGTACCCCACGAGCCCGACCACCGTCGCCCCGGCCAGCACCAGCATGCTCAGGTCAGCCCAGACCCAGGCCGCGTTGGTCCACTCGATCGGCGCCATGGAGACCTGCAGCCCCTGCTGCGCCATGAAGAAGCCGCCGTTCGGCCGTGCAATCCTCTGCACCTTTTCGTCCTCGGGATCCGCAACAACGCGTCCCGAATCGCAAAACCACTCCGGCGTCGGCGCCAGCAAGCCCCATTCGCCCGACTCCCAGCTGCCCTTCGCGGCGTTGTTGTACTTCTTTGCGGCCTCGGGCTCATCGGGCATCCTCCACGCAAATATCGACTCGTCCGTAGACTTCGCAAGCAGCGCGTGCTGCAGCCGCATGAAGGCGCGCAGCTTCCCCTCGCCGTACTGCGGCAGGAGCGCGACGTCGAAGATGCCGAGCATGCTGTACGCGATGTCTTCCCCCCTGCCCGTGACGCGGCCCGCCATCCAGCTCATCTTGGCCGCGATGGAGGCCTTTTCGAAGCGGTCCGCGCCCATGAGGTAGCGCGCGCTGATGCCCGTGGCCTTCTCGAGTTCGGGCGCCAGACTCGCCTTCGTGCCGAGCTCGGTCCAGCAGCCGTCGTAGAACACCATGGCCCGGGGCGCCAGGAGCTCCTGCAGCGTCCAGCCGCGCTCGAACCACTCCGATAGCTTTTCCGGACAGCCTGTCCGCTGGAAGATGGCGGGAGACGTGGCCGCGCTACGACTGCGATCCGCCGTAGGCTTCTTCGTCACGTCCCAGAGATAGGTGAGGCACACCTTGGCGTCGCGGTACCACTTGAACATGGAGACGATGGACTCCGTCTCCTCGACCGTGCTGGTCTTGTTGATGCAGCAGCTGTCGATCCACATCCACCGGAGCCCGTGCTGCTCCCGAGCCACCTCGCACGCGCCGCGGATCTTGTCCAACGCCGGCGTGCTCAGTGGCGCAGCGCCGGTCCTCAGCTCGTCGACGTGAGCATCGAGCTGGCTGAAGGTCACCTCCCTCTCTCCCCAGCGATGCGAGAGTATCGCGTAGCCATCGTTCTTGAACTGGAGCTGATCTCCGGCGTGTAGCTGGAATGTTGTGGTGTCGAGAACGCGCATGTTGATGACGTTTAAAAAGACCCACCCCCTATGTTCCTCCCAAGACTAACTATCTGCAAAACAACATATATGCGATCAATACCCAATATAATGAAGCCTCAGGCTTAGCTTACGCCTAAGCCTAGGCTTGCCGCCGTATTTTACAACCTCAAAATGGACGATATCGAGTACCAGTCAGGTTTATCGGCCTCTCTCTCTATCTTAGCTGAGAACAAAAGTCAGGTTTTCGAGATTTCAAAACACAGAAAAGGAAATCAACCATGGAATTCAAGGAGTGACACCCCACGGCCGATCCTACCTTGGCGATCGCTCAATCCACTTGACATCATGCAGCCGTACGGCACAGACATATCTACTGAAAGTTACGACATTTTCTGGTTTAGCCTTCCTCGTCGACCCTATTCTCTTTTAGGTTTTCGATTTAACTATCTCAAAGAAGGAAGACGATTTTCTTCCAAACAGACTGGCAAACAGTAAGCACCCTGAGAATCAACCTCGTGTAATGCGGTGCCCATGTATATAGGTGGGTCTGCCCCATTGAAAGCCTGGTTCCCGTCATTAGCCTTGTTATATTTCGTACATCATAAATCGACTCTCATAGATAGCTTGGAGACCTTATTTGGAACACCTAGGTATGGTAGGTATTTCGTAAGGACAAGTATCAAGACCAGCCATCGTGATGCCAAATAGTCAAAATTGAGAGATGTATGATTGTCCCCTTTTCAAATAAAATTAGTTACTATCTATACACAGCAAAAAAACCGCTTGTAAACTACATAGTAAAACAATGCCTGTTAAGATTACCCGTCTACATAAGTAACTCTGGCCTTTGTTAGTTAGCCTAGATCACTTCATCACAACGCCCTAAACTCCAATACACTCCGAGAGTTTTCGTACCATTCATATTTCATATCTCAATCGTTATTTCCAAGCAGGCTCTCCAGGATACCGCCTGCCCCCCACACCAGTAAACACAGGACTAGGGCCCCTGTCTTTATATCGTCGTCGATCTCGTGGTTCTCTTTCATCGGCTGTGACCACTCTTCTGGTGTCTCTGTCGTAATCTGTGTCTCGGTCTCTACTCCTGTGATCCCACACGTAGTCTCTACCTCTTCTGTCGATGTCCGTATGACTACTTGCCCTTCGATGTGTCGTCGTTCGCAAATACCTCTCTTGTCGAGACCTCCTATCCAACTCATCTTCTCGGTCGCGTTCTTTCTGTCGCTCCTTTTCAATGACTCGCTCGCGAAGCCGTTCACGCTCGTGGTGAGAGCGTGAGGGATATTTTGGAAACAGTTCTGTATCTGAATCATCGCTAAAATGTGACTCGCCTGATCCACTTCGGCTAAGGCGTGGATGAATATTTTCTCTTCGGAAACGTACGCTGGGTGCTAAATTTGCTGCGTTGCGCTTTTCACGGGAAGTGCTTCGATGACGGTCGTTCGATCCGGAAAGAAACGAGGCAAACCTCTGCTTTATCTCAGCTGGCAAACTCCGTCGACGAACATCATCGGGATGGACTTCACTACGACGAGGACGAGTAGGAATCATCACCGGTTGAACAGGTGTCACAACTGGCATGTGACGTATGGACGTGGGAGGCGGAATAGGGCCTTGCGGTCTTGATTTGGAACTATGACGCGACGGTATGTCCGGATCGGAATCCGAGTGTGAGACATAGGGCCTGGAATGACTATGCCGACGCGGCCCTGGCTGGTGATGAGGATCGAGATGAGTTGCGATACGAGGCTCCTCTACCTCGGGACGGCGTGTATTCGTATAACTCGGCCTTCTAGGTGGTCGAGGCGGCGAACCGTTGCTGCTGCTGCTGCTGGTACTACCAACACTGCTGCGGGCACTATTGCCGGTGCTTGGTCGCCGCTGCGGTGGTGGCGGCGGTGGCGGCGAGACGTTGGCCGTAAAATGAGGTTTCGCATAATTACTCCTTGGTATATGAGCATATGAGACTGGCCTTTCTCGTTGAAAGTAATCCATTTCCGGTCTATGACGAGGTGCGGAAGTGTTGCTCTGCGGGTTGTGCACGTGAGTAAAAGTAGTGCGTATCCGAGGATCAGATGGCTTTCGCTCAGGCGGGTTTTCGTCTTTAGGGGTTGCCTCGTCCCGCAGTTTTCGAGCGCATTGTTTGTGCCATGCGTCTGTTTCGGGGTCTGATTCGGTAGGGAAGGCTTCTGTCGGTAAATCAACTGGAAAGGGTCTCCCTGTATCGGGATGTACCAAAACCCAATTGCGAACAGCGAATTGCATGAATGGCACATGCTCTTGCGGTTCGAGGAGAATCTGAATGGTCTCCCATCGCACGAATCCTGATAATGTTAAGGCGGGGATAGATGGGGGCTCAAAGAGATTTTCGGTCGGCTGCAGAGTATGCTGGACTCCCAGTGCTTGCCATATATAAGATATAGACTTATAGGGGCAGTTTATAAAGAGCGAATCATAATCGCCGCCGACGGCATGATAGAAGGCTGCTAGCTTCTTCGGATTTAGGTCACGGACGTTTCTATCACCAATATTGGCAGACTGTTCAACGCTTGACTTAGCAAGATTTCGCCACCAAATTTGCGACAGGAAGAGTAAAGAAAAGCAAGATAAGACATACTATATACTGTCCAATAGCGCGAAGCAGGGCATCGAGAATGTGAGTTGGTGATTTGTCTTTATTAAAAAGATAACCATAGTAACCCTTCGTGTCGGTTTCTGGTGTTGTTGGCTGCGGCTGCGGCTCTGGCTGTGGTTGTGATTGCGACTGCGACTGCGACTGCGACCGAGGATCCGATGTATGGTTGGTCCGAGGAGAGCCGGCTGGTTCGCCCGAGTCAGGTCGAAGACTCGCCATTTTTACCTTTAGTTCCACGCAAGTTTAGTGATAACTGAAGTAGCGCAAATAAATGAAAGATAAATTATAGCGCAAGGTATAAAGATGCTCCGACGTTAACGAGGGAGATATTTTTCTCGGAGGTATCAAGGTAATTAGGTAGCATTACTGAACAAGACGACAATAGATGGAGCAGACGGAATAGATGGGAAAAATGAGCCGTCCAAGAATATTTAAGGGGGGCAAATAGCTATTACCGCATTCGCAAATGAATAACCACGGCAGCTGTTGTGTCACGAAGAACGAGGTAACAACGAGGCACATAAATATGTAGATATAAGTATTATAGGTGTAGGTATGAGCATATCTAACAGTAGGTAACGTTAGGTGCCTAGGTATGGTTAATAATAAGAGGCAACCTGGGACCCAAGTAGAAAAAGGTAGGGCGTATTGGTCAGGTAGGTCTGGTTAGGTAGGTGTAGTTGGTTAGATGGACATGGAGATGGGTGAGAACAGAAGACCAAAAAAATCAAAATTTTTCAAAAAATCCCTGGGTATGTAGTTCATTTGGAGTAGGTGGTAAAAGGTACGATACATAGATGTATGTATGTAGCTGCAAGTGATTTCAGGCTGACACAGCCCATGGCCGTAGTCGTATCCGTAGATTGATGTGTCTTGGGAGAAACATTCCGCAATGCATGTTGTAAGGCGGGGATTGGATGGGTTGGGGTGGATTGGATGGATTGGATGGAACAAGCGGGAGATGGGCGATGGTTGGTACGACTCGGTAGGATTCCAAGGTTTAAAGATTTAAAGATAGGCCAGAAACGAGAATTCTACGAGTTCTACCAGCAATTCTACCAGCATGATAGCCCAGAAGTTCTACCAGTTGGACGGGCTAGATACCTACCTAGGTAGGTAGACAAGTTGATTAAAGCAAGGAATAAAAAGAAGCAGGGAAGAATTGAAAAAGAAAAAACCCCGCGCCAAATTATTAACTGACACGTGCCTAACCCTACTAACCGGAATGCATCAATGTATAGGTAAATGTATAGGTACATACTACACCTAGTAACTAGTAGCAATTGCTAGTGATGATAGAATAATTATTCTGACGTAGTTAGGCCCCGATCGGAATCCTTCTTAAACTGCCTCTTACTTAAATATCCCTACTATAAAGTGGGTTTTTGGTCATAAAAGTCATCAGCCACAACATAAAAACAACACCTTACTCAAAACAGCTAGGAAGCTATTTGCACAAATTCTGTAAGATCCCTGTAACGATTTTAAGAGCCTCTTGGCAGGTATCTTTTAAATTGGGTCAAAAACTAAACTACAACAGGTAAAGCGTCTCCATTTTTTCTCAAAAATAAGGCCTTTTTTAAGAGGCGGTTGAAAGGTAGGGTCTTACGTTAAACTCGACCTTACAAAGTGGGTCAAATATGCATTTCATTTTTAAGAATAAACACTTTTTTAGATATATAAAATCCATTTAAATAGATAAAATTATTGAAAAAAGAATCAATTATTATTCAATTTTATAGCGTTTTAATGAATATTTATTTACGAAGGTGGCTATTAAATTGAATTTTATTTGAATTTATTTGGATTATTTGAATTTGAATATTGCGGTCGGTAACCTCAGAGGTTCAATTCTGACTCCAAAAGTTCAATTCTGGAAGAGAATCGCAGGGGATGAAAAGATACATCCTGGACCCATATATTCTTTATGCATTTGAATGTACCTCTCCACTTTCTAAGAGGCAGTTTAAGAAAGATTCCGATCGGGGCCTTAGTGTGCCAAAACCTGCCTTACAACAATTAACCTCAGCATTGAAGCTTCAATGTTCCATTACATACAATACATGTATGTACTACTATGTATGTAGGTACTAATGTTGGGTCAACGATACCAGGTATGTTTCGAATTCTTCAGCATCTAACTTTTATTCGACATTGATTGTTCCAACTTTCTTTCCATTACATAGTTGTTATTCTGTTTCATTCTAATCTACACCAATGCCCCATGTTTCTACACTTTTACATTTCTATACTGCAAAGTCACATCAACCTTGCGACTTATGTGATAATGCAATACAAACCACACAAACCAATCACAATTATACCAACATCAAACGAACTTGGCTGACTCGTAGTGTTGATTACTCACTTTCCCTGCCCGTTGGTACCTATTAACTGGTTCGTCATACCTTACAAACCAATAAGACTGTTGTCAAGACAGTCATCATCCACAAGTATCGTTCGACACTTCAACTTGGCATGTAGTGTAATCGCTCAACTCACTCATCGGTTTTCTTCCCTTCAGCACAAAGCAGTAAATACAGGTACCACAAACGTCGGTGTGCCTTGGATCAGCAATGGCTGGACCTTCAATCCGATATACACTTAGACAATAGTGTCTCTTCGTACGACTTGTCTAGTAGGCTGTGCGTGGTGTAGCCTGCGTACCTAGTATCCCAGCATGTGCTCCGGGGCTGTCTCGGAGCAAATCGTGACACCATCAAGTGTCTACCTACCTACCTAGGTATCACAGGCTGATGTCCTACACGGCAGTATTCACCTCTGCTATGTAGGTATGCGCTTTGTATGCCAGTCGTCACGTGGCTATACCCTAAGAATCATCGACAATCCAGTTTATACCATTCTAACCTAGAAAGAGCAGCGTTGATGTTCTAGATATAGGGCAAAATCTAAGTACATATCCCACCAATAACCAATAACTCCACGTCTCACTCTACTAGTCCAAATGTAACTCTAATAGTTCACGACTCGTGTGAAAGCACATATCCAACCAATGTCAATTTATCTGGAAATCCTTCCCGGTTATCTGGCTCGGTCCACTGCTTAAATTTCCGGAACCCGAGCTTCTCAAGCACACGCTTACTGCCAATGTTGCCGCCCTCAACCACGGCCCAGATCTTCTCCGGTGACTCACCGGGCCCGTCCACCGATCCCGCGTCCACTTCCATCTCAACCTCGGATCGAGGGAGTGTCCACCAGTTGCTGAGCCAGCCCTTCATCCACTCTGTAGCGTACCCTTTCCCCCAGTGCTCCGTTTTAAACGTATATCCAATTTCAGGCCAACCGGAGTTAGGGTCGATCACTCTCACACCTCCCGTCCCGATTACTTCGTCTGTTGATGCGAGGCAGATCATAGTTCCGTAACTTTGACTATCGTAAGGCGGTAGGAAGCGCGACATGAATTCCCGCGTCACCTCCTTGTCGGCATCGATTCGCCCAGCTACTGTATATATCATCACCTCAGGCTGAGTGCGTAAGACATGAATGCCGTCGAGATATGCTTCATTCATGGGGCGTATAATCAAACGCTCCGTATGGATTGGTTTTCTTTCCGCAATCAGGGGCGGCGGCACTGGAAGCCGCGTTTTGACTTTCACTTTTTGCTCTTCAGACATTGTGAATGAAGGTCGACTTTATCGATATCACCACAAATCTCGGTGCCTTTCGAATATCACGATCATATATTTTATATTTCGAAGACGACAGGGCTTTAGCTCCTTCATGACTCACGACTAATCCAACGATCATCCCGAAGTGGAATGGTGCACGTCTTCCTAATCCCACTACCATACGATCTAACTACCTAGGCAGCTTATGAATCCGATTCCTATAGTTAGAGCCTTGTTCGTTGATTTAGAACTCATGAAAGTTGCAGATTCAATAGGGATATCTACGATATATCTAATACCCCCACGTTTCAGCCAGACCTGATATTTACATATAGGTAATTATGCATCTTATCAATATATATAACTTTTCTAGATCCTTATGCAAGCCACTTACTAAATTTAACCACTACATTCCTCACCCATGCTCAAGCAAGCAATACTTACAATGAAAATATATTAACAAAGAATACTGCTCAACAGATAGCTGTTCAACCGTCCACGTTGCTCAAGATTTCTACGGTTATTGTGATAGAGGGTTACACGTTTCGATCAGCAAATTCGTAGTAATCGGCTCTCATCACAACCGATTCTTTATATCTATTCTTTGTTATTTTCACAATACAGCTATGGCCAGGTCGGCCCGGCTCGTGGTGCATGGTCGGGTTCACAGCCATCTCGGGCCGTACTTACCTATGTGCCGATAGGGATAGTCTTGGGTAATGTAGGAAGGGCGACGGAGTTGAGAGAAGCAATGGAGTTTCTCAGACTTCCAAGTGTTAGAAAGTATGTTGAATGACGTCTGCGGCGACACGGTTTGAATATGTGCTTACTCGAGTTACTGCTCGGGAAGCAATCTGCCAACATGACTGACACGATTTATATAGTATAATACCAAACTGGCTGCTTACACGATCCTCACATGGCTTGCATTTGCAACGTGAACAAATATAACGGCCAGTTAGCTTTCGAAATTTACGTACGCTTGGCGTGGTTGTTTTCTTTGACCCCAAAACCGTTGTCTATTTCGGAAGCAGTACAGTATTGATTTCAAGGGCGTCCACGATGCTTTGTTCCATACTTCTATGTTCGAATTCCCCAACAACCAACGCACCATGTGGGTTGGTTTCCTTTTTTTCCTTATTTGAAGTCTTTTCCTCCAACTGCCACTACGCACGTAAACTCTGTAGGAAAACCGCGACTCCCTAAAGCGAAACCATGGCTACCATGCTGCCGATGGTGCCGCAGATGGCGGCCTTCTTCGCCGTCAACACGTTCATCTGCTTCCTTGCCCTGACGGCAGTCGGGCTTCGCATCTATCAGCACATTGGCTTCAAGATTGGCTTCGGCTGGGACGATGGATACATCTTGGTGTCGATGACCTTCGCTTTCACTCTCTTGGCGGTCGAAGGAGTGCGTAGGTGGTCCACGTTACCTCCTTATATATCACAAGTCGTTCACTAACTCTTGGTGAATGATGGGATAGTTTGTACCACAGGAGTCGGATATCCTGTCTCTGAGATTGGCCTCAGTGGGAGTCTCTACTTGATCAAGGTGTGTTGGGTGCCGGCTAGCTGCCAGCTTGTATCTGTTATGATATCCATATCTTACTGACAGCTCACTTCCCAGATAATCACAGCCCACAACATCCTCTTCGTCGTCTCCATCCTGACGAACAAGCTGAGCATCTTGTGCTTCTACCAGCGCATATTCTTCGAGAGCCAGCACATGCGCATTATGGTCAGGACCCTCGGTGCCTTTTTCATCATATGGGCCTGCGTCGGCGTCGTCGCCCTCTTTGCAGTGTGCAACCCGCGAATGGCTGCGGACGGGGGAGAAACTTGCAATCGGGGCGCTTTGATGTATAATTTCTCAGCGTTCTGTATCTTCGGCGATCTCATGGTCCTCGTCGTCCCCTTGCCGACCATCTGGCATCTTAACCTGAATCGGCATACGAAGATCAAGATCATGTTACTGTTTCTACTTGGTTTTATGTAAGTTCCTCCCTGGCTTCTCTCTCCCGAATATATACTCCCCATCCCCCCCCCCCCCCTTTTTTTTCTTTTCCCTCGTGCCCCACATACGATAATAGCTGGCTGATCTAAGGTCGATGCCATCAATCAGCGTGACCATCATCGCGATTCTCCGATGCGTCTCCGTCATCCGCGAGGACTGGACCGACATCGAGTTCGCCATCGAATCCCAATACTCGCTAGCATATGCAGTCCTCGAGCCGAATCTGGCCATTCTAATCGCCTGCCTCCCCATGGCATATAGCGTGATGAACTCCTGGAGGGGCAAGCGCGTTGAGAGCGACAGCAATGGAGTACACCTGTCAACGCCGACGCCGCCGAGGCGTCGACGAGCTGCGCCAGGCTATGATGATCTGGAAGACACTAGGATTAGCGTGTAGGTAAACACTACACTAAAAAGCCAAAAAAAAGAACCCTTCGCTTAGAATGGGAAGCCATTTCATCTTTTCGTGCCTATTTCAGTGCATGCATGCATGCAGCCAGCATCTGTGCAGTGAGCTTCACTCGACTACCCCGTGCACGGCTAGACTGACTACGCGCTGCTTCTCATTAACCCCCTTTCCGTGCTGACAAATTTGCCGTTTGCCTGTGTTACCAACAGCAAACGTATTAAATACTACCCACCCAGGTAATTTTCTATGTAAACAGACGTCAACATGCGTTTCTTATTATCATACGTGACATCTAATACCAACATGCTGACATTGGATTCTGCACTGAAACGAATAACGCAGCTGCCACGTAGTTTACACCATAAGACCCCTCTCCCTATCTGCTTCAGTAAATATAGGACTTACGTCGAGCGCACACCTTACGTCAGTACCTACCTATGTAGGGTATCAGTTTACTGATTAGCAATAAAACATCAATCATTTATTTGTCCAATTTCAAGCCTCCATAATATCAGCACCATTATCTCCTACCCTTGGCAGCTTCTGATATAATGGCCCTTTCCAAGGCCTAACCTAGGCACTGCACAGGACCTTTTTAAGAAATACGATGCCTAAAAGTGAGAGCAACGAATTCGGTGAATTACAAGAATAGGCATCCGATCGACACTTCTCTCGACCGGTCAGAGTTTGATCGGCAGTCCAAAGGATCGAAACGACAAAAAGCCGTACGTAAGACTAATCGGATGCAGGAACCCAAGATATTTTCAGCCTAGCACAGCGGCTGTGCAGGGGGGCATTGCATTCAACCTCACGGAGTGGTTATTTATAACATATAATCTGCCTATATTCTAGTAAATCGAATTCTTCGGGAAGGTACCTATTTAAGGCCGTAGCAATAATAGACTGTTAAACGCCAGATACGAATTTTCAAATGGCCGACAAAGGCAAAACAACCGCTGCCGAGGGGGTCGAGGAACCGCCCGCATATACTGAAAGCACATCAGCAAACCCTACTCACACAGATGATGCGCCCCCTGGATATGAAGAGGGCCAAACGTCAACAGTACCGCCGATTTCGGCATCGCCCATCTACTGCACCATCCCCAAGGTCGTAGGGGCGTACTACCAAGCCAACCTCTCGGGGTTTAAAGTGTTCCACATCGGCGCAAGCGAAAACGAGCTCCTCTTCGCCGTCGAGGTGCACATGGGGTACAGCATGAGCGGGCCGCTCGGCGTGCGGCCGGGGATCCACCTGCACAACGGGCCGACAACCAAGGACCCGATGCTCGCCGCGACCAGTGAAGAGACGGCACTGTCCGCGTCGATGTACAGCATGAACAACAACAGCATCATCTACATGCCGCCGCCGCTCCTTGATCGCCCCGGCGCGAGCACCAGCAGCATGGTCACAGAGATGATGCGCGCGCGCACCACGAGCGACAACGGCGTCGCGTTCTCGTTCTCGATTGAGGTCGGGGATGCGGAGAAGACGCGCAGGGAGAAGTTCGAGTGGAAGAAGATCACGAAGAAGGATAAGCATGCGGGGGCTGCTCAGGGGGGGTACAAGCTCCTGCGGCTTGCTACGGGGTCTTCTTCCCCACAGGGCGAGAGTAGTAGTAGCAGTCTAGCCGCTACTTCCTCGGCTGCATCCACTGCTGCCGCGTCGGAGGATGGCGGTTACGAGGTCGTGGCGTTGCTGGCGTGGACGAAGACGATATCGAATCTCATGCACCCCTTCACTATCGAGAGGAAGGGCAGTGGGGCGGCGGATGTGCTGGGGCAGAGATGGGCGCTTATGGTTATTATCACGGCCTTAAGGATCTGGATGCTGCGGGTTAATGGCAAGACGAAAAGAGTGGTTATTGCTGCAGGGGAAAAGGTCAGGGGCAAGGCGGCTCAGGAGTAGTACGACACAATGTAAGTTCAAAACTTGCCTCAACTATGCAGGTGTAGTACTTACATATGCGTCATAGATTATGCCCGGTACTTGCAATATCGTAGGTAATTTCAACGTTTCAAAAATGTAAATATAAGACCACATAACCTCAAGCTAGATGTTTCCTTCCCCCTAAACTTCAAAATTGACTTCAGCACCAGTTTCAGTGTGGACACAGGCAATAGCAACCTAACTCTTACTGAACTGCTCAAGCATTGCGGGTTGTGAAATCTTCTCAACCTTGAATTCAACCCTACAAAGGCGTAAAACCGAACTGATCGCAGCCAGGCGGAAGAGTGTCAAGGGCGTGCCGAAGACGACAACAGCTAGGAAGTGCTAGGCAAAGAACGTGACCTTCGAACCCATTGTGGCGTAGAAGGAAGGCTTCAGACTTCTGCAAGCCCAGCTGACAGACTCCATCTACCTGGTGCACTAGAACTATAATGTAACAACATTTTTTTTTTAAAGAAAATAGACGCCTCACTGGAGCGAAGCTACGGGGTAATGATTTTCCACTGCGAAAACGGCTGCGACGGGAATACGTTGGATGTGGACAATATACGCCCAATCCAGTTTCTAAGTAAGATACTGACCAAGTCGAAAACCAATCACCAGGCTACAGAGCTAGAGGTGTCTTGCCTCGTCTGGACTTGCCGGAACCTTCGAGTCCTAGTGCAATTCTGCGAGCTTCCTGTCGTGATCCTTACAGACCATCGGTCCACCCGCGGGGTTGGCAACCAGACCTCGCTACGCTCCGTGGACCTAACTAAGCTGAACCTTCAGCTGACGGCCGCCAAGTCCTTCATCAGCTACCCCATGATCCAACTCGTTGGCTTTATGGTCGACGGAGTCGGGACCGGTCTCACCCAGGGACGGATAGACGCTCTGCGGAAGATAGCCCAGCCCACGAGCCTATGCGATCTCGAAACATATATTGGAATGACATACGCACAGGACAAACGGCTACAACGGCTTAGAGGCATCATGGAACAAGCCGCCCAAACTAAATCTCCCGAGGAGATACCAAACTGGTATAGACATGAAATGCGTGACGGGTTACTATATCACGTATCCGATACCGGAACTAGGCGACTTATGATACCCTCTTGCGTTCAAGAACTGCTCAAAGCAACACACGACAATAAACATCACTTTGAACCTTAACGAATGGCGTGACGTTAGCTTGTTTTGCGACGCATGTCGAAACCACTCTCTGAACCCAGTCAAGGCTGGTATAATCCTTACCAACTTCACCCAATTGCTTCGAGGTGACGCCCTCATCTGGTTCCAGGCCCGTCTGACGCCGGACGAACAGGCGTCCTGCCGTAACAGCCTCGACTTCGCACTGACAAGAATTACTCGGGCATACAGGCTTGATCCTACCGACGCTTTCAAAAGAATGCAAGCAATGGTATATGACGAGACGAAGCTTGTTCAGAACGCTGATATCGTTTCTTGGGCAATGGAGCTGATTAGATATGCCAAGAGCTGCGGACTCACCACCGCCGATCAACAGGCGGCACAAATATATAATTCTTTGGTAGCTCCACATGTCATACGACCTCGAAGGAGTGTCAATACAAAACTTGACTAGAAAAGTCAAGTGTTATGTCGAATGGTGCGAATGTGAGGCTCAAGCCAGTCCAAAATCAAGGAAATCATCAAAAAACATAGATTGTAAAAGAGAGGAAGAGAGCGGAGCTCGTGAACAAACCTAAGGACGGAGGAGTAAACTTGGACGAATATCTCGGTCACATCCAGGAGAAGCAGGGTTCCCACCGCAATAAGGCAATCATCATCAGTCTCTATCACCTAGAAGACGACAAAAGGAGAGAAACATGACAAAAGGAGAGAAGGAGATTGGAGTAAGAATTGAATTGAATAAGTATAGAAAAGCTTATCGATAGCATTAATGCGCCCCACTGCTATGTACACTACTAGTTAGTAGTACATAACATGAATAACATGAATAACATAAATAACATAAATAACATAAATAATTAAACCTCTATACGGATACTCCTTACTCCGCGCTCATCAACATGGTCGTGACCGTGATGCTGCTCCTTATGCATATAATGAATGATTTTATAAGTTTATTTATCATTTAAGCAGATAAAATAATCTCATACTTGATGTTAAATTTTTTGTCCAGTTAAAGAAGAGAAGGTTGAAGTCAAAGGCCCGGCTATCACCGCTTCTTGGCCGTCTTGGCTTCATTCATATCATTCATATTATCGAGTTTCTCACTTACATAGGTGGTAACACGGATATATACTTCCAGTGGTTGGATGCGACATAATGGACTTGCATCTACCAGCAGCAGCAAGCGTGACTCAGCGGCCGTCGCAATTACTATCATCACAGCAGCAGAAACCCCTCAGCTGTACAAATTGCCGGGCCCGGAAGCTCAAATGCAGCCGTGAATACCCGTGCCATCATTGTGTGCGCTCCGGCGCCGAGTGCGTCATCCCCGCCCGTAAGCGCACCCGCAAGCCCCGGAAGAGCAAGAACTCGGACCTGCTCCAGCGTCTCACCCGTCTCGAGTCTATCGTGGGGAAAGTCGGTATCCCCGACCCGACTGCCGGATCAGATGTGGAAATGGGCGAGTCCTCGACTGCTGCTGCTGCTGCTGCTGCTGCCGCTTTGAACTCGTTGGCGGCGGAATTCCAGGAGCTCTCGGGCGGAAGCCATCGTGCTCGCCGTGCTGTTGGTGACTCGGCAGGACTTGCGGCGGTGGTGGGTGGCGAAGCGCAGCAGGAGGGACGAAACGTACCGCTCCCGCATAGCAGCAAAGCAACGCAGTATCTCAGTTCGGAGTTCTGGGGCAGCCTCTGCTCAGAGGTGGAAGGGCTAAGGCAAGCGTTGGAGCAGTCGACGGACTCGGACGATGATGACGAGCAGCAAAACACGCCGGACTCGATCGCGATGGACAACAGCGTCAGCCCCAGCACCGTTGCCTCCGCCCTCTCCCCGGGAATGCTCCTGGGCAACGCATCCCGCATCGCCCACGACGCCATCGAGCACCCGCCCCCCGACCACATCCGCTTCCTCACCTCGGTCTACTTCACCAACGTCGACATGATCCTCAAGATCCTCCACCGCCCCACCATCGAACCCGCCCTGCTCGCCCTCGCCGACACCCCACCATCATCATCATCATCATCAGACTCCGCGCGCCTGCCCCCGGACAGAGAAGCCCTTTTCTTCTCCATCTACCACGCCGCCATCGCCAGCCTCTCCCCCAAAGTCTGCCTCGCGCGCCTCGGCCGCCGGCGCTCGGAGCTCGCCCACGCGTACGCGTCCGCCCTCGAGCGCGCCCTCGTCCGCGCCGACTACCTCAGCGCCACGTCCCTCGAGGCCCTGCAGGCGCTGTCGCTGTACGCGGCGTGCCTGCGCAGCACGGCGGGCTCGCGCGCGTCCTGGGCGCTGCTGAGCCTGCCGGTCCGCCTCGCGCACGCCATGCGGCTGCACCGCGAGTCCGCCAACGCCGGCCTCCCCGCCTACGCCGCCGAGCTGCGCCGCCGCCTGTGGTGGCAGCTCATCGTGCTCGACATCCGCGCGTCCGAGGACAGGGGCACCACCGCCATCATCGCGCGCGACAGCTACGACACAAAGCTCCCCCTGAACATCGACGATGCGGATTTCGGGCCAGAGTCGAGCGGCCCGTTAAAGGAGAAGAGGGGCCCGTCGGACGCGACGTTTAGCCTGTGCACGGCGCAGAGCTCGGGAATCTTCTTGCTGGCCGAGCATGCGCAGGGGGGAGGAGAGGGCGAGGGAGAGGGGGAGGTGGCGCTGGCGCCGCCGCAGAGCGTGGACGAGACGGTGCAGCACGCACGGCGGCTCGAGGCGCAGTTTGTGGCGGGCGCGGACCCAGACCACGCGCCGTCGTACCTGGCGTCCACGACCGTGCGGCTGATCATACTGAAGCTGTGGCTGTACGTGCAGTATCCGTTGCACGCGCGGCAGCGGCCACCACCACTCTCGTCGTCTTCACCATCAGCATCCTTACCTGCCTCTCAACAGCAGCAATCAAAAGCGGGGACGGTAGCAGAAGCCGCACCCCTCACTTCCCCCCCCACCTTAAACAATAACAACAGCGCCCCCATATTCCCCCGCGCAGCAACCCTCCGCACAGCCGTCTCCATCATGGAACTAACCGAGTACCTGCACACCGGCCCCTTCGGCGACCGCTTCACGTGGTGGGCCGCGACCTACGTGCAGTGGCACCCGCTGGCTGTTGCGCTCGCCGAGCTATGCACGTACACCACCCCTTCCACCACCACCACCAAGGACGAGGAAGACCTAGTGGACCGCGCCTGGCGCATCATCGACGACGTGTTCCCGCGCTGGAGCGAGGTGATCGCCGACACGAAGAGCGGGACCCTGTGGCGGCCCATTAGGAAGCTGTACAAGAAGGCCAAGGCTGCCAGGAGGGGTGCTATTAATACTTCTACGAACACTTATGCTACTACTTCTGCTACGAAAATGAACACGAGCACGGACACTACTGCCGCCATGCCCGGTGATTTGATGGACGTTGCAGGGTCAGTAGCTGGCGACACAATACACGTACGAACTGACTACGGTGGGCCTTCAAATGGAGGCAGCAATACTACGATAGAACCGATACCAGCAGGAGGTGTTTATGAGATGGAAGTAGAGGAGACGAGAGAGCCCAGTGTGCCGCCAAACCAAGACAAAGCAGCCATGTCGCCGTACTCTCTAGACGAGTCGATGATGTGGGGGTGGAGGAATTTTAGCATGCCTCTGGACCTCTGCGGTCCGAGCATGATGGGGGATTGGGGTGCTTGGGACGACTTTGTTAATGATACCCAAGCTGGTGCTGAGGGGCAGTCAAAATCTGCATCTAGCGAGATGAGCCTTTGATGGATAGGTTAGAACTGTATCACCTAGTACGCAGCATTACAAAGTAGTTCACGACTCGCAACTCAGGCAAAATGAATTAAAAAAGAATCATCGTTTGGTCATCTGTTATATGCATTTGCTGCTCTATCTGTCGAGAGCACACATGCTAATCAAGTTTTCCGCAATTCCGTAATGAACACCGGCAGACCGATTCCCAAACCCCTCCCAACTACGACACGAAAAACCCTTATGCGAAAGTGGAAGGTCGGGTGGCGCTGAACACCTTCTTGTTGCTGATACGGGGGACACGGTGAGGTAGGGGGAAGGATAGATCCTTGGTGACGAGTTGTCGGATGTAGGGTCGCTTGACGTCCTCAATCTTCTCGACCTCAACGACGCGTAGGATCTAAAACATGGTTAGTTATAGGTAGAGCGAAGTCAAAGGTAAGGATGATATCGTACGTGAACCGACCGGAATCTAGCGCGGTGGCGGGCAGACATGTCGGAGTAGAGGGCCTCAACGGCATCGGTTCGCGACATCTCGCGGTACTCCTTGTACATGTTGTGAGTACCGGATCGGGAGTCGTATCGGATCCAGATGCCGAAGTTCTTGACACGGAGAGGGTTCTTCTCAGCAATCTATTATAATGTTAGATACTATATGTCTGATCGTTCATCATCCAAGATATGTACCTTGTTCATGCTGACGATCTCGCCGTTGGCCTTCTTGACCTTCTTTAGCTTGGTCAAGAAGTACCAGAAGCGAGACTTGGCTACGACCTCATTGGGAGCAAAAATTCGCATGCGGTACAACTTGGGGGTAGGGTTGGCCTCGGAAGGCAGGTGGCGGCCAATGACCTGGTATTCTTGGAGACGACCTGATGCCAACATGATTAGTTATTTCCTTGATGTAGTAAAGTCACAATGTCAAGTGTTGTCCATTAAAGGCTTTGTTGATATTGACGTCCCACGCGCATGACGGGTTTTTCGAGTTGTGTTGGGCTGCCAAGATCCAAATATTTGTCCAGTCGATCATCGTTCAATTGATTCCCTTTCGTTTTCGCAGAGTCTGTCTGTGAATATCGCGAGATTGGAGTGAAATCGGTTTCGCTGTTGTTTCTTCGTCTGGCTAATATTCGATTGCGTCGCCCATTTCGAAATCCATCTCGGTCGGCTGTGCTGATTTCTGGGATATGGCATATGGCATGCAGCATGCCAGGAATGAAGGAAATGTAGCTTACCCATCTTGAAAATGTTAGCAATGAATGAGAGAATTAAGGAATAGTTCAAGTGCAAAACCTACGGTGATTTGATGTATGTGTGGTCGTTGATCGCAATGGCGGTTCGTAGTAGGAAAAAAAAGATCCGAGTTAATTCGGTTGTTGGATGTTGAATTCGCTTACCACCAAATGAATCGACTAAATTTTTGGTGCTAAGGGTTTCTCGCCCTAGTGTCTATGTGGGGCAGATAAAACCTACGTTATCAGTCATCAATTGATTTGTTGTGTATCCGTAGTTCGAGTTTAACCGATAACGATAAGATTGAACATTGAACTTGAACCTTGAAAAGATGGGGTGTGGCAAATGGCAATGTTAGTGGCTGGTAACGCTAGCGTAGCATTGCATTAGGTAAGTCTACATTCAGCTCAACTCACACTGAACCTGGACCAATCAGAGTGATTCAGTCATCTTCAAAGAATGCATCTTAACCATTCAATCATTCAATCATCAACTCAAAAACAACTTCTTCGTCATTAAAACATGACCAAATCTCATGGCAAACACATCATGCTTAATACTTTCTTTTAAACTACTTTGAATTGTCATTCTTTCGAATCTAAGCACTCACTCACCCTCAAAACGACCTTGCCCCTCTTACCGACTACGTTAGGTACCTCGCCAGTTAGGTAAGTACCTAGTGGCCATGGATTCCCTCATATATGATTTCAAGACGGCGTTTACCGGTATGAAGGGTGATCAACTTGCCGAGACCCTTCATCCAGATGTACATACCTACCCCAACAAGCTATTAGCTGTCTGGGGTCGTGGGGATCTTCGAGATGTCACGGCCGACCTCAACTTCTTATTTTACCAAGATCCCTCCCGCCCAAGACTATCCCAGGAAGAGACAACTGGCTGGTTTGAGATCTACCTTGCCTATTGGAAGGCTGTAGGAGAGATTCTTGCCGTCGAGGGTCTACGCAAAGATGCCAAGGTATGAATAAATAAATAACTTTGGTCACAACTTTGTTGGTTGGTTGCTTACGAGTACAAGTCATCAAAGTCGTCGCGAACGACAGTTTATCAATCATGGAAGGATCTCACGCTGCAGGTCATCCGTGGCTACACTCACTATGAGTTCGAAAACTGGACAATTCCATGCTTGTATGTTGCGGGGAGGTACCTAAGAATATTCGCCATACAAGCCGACGAGGAGAGAAGAAGTGGTGGTGAAGACACTGCTGAGACCGTTATGCAAGACGATTTTGATCTAGAGGCTGAAGAGAATAAATATCTTGAGGATTGCACGAGACATCTCAACAGAATCTTTCAGACCTGCCTCAACGACAGGTGCTTGCCCCTTGTCTCTCTTCCCTATTGAACATCGGCTAATGATCGTTAGAGCACCGCTAGAAGAGTCGCGCAAATGGGGAATCTACTATGCAATCAATCTCCTCTTTAAGAGTTACTTCAAGTTAAACTCGGCAGCCTTATCCAAGAATGTCCTGAGAGCCATTCAGGCGGGCCGAGGCGACATGCCTACCCTTGACAAGTTCCCCAAATCCCAGCAGGTTACTTTCAAGTATTATGAGGGAGTATTGGCGTTTCTTGAGGAAAACTATGTGCAGGTATGTACAGAATAACCTATTTCATGTGTCGTGATGCGAACTGACGCAGCATAGGCGGAACAGCACCTCACTACAGCTTGGCTGATGTGCCACAAAGATGCGAAGCATAACCTCGAGTTAGTCGGCTAGACATCAAAACGGGTTTTATAGGTACTAATTATTTTCTAGGCTAATATTAACCTACTTGATTCCATGTCACCTTTTGACCACTCATACACTTCCCAGTCCCAAGCTGCTTGAGTCATTTCCACGGCTACAGCGGCTATTCTTACCGTTGGGTGAGGCGATTAAGAAGGGAGATCTCAGTGCTTTTGATATTGCACTACGACATGGTGAGGACGAATTCATCAAGCGGCGCATCTACCTAACTCTAGAGCGTGGTCGCGATATCGCGTTGAGAAATCTGCTGCGGAAAGTGTTCATCGCGGGAGGCTTCGAAGATGGTAAAGATGGTTCGCCGCCTGTTCGCCGCACAAGAATACCGGTGGCTGAATATGCGGCTGCCATAAGAATCAGTAGTGGAGAAGAAATTGATACCGATGAGGTGGAATGCCTTTTGGCAAACATGATCTACAAGGTAAGCCTTTTTTCTTTCCTCTTTTTCTAAAGCATAATACGTAGTGGATGATGTTCGACTGTCGTCTACGAATGAGCACGTCGCTCTTTTCAGTGACACATCCCCTTATATCCAGGTTCTATGACTCACTAACGTCTTAACCGTATGACAGAATCTAATGAAGGGATATATCGCCCACGAGCGCGGTATTGTCGTGCTGAGCAAGAATGGCGCCTTCCCTGGGACGAAGGTCTGAGTCTGTGGACTCGGTGGGAGTATAAAATGCATACGATCAAATATCGCAAAGCGGCGAGTATCCAGACCTATTAGGTATTAGACATTTATCGGGAAGTTTTGAAAGCACATCAAGAAGGGCACGAGCATTAAGTACCATGGTAATGCCCAGCATCAAGAATGCGGCTGACATTGGGATAGGTGTGGGGAAGGCACCTGCGTTAGATCCCGTCATGCATCCTCCGCCTTGATTCAAATAGTTTATTATGGCACTAATCAAAATCCAAAGAGATACCTAGTATCCATCTTGGCTTTTTTTGAGGTTTAAAGTAAGGTTAGATGGTTATAACGAGAAGCCCCGTCTTTTTCATGGAGATGGTAATCGCAACTCTCATTCCTGAGCTAGTAGGAGGTCTCAACCGAACGTTTCTCCTTTTTGAGGGGTGGGGGTTTTGTGCAAGGATATGAAGCTTAGAGGGATGACTCCTATTAATACTTAATGAATATTGTATCACATATCATTTTCATTGGCAAAAAAAGAAGGTAAGGCAGGGTAAGCAGAGCTGCAGAAGACGTTAACCCCGCTTTAGTGAGCTGAAGATGCCTCTCCTATCGTCCTTGCCGTAGCCTTCTTGACAGAATAACTTCTAGAACCTTTCCATACCTAATATCCACCCCTACCTAGCCATGGCCAAGTGGCGTGCAATGACCACGGCTGACATCCAAGGCCTCATGCTCGTCGCCGATGCGATACACCCCGGGCTCCCAGAAAGCCAAGAGGTTCTTCTGGAGCGTGTGAAGCCTCTTCTTCCCAGAGGGATGTTTAGCTCTCGTGGACGATGAGACCTAAAACAACAACGACGACGACGACGATGATGAAGAAGGGGCAAAGGAAGAAAAGGGGCAGAAGGAAAAAGTCCACGGCTACACCATCTCGCACCCCATCCGCCGCCGGCCCTGGACAGTTTTCCTAGGCAGGATCCCCCCCGATGTAGACCAGTACTACATACATCCACGACGTCGCGGTCCTGCCCTCGTTGCGGGGCCGGGGTCTCGCGGCCGAGTGCGTCGACCGGCTGCTTGCTGCGGCATGTTCGGTGTCGGCACCCCTTCTTTGATGGGCTACGGTTGACTGACTGACTGGCATACGGACAACTTGTATGTGGCATCTAACTACTTACAAGAGTCTCCTGGATGGCCTTGCGATGCAGGTAGAGAGAAAAGCTAGCCTGCGGCTTGGGGTGCGAGGTACCTAACTCGGATATCCAACACTTACACACCCAACCGGGCGTGGTTTCTGTTGAGGCTGCTGGTGGATACCAAGGTGCCTTCGACGATGCAATCGTTTTGCCGCGCCGCTGGGGGTGGCTGACACGGAATGCAAGCGTTCTTCCTAGGTACCGCCCCTGGCTCCGCCGATAGCAAACGCCATCTGCAGTCTTGGTTATGGGGCAACCTCGATAAGGTAGGTCTTCGTCAAGTTTCCCAGTGCATTCTGGGACCCTCGTGGCTCGGGAAGGAATGCTGTTTAGGTATCGTAAACAGCAGCAGCAGCAGCAGCCCGAAACCACGGGGGGTTCCACCATTCCCCGTCGTTGAATCCTCTCTTCTCTCAGCCCCGAATGCGCAGCCGACACCAACCCGGCCAAGTGGCGAACGGAGATCATTTCGCACTCCAGCTTGCCAGCGCCATTCTCCCAGCCCATCATCAGGTTCTTCGTCTAGGTACGGCCAGTGGGGGCGCCGCTGCATCACTGGGCTGATAGATACGGGGCATGGGGCGGGATGTTTCCGCTGAGTACCGCCGAGCCCTCGATGATGACTTCCGCCGGTGCTACTCCAAGCTACCCTACTACGATCCTGCTTCCCCTGGCTGGAGGCCCTTCTGGGTTCCTGTCAGCGGACTGGCAGGGTGATGGGTTTGCCGGGTACGGGTCGTTCACTAATCTGCCCGTTGGGTCGGTGGGATTGTGCGAGGCGTTTGGGGGTGCGTAGAGGGGAGGTATTGGTGTGGAGCGCGGTGTATGGTTTGCGGGTGAACATACGTCGCCGCCTGGTGGGTTGGGAACTGTTGCGGGTGCGTACTGGAGTGGGGAGGAGGCGGCGAAGAGGGTGTGGTTGATGTTTAGGGGTATTTGTAGAGGATGGGATTGTTGCATACCTACATGATAGTTCTGTGTCATCTAACTAACTACGTACTGGGTATCTTAGATAGGTACCTAGGGTATCGTGAGAATCTTTCGGGGAGGACCGGACCCGAGGACATTAGGTAGGTCAGACAGGTCTTGATTACGTACATGGTCAGTATCTCTCGCTTATCCAAGAGATGTTATCTTTGATTTTCTTTTCTTTTCTTTTCTTTTTTTTCCTTTTCCCCCCCTTTTCCCTTGCGGACATTTCTTCTCCTGCACAGCACGCATCATTTTCCTCATATGCGAGATTGCCTAGGAATAATACCTAGCTATCAGATCTCACGCACGGATACCTACATACATGCGTTGTACAGGGGTATAGAGGAATGACTCATAGTTAAATACATGTATTCAATTTCGTGTCATACATTCCAGCTGCCAATAACTACCTACATGCGAGATGGCTGGGGAGTGGGACCATTACGCATGGGGAGAAGACGGGAGGATGCATAGGTACCTACATGGATATAAATGACTACCTCATCCGGTTAGCTCATATGCAAGCACTTTATCTTCCAAGGCCGGGGAAGGCCTGCCTGCTTATGTGATGCGGGAACGCATCCGCGGTTGTGGTTGGGGGCTAGCAGGCTAGGAGGAGTCAGATTAGCAGAGTCAGACAGACTCAGACTAGCAAAGGGTACTTTCTTCTCTGGGGATTGATTTAGTTAGGGGGTGCCATTGACGAATCAAGATATTTATACAGGCTAGTTAGTTACCGGGTACATTAGGTAGTAGATACTAGGTTAGGTAGGTAATCAGCACATTTGCCTTGTTTCAAGTTGCTCCGTTGGGAACACTTGCTTTTCTCGTACGACTGGGGCATGGGTATCGGTTTGTGCTTTTTTTTTTTTTCAGTCTCTGCCCCTAATACCCCTTTCCTTATCTAGGTAGGCATTGCATCATTTTCTGTTTGGATGTTGAATGGTCCCAACGCCGGACTACCCTACGTAGGTTACGTACATAATCCCCACATGTGATATCTGGGTATGTCAAACGAAGATTCAAATTCTCACGATTTTCAAAGATCTCAAGATAGTTACATCTTAGGGCACATAGATTAGGCAGATAAACTGGCTATATGTATGTGTAAGAATATTGGTACTTTCATTGTTTTCCATCCATGTTCTTCTCGAGCCTTTCTAAAGAGCCTCCTCTCGTTGACTTGGCCTGGTATCGCTGAACAAAAGAAAAGGAAAAGAAAAGAAAAGAAAAAGGCCAGGCGCGAAAGCATCAGCTGGCTAGGTAGGTTACCTCAAACCTCAACACTCAGCTGCTGCTATCAACGATAGTTCAGAAGTGTAATAGTACAGGGGAGAGAATATTCGTGAGACTTCCGCCCAGTTTCATTTCTCCCGATGTTTTCTTAAGTGAACTCCCCTATTCCCATACCGTCCCCTTCTTCTCTCACCTACTTCCGTGGTTTCTTTTGAGAGGGGAAACCTCTTCTCTTCGTTCGTATCTCGCTCATTCTTGCCTTGCTCCCCTGCCCACCCGACCCCGTCGTTAAAACAATTAAAACTCAAAAACTCGTGGTATCTTTTTTTTTCTTCGTTTCGTCTTTCTTCCCAGCAGTGTTTCTCCCATGAAACGAACATAACGTGGAAACTGTGACCCCCAGGCTACCCGTGAGAAGAATTCCTCTTCCCGGACATGATAATGATACATGAACATGAAAATGTGAAAAGACTAAATAGCAGCAAAACGAGAAAATCCTTGTCTGCATGGGGGAGAGACCCCAAACGCAGCAAAACCTGAAACGCCGGTAATGTTCTCAGTGCGTGTTTTTTCGTGTTGCTTCCCGCACCGAGAAAGAATTCCCCTCTCGTAGATTTCCGGATATTATGATGATAGCAGGAGGAAAGGAAATAAAATAATTACAACAACTGAGTTATATGGAAACATAAACGTTGATCATTAGATTTTAAGATGATGATATGGGGTTCGTGATGGGGAATGGGATAATAATAGGTGAGAAATGGTAGGTAGATACTATTGAGATGGATGGGGAAGTGATAGTTTGCTGGGATGTGATGGGATGGGATGGGATGTTCAGAAGAAGTGGCGGTTGCTTCGGGGGGTGTTCCTGAGGATATATGTTAGGACACCGTGACTAATCTAACACATAGGTGTACGTCCGGAGGGAGGAGGAGGAGGAAACTTACTGTGTCGACGAAATATCATCAACATGGTTGCACAGCGCGACGAAGAGATCGAAGAAAAGCTGCGTGCCGCCGTTGAACATCTCCAGCTGCATCGTGCCGCTCCGCTTGAAGGTGCCACGGCTGCGGATGATGAGCGCGAGGTAGTGGGCCCGCAGCTTTGAGTCCGTGTCGGGCGTGTTCGCATACGCGTAGCGTGCCGACGCTAGGATGGTGCTGCACTGTATGCCCGATTCTACGAACAGAAAAATAAAATGGTTAGTGGTGTTTTCCTTTCAATCTAGGCACACACGAGATTGATGGATGGAAAAGAGGCACTTACGCAGACCCTGCTTCCGCAAGGACACCCGCTTAAGCTCCTCGAGGCCGTACTTGTCAGCCGTGCAATAAATGACCGTGTCCTTCAGGACATCGCCATCGACGCCGTGGTGGTAGACGGTGGACTCGCGCGCGCCCTGGCCGTCGTCCTCGATGTGCTCCATCTCCCACGAGTTGCGGCGCTTGTTGTGGATGAGGCGCGGGTAGTAGTCGCCCTTGTAGAGGTACTCGAGCACGGAGGAGAAGATCTCGGGCTCCTCGTCCGGCAGGTGGATGCGCTTGGCGTTGCTGCTGCTGCTGGGCGAGGAGGCATCCAGGTACTGCGCCGACAGCGTCTGCTGGAACCATGGCGAGGCGCAGAGGACGTCCTCGTGCGCGGCGAAGATACGCTGGTCTTTGCCGATTACGAGGGTTACGATGGAGGGGGTTAGGCTGCTGTGGAGATGAGGAAGTCAGGATATGCATAGGTACTTTGAGTGAAATGAGGGTTGATGAATTTTCTGAGGAGGGAAATGAAATGAAATACTAAGAGAACATACCCAGTTGGTGAGAGAGCAGTGGGATGTGCTAAATTTGAAGATGTCGCTGTGGCTGGACGTCGGTGTTGACGGGGCTCATGGCGACTCTTGGACACTCCATGATTCTTACTGAATGAAGAGCTGGATTTGTTAATCTTCTGAGACTTGGAGAAACTCTTGTTCGTTGGTTGTTCGAATCGTCGACTGAACATATTGAATGAGTTTGTTGAATGAGGTATTATTGACTTCTCGAAGGTTTCCGACCGAGAAATGAATACCTGGCAAACGCAAATATCCCGTTCGGTCTTGGAATTACCAATTTGATGCGTTTGGAAATGGCAATTACCTATTTATGCTCGAAGGCGTGGATGGTCCGATATTGATTTTGGATGATTTCAAAATGGAAGATGGAATTAAATAAAAAAAGAGACGAGATGAGATGAGAAAATGGCCTGCCTACCTTACCTGCACAAAGGTTCTAGAGTTGGAGATGAATTGAAAAGGAAAAGAAATTTTGGGCGATGCATATCTTATATACAGTCAGACCCATGTCGTACTATACCTAAGCAGTACATTCTATCAGCACATTTTGGTAGCACATCAATATCTTTTTCAGGCAAACACGCTTTGAAAAATGGCGATGTAGTTGGCCCACGCGTCGGGCGCAACCCGATATTGACACGCTTTCACATGACTTGACCCACACACCACCCACCCATTACACAACCCATTTTTGGTATAGCGCATTCTGTACCTATTTCTCTCCCCACCTTTTTCGGTGATGGAGGTGCCACTAGGACTTTCTATTATGGGGCCAAGAAACGCCTGAAGGGAGAGATTAGCAGGTTCGGTGGGGGACGAACAGGGCTATACGACAAGGAACCTTTAGAGCTTCCAGGGAGTGATACAGCTTTTTCAGCTAATGCAACGCCTGCTAAAGTAATTTTTAATTCATTCCATCCATGGATGTCCTTTATTTTTTGTCCTGTTTCGTGTCCAATAATAACTAGTTACCTAACCTAGGTAGTTATGTATAACTGACAGTTATTAGTAGTACATCGCCATTCGTTTGTAAGATTCAATTGATCATACATAGCACTAACCTATTGTGTTTCCCACCCCATTCTCATATGAGGATAGCCCCGAATGGTTGCCAAACTCTGCCGTCACACTCAACCATCTCAACGAGTCATAGCGATGCTAAGTGCATACTAGTTACTATGATACTAGTCTCAGGGGTTCCCTCCCTCCCTCCGGCATACCTACCCTAGGTGCCTACCCTCACTAGTTAGCACACCACATCGGGTGGCGTAGATGTTGTACCACGGCTTTGGCCTGCACTACGAAAGCAAAACGAGACAAGATAGGATGGACAGAATAAGCATGGTTGACTTTGATGTCCATAAGATGACTCGATTTGTTTAGCATGTCCTAGGTGGGTTGGGTATTATGTCTACCTGCTCTGGTAAGTGCTTATCTAACCATGGAACGAATGACTATTTGCATCCAGCATCCAGCATCCAGCATCAAATATGTCAAGCATGATTGAAGCATCCATGATAGTTAATTACGGCGTGAGCGCGCATAAGCGTGGGTGGGTGGAAATGGAACGAAATGGAGCCAACCCAAGCTCCCGGGGCCTCCCTTGTTCCCTTTCAGTTAGGTAGGTACAATAGGTTCAGCGCACCTTTAACTCGTAAATTCACGGCGCCCTCGAACTTTTGTTAAGATAAGCCGAGGGAGTTATTGATGGTTTGGTGGTGAACCCCCTATAAAACACTGCTTATCATAAATGCGACACTAACAGGGCTACGAGGTTGGCAGTATCTTATACTTAATACTTAGTTATTGACCTTTGCCCGCTAAGCCGAAGCCAGAGAACACAAGACTCAACTTTCGCCAAAATAAAAAGTAAAACCCCCCCCAAAAAATATCATATAGAACAGAAACTCAGGTAAATACATACAATCAATTATTTACATTCTAACTTTATATATCGCGCCCCTCAAAGCCAGGATCTAGCTTAGCCATTTAGTTCTTCTTCTTCTCCTCCCACGCCTTCCGTCTATCCTCCTGTACACGCGCCCAGTTCTCGAGCTTATTCAGCGCCTGCTCAGCGGTCGTCGTCGCCGCGGTGCTTCGTCTGTCGTTTAGTACTGGCGTGGGCGTGGGCGTGGGCATGGGAGTGGGAGGGTTGAAGATCATTCGCGCGTCCCGAGCCGAGAGGGGGATCACGCTGCCTACGGCTGCAGAGGCGAGGAGGAGGATGTTGATGAGTTGCATCTTTTTTTTTTCGTTTTGTTAAATTGTGGATTGGCTTGGACTGTTAAGTTTTTTGGTATGATATGGTGTATGGTATTGATGGTAAACGATCGTATGCTCGATTATAAGCTGACAGATAGATAATAGGTAAGGCTGTTTGCCGTGCAATGAATGAGTGTGACGAAAGTGATGTCCGCTGGACGATGTGTGCTAAGTATATGCCTACTAGGTATCTATATGACAAGAAGCATGAAATATAATCAATAAGAACATGGAATCGAGGTGATCGAGGGCGCGAGCTACTTCGACAGCTATGCTCTTATACGACCTGACGCCTACCTATTGTCATTATCTTGCTTTACTCTGTACTCGTTCTATATTTGGCTTTGGTGTCTCTTTCAAGAATTGTCCAATATCCACCTTTGACAACGCAGCTTTGTTATGAGCTCAGGGATATCTAAGCATGTGTCTTTGATCAGTGATAAAGCATTTCATCTCACAGAGTTTCAAGGTAGGTACGTAGCTTTCACTTCTCTGTGGTGTTCACAATAGGGCTCTGTTTTAGGATTTTACAATTCTATTACATAACCTACCTTTGAGCATACCCTTACAACTGGCCGTAAACACAATGGATGGGCCTGACCTATGAGTGCGTGCCTTGAGCCGAGACAGAGAAGGCAAGCCGACAAAGAACGGGTTACGTAGCTACGACGCACTTTCACCCCCCCTCCGCATACCCGTACCATGGCACGGGCTATATTAGCCAGTAGGTATCACCGACGAAGAAGCACAACGGCGTTGAGACGTTGAATGAGTACTTTGATATACCTGCAGCACCTATGTACTATATACCTATCTATCTACACACGCCTATATCACGTCTTCCCCAACCCCACTCGCCGATCCCGGAAACGCCAACCTCCGCCACCGCCTCCCCAGCTGCAGAATCGTCACCGCCAGCGGATCCCTGACAAACGCGCCCCCCTCCTGCGCCGACTCCAGCATCTCGCGGGGCGCGGAGCTCGCGCCGACGCCCGTGGCCGCGAGCACGAACCCGTAGTTCCGGCAGAAGCGGACGCGCGCGGCGGAGAAGTCCGTGTATGCTTGGAACTCTTTCTGTTCCTGGTGGTGCTCCCGCTGCTCATGGTCCTGCTGCTGATGATGGAAGTCATCGTAGTGGTGCTGCTGCTGCTGCTGCTGCTGCTGCTTTTGGCGCTCGTTGTCCTCAAGACACCCGGCCGCAATCTTCCACGCGTTGACCGCATTCCACAGCAGGTGCGGGAACTTCCCCTGGTAGTTTATGATGATGGCGCACTCGACCCAGCGCAGACACGCCGGGCCGGAGATGAAGTCCGTCAGCTTGCGCAGCAGCGCCCCGGCCTCCCGCGCGTCTTGCGGGGAGGGGGGCGAGTCGAGCTGCAGCGCGGTCCAGAGGCCGTACGCCATCTCGAAGTAGCAGATGAGCGAGGGCGGGGAGCAGTGGCCGTCGCGCTGGTGTTGTTGCTGCTGCTGCTGCTGCTGTTGGAGGTCCAGGAGCAGCGCTGCGGACTCGGGACTCGAGGTGAAGTACCAGATGGCGACGGCGGCGCGGTGCAGGTGGCGCAGACGCCGTGGGCGCAGGGTGGCGGGGAGCTGGGAGACGGGCAAAGAGCTGCTTTCGCTTAGGTACTGCGCTGCGGTCTGGTGGATGAAGTCGAGTTCGAAGGTCCATGGCTCAGTTGTGGTGGGGGTGGGGGTGGGGGTGGTGTTCTGCGCGTCGAGGTCGGGGTTAAGCACCGAGACGAGGGGCCCCGATACCCGGCTCGCTTGCGAGGCGAGGTCGTGCACGGCTTCGCCGTCGTTCGCATACTGGAATATCAGCTCCAGCATCCTATGGCTCAGCCTGTCATCCGTTAGGACCAAGAATTTCGGGAGGTAGTCCGCCGTATCGATCCACAGATGGAGTTGCTGAGCGAGTTTTAGTTCAACGGGACTGAGGGTCGCTTCTGCCGTGCGGATTATTTGCGTGTATAGCTCCGTAAAACCCCGGGGCAACACGTTCAGCTGTTTTTGAATCTGTCCGACGGAGGGAAGCTTGTCGATATCGTCCATCATGAGCTTGGCGTACAGCCAAAGCCCGCTCGCGGCCGATGCGACGCAGGCCGCGATCTGGTTCCCGACTTCGGTGTCGCGGATGATTGGGTTTTCCTGCACGCGGGAATGTATGTACTCCTTAAGACTGTCCGTCTCGCAGCTCCCCATGTTAAGGGAGGCCAAACGCAGGTTGGAAGATCGCGAAAATGACAGCGAAGGACGAGAGGTGACGAGGATTCGAAGACACGGGGGCACGTTGCTGCTAACTTGCGCAGTAACCCATTGCGTGATCTCCCTACTATTCGACGACTCGTCCAGTGCATCTAGCACTATGAACAACGGGTTCGCTTTGGAGTGTTTCAGGGCCGCGGACAGAGCCCGCTGCACCTCGACTAGCGAGTCGGCCACCGCGCGGCCGCTGTCTCGGTACACCGGTTCCACCAACTCGTAGAGATGCTCTTCTAGCCGGAGTAAGTGGGACAGAATAGACCGAAGACAGTGCAGCAGTGACCGCTTCTCCACGTCGTTCGCCTTGAAAAAGAAGCATAGCACTTCGAATCCCTTAGTCATGAGGTGGTTTATGATGAAGCCCGCTGCCGTCGTCTTCCCACTTCCCGGCAACCCTTGCAAAGAGAGGATCTGCGGTGCCTTGAGATCGCCGGGCGAGACGAAGGACTGGAACTCGGGCGAGGTTAAAAGCCCGTCACATGACCGAAATAAGTAGTCACTCAGGTGTTTCTGGAGGTCGTCGCCCACGGTCGCGGGGGATAGCCATCGTTGGATGTTTTCTCTCTCGTGTGCTGCGAACGGCTTAGAAGAGAGTCGTACGCGGCATTTTTTGCTCTTAAGTAACCACAACTAAGTAGGTAGTAGATAACAGGATACGATACCTCGTCTTTGTGCCTTAGCTTCTCCCACTTCTCGATGAATTTCCTCGATATGTGCCGTCTGGGCTGCCCAGTCCACATTCTGGCTGTGCAGCTGGATGCTCTCCGAAATGTCGCGGAAATCCTTGTCAAAGGACGAGAAGAAGGAGCCTGGTTCCTGATGTTAGACGATAGGTGCAAGATAAGTCAACACGCACAAAACCCCCCCAAAAAATCAACTAGCGGGGGGCCTACGGAGTGACGACGTCGAGTAAAACCTAGTGATGCGCACACAAAAGTCCAGGTAATCGCAGTACAGCGCTCCTATGGCGTCTTGCACCAGCTGGTTCTTCTGGAACAGCTCTTCGTACTTGGTGAACCTTTGCAATGAGCTGATGATTTTATGGATGATCATGGCGATGCTCTCCAAGGTACGGAAATGATCTGCGGAGAGCTTCGCACGCACGTCAATATGGAGTTAGCGGGGGCTCCTCCGCTCAGATACCTATTGTGCAATACCTACATATCTACCTAACCTAGTGTAGATATACTAGTGTAGATATATAATAGGTATGTGAAAAACACTTACCGTCACGACAATTCTAAGCGGACCCCATATTGGGGAAGCTATACCCGCGTTGACCTGGACAATAACATCGATGGCGCTCTCGAACCGTTTGAGCGGAGCAATGGCCGGGTTCATGAGGGACAGAATCCGGGTTAGCCTAGTCCTGCGGCGCTGCGTCGCCAAGAGCACGTCAATGCAGTCGTTGGGGGTCGCGGGCGCTTTGAATGCGGCGCGCGATGCCGGGTCTAGGTCCATGACGAACGTCTGCACCGTATCCTGCCATGTCGTGGAAGATTTTTCGACGATGGCGTTGGACGACATAGCGCCTAGGTAGGCATGTAACTAGTATTTATTCAAATGAGCGTGCGATTCGTTCGTGTCAAGGAAGGTCAGCTACATAGTATAACCGCTGTCTATATCTTTATAAACTGGTCTCTATTAAATTCATGCAGAGGAGACGATCCTTCGGGTCCGATGAAGGTATGCTCCATGATCACGTGATCCAGCTGCGAATGCCTCCTCCTCCCCCTAGCGTCTAGAACCCCTGCGCAGGCGGGATGCTTCCTGGAGAATAATTTATGTGTTTTTAGATACGATGATGGCGAAAATCAGCCATGATTCTGTAGAAAAGATGGAAATGTGTTAAGAAAAAGTCGGCGGTTTTAGGTTAGTGATCACAGGGCCATTTGAGTGAGGACGAGATTGACCCTTTCAACACAGCCACTAGGAAAATTGAACATTTTCCTGAGAAGCCTTGCTTAGGCATCTCAGTTCAGATTCCTCGTAGAGTCCATAAGGCCAGTAGTTTTCATGGTCCATTCCTCCTATTGAAATTCAGGTCTTCTAGACCCCGAATGTCTCGGTTGGTTGGCCTTACGCTGGGAAAAATTCCCATCAACTGTGCTTGGAGGGCTGGCTGAGACATGCGATGTAGCCGGCGCAGCACGTAGAAAATAGCAAGCGAGCGAGTGGGCGGGTGGGCTAGGAATCTTCAGCCGTTAGCTATATGCCAGAGTTACCTTCCCGCCTCCCTATTAAGGATATACCCTCATGATCGAATCTGGACTATAAGAGATGGCCTCATTACCGTCAATGGTGGTCATCGCAACTCAGTCACAAATCACAACAACAATCTAACTATAACTTCATCGCCTCATCCTTCCATTATAGCTCTTACTAGTAGTAGCAAAGCCATCACAATTCATCCATATCACCTACTACAGCTTCACCTCTCTCCAAATTTCACCTACCTTCACAGCCACCAAACCATGCATCCCTTCACAGTTTTCATCGTCGCCCTCTCAGCAACCGCCCTCGCGCTCCCACGCCCCCAGCTCGGCGGGAGCCTAACCAACACCATCCTGAACGGCATCGGCGATCTCCTCGGCACCGACGACCGATACCACACCACGGAGCGGTGTTACAGCCGCAACAGCGCGGACCTCTCGTCCTGCATAAGCGCCTGTGTGCAGGCGCAGTGTGTGGAGGGGAGCGCGGAGTGCGGTGCTTGCATACGAGGATGCTGTAAGTCGTTCACATTCTTTTTCTTTCTATATACGTCAAGCGTTTGGAACAACTTTGCTGACCTGGGTTTTAGCGTCGAGTTTGGCGGCCTGCGATGACCACCCTAGAAGTAGTGGCACTGGGGGTACTGGCCAGGCAAACAGCACCAGCACCACCACCCACGCCAACTGAGGGAGGCGTTTGAGAGATTATTCTATGAATCTGCCTTGTGCGTGAAGCTTTCACAATGGATTACCCCGACCTGGTTGCGGGGGAGGAGCCCGAGCTCATAGACCATTTGAGGTGGCTAGGGATAACGAGAGATGACCAGTTTATGAATGAATGAATGATGATGAAGCAAAAGGCATTTGCATGGCAAGCCTTTGGCAATGAGATCATGGAGAAGGAGTTGGAAAGGGAAGATACCATTCAATTATCGCATATTGTTAATAAATTATTCTTCTTCTTCATGATACCGGTTGTTGGCCATGCCTTTTTTGAGGAGGCAGGTTGTATCCTTTCTTCGAGCCCTCATTGTCATCGTCTATGAGAAATGTGATCGTGGCTAAAGGCTATCGATTAAAGTATACCTGGCTCTAAGTAGCAGTCTTCTTTTCTTGGTGTTTACCATTCAATAAAATGCTTCCAAGAGCTGTTTGTGATGAATGTTGCAAAGGAGGTGGAAAAGAAAAAGGCGAAATTGTAGGGAGTGGAAAAGAAATCATTTGATTGGCGAATGAAAAAATTGCGGCTTAAATTCACGAAGCACTAGCACTAGCACAGTACCTAACAGGCTTAACCTAGCGATTCAGACGAGTCACCTACAGTGCATAACACCTACTACTAAGTTCGTAGTGCCTCAGGCAACCACCACCCCCCCACTAGCGCACCCAGAAATAATATATAAACCCATCCTCCCTCCACCCATTCTTCTTCCTTTCTTTTCCTTCTTTTTTTCCCTATCTTAGTGCACGGGCTTTACGCGTCACAGTGAGGAGTAATCCGAGTGTGTGTTTTTGCTAGTTGAAAACTATACAATGACCACTCCTGTTTGGTTCTTAATCGGGCAGGGAATTTTTGGAAAACCCTCCTCCTTAATGGATTCTTTTTTTTTTTCGTCATGTCTCTATCCCGTGTTTTTGGATGGAGGTGAGGAAGAGGAGAGAGATATGGCGTGGTTCGACTGGACGAGCTCGGCACCCAGGTATGAAATAGGATGTTTCTTTTGTGAAGGCAATATTGGAATTGCTATTGCGCGTGTCGCAGTGCTTGCTGCATACCTGCTTCTTCTTCAGCAGGCGGCACTGATCGGCAATGTTCGAGCCAATCCAATGCTCGGTAGTAATGACTATAGGTATTCATAGGGAGGGCGGGAAGCTCTGGAGGTTCTATACCTAGATTTGATGCCCCAGGGTGTCTTGAGGGCTTTCAGACACTTGAGGCTCCTTAGGCTCTGGAGCCTGTTTCGTACAATTCAGATGGCGGCAGCGGGTCGGTCTTCTGCTAGTATGAAATCAGGTTAATATTTATTATGAGATCTATAGAGGTCTAACTAGGACAAGCCTTGATCTTTTCTTGTGACATTTCTCCTAGGCTGGCTTGTAGGAAAAGAGGGTTGGGCCGTTTGTTTTCTCTTTCCTCTTTCCTTTGAAATAGGGCTGGTATGAGATGACGAGCTGCGTCGCTATTTCAGAGGTACCTAGTTAAACAGCCTGTATTGACAAAAGCGACAGGTCGTCTTTGGGATATGGTTCTAAAATAAGAATAACACTACCCAAGTAATGCTATTGTAATGGTATATGTATTAATTTATAGAGTTTTGCTATTCGTACCACCTCTTTTCTCTATCGGGAGCTTACCCGTATACCTATCTACCTATACATCCCCTATCTTGAAGTCCGGAGCCGGGCAGCCACTTCAAAGGCCGTGTTACGGGCCGGAGAAGGCAGTGGCTACTACAGCGTTGCGATGAAAGGTGGTCACGTGGCCACCCTGAGCGCTGAGGCGTAGCTATCCGCAAGCTTCAATGCTGTAAATGATGCGATTCCAAATGAGTCGTTGCTAATTAATTGGGAGCTGATTCATCGAAGTCGTTCAGGAGCGAAGGGGGCAATGCAGGTAAAAAGTTGCAAGCTCTCCAGGGCTGTAAGAACGCGGGCAAGAGAGATGCATGACCGGCCATATAAATTCGTATGGTGCAATATGTACAAGTACATCGTTTGAACATGGACGTGGTGCATGTAGTTATTACGGATATACTGCAAATTCAATGCTGCTCTTATGAATTATTAATTCAATCGCTAATAAAAGCATGATATCTAAACACCTAGGTATGTAGTACACATGTGTTAACCTTGAAAGCTACACAATTTCTTCACGATTGGAGTTTAGATATTCGCGTCATCGCGTCTAGAATACCTAATTCATCAATATTTCGAATCACGGTTCCGCCTTTACTAATCGGCAAGCTATGCAATATAATACATACATAAGCATAAGTTCTTCCAGCCTGCTAGGGACCCTAGTGAGCTGCCTATACTTGATGCTAGGAAGAAATAATATCGTGGCGGGGTACCAATCTATATCGATCTTGTTATCGAAATTCGATCCGAGCCTGTTTGCAAGAGCGGTGAACTGAGGTCAACTACATACGATGGCTGGATGGCAGGAAGGGTTTGTACAATACATAGCAAAATACTTATCCACTGTCCCGCGGTTTCTTGGCTACACTATGTACCTAGTAGTTAGGTATTAGATACTCGTTTGAAAGCCGCTTCGGCTAGACTCGCTTACTCGTCGTCCCCTACGCGTCACTTGGAAGGCCTGTCGCCAGGGCGGGCTCCACTATTGGCGCTGTTTCGGTATGAATCAGCGCCGCAATTCCGTGGAGAGGTGAAGGCAATCTGCAGGTGATCCCAGGCAGCAAAGCAGGCAAAAAAGGTCCATTGAGGGCCAGGCAAGAGCTTCTTCTGGTTAACTAACGCACTGGACTTAGATCCAAGCTTCTGAGAACAATGGTGTATTGGTGTAAGTTATTAGTCTCAGGCGATTTTGTGAGTCGGTCTTTGTGCAAATAGGTATGAAACAAATCCACCCATAGCGGTGCTGGCACTGGCTGACGAAAAGCTAACTCAATTGGGGGAATCTGATTTGTAAGTGATGGCGATAGTTATCTATTGACAACCAGTAAGTACAACTTGTACCGAGCTTTCAGGCATTGTAGCGACATTCAAGACATCCTGGTAATGATGATGAGGAATGAGACGTAATTGAAACATACGTCTCATAAGATATGGTGCAATCCATAGAATGAAACTCACCGATAAAGAAAGACATACCATGCAGGTGAGGGAGAAACTGAGAGAATCGGTGTCCAAAGGCGAAGATTCTCACGATACTCTTAAAAGTAGGAGAATTCGGGTGGCTAGCTTAGATATAATTTTCCCGTGAACAATGGAGCCACTAAAAGAAACTAAAAGAATGGCGTCAGTTTTCTTTTTGAAGACCCTGACAAGTCTAGAAATATCCACTAGAATTCCACATGATATCCACTGAAATCCCCAACCACAATAAAAGAGTGACGATTGGTATCGTAGCTGACCCGCCACTTGAATACATAACTAATACATACTACTTACTAGTATGTAGTACATAGTAGCGTAACAATTTGATGTGTTGTTCAATCAACCGTCCACGGCGTCCAGGCCTACCAGTTAGTGGCTTATCTACTACAAAGGTGACGGTGGCTAACACCCAACCGCCTAACTTCCATACCTAAGCTACACCACGCTAGCGAGGATGCGCTAACCTTATAGGTACTAGAGCAGTTAAAACGGATGGATCTCTTGGGAGAAAAACTTCCCGTTTTAATTTCTCCACTTTCTTCCCTTCCCTTCCTTGCCTTTCCCTGGTTCGATCCGAATTAATAGAACCATAACACCAACACCACTATTATCATCGTGAGTCCATGTATTCGGTAACTTCGATATTGTACATTACATAGTTATGTACTTTCGTATTCGTTACCAGGCTCGACAAACAAACGTTGACACGATCTTTCTGCAAAGAATTATTCGCAACATGAGTGCAAGTCTTGTACATACAATGTTTGCTGTCTGCCATTGACGAGACAACGATGATGCCTTTTCTACTACACTATGCCACGCATCTGCACATGCAGTCTGAACCGTCCAGCGGTAGCCTCGGGGTCATGGCACAGTGGTAATACACAGCCATCGCCAGCACTGGTGAAGATCACATGTGCACTACCATCATCTGATAGCTTTAGCCATTCCAGAGGTCCACGTTGACCATCGCCTCGGGTTTTATTTTATTCCTTTGAAGCCCCGTACGCATACAGTACACGTATGGGACAGTTGGGCCGCAAGGCGATGACGGGTGGTTTGTGACGTTGCAACTCGCCTGCCAATGGCCAATGGATCGCCTGGCTATGTAACTCGACCCCCAGTCGTCTCCAGCGTATCGGATGGACACCTGTTCGCTGGATGCCATAATTATACAAGTCTTGGCACCACCTCTCAAGGCGGTCAATGCCTGGCTTTAGTGGGGGTTGGTTCGTGGAGGAAATGATGATTATCTTTTTAAGATTTCTTCTTGACCGACCGACTTTCATCTTTACCCTTTCTCTCCCTCTCTTTCCCATGCCGTTGTCTCGGCCAGCAATCCTCCCTTGTCCATGTGGGAGAATTGCGATGAGGCCCGGCCTCCGGCCGGCCAAGATCCCGACATCGTCGGTCTAGGGGTATGTGTAATTTGTGACCCTCAGCTCCCTGGTCCCCTGGTCCCGGGCCGTCCGTATCGGCTTCGTTATCGGCCCGGTCTAAACCCTCTGCTCATTGCCATGAAATGAATTACATGAAAAAGAACGTTGAAGGAAAATTGACCACTAATTGACTTCATAGACTTTGATTGCCTGTGCAGGCTCCGCGTGCGTCGCGGTCTTGTGCTTGCTGATCCAATACTTATTCTTCTATTTCCCCCGAACTCAGGACGAGCAACAATCACGTGTTGCGAATCCAATCGACATATTACTATTGGGTGGGCTCAGGAAGCCTTTTGAGTTCTTGGGGTTCAAGTTTGGTTCTTTAAGGCCACAGCGCGAGAGGCGTTGGTGGCCGGCAGCCTTCGATCAAGTAAGATCGAAAATTGTCTTCTTTATACGGTCTAGATTACTAATATGAACATGTAGTATGTCGCGGCTGTGGGTGATGTCCAGCTCGCGATGGGATTCGCAGTCCTCGCGTATGGCTACGTTTCCATGTTCGAGCAAGGCTTATCAGTGTATCACTGGTGGCTCATCGTAGGACTAGTGTAAGTACCAGCAGCGATAATGACTCGGTGATAGAAGAACGCATATTAATCAAGCCATGCAAATGAACAGTTGGTTCTCGGTTGTAGCAAATCTAGCAACAACTTCGTACCTACGTCACTACTATGTCAACAGAGACCCAGGCGAGCGGTGGTGGAGGGGGTTCTTGCTTTTCTGTCTGATCGCGATGGTCACGGTTTCCATGGTGCCAATTTACCAGATGAAAGAGAGGCTTGCTGATGAGCATGACGAGGATATTCAGCGCAAGTTACTTACAACTACGAACGTGCTTTGCTACATACCCGGACGTGGCGCAAATCTCGATACGCCGCAGTTTCGATCCCACATTGCCCTCATAGGGATCGCTGTTGTCATTGGACTACTGATCATTGGCATCCTGAAGCTCTTCGAGAGGCCTGGCAGCATGATCTTTAGGTGGCGCGACCATTACCGAGGCGAGATGCAGCAGTCGTTCTTTGGAGATGGGGATAGCATTATAACCTGTATTCGGTGCGAGCAGCGACACATGCTCTTGGTGGTCCGGCCTATCCTGGCATTCTGGCTCGTTTTGCGAATCTACGCCGATCTCTTGAACTCGGTGCTGACTGAAGTCCTATGTACCATGGCGACCCTTGCCTGGGTTGTTGTGCGATTTATCGACATCTTGCGTCTAGGCGGTACGATCGAAGCCGATATTTACAACTGGAGTTTTGGTCAGATAGCCGCGCTCGCCTTCTTCGCGGCACCTCTCGGATCGCTAGCAGCTTGCTTTATAGGCTCCCTTGGAAGAATCAGATATAGGCAAATTTTCAGACTTCCCCGATTCCCCAGGATACCGAGGCCGAGGATTTGGCGCCCGAGGTGGAGATTTGGTAAAAAGAAGCAACCCGAACAGCAGGCAGAAATTGACCCCGAGCAACCCCCAGAAGTTGTTGCGGAACCATCCGGCAGCCAATCAGAACCATCGCCTCCTGAACGATCAGGTGAGGGGCATCACCCTAACATTACTGAAACTAGTGACGAGGGACGCGAAGAGAGAAGCAATCCCGAAAGCGAAGAAGACGATCCAAATAGAATATACGACTTGGGCACCTACAGAGTGCTCCTGTCGCCCCGCTTCGTCATTGCATTACCTCTTGCCGGCTTCTCGAACTTACTGTATCTCGTCCTACTCTTGGTCCTACCGAAAGTCTCCGATTACCCGTTAACCGCAGATGTTTTATGGCGAACGCTCTTCTGGTACGTTATCTACCAGCCATTGCTCCTCTTCGCATTCTTCCTCTCCGGCATGATCGTGGAAGAGAGGATTGTGCGAGAGGGACGAATGCTCTGCGCCTACCGGATCATCGGTGCGATAACGGCGGTACTATCCACCGTTGCCATCCTAGACACTTTGTACGGTCTCGGCGGCATCCCAATGTCATACATAGGCCTGGGAACACTCGGCCTAGTCTTGCTAGTCTACCTCCTATATGGCCTCGTGGCCCGGCCCGGCCCCCTGGCGAAAGGCAAAGGCCCAAGCAGATACCCTCGAGGCGGCGCAGGTGGGGACGTCGAGGAAGGCCAGCCGCTCCTCGCCGAACCCAGGAGGTCTTTCTCGGACGTCCGCATCTTCCCCGTCCGTAAGCAAAAACGGTGGCATGGCCCCTCGCGCAGACCTCGGAACGGAGGGAGGAGAGGAGGGTACGGGACTATCAGTTGAAGTTGAGCCTACAAAAACCCAAAAGAAAAAAAGAACATGCATGATTGATTGGCTAGCGACAGGAAAGACAAATTCCATCATGGATTTTCCATAAAAAAAAGAAGAGAAAATTAAAACGGCGTCAAGTTGCGATTTTTGCGTGTCTGTCTGTGTGTGTGTGGTATAAAGGATTTTTAAACTCGGGACATTTCTCAGGGATTTTGTTGTTGCTTTTTATGGATGGGAGGGAGAGGGAAGGGACTTTTGGGTTTAGGTTGGGGAGACGACGAGTTTTCATTTATGAAGAATGGGATCATGATTGCGATGTCAATTGTCAATATCAATAGATATTGATTTATCAGATACATAAGTGCAGTATGTAGCGAAGTCATCAACTACTATTAACCTACCTGGGTAAACTTAGCAGCCCGTGTTTTGTGGCTTTTGTGAGGATTTTCAGAGAAGGGGGTGCGATGTGGTGTGAATATCTAAGTACGGTTATGCGAGATGCTTACCTCCTTGCAATATTATCCACGATTAAGCGTCGAGATGTTATGCATTTGAGCAAGTGCCTTGCTGCCTAGGTAGGTACTCTAGCTACCAGAATGTTTCCCTTCCAAGGTTCTAGTATCAGAAGCGGCCCAGCACCGATGTCAAATCGGAGTTAGTGGGGCCGTGAACGTTGGGGTGCTCATAACGCGGGGGAAAGGGGGGGGGGAAGGGGGGAGGGGTCCCCATTCGTCGGTGAGAACCGTTAGACGGACCTCCTGAACATTGATTTTTTTTTCTTCAGGGAACTGGGCGCTCACGCTCGGTTTTACGGGCCTCTTACGATTACCTGGTCATGGTCGTGGTATATCACGAAAGGGGAGGGGTTGTGGGTAGATCATTGATGAGAGAGGAGGTGCAACTTGATATTGGAGGGCCCCTGGCTCTAAAAATTAGATGGTGTTGAAATCTGATGTAAGCCTATTGAAAGCGATACTGCCAGACCACCCGGTAAAGGTGTACCGTGTACCCAAGGGCCAGCTTGGTTGAAGAGGCTTTCGCGTATACGTATGTACCTAGGTAGCCCCTATTATCCCCCAATAAAATTCTTTAGGTACGCAACAATAATGTTCTGCGGCTTCTAGATTACCCCTCATGACAAAACCTGCTGCTTTCTGTGACAAATACTAATGTGCTAAGAAGAAGTGTCTTAGGGATGGATGTGTGTGTGAGCTGCGTGGTCGAGACTCGAGATGGAGCTCACCGCAAGCAAGGAGTCCAGAGATTTCGCACGTATCCAAAACATGGGGGCGTTGAGGAGGGCATACACAAACAGGCTGGATCTGAAGAAGAAGTCGAAAGGTCCAGTGGGTCGCATGTTGGACCGTATCATGGAGAACCTGATGATGAAGGAGGCAAACGACTGAGTGCCTCAGAATCAGAAGATGGAGGTTGACAACAGGATCATCTGATCTGCGAGGGACACGGGACTTCCGAACAACTTCACTGTCACCTTCACCATCATGTAGACTCCGGGAGAGGCAAGCCATGATTAGGTATTCAGGACAACAGATTGCTCCTGTCCAGATTATAATCCATGGATTGTTCTGTTCAGGCATCGAGACAAATCCTGGGATAGCGCACAAAAAGGGGTAAACAGGCAGAATTATAAAGGTTATGGCCGGGCTAGCTCGTTAGTATGGAGGGTAGTTTATTGTCATCCCTCCTGCTAAGTAGATGAATTATGTATATCATGGTACGGAGTAGGATAGGTATTGTGCAGAGAAGGGGGGCTGACGCCGGAGTTAATGACATATTGAATTAGTGAGTCAAAAACATCAGATGATTAGTTTGCGCTTGCTTGCCAGGCTGATTATTAGAAAATCACCATTGCGCAAGTGACAAGCCCTTGCCAATGGGAAACTGCAGTAATTGTTAGTGAATCAGATGCGTCTGTTAGGTCACATGACTAGGGTAGGTAAATGCAATCAGTTTGGGTCACGTGGTACCCCTGAGCAACAACACCAGTGATTTGAGCCAAACTTATAGATACTCAGTCACCTCCCCGACAGGCCAAGGTAGCCAGGGGACAGTTGAACTGTGTATATATATATATGATTATTGGTCGCGGCGCTGGATACCTTTTAAGCCTAAGATTTAATCAGCTCAAAGGAGCTCGTTTCATTGTCTGTGGCCGCATCAGATGGTAGATGCCTGATAATTCTGGCATCTGTCGAAAGATGCGGCCCCACATACACTGCAAGAAGCGCCTTCCGTTCAGCTCATTGTTGCGCGTTGCCAAAATATTCATTCGCCAGACTTCCTTTTCTTTTTCACTACAATAACATCCACACCACTATCCAAGATGGACAAGCTATCGCTTGAAACCATCATCCACATCGTTGGATACCTCCCCAACGCCGACCTCAAGTCCACGCGACTTACGGCGAGGGTATTCCGGGTCATCTGCATCCCGTACCTCCGCACTCGCGCCTATGCTTCCGTACACGAGAAAGACTTTGCGGTCCTGAACTCCATCTCCGAGCATCCAATCATGCGATTGTCTGTTCGCGAGATTGTCTATCCCGGCATCCACTTCCGGGAAGACTCGGTCCCGGCCGGGACAGGACAACGAGGATCCAGAGCCGCCGCAGTGCAACTTCGGCACCCCGTTGTCTCGAGCATAACCCTCCGTCAGTACAGCGACCAGGCAGGCAAAACCTGGAATCCCGGCCGCATCAAGCGGACGTGGCCCCAGTCCCGCTATGGCCCCACTATGGCTTCGTCACAACGTGCGAGGCGATCTCGGATGCTGGAGTCCGTGTCGAGTCATTCGATGTGGACTATGCCAAGTGGGACCTGGGGCCAGGCACCTGCCGGACAGAAGCCTGCCCGGTTGAGGAAGCAGAGGCCAGCGACAACGAGGATGAGGATATGGTAGACATCGACGATGAAGCCAACATGGACACCGACACCGACAGCGACACCAGCATGGCTGACGACAGCGACAACGAGGCTGACGACGCTGGCCGGGACTTCGAGTATCGCCAGCTCGGCAACTGCCGTTACTGGTGGGCGAGCGGAGCTCCTGAGGTTGCGAATGCTGATGCTGGGAATCCCGATGCTGCAAACTCCAACTAGTCGCATTGAGGTTCGGCCGCGGCGTTGTCGTTGGTCGATCACACTCCCCTTGTTCTAGTCGAAAGGGACGTTGGGCTAGGTATTTGAATACGATGGGTTTGGAGTCGCTGGGCTACACGTTGGCATCTCAGTTCATGGCAGGACGGAAGGGATATATGACAGCTCGAAGGATCTGGATGGATATGAACCTGGAATGCAATGCTGGTTTCGTTCATGCTACCTACAGCTTCGATTATCGTGTGACGCGAGTCTTGATGCATTGGTGATATTTCCTTTTCTGCTGTGAGTTGCTATGAACGACATGGTAAATATGGGTACTACAATATACCATGCTTGTAACGATAGCCTTCGGGCATTCCTTTTCCTTGACTGGCTTGTTACTAACCGGTAGGTAATTACCTAACCTAGTAGGTGGCTGCCTGCCGACATAATATTGCTGCAGGCCCAAGCATCACTGCCACGAGGCGGAACGTAGAAGATGCAGGACAACATCATTGCTGTGCGAGGATCTCTAATATCTCCCAGAGATTATGGAGGCTACCTAGGTAGGTATATACACATGTAGCCATCTTTGTCCTGTGGTAGCCCCTTAACGAGGAAGACATGGAGTTGCGCGCTACGTAAATACCGGAGTCTTACCCAACTGACTCTTCCTCAAAAGTCGAGTATGTTTCCTTAAGGGAAAGCGAGGAATGAACAACAATCCATTGCCTTGATGATGGATGTTGGAAGTAGTTCGATCGCGAAAACATCAGCAGATTTGCAGCACCCCCTGGACCCACACGAGATTATAGTAGGAAGAGGAGGAAGTAGGCTGAAGATATAAATAATGACAACAGTATAATCTAGCACATACGACCATAGGATCCGGAAAATTCGGGATCCCGTCCGCTCTCCCATAGACAAGCCGGATACCGCCAGATCAGTAGTTGGGTCGGTGACGACCAGCGAATCCCTGGTGTTGTATGTATTTTTTCCTCTTTTCTTTTTTTTTGGTAGCTTGTTTTTGCGGTAGGTTTTTGATAGCTACCTAGGTAGTTACTGTCCCTGCTGATCATTTATATTTTTCTAACTGTTCGACAGTAGCTAGTATAGAGAGAGGAGGCAGACTTGACTGAGGCATTAGTAGCACAGAGCAATGGTGCAATACTTGATCCGAATTATCGCTATCGTTCCTAGACTCAAAAATAATATGGAGATCTATAAATATCTATCGTTCCAATCTAGATCCATAGGCTAGAATGGTCTTGAAACTTTTTCTAGCGCCCATATACCTTAGAGGTTTACCGAGGGTTGTGAACATGATAGCTATTTGGTGTTAGCTAAGCCCATCTCAACTAGCCCCGCACAATTATTTTGGGATAGTAATATCATCAGAAGCCCTTAAGACACACCTCCTGATGATGCTTTATAGACTATTTAATCTTACATAAACATCTACCCCTTTTTTGGACACCGGATTATGTCGCCTGTGAGCTTACCTACCACAGTACTTACGTATCTCGAGGCCATTTTGGGAAATATCTACCGTGTCTACCATCCTGGTGGTCGTCTGTTTTGGTGATAATTACAGGATATGCTATTTTCACTTCTACTTACCTAATATCATCACATTGTCAAGTGCACCGTCTGGATTGAAAACGCTCACCGATATAAATACTGCACCGCTTTGTATAAATAGGTAGTAATTATTTAAATAATCGCTTATCTAACTCGTTTGGCGGCTTACTTTGGGCGGCCCTACATAGAAGAGATATGCCAAAAGGAGGCTCAGCGAGCTGGCACAGATGAGATGCTTTGCCTCATTATCTCGCAGATCGCATGCTAGTCATAACTAGTAATCGACAGCGCTAGGCTATGTAGGGGAGCTTCGATCGCATCTTTCGGAGATAACAGGCGCGAATGCTGCATGTGCGACGGGAGGAAGCAGTCGGTGGCTGAGGTAAGCTCTCTAATACATGATGATACGCCATGTCATATATCTCTTACCATTCAATCCCACGTGCTTTTTGCCCGCGAGATGAGACGGGGGGCTCATCCGTTCCTCCGGGTTGTTGGAAACCTCGATAATCCGAGGAGAGTTAGTTGAATGGTACATATGTATTCAGCCTCGTCGTATCTGTACCTAGTACATATTAAGAAGGTAGCTGAGAAGAAAACAGCCTTAGACGACGAACATCTATAGATAGGCGGAGGCGGATGCATATATGTACATATAACAGGTACGTGTTCTACTGCGTAAATCCCCCCTATTCTCCATTGCTAACGTAGGTACCCGCCCAACACCATCCTAACCCAGGAAGGTTAGTCGCCTCCATTCCCAAACGTGGTGTCAAGGGGACTTTTAGCCAATCAGCAGAGAGTGGTCGTCCAATAATAGAAACCATGCCCCCCTTGTAATAATCTGTGAGTATCCCTGTGAAAATCCCACGATGGCCCTTGTAAAGGCGAATCCGGATATGTAAAGAATTATTCCTTTGCCTCTTTCTTCTTTCTCTCTGTACGCCTATGGTAAAGGCTGTCAAGGGCAGGTGTGATAGATGTCTCTCCTTACATCTGTTTCACTTTCCTGTCATCAACTACACAGCTAGGTACCTGATAGCGAAGAGTAGTTATAACGTGATCTATTTTCATCAGGCCAATATATTCAATATATGCTCTTTAGCTACGGTTAGAATCATTATGTAAGCAAGTCTCCTAAATGAAGGAATCCTTACGGAAGGATCCTAAGAATCAGTCCAGATTCCCTCACAGCACACTAGGAAATCGCGCCATCTACATCTCAGATATATATATACATACCTATGTACACACCCAAGAACAGACCGCGAACAATGCGAGGCGCGGAGGCTGTGCCGTAGGGGCAGCGAGTCTATAATGGTAAACGCCCCATCCGGCAGGATCGACAGCTTTTTCCTCCAGGAGCTAGCCAGCCAGAGCAAAAGAAGAAGAAAGAAATGCAGCAACTTGGCGTTTGTTCTTCTCTCCCCAGCTTCATAATCCCCGTCTCCTTTTTCTTCGCGTCGAGCGGGCCGGCTTATGCTAAGTAGGTATCAAGGAATGTACTCTGTAGGTAATAAAAAGAAAGCCCACGGGGCCGTTCCGTGCCGCTCTTGTCCCTGACGCTAAAACAATGAGGCATGGAATCTATTTTCCTTCTATCCCGAGAACTGCCCCTTTGGCGTCACTCCTGTCCATGTCGGAAAGGAAGGCAAGAGAGAGAAAGGAGGACGAGGAGGGATTGGGCATCACAAGAATCCCATGATATATAATAAGGGCTAGCGATCCCCAAAGTTCCCCCCTTTCTCTCGAAGGGAATTATCGCGATATCTCGTCAGACGCCTTTCACACCCCCCACAAAGCGGTTGATTTTTCTTTTCCTTTATGGACTCTGCCACTCCTTAGCCTATTTATCCCCATCTCTCCCTCCCACAAAATCCCCAATCCAACAACCATGTTGAAGAACTCCCTCCTCACCTTCCTCGGCCTCCTCGCCGGGACCACCCTAGGTCTCCCCACCAACCCCAACCCCAACCCCCAAGACCTCTCCCCCCGACAAGCCTCCCCCCTCTCCACCCTCACCACCACCCTCGCCTGCGCAACCAAGGCCCAGAAAACCCCCGGCGACGCCGACTCCGGGCGCGGCGTGCAGATAAAGAACGCCGACACCGCGGCCCGCACATTCTGGCTGTACCACAACAGCTGCGACGCCGTGCCGGCGCGGTACGTCACGATCCCGGCCGGGCAGACGCGGTTCCTGTCGCTCCCGGCGCGGTTCGAGGGCCGGATCGTGCGCGGGGTCGAGGGGGTGATGCTGGACGGGAAATCGCACACGCTGAACACGTGGCTGGAGCTGACGTACGACGAGCGGGGCGTGGGGTGGGGCGACGTGTCGCTGATCCGGGGGTGCGACGGCGCCGTGAGCCTCAAGGCGCTGGATGCGGCTGGCGCGACGACGGGGTTCGCGGATTCGAACCTCGTGCTGAATGGCGCGCCGGCGGGCGCGTACGACACGAAGCCCTCCGGCTCCAGGGTGATCAGGGCGACGGAGGGGGTGGATGCGAAGATCAACACGGTCCCGAGGGACTGGCTCGCGAGTAAGATCGGCTTCAAGAAGGCGTATCTGGATGATGACCATGGGAGCCCGGTTATTGCGGCGCAGAATGGGAGGTTTTTGGCCACGTTCCATGTGGGGAGGCCGTAGGTGGCTTGGGGCAAGGTGAAAGATACCCCCTGGTTAGATTATATGGCTTGGAGGAGATGCGTTCGGCGGGCTTTAGAGCGCATGCTGTATATTATGAAGATGGGCAGTATGTCGGAGGATGACGGTTGCTTTTTCTTACCCGCCTACCATTCGAGGTTGTATATATGTACAAATGAATCCCAGATATCCATGTGTACCTAGGTAGGTATACCGTTGTTAAACTATGTATATATGTTTCCCCCCTTTTTTGTTGATATCATTGTATATAGGTAGATAATGGCTGTTATTGGTTAGCAAGAGTAATCAGGTTATACAAAGTATGCACATTACCATCCAAGAATCTCCATCCGAGTGATCGACCGAAGTTTTGCATAAATCATTCCTTACCTAGTATGCGCCCAAGACAGATATTCCTAGGCTGTCGATTTCATTGGTAAGCCGCTGGATGCTCGTGGAATGCAAGAAGGCATGATATAATAATCAGTACCGATAGCCGCCCACGCCCACGCATGGGAATGCCACTCATAGAAAAGGGGGTGGGAGGGGGGACAAGAATGATAAGTCGTTATAGCCAACCCATAACTTCAGCCCGTGACAGTCATAGCACGGACTCAAGCACGACACCCCTCGCCAGTGTACCAATTGACGGACCCATCGCTGCATCCGGCCCAACTTCTCCGTCGAACGGGTACTCGTAGACGACAGGAAAAGGCATAAACTGCTTCTCATCCCCTCCCAAAAACAACGGCATTCCCAGTATTGTCATGGAACAGGTATGGTGACATTGTCAGTAGCTCTCTCTACCATCCATAGCAACAACTCCTGGAGTTCATGCGCAACCAATTGTCGAGACAGTAACCAGCAAACTAGATGCTGCCAATCATACCACGTGCAGCACCATAGCACTTGCTTCCTGCGTCAATCCCACATCCGCAGCGCGGCCTAGAATACAACTCATACGATTCCGCGGCTTTCATCACGGTGTAGTCGAGGAGGGTGAGTAGCCGCGCTAGATACAAGAATCCTTTGCTTTATACACGCAGAAATATACATACGTGCGACACAGCCTGGCCAGAGTCTCCTTTACGATGCTGCGGTGACTCGGTTTCGGTGTCTTCTGATTTTGGGCTACTAGGTACCTAGTACCTAGGGCGAGATACGCTTCAGCCCAATCGAACAAATATCTGTTTCAGTAGGTAGGCCAGGGAGAACTTACATAATTGAGACAATAGATACACCATCGATATTGGGCCACCATATAAACCCTGAAATGTCCAACTCGTGGGAGAAGTAGGAATTCCGGCTTGACATCACTTACTGCCCGAGAGACTTGGGAGGATTTGAGAAGGAGGAATAGGAGCGTTGAGAGCTGGATATGACGAAGTTGGATACAAAATGGTAGATGGCCAGTTTACTAGTATGTTATTAGGTTAACTTGATCTAAATCTCATTCAAAGAAAAAGGTGGGCTTACCTGCTTCACACTTACTGATGCTATTAATGTCCAAGAAGGAAAGGGGGTAAAGATGAAAAAGGCCATCGCATTTGAATATAAGTACTCAGCCATACAGAGATTGGTCTGCTTTAACATCGACTCACCCATTACTATATACTCGTCACATTCAGTCTGGATTCAGTGCTCACTTATAAATGGTAACTAATAGGACATGTATTGATGTCTTGAAGCAATCTTGAGGTAGACGAGATACAAACCTGTATACTAGGTAGGTACCTACCTAACTAGAAGGTACTCTCTTCACCCACTATCGCCCGAGGTCGATATTACGGATGCAGTTTCTCACCTGGTTGTGGGTATAGTACCTTTAATCCTCGGTGGAACTGCCCAGGGCCTCAAAGCGAACTTATTCTTCCTAATGTTAGCTCCAAGAATGCAGCACACATATACTACCCACCCAGAATCACTGCTTTAATATCTTACATGATTGTTTTCCCCCCCCATCATCCTAGACACTAATTTCCGGGGTGAAAGTATATTTGGGCATCATCACCATTCTCTCCTCCGGGCTGATCTCGTCGTCGTATATCATCTTTACGTTCTTGTCCTTGTCCTTCTTCGATTTCTTCTCTGTTCCTTCAGCCGCTGCTTCGGCAGTTGCTTCGGATTTCCTAATTGGCTTGATGCCAGCCTCTGCCATTCGAATGATCTGGTCGATATCATCGCCTTGTTGTGTAGCACCGGATACGAGCTCGTCGATGGTCGAAGAACCTCCTTGCCAGCCAGCTTGTCCCGGGCGAGGAGGTAATCCAGCAGGTGCAGCGAGGTTGGTTCCAGGTCGGGTAGGCAACGTCGGCGGAGGGTATGCGCCAGGGTACTGGGGAGGCGGTGAGTAGCCCGGTACGGCAGACTGTGGAGGGAAGCCTTGGTATTGGCCGCCAGGTGGAGGGAAAGGTGAGTTCTGTCAATCATAGTTAGCATATTGAGGCATATGGAGATAGAGCCAGACCAGGTGTATCAAAATACGTACAAATGCGCCAGGAGATGCGCTTTGGGCAGGACTCTGTCGTTCGGGCAAGCCTTCGCGAGGTGTGTGGGTTGCGCTTCCTCCATTCATAGCAGACTTCTGATTTGCCAGTCTTGCGCGATGCTCTGCTAGTCGCTTCTTGATCTCATCGGGAGTCTCGATCTTGAGCTTCTTGGCTGGCCCTTTCTCGCCCTGTCCAGGAGGAGGATTGCCAGTGGCAGCGTAACGTTCGGCTTGAGCTTGGTAGAAGTTTTGGATGATACGCTGATTGTGTTGTGTGACAATGTCCTCGGGGATTCCTTCCATACCGAAAATCTCTACGTCGAGGCCTTGTCGGTTAGGCAGCGCATTTTCGACTGACGTTAAAGATTCCTTATGGACTTGATTCATATGGACGGAGAGACCTGCGCGCATTGGAATTAGTTACAAAATTGAATAGGATTGATGGGGGTGAAGTGGTGAGATTGTTTACCTCCGGCAGTGTTAAGTCGCCGTCCACATCTGTCACATTTGAAATGCTTAGCTTTTTGATGCGATATTAACAACTTGAGATCCTCAAAGTCTCTTTCACCTGGTAAGATTGTTAGTGAATTTCTCATGTCTGAAAATTAGAAACATTGTAGCATACAATAGTAACACCAAGGACGTGAAAGAATGTCCTCGACATCGGGGTGGCCGCGCTTCTTCTTCCCCATGATTGCGCAGGGAATTAAGGGAATTGAATGAATTAATCAATTATTAAATATTACACAGAGAGAATGTGTAATTGCGATCAATACTTGACTGTTCAGGGATCAAGTATATTTTATGATGAAAGGCGATTGAGGTTGGGGGTAATAAAAGAGAGATGGAAGAAGAGACAAGGCGGTTGTTCTTCCCAAAGTTGTCAAAGTTGTCGTCGCGCAAAGTTGGTTGAATGAGAAATGGAACGCGAAATATAGCTTTTCATTGGTCTATTTTACTACCTTAGCTATTAAACTGGGTACTCTAGCTACCCTAGGTGCTTAGCCGCCTAGCTAGATTTATGGGGCTCAATAGCTTCAGCCACACACACACAAAATGGTGATGTGTCATTTGTGGCTAGTGCTTAGTACCTATGTACCTATCACACAGCAATGCGCCACCCCCTGTGCTTTTCAGTCGCCAAATATTTCGTATAACTGCTTTACAACTGCTTCTCATTTAACAAGTCACCAAGTAGGTAAATTCGGGTCAAGACCATATACTATATTTTTCCAAAACCACCATAAAGGTAGAACTAGGTATGCAACACGATCATCGATAAAGCCTCAAAGCCACACTCCCAAGACTTCCTTCCTACTCCCGCCTCCTCCTCCGCTGCACCCTCCCCATCCTCCCCCACATCGTCTGCAAGCGCGAGTTCCCCGCATCCACCAGCGTGCGAACCCACTCCCTGTCCTCCTCCTGCCCATCAGCATCATCCACCTCGCAGCACACCATCGCGTCGCCCAGCAGCGTGCGCGGCATATTGACGTACACCGTCTCGTACGCGTGGCGGGGCACACTAAACGTCTCGTGGAAGAAGCCGATGTACTTCGGGTTCGTCCTGCTGGCCCACGCCCACGCGTCGCGGTGGATGTCGCTCTGCGAGAACCGGGCCAGGCCCTCGAGGTCGCGGAAGTAGAAGACGTACATCATCGTGTTCTGGCTGCCGCGGTCGCCGGACTGCCACCTCGACAGGCCCAGCAGCCCGTAGTCCTCGGCCTGCTCCTGGATCTCGTCGAGGCACTGGAAGAAGTGGCGGGTGATCTGGGGGCCCCCGGGGCAGAGGAGGCCGAGCGGGTGGTTGAAGCGGACGCCGAAGTGGAAGACGACGACGGGGTCGGCGGCGGGCGGGTCCTCGAAGCGGCCCGTCGCGCGACGAGGCAGCATCGCCATCGTGCGCCCGCGGCACACGTTCCGCACGTACGGGTTGCTGGCGTAGCCCTCCATGATCACGACGAGGGAGCGGAAGATCGTGAGGCCGACTAGGGACATGGTTATCATGAAGACTACCTTGGTGGAGAGCCATATCAGCAGCGTTAGCTGGATCACGGCGCCGAAGAGCATCAGCGTCCGCAGCTTGAACGAGTCCTTGAAGAGAACCTAGAAAAAACCCACTGTTAGCACGCTGGCATCGCTACTAGTGATGACCTTAGAAAATGTCTGACTTGCCATTCTGCTATCGCTCGGGTTCCACGTGGGCGTCTCGTCGTTTTGAGCCATTGCTGCGTCTGTCTATGCCCTGGTAGGTGGGGTACGATGAATTTCAGGTACTTTCGATGAAGCTTGGAGATGCAGTCGGTGCGCACGCAAGTTGAGGTCTTTGATTATGAAACGAGCCTATCCTTAAATCCCGTAACTATATCTCGCCGGATTTCATCAATGTTATATATCATAAAGATATCTCAATAACGATAACGATGTATTTGTCACGTGGTCATACCAATATGTATGAGAACAATGAAGTTGTACGCGAATAATCATGATTGTATGTGGAGAAAGAATGCCTGTGTTCATAAGGATTGTTCTTTTGTCTCTACCTACTAAGCGTTGAAAGACTCCTACTACTATTCCAGCCAAACTTTATTTTTCCTTCTTTCTCTTTTGAAAAAAAAGGGGGAGGGGGGCTAAACGTGGGTCTACGGAGACAAGACTCGACCCGTGACAGTTGGTACCTACCTAGGTATATGATAAGTTACTGAACTCGTTGCCGTGTTATCTATAACATCCAGGTATATCACGACCCATACTAATAGATTCTGCAAGCCAAAACCCATACGTTTTCCGAGTATCTCGTTAACATTAGACTTCATTGGAAAGTGAGCGAAGCACTCATTAGAGTATAAGATATGGGTAGAATCCTATTATATAGTGTGACTTATAGGTTCTCAATTGCCACAATTCAATACTTGAACAATACATCGAATATAGTGCCTAAGCCCCTAGTCAAGTACCAACTTCAGATTGTGTCAGTATAGTATAGTCCCCACATTACCTGCAACCCCTTTAACTCAATCATCAGTCTCCTTCCCAGCTCTTTATGCACACAAAGCCTCGTTGAACCATAAGGATATCTCATCATCCATTACCTACCTAAGTAGACACTCTATCACCAACACATCTCCAAGAGAATATCGAAATGCAACATCAGATCCTACCTACCCCTTTAATCACGAACGAATCTCCTCAATCCAACTAACATGAAAGACACATGTAGCCAGGACTAACTACCTGACCTACGAAGCAAGATAAAAAGCCCCACGTTATACAGGAGAGGCAGCGAGCCTATACTAACCCATAATCTCTGAATCCCCGGGTCCGTTTTATCGTGAGTACTCCACTCTAGCCAGCTTCAAGGGCGTCTAGACCTAACCTGCTCTCTCAGGTATGACGAATCACCAGCGGCGAGTCATCATGTTCTTTCCAATCAGTATGTATAGGTATTCGCGAACAAGAACCCCCAGAGAATATGGTCGATGAACGCAAGCGCAGCCAAGTAACTCCTCCCGTCGTCTCGCCTAATCCATCTCCATACCTCACCCCAAAAGGGGAATAAAGCTTCCTCGGGGATGTACCAGACCGCGTCGAATTAAGGCAGCGCACCTTGATTCGGTACGAGTCTGTACCACCAACTCCAACTCCCGACTGCCTAGGTAGGTACTCTTCTAGGTCTTAGAACATCAGGCCCAACTAACCTATGGTTATACCAACCCAGCCCGGCAATATTTTTGTGTTGTGCTCAACGTCGGGGCCCGGGTCGCGCGTCTAAACCGATGCGAGGACGGGCTCCCCATTCCCCCCGAAGGAACACACACCCAGTTAATTATTTGTTTGCCCTACCTATAGTGTGCGTGTGTCGCAAGCCCCTTTGAGCGAACCACTTGGATCGGCCGTAAATCAAATAGGCGGAATCTAATTGGATCCATCTGTCTGTGTACCTGTGCATCCACGCCTTGCATTGCGTGTTACACTAAAGAATTGCGGCTCAATTCAATTTGCGAAACATTGCCTTTGTGAACGAATGAATGAACGAAAAAAGGCGTAGGAGGATACTCACGTTCAGCTGCATGGGTTGAGTGTGTATGCCGAATGTCGAGTGATACCGACACAGCAGTGGCCGCGATCTGACATCACGTATCGCCTCCTAATTGGATACTACCCACCTAGGGTAGTTGGGGCTATAAGGATTAGAAGTACTGTACCAAGCGTGACGTCAAAAAAAACCACCCCGCCTACTCCCAAAGTCGACTAAAGACCCCTTTTGCCTAGGTTTATGCTCAACAGCTGATCAAGCGGAATGATCCGCAAGGCATCAGATTCTAATTCCTATATCCCTTAGACCACAAGCCAATCAGAGCGATTAGGTCAACGGAAGAAACTTTTCACGCCAAGGACTACTTAGCTCGGTGATATGGCTTTGATAGTATCTTCGAATATGGATACGTGACTTGTTTCCAAGTATACTTGACATTGTTGAAAGAAACATTCTAATAAATTGACTAAACTTACACGTGTCTGCAGCGGAATAATAGCATTGGCAAGAAGCGTATCCGGGTGTTGTACGATTTCTTTCTGGGATGCCTACCTGACACAAGGACTCTACTCTACTTGTGTGATGTACCTAGGAGAATATGCCATGGGAAAGTACAAGGTTGCCTTGTAGGTGTATCAATCGATGTGTACAGTATTCCAGCAGTTGCAGAGGTTACACCTCGTGATACTTCACACTCCATCAACACCCACGGTGAAGTGTGTACACGATATTATGTATTCGCACTCACACTCGTCAAGCACCATTCAGGAGACACTAGAGGGACGATTCGTGGAATCTGTCGACGATATACCACGTACCACAAATTGACTTAAATAAATATGGGAAAATCGAATCCCCATTGTCTACTGCACATTGGCAGGACGGGTACGAGACGGTATATAGGCAAATGATAAACCCAAGACCAGTACGGACATGTCCATTTATCAAAAATGTTTGGGGGCATCATTGGAGGTGTCGAGCAGTGAAAATAAGAAGAACCGCCAAGAGTTATATCTATAGGTACCTACTTACCTAACCTAAAGACATACTAGGCAGGCAACATTAAATCAATCCTCAAGCGCGGAGCTTCAAGATCGGAAAGGGAAATGTTCATAGTAGATGATGACGTGGCCAAGATACATCTACTGAGATGTGTGAGGGGAAATAAGGAGTTATAAGGGGAAGCCTAGAAAACGAGGAAATAAAATATAGTGTAGATACAATGTCAAAGTAATGAGATGAGCTGATAGGCTTCCGCCGGGAAATGGGAACCGGTGGTCGAAGAATGCGAGGGCGCGACGGTTAGGTACAAGTTGGTGCGGCAATAGGTGTGACGTCCATAGGACTCGTAATGCCTATGTCTTGGAAGAAAAGCCTCATGGAAGGTAGAAGGCAACCTAGGCCAAAAGTCCGCTGCCTAGTAACACGACACGTGATCTGTAGGACATTAAATAAAATGATTTAATAAATGCATGTAAATATAAACGCATTACCCATTAAAGTATTACGTAGACCAGAGGTTTACGTGATTAACTAGGAATCACATGACCTGGGATCTGGCGAGGTTGTTCGGCTTGGGTTGCTGAGACTGCCTTAACCTTCGCCAGGTGAGACGGGAGTGGCCGCACGCAATGCGTGGTGCGCAGAGGCTGGAAAGTCTTTCCTGATTGGTTAGTTGAGAGACGTACCGGGGGACATACTACCCTGCCTGAGCACCTCTACATAAAAGCCCACCCCATTCTCTACCCTCCTCTATCTTCTTCTTTTCATAATCTCTCCTCTTCATCTACCTACCCAATAGTTTCCATCAAAAAGGGCGTCTTCAATAGACCAAAACATCATGGATCATCCAGAAAAAGTTAGCAGAGTCCGTTCCACACGTCCTGAACCCACTAGCATCAATGAACTGCGTAAGTTGGGTCGTACAAATTGCTCTCCATGTCTGCATCACTTATACTTATGGATATCACAGGCGATCGCGAACGTCTAGCAATCGTCCGCCGTCCAAGCTATAAGCCAGACATCGTCTCCATGAAATACGTAATGGAGCTTCCACGCGGCCAGGAAGGTGCGTGGGCTTTATACATGGCTCGGCCATGCATCAATCTCGAAGCGTTATGTCTTCGTAAACTGATTAGTTCCAGTTGCCCAACTGCCATTGTACCAGAACTTTTCCCATCAGGAACCTCAGGCTGGTTATGCCCACCGGTATGACTACCAGTCTGTAGGCATGGAGTATGGTGGGGTATTACAGAAACGTGACCAGAGCTCGGTGGACAGTAACCACAACCATCACCAAGCGTTATCTTTAAGGCAGAATACAGACACAATCCCTGATTTTCGAATGCAGACCGAGAGTGGCCGTCGCAGTCATGAAATTTGGCGGGAGAGAACAGGAACGCAATCGTGCCACAATTCCCAGGGCCCCAAGGAGCCACGGAGGAAGCATAGGGAAGCCGTGCATTTTCTTGAAGGCCATGTGAGAGATGAGTCCCCAGTGAAACAGGACCTCATTCTGAGTAAGCATCGGAAATCGTCTCGCGATGCATATTATGATGTCGATAGAGCATCCTCAGGAAACTTGCACCGCCGCACAAGTACTCACACGAGGCCGATGCTTCCAAGACATAAGGGAATCAATGAGGCCTATGATAGCGATGGAGAAGACGAAGCTTGGGATAGTCATGAACATAGACATCATGGCCATAAGTCAGTCCCACCAAAGGCTCCTAGGATTCCAAGGCTTCCAACTCCTGATTTCGATGAGATGGATTACGGAGAGCACTACTCCAAGATGTTTGACTTTTGCGCATGCTGCGATGGTTCTAACATCTGCAAAACGCGTCCTGAAGGGGGGGAGAGTGCTAGTGTGAAGATGGAAAGACAAGGTATGTATCATCTGCTCACTGATTTTATCTTGGTTGCCTATTATCATTAGTCTCATTTGCTAATTTGGTATAGTGCATGATGCGAGGACCTACATCACCCGACGGAACTCATTATGTCGCTAAAAGCAAAAAGTGATCAGTCTGTTTTTTAGGTGTCCAGCAAGAGAAGGACGAACGTTGAGTTACCTGCCAGGCAATCGAGTGCGGCCGGTGTGGTATGTGGTGTATGTGGTGTATGTGACGGAACTTTTGGGAAGAGATGAGGTTCCGTAAGAAAAAAGGCGGCTGCTGTGGCTTCTGTGGCTGAATCTTGGCAGTGCCACAGCACGATTTCTTTAGCTTACTTGATGCACTGGATGCAATGGGGCTGCAAAATGACCCATATTTATTACTAGGTACTCACTTCTTCCCGACATACAATGATACATAACTACATAGTATCTATGTACCTACATATGTAGGCTAGTTTCAAGGTTCTTTACAACATATCGTAATATCCAAGAATATCGCTATCGCCATACAAACAAGTGCATGTATCGAAAACGATATCGCCAACTCCAAGCATAGTATGTATTCCACCCGAACAACTATCGCCCGCCTCGTTCTAGGTAAGACTGTGTAGGTATATAAACACTAAAATCCCCAGAATCCGGTAGCAGTCTCCGTCTATATCTGCTACCTATACGGATTACACATTACCAGCACATATCCAACTTGTAGTCATCTAGATGATATTTATACATGGAAATTCGCTTGAATCCTTCTGTGGTCCTTTTTTCTGGATAATTTTACGGCAGGTTCTCGATTAAGTAGGTAGGTATCCCCTTAAAAAGGAAGATAAGCCCAAGCCCGGTTCCTACCTTATTTGATATTAACTGCTTGATGATCGTGGGCTTCGGTGTCTGCCGAGGAGCAGGGGTTGGTGCATTCAGCCTTATACTGTCTATAATTAGATATCTATCGTACAATCCGATCTTAACTAGCAGCCATCAGATAGGAATACCAAAGTTTCACGGATCATCAACCTCATCTTAAAAGTTTACATAATGTCAATAGCATTTCTAAAAGTGTAGAGGTAGAGATTGCCCAGATGCCAGGATCGAGGATCGTGACTAAAGCGGTTAGCAATGATGATTACTCGAAGCAACTAAGCGGCGTTGTCATTCTTGGCCAACTCGACTGCTCGGGTAGGAGTTATAAGGGACGAGGCAATGCTAAAACTAGCGATAACCGAGCGCGACAAGGCGACAACCGACGTCTTCTAATTGAATTCTCCTTTTCATCAAGAACTGAACCAAGAATTGAGTTGGTTCACTTGCACAAAAATCAGAAAAAAATAACAGATAACCTGAAGTTGATCTCGTATATTTTCTCAACCTGGTAACCTTGATCGGCTTCGATTGCTGACAATGTTGAAGCTCTAAATATAAAGTGCAGTGCCGCAAATCAGCCTATGGAAAATACGATGGTATGCAGGGACCTAGTATTTACTGAATCCCTATTCATTGTATCCATGTGGTGAAATGCCATGGACCGTGCAGACATCTAACGTGCCTAACATACTTATTACGCCCAGATGTAAGTATCGCTACGAAGTAAGTAGGTGAGTAAAGAATCTTTAGCGATTTGAGATATGCAAAGAGAAGAAAACTCGCAACAATAGATAGTCTATTAATAAGTCAACAACTAGATGATGGACTCGGCGAGTTGCCAGGGATCAAGGAGGCTCTAATAAGATGTGACGATCATTACTACATAGTTAGTGGAGGTAATATACCTGCCTACCTACCTATAATAAGAAGTACAATGCTCTAACTTGGGCTACCCAAGATTCTGCCCAGCCTTCCCCCCTGACACCCCGCAAATGCAGGTTAACTACTAGGTAACCCTTCAAGGCAGTCAACTGTCCAGTCCTGATCGCGCGCGCCCGAGAACCGAGCTTTAAATATTTCCCACTTAGCACGACATCCTACACCATCCTACACCATCCCATTAATATCGACTTCCTTTAATCCTCATTTGCGGGTGAGCATCTGCAAGACGGGAGAGTGGGGAACATTGCATTGTTATCTGACTTCTTTGTTTTGTTCCTGCTGGGAAAAGGTACCGGCATTGCCACAACCTGATTAACCCTTGTTTGCAGGCAAGCAAGCAAGCAAGATCAAAGGTCAGTCGACCAAGATGCGACATCATGGCACCCCAACTTGAATATGGTGCTTGGCGGAGTTGGGGGAGTTGGGGGGGATATAAATCGCTTGGGGATGTCCTCCTTCCAGAACTCGATTCCCTCGTTTCCCAAGTTCCATTCCCACCCCCTAAAGCTAGACCGTCCGAATTCATAAGTGCCCTTCGGTTATCTTGGATGAAAATGTGGTCGCAAACCTCCAAGCCGGTCTCGCTATTTCTGGCCATCACGGGAATTGGATCCGCAGCGGTACTTCCCGACAAGACCCCTCCCTTCTCCGTCAAGGTCCCCGAAAACACGGCCCAAGGCGCTTCTGCGAACATTGACACCAGCTTTTGCGGCTTCGCGTTCGAGCAGTCTTCTTTCACGCGGTACGCCCAAACCGACGACGGCAAGCCCAACGTATTCTCGCAGAATCTCATCCAGGCCATAACGTCCCGGACAGGCGGGCACCCCATCATCCGCCTCGGCGGCACTTCTCCGGACTACGGGAAATACCTCCCGGGGCAGAAAGCGCCCGCCCTCCCCGTAGCGGAGCAAGACAACTACCAAGACGTCGGACACACGACGATCGGGCCCTCGTACTGGGGCTTCACGCGCCACTTCCCGACGGCCAAGTACATGGTGCAAGTCCCGATGGCGACCAAGAACCTCAGCGAGACCATCGCCTGGACGCAGGCCGCCGTGCACGGCATCGGGATCGAGAACATCCACTCGATCCAGCCGGGCAACGAGCCGAACCTGTACTCGGACACCTACCGCGGCGAGGGCGGGATCGAGCTGCACCCGCCGGAGTACCAGGGCACGCTGACCAACCAGACGTACGTGGCGGAGTACCAGAAGTACACCGCCGCGATCCTCGAAGCCGTCAAGGAGCTCCCCAAGGGCCGCTTCTTCACCGCCTTCGACGTCGCGACGCACTACGGGCGCAACGTCCCGCCCGGCCCCCTCCTCGACGTCGAGCGGTGCTTCGCGCTCGGCATCGACTCATCCCGCATCATCAAGGAAGTCTCGCACCACTACTACCAAGGCAGCGCGGGAGGCGCCTCGGACCTGGCGCGGGGGCTGATGGACATGGCGGCGACGCACCGCTACGTCGACGACCTCGCGGCGCGCAGCATCGCGTGGCTGTCGCGGAGCCGCCCGGGCCTCCCCTTCGTCCTCAACGAGGTCGGCAACTCGCTGCAGCCGCGGAACTCGTACGCGTACCAGAACCGGCTCGGCAGCGCGCTGTGGCAGGCCGACTTCTACCTGCACTGCATGGCGCGCGGCGTCGCGCGCGTCAACTACCAGCAGATCATGCACGCCGGGTACAACCTCTGGCTGCCCGTCGCGAGCGCGGGGCACGCGGCGCAGGTGTTCGCGAACTTCTACTCGCAGCCGTTTGTTGCGGATTTCATCGGAGGTTCGGGGAAGACGCGGGTCGCGAGGCTGGATATTGGTGGCAGCGGTGGGGATGATGAAAATGTCAAGGGCCCGGCAAATGTGGCGGCGTACGCGGCGTACGACGACGATGTGGTGAGGAGGATCGCGGTCGCGAACTTGAATTACTGGAACAAGACCAACGCCGACGCGGGGGACAGGCCGAGCGTCGTTCTTGATATTAACGTCCCCGCGGGGGTGAAGACCGTCGAGGTGGCGCACTTGAACAGCCCGCTGGGCGCGGGAGGCGGCGCGGATACGATTACGTATGGGGGCAGCCAGTGGACGTTTGAGAGTCTGGGGAAGGAGGTGAAGGGCGTGAGGAAGGATACCGAGAACCTAGTTGTGAAGGACGGGGTCGTGAGGGTCACGGTCAAGAGTAGCGAGGCGGTGTTGCTGAGGTTGTCGACGGATAAGGTTAAGTGTAAGCCGTGATAGAATAATGGATACGCTAGCATAGGTTAGGAGTTATGGAATTAGAAATATGGTCAATATTTGCTGAGGCTCGGTTTACTTGTGATATGTTTACCTTGGCTATTGATACGTGCTTCATCGTGTGTTATTGGCTTGAGATGGGATGAAATAATGCCCGTGGCTACGCACTTGACGAAATCAAAATCCTAATATGAGGTTACCGAAGTCTTTACCCGTCTCCCTGGCTCTACCATATAACACTCCATCGCCAGCCCATGTTCCCCAGTTAGAATCTCCCCCCTGGAAACAGCGCCAGCCAGGTTGTTTCGAACTAGCTGCTCTAGGATGGCTCACATTTGAGCCCGAATACTAGAACTGATACCCAACAACAAGGGCACGGCTACGAAGCGGGCAAATAGGAGCCTAACTCCGGGGAAAGTATCCGGGGTGTATTGTGTGCTATGATACCCGTAAAGAGCTAAAACGATACTGGTATGATACGTGCTGTCTAGGGTCTGTCTTCCCGGGGACTAGCTAGGGCAAAGACTGCTACGTGCCCAGTTGTATATTAGGTTAGGTACGTAGCATCCGTAACCTCCAGGAAGATGTTAAGAGTTCCCCGAGCAGCAACGATGTTATTCTGCGTCTTCTAGGCTCCGCCTCGTGACATATGCAACGCCTTGGAAAAGCTGAGTAGATACAGACTCCGGTCAAGACTACACTGAGCTCGATATGTAATATATCTAAACTACCAACCTAACGTTTAATCCAAAAAGAAGTAACCATCCCATCCCGTTTCCGTATCTCATATCCTCCGAATCCATCACAATCACAATCAGGATCCCACCCTCTCGGATCCCATACCCCCTTCCCACCCCGTCCCATATTAATCCACCAGAGATAACGTAGGGGTCGGGCAGGATCTAATGATCTCATCAAAGATCCAATCTACGAATACCTGCAGGCAAGTATGGCTCGGTAAATGTTCATTCGACCGCTAGGGGAATAGATAGCCGTCTGCATGACCCCCCTACCTACCCCCTACCTTACCTTACCTAGTAGGCTATTAGGTAGGCACGTTCGCGAGCTTGATAGCTACGTAACAGCGTAGCATACCTAGGTAGGTAGGTATTCGGCAACACCACTCGCGCAGCGCAGCTCCAACCGTGATATTCGTTCTGATAATAGCCGGGTTGCCAATGTGATATATGTACCTAACCTACCTAGTAGATAGATACTGATTGGTCCATGATCAACATCGGTTACTCGGACTTGGGGATTTGGTATTTAGAGTTATGCCATGGGAAAAGGGGGGTCAGACACACGTTCTGCTAACAAACCCCAATGCCAACACCAACATTAACACCACCGACCGCTCTGTTATAAGGGGTGTGGGGGAACGATGTGACAGCCGGGCTAGGTGCTGCTCTTGTCGTGTAAACAAGACCACGGCTGTTCGGATCCTTATAGCACATCTCAGGTCCCAAAATACGTAGACATGTCAGTCAGCTAGTGAGTAACCTAAATTCTAGCAGCATAAACGGCACTTGATACTACTCTGCCCCTACGCGTGCTACACTGGGTCGGCAACCTCACCATGTCGCATCGTGATGCAATGTCTAGCCCGCCATATCTGTGGAGCAAGCACAAAAACCGTTCATACCTACAGGTTCCAGCCATCCACCATCCAATCCTCTGAGAACTGGGGCATGTAAGATGTAAGTCAGTGGCACAGATAGATAAACTGCTCGTCCCTCCAACCCACCCCCGCGACTCGGCTCATCTGAGATCGCCTCTCCCATACCTAGTGTAACTAACACGCACATAAAGATGGAGTATATGAAATAAGGGGTTCCATTGAATGATTTCTTTGGATCAAAAAGAGGAACACCAACGCTTTAACTACCTACTAGGTAGAGAAGCTTGTACTTTCCCTAAACATTCATGAAACTTCAAGTAAGCAAGTAATTAAGTATATGCACACTTGACATAGCTCCCGTGTTTGGTCATGCAGAGTGTGTTAAGTAGCATCTATCAAACTGACAGCGAAGTGCTAGCCTCTCCCGGTATGTGACATATGTAGGTGAACACAATAGGGCTAGCCTTAAGGAGAAAAGAAATAGATAAGTTATACCCAGTTGGATGGGCGTCGAACCCTTCGATCTTATTTGATTATATCGGGTATCGAGATGGAGATTCTTGCCTGAATCAGTTCCCTAGATCTAATGCTACCTTAACATACCTACCTGGTCTAGTACCTAGTAGTATACATGTATGTACATACCTACACTACTACCACTGCCGACTTACTAATCTCATAAGCGAAAACCCGAGGGATTCAAGTTTGGATTCTCACAGCCTGAATTACGTCATATACACATGACGTAATGCATGATACTATAATGTCTGGTCAAGGATAGAGTCAAGGGTAGATCTCTTCAATGTTGTATCTACCTGGGAATGTACTTATCTGTATGGTAGTCAGTGGCCTCCTATATCAGTACACGATAGTTCAGTTTCGATGAAACATACCGGAGAGAAAGTCAGGGGTAAAGCCAGATGCTATTTAACGAATGTGCAGGATATTATGGATATACCAAGACACACTTCTCTAAGATATGATGACTACAACCGGAGGAAACTGTCCTAGCTTAGTAGGCGTTGTGTAATCCACATAGAAACTCAAGTTGAGCCAAGTCGCGTGGAGAAGCTTACCTCGATTGAGTGTGCCGAGAAATGCAACCCGAGAGCCCAACCGCTCCAAGAAAGGGAGTGATGGAATAGGTAGCTATACTTAGTGAAGTGGGAACTTCAAGTTACACAGCTTGAGGTGTATGCACACGCGCGTGGACACTGTATCTGACCTGAAGATTTGGAGGATCCATACAACCCGACTCGACCGAAGTGTTTCGCTAAATGTACCTAGGTTAGAACATCGAGCCCCTTCAAGGTTGCGTTGAGGAGAGATTGTTCCTTGTTCGATTTAAAGTGCTGAAGTGTCATTTGCAGATGAAAGACCTCCCGTAATTATCCAGGCCATCTTTTGATTAATGTACGGCACCTATGACGGCTGAGCCGTTGACCGGGCTCGACCCGTGCCAATGAGCAATGTTTGCTGATACGGCAATCTGGGGGAAGTGATTTGACTGACGTATGCGGGAGCTCCCCGCTTGAGACTAGTAGATACTACTTACAGTGTCGGCTTATGCCTACATCATGAATGATCAGCGCTGATATTTCGATAAACGAGAAGGCTTGGGAATCCTGATGATGCACAAGATGCTACGGAGCGGGGAGTACTGGTCATATCGAGGTTGAATGGAGGGTGAAAGGTGATGGTGTCGTTTCAAGGAACGTCACACAGCAGCTGCATGGCCGACGTATTCGGTCGACAGAGATAAATGTAGTAGGTATGTAGGTAGAAAGTCACGCCAGCTCAGTGAGTACATGGTGGTCAGTTTGTAACGAGACGAATGGATACACGAGATAGATAAAGTTCGTACTTGCTGCTTACTGCTTTCTGTTTGGATTGTTCGAACATAAAATGAGGCTTTGAGGCTGAGGAGTGGTGCTAGGGATGGCTAGTTAGCCTTGGGGGCATGTTAGGCATCTTAGCGGCTGAAATGAATCATAATAGTAAATAATATCTACAATGATTTGCATGATTGACGCCGACATGTTCTATATCGGATTGAACAGATTCATACAGATTCATTATCAAATATCTAATATAGAATAATAGCCTTGCAGCTTGCAGAAGCCTGCTTTGATCTGTGCCGTCTGTTCGAGATAAACTGTTAAACTGGCGCGGAATCGGACGCCATCATGCAAAGCAGTTGGTGTTGACATCGTCATTGGCCTAATAAATTATCCGCCAAGGGAGTTGAGAAGAAGAGAACGAATAGGAGTGAGACTTAAGTCTGTAGGGATTGAATGTGGGCACTTTGCTCTGGTGGGGTCTTCTAGGGTCACGTCACAAGGCAATTGGTCCCTGCGCTGGATATTCCCAAGGAAATATAGTGGAGAAGAGGGACCGTCTGAGAAAATGACGATACTAACTACGTCATAGAGCGTTTGTTTTCATCGGGGGTCCCTAGTATGAAAGAGTCATGGATTTGTACAATACGTAGAATTTGATCCAATGACCTTGTAAGACAAGAAAAAAGGGAAAAGGAAGAGAAATAAAAAGAAAGAATAAAAAAAAAGGAAAGAACTTGAAAGAAAGAAAGACAGAATGGTTATTATTCAATGTTGATTTTCTATTGCCCGTCTTGATGTATTGTATGTGTATGTAGTATGTACTACTAGTAGTATGCATTTCGATATTGGGAGTAGTCGGGTTTGCAACTTTTTTTAAGTCCGGATCTGGGATTGAGATGAGATGAAATAGATGAGTCTATGTATGCACATTCCATGTAAATATGTACTATGAGTGATGTCCCGGGTGATTTCAAGATTGGGAGGTTACATGTATGCTCGTCAATTGATGATTCTGTTATGGTCGTTGAATGAATCGAGATAGGTACTGCCCAACATTGAAAGTTACATAGTTATATAGGACACTCTAACCTAGAGCTTTTAGGAAATACTAGGTACTAGTTTGAAGCCTCTTTTATCTTCTCGGATATTAGGCACACAGCACACAACACATACATATGTGGTGTAAGTCTCACGACTTGGAAAAAAAAACCCCTACCTAGGGACATGATTTGAAAAAAGCAAACAGATTGCAGATAGTGTACTTCAATCTTACAACATGGTATGGTCAATTATCATCGCCATATCAATGCTGCTTTATGATCCAGCACCAAGCTTCCAAGTTCTCTCCACATTGGATATTGGATACATCGGCTCTCTGGGTTAGGTACAAGCAGATCATTTAATGATACATGAACATGAACATAAACATGCCACATTGACACATTGTAAATGTGCAGAAAATGCTACAGTACACACATGTATACATAATTTTCAACAATGTTGGGTTCATGAGCATGCTCCGTACATATACTGCACTAGTATAGTACATGCATCCAATGCCATCCATGATACATACATGGAGTATAGCTACATACATCCTACATAACATTGAATACTACAGTAACTTACACATTCCCCTGTCAATGAACCATCCTATTTCAGCTAACCTCTCTTGGATTACCAATTGCAGGTTTATCTGGGAATGATACCACGCTTAATTTCCGATGCTGATGAAGACGATGATGAAAAGTCTTATGTACAAGTAATGCACATATCTCTAAATCTAGTATCTCGGTTCGGATGAGTCGAGATGTTTGCAGTTCTAGGTGGATATAATTACAGCTACAGTTATAGGATGCCTATCTTATATACAGGTAAATGCTATGTAACATACCCAATGTCACTAATTGCAGTTTCTGGTAGATTAATGGGAATCCTGTCGTACCCCATTTTCTGGGTCACATACTGAATGGATGTACAGTACATTGAGTACATAGCTTCGTGCCTGACCCCCAATGAGCTCCCCAGTTTAACCTGATTCGTTGCTTTGTCCTACCTCGTGCTAGATTAAGCAATTGCGGGCAGCTAGCCGAAACGCCCTTTCTACTACGTAGTAAGGCTTTCTTGAATATGTATGCAAGTACATTGATGGTCATGGTAGAAGGTACTTAGGTATTCGTGCATGTCTGCATGTCGTTTTTGTTCCTTTTTTATCTTTTTTATCTTTTTTTCATTAAACCAAACCAACCTTGAACAGGTTTTGTCATCACCCCAAGTAAATTGCCCGAATCGCACACTAAGGACTTTCCTTTTACAAAATTCCGGATTTTTGGTGCATGTATTCAATTCCTGTTGGTACGCTGTTATTCAGCTAACGCCTCTTTTTATGAGTCTTATCTGAAGTGTCATTCCGTGGCAAAACAAAGTAACTGGCAACTGGAACCTTCCCTTCACGCTACATCATATGGTTTTATTATTGGGATGTATTATAGTACCCTAGGCATGTACTTCAAGTTGTATGGACTTGTATCAGGATTTGGGGGAAGGGGAAGTTCGGGAACATTGTTCCCATGAAGTTCAATAATGTTGGGGGTAACTTGAATGTTCAAATGTTCTTTTCCTTCCTTTTCTTTCTATCATTCTACAGTATCTGCAGTATACCTGCAGTATACCTGCCCTTAGGCTTAGACTTGCTTACGCTAGGACGATGCTGGACGCTGAACGAGGTAGGGCCCGCCCCCCATGCCCCCGTAATGGGCTCTATTAAGATTGGTACCTAGCAGCTAGCATTAGCCCACTACATCATCAGGCGACATCGATCTCGGATACGGTACAACATGTGCAAGCGCTAGGTAGAGTAAGGCCCATAACCATGTAATGTACGTAGTGGTTTCGATGTCGCCAGGCGTTTAACCACTCACACAAGTCGTCATTTTTTCCACTCTTCTCTTCTTCTTCTTTGAATAATTCTTAATTCCTTATTCCTTCCACCCCAGAAATACACAACGTCAACGTCAGACTAAATCTACACTATTACTGTCGTCTTATCCTCTTTTATTTTTGATCGACTATTTTCTTCATTGGGGATTTTAGATCTGTATTTTTTTTCTACTCAACATAACCCACCTTAGACAGTTCTTAAGTGAGAGCGACTCGAGTCTCATTCAGTCTAGCTAGCATTGAGAAAGGAGAGTTCACAGAAAGTGATAACAGCGCCAGCCATAGAGATCTTGTGATTTGCGTTACAGCGAAAGAGAAGAAAGGAAACAACCTTAGCATCTCGCGAGCCTACTTACTCCACGCCAAATCAATCCATAACCATCTATAACTATCAACATACATACATAACTTATTTAGTATCAGTATCTACATACTTCCTTACTGACGTATATACCTACGCTCGGGTGTCTTAATTGTCGCTCCGAACCCGAGTCCGAATTTTACGAATTTTTGGATCATCCATAAATACCTACATACCTAGCAATACCAATCCAACATTGAAGATAACCCAAGATAACCCAGCTGCGAATTACATATTACGGCTCGGCAGCTTTCCGTCGCATTGCATACCTACCTATTTTCCCAACGGCTAGGTTTTAATTATCTATCGCAAACGGCACCCACTTTACATTTCGGTTTACTTAGCTCGATCTTGAAACTTCCCGGGGCTCTGGGAACCGGTGGCACCTCCGAGTTTCGTGTCTCGCAACGAGAGACAGTGAGAGGAAGAACAAAAGAGAAGGTTTACAAGGTATAATTGGGTGTGACGTCTATCCGGTAACCGCAATCACCATGTCGACAATACAACAACTGAAGAATTTCATCCGTCATGGTACGTACGACCCTGCTACCATTCTGATGCGGTCTCCCTTTCCTTCACCTTTTCACCTTGGCATTTGACCTTTCTATTTTTCGTTGTTTTTACATCTGTACCAATTCGCCAGTTCACCTTTGCTTTCTGCCTTCACCTTTGCACCCCGGCACTACTTATTTGACTCACCTTTATTCTGGCTTTTTTTTCACATTATTAATTTCCCTGCCTGATTTAAACCCAAATCTTCCCCATTGACCCATTTACCACCTTGCATGCCACCTTGCGCATCCTCCCACTGACATCATTTGTTGTAAATAGGCAAGCAAGCCAGGGTGACCAACTACGAGGAACCTTCGCGAAAACATGAACATTCACCCCCGCACTCTGCCACGCATCAACAGAAAGCCATGGCACACGTATCCGAGCCTGGTAAGCCAGCGGGCAATGGAAATCAACGTAACAATCTGCCAGATGCCTACTCTGCTCAGCCTGGAGATACTCAAAATCCAAACCGAGTAGCGCAGGCCGATGCTACTGCTGCCCACCACGCCGAGGCTAACCAGAATGTCTCGGGATCGCGCTCCACTAAGAGTAGGAGTAGGACGGAAGAAACCCACGCTGCCAAGATTGTTCAAGAAGAAAACGAAAGTAGAAACAAGTTTCCCAAGTACCCTGGTCTAGAACGATGGGAATTGCTGGAGAAGATGGGGGATGGTGCGTTCAGTAATGTCTATCGAGCGAAGGATCTGACGGGCGATGCCGGCGAAGTTGCCATCAAAGTTGTCAGAAAATTCGAAATGAATAATATGCAGGTGAGTTCGTTGATGGTTGAGCTTTTATCGCCGACCATGTCATTTTTATGTTTCATTCGACAATTATTTTCGTGTTTTCAGCAAACTATAATATTTCCTTTACCAACTCTTGTGTCCAATTCTAGGGCAACAAGGCTTTACATCCGGATTTTAAGAAGGTTCCGAAGGCAGCAGAGGTGCGGAGTTATTCCATTTCATTTGTCAAGTTTTTCACATGTGTCTTCTCTCCGCCTGCCTCTATTCTTGTGCTCTCTGGTCACATCAATATTTCACATCTTTACATCTCTATTCCTCTCTTCCTCTTCCTCTCTTCCTCTCCTAAAGCATGGTTACGAATGGCACTAACCAATCTCAATAGCGTGCAAACATATTGAAGGAAGTTCAGATCATGAGACAATTGGACCATCCGAATATCATTAAGTTGGTTGACTTCTCAGAATCGAAACAATACTACTATATTATCCTGGAACTGGCACCCGGCGGAGAACTATTTCATCAAATAGTACGCCTGACCTATTTCAGCGAAGAATTGTCAAGACATGTCATTGTGCAAGTTGCGAATGCCCTCGAATACCTTCACGAGGAAAAGGGTGTGGTACATCGGTAAGTGGTATTAAGGTGGCTAAATTTGGTGGCGCTGACGTCACTGGACAACCAAGAACTTGGGGCCCCTGCATCAACGCCCTGCCACAGCGTCAATGTACTAACATGTGAATCCACAGTGACATCAAGCCCGAGAATATTTTATTCAGTCCCATACCGGTCGTCGCGTCCAAGCTCCCAAAGCCGAAGCAACCCGGTGATGAGGATAAGGTCGACGAGGGTGAATTCGTGAAAGGGGTTGGCGCAGGAGGCATTGGGCTAATCAAGATTGCTGATTTCGGCTTGTCCAAGATCGTCTGGGATAACCAAACCATGACACCATGTGGCACCGTCGGTTATACAGCACCCGAGATTGTGAAAGATGAGCGATACTCGAAATCCGTCGATATGTGGGCCCTAGGCTGCGTTTTATACACCCTGCTGTGCGGCTTTCCTCCGTTTTATGACGAGAGCATCGAAATTCTTACGGAAAAGGTTGCCAAAGGACAGTACACATTTCTCTCGCCATGGTGGGATGACATCTCCAAGTCTGCACAGGATCTGATCACTCATCTACTTACCGTCGACCCTGATGAGCGATATACGATTAAAGAGTTCTTGAACCATCCTTGGGTACAAGGAGCTGGTGTTACGCCACGTGAAGAGAAGAAGGCCAACGAAAATGTCTTGCGCGCATTTGATGCCGGACGACTGCTCGATGGTGAGCGTCGCATGGACTTCAGATCGCCCGGTGCGGTCAATCTACGTGAGATCTTCGACGTCGGTTACTCGGTACATCGACAAGAAGAAGAGGCGAAACGAAGGAAGCAGATGGGCACCAAGGCGGGCGCCGCACCATCACGTCTACAAGGCCTTGATGAAGATTCGGAAGAGGAGAAATCGGATCCCGAGTACGTGCACAACAAGGCCGATGCCCCCGCTCAACAACTCGAACAGAGCATGCGTAAGACGCACCTGGGTAAGGACCAGGAACGTGAGCGTGGCCGCGAACGCGAACGCGAACGGGATCGACAGGGCGATAAGGATAGAGGATATGGCCAGCACAGTGCCTCCGTAGCTCAAGCAGCTCGACAACAAGTGCGTGATCGCAATAAGCAGCGAGGCGCTTTTGAACTCAGCCTTGATGGAGCCACATTACTAGGCAGACGGGCCGGGAAAGCTCCAGCTACTGCTAGTGTTGGTGGCTTATAGAGCGAGACAGCACACGAGCAACAGGCTGAATCGGAGGAATCAACAAAGCAGGAGGCAGCAAAAGAGGAACATGGACGTGAAGGTTGATTGCATTGATCGATTGTTTGATTGATTGATTCAAGGGATATCCAAGTCTAGTTCTACGCATGGGCATGAGTAACGGAAGTTCAGGGCTTTGAGGCGTGTGGCATATGGTTTCAATGAGCAATATGGGAATTCGTTGTGCTTTTTTATGCATCCTTCCGCAACGCTTTACACATAGGGCCTGGCGTTCCCGGAATCAAGATGAATGGTTGTCTTTTAATTGAGTCTCGGGCTCGATTTTCGAGCTTCGAAATGCATGAATTCAGAATGGTATCTATCCCTGCATTCCCCTATACTCCTGGCGTGCATAGGAGTCCATATTTTTAGTATCCGTTTCTCCCTTGACACTTGGTTGAATGGCCAGAACGGTCAAGCGACCCCTCGCCCTGCGCCCAATTCTAAGACAAGCTACCTTTTTGATGTAGAACGGATAGTAAGGGCTGTCGAATCGCTTGTTGGACCTTGATTTAGGCGATAGAATCTAAAGGGGTCGAATTGAACAATGATCGAGGCGTATTGATTGGATTTTACAGAGAAATCGGGTCAAACCGCCCTGCGTCTTTTGAATCCCTCACCACGCCAGCAAGTCAGCCATAAGTAACCTCAAGGCTTACAGATAGTTATATAAGAAGCTGTCGATCATCCGTCGTCTTCCTTCGAAACTATTATCTAACACAAGTCACATTAATACACATCAACCCCCTATGCATCTTTACACAGCGAACATACTAACAAATAATACAGTCGCGCTCTGGCGGCCTTATTATATCGCTGTTATATAACATAGAGTGTCTTGTTAATCTTTACTATTTATATTTTTTGGGCGTACCTATATTACTCCATACTACATATTGTCTAATCAAGGCCGGACATCATTCTACCAACCTGCTACCTACGACAACGAATATATCGGGAGGCAGAGAAACCATGGCGACAACACTCGCCCAAATCGCGGTCCAATACGTCCCGTCCAACGGCGGCTGCATGCTGGATATGACAGCGGCAGCGGCCCGCTTATTCGACGTCTGCAGCACCGTCCACATCCGCATTCCAGATATTCCCCAGCAACGAATCGATGTCCAGTCGGGGATGATCTGCATCAAGCCCTCGGAGCCGGTTCCGAGTATGGTGGATGCGTATCGTGAGCAGTACGTGTATCCGACTGTGGCCGTGCTGCGGCCGACGGGTGAGGCGACATTGCCGCCAAAGCAGCAGCAGCAGCAGGGGTTGAGACTACCGACGTTTGAAAGGCCGGGGAGACTGGCGCAGGGGGGTGTGCCTATGGGTAGTGGTGGAGGTGATCGAAAAGGGGATGGTAATAATGATGATGATGATGATGATGATGACGAAGTACAGACAAGCAAAGGAGGCCAAGAGAGTCACAGCACATCAACTCTCTACCGCCATGGCCCCTTGTCTACGATGAAGACTCGTGTAAGACCAGCACAGTCGACGACATGCACCACGATATCAATAGAGTCTACTGTTCAAGTCACGCGTTTAATAGAAACGTCAGATACCTCGTTATTATCAACAACATCAACACCTACAACTCAACTACATGCTAGCCAGCCGAGTAATAAGCCCTCTTCTACTTTAATAACCAGCACAATCTCCTCGCCGTCTCCATCGCAAGAATCCTCGATTTATATTCCTGCACTATCTATATCAACACCGCAACCGCAAGCCCCTCCCGCAGAACGTCCAGTTACCTCTGCTCTTGATCCCGCTCCTCCTGCTCCCACCATCCCCTCTCTTCCACAACTACCACCACCTCCGCCGCCGCCACCTACTCTCCCAGGGTACTGCAAATCTCCCTACTTCAACCTCGACGTAACCACCATCACCGCCCTAGACCCACACGACCTAGCCCTCCACCTAAACCTACTTGGTATTGCCGGGCTTGAGCATGTTACCACGCCTACTCCTACCACTTCCATCGTTATCGCCGCCGCTGCCGCCAGTAGCAGTGGTAGTAGTAGTATTGACAGCAGGAGTAGCAGCAGTCGCACCCGCAGCAGCAGTCGCAGTGGTGACAGTAATGATATTGCCGCCTTACTCCGCCACCTCCTCACCGCCGCAATCAACGACGACGAAACGCGCGCCATACGCCGCGAGTTCGAGCGCTCGTATCGCGTTCGGTGCGGGACGCCTTTGGTTCCTTCGTTTCCTTGGGGCAAGGATCCGGGCAAGGGCAAGGGGAACGATGAGAAGGGAGGAGGAAAGGGGGAAGAGAGAAAAGTAAACGTAGGATCGCAAAGAGAGTGTCTTGAGATGTGTGAACGGGAGGCGATTTCCAGGGCGAGAGAGGGGGTCGTGAGGGAGTGTGTTGGGGCTGCGTGGTATAGGGGTTTAGGGAATGCGGATGCGGATGCGGATGCGGATGGGAACTGTATGTTTTGGATTGGGGGGAGGGATGAGGTGTTACCGGTGGAGAGGTTAGGGGTGGAATCAGTGGTTGGGAGGGGAGGGGATTGGGACTTGGTTTATTTATGATGTGAGTTGATGCCTGCGAGGCTTAAGGTGTGCGTGTTTTGAGGCGAAGGGGGAGGAGAAGGGGGACGCGGCGGAAAGGGGTTCAATATGATTACGATATTTGGGCTACTTGCAGCGACATCATTTGGGGGGATTCATTTCTAGCGTTTTGATATTTTAGTCCAAGAATATACGAATCTGATGTTTATGAGACACCTACCCCATATCTACCTCAACACAGACAATAACAGTGGGTTGTAACATTGGGTTAGCCCCTTAAACAGGCAAAGACAAGCATACATATCCTGTGGGAGGCAACAAAAAAAATCATTCCGTAATATTACTACCGCATCTCTCACAATATTCTACCGAGCAAGCGAGCCACCCTAACCCATACATCCAACTAGCCTGGCTATTCCAAACCAACCATAACAGAATCTACCTACCAAATCTCCTCCACCCCCTTACCCATGCGTCGGCGGCGGACTAGCCACAGCCCTAAAGTCAAAATCCGGATTATCGTACCCTCCCCCCTCCTTCCACGTCGCCGCATACGGCGCATAGTAATCCCAGTTCGACGACGTGTTCAGCCCCAGCTCCGCCCACAGGAACAGCCCGTCGTCCAGACTCCCGCCCAGCATGACATAGTTCGGGAAGGGGTCGTAGTCCGGGGTGGCGGCGTAGCCGGTGAACCAGTCGCGCAGGTTCGGGGTGTGGGGGATGGTGTTGGCGCTGTAGGGCGGGGTGGCCTCGACGGCGTCGCGCAGGGCCTGGTCGAAGAACAGCTGGCTGAGGTGGGCGACGGTGCCGCCGGAGTAGGTGCCGTTGGGGAGGACGCGCGCGCCGACGTGCGCGATCAGGTGCTGGTGCGTCGCGCGCCCCTGGTAGTGGCCCGGGAAGATGGTGTCGAAGCTGACGACGCCGTCGCCGTCCGCGACCTGCGCCCCGCGCAGGTACGTCGTGCCGAGCCCGCCCTCGCCCCGCGCGCTCACGCCGCTGTAGGCCCCCGTCGCGTTGCACGACCACGTGTCGATCAGCAGCCCCGCCCCCGCCCCCGCCCCCGCCGGCGCGCACGTCTGCACGTCGATGAACTGCAGCTCGAGGTGCAGCGGCACGCCGGCGGTGCCCTCGACGACGTCGCTGCGGATCCGCTCCTGGTACACGAAGTACGGCCCGTTGGCGTTGTCGGGCGTGAGCACGCAGCTCGTGTTCGAGCCGAAGATGTCGGAGATGGGCGTGTCCTTGTCGAAGTCGACGGTCCCTGTCTTGTCGTGCGACTGCGCTGCCCATTTTTGCAGGGAGGCGGCGTCGCGGCGGTGGAGCCAGGGGGCTGTGGTGGGAGAGAGGGGTGGGTTAGAAGACGGTTTTAGCGAGCTGGGTATGCAGGTGGGCACGGGGATGTTGCATACCGTTCTCAATGTTCCTTTCCCGACGAAGTCGTGCGAATGTCTCTGCGCGTCGAGCGACTAGAGATGTTGAGTTAGCGATTTTCCACCCAACTTTAGAGTATCTGTGCTCATAAGAAGCTCCTATTTCCAGTCTGCCTATCCAGGCATATGGTGACTTTCCATCCAGCAGACCGAGGGCAGCAGGATAAAGGGGGTGGTGGTAGACTCACCAGCACGTTCCTTGCGCGCCTTAACGGCCGGCGAATTCTGGCACGCCTCCAAAGCCCTCGCATTCATCGTCGAAACGACGTGGGCATTCCCCATCTCCTCCATGGCCTCTCGCTTCCCGTATTTCTCTCCGGGGTGTCCCGCTACGAGGACGGGAGTCAAAGCCAAGGCCGCGGCCAACGTGGCCGCTATCGAGGGCACGAACACCATTGCTGCTGAAGATGTGCGTATACCCACAACTTTCGTGAAGGGTGGGCTTGATAAAGTCGCGGTATAGAGAGATGGTGAGTGAGTGAAAGGTTCCCCCCAGAAAAGAAATTCCCCGAGGATAGGGGAAAATGGGGAATGGGGAATGGGGATATAGCCTCCTTTTTAGTCGCTCACTCATTTACTTACTCACTCACCCATTCACCCATACACATCTATTTGATACGTTTAAGCAACATCTCTCATATCCACGGAACCACATATTACGTTCCTCAGCGCTTTATTTCTCCATCAGGACCGCCAAGAATGAAACGACCACGGCAGACGATACTTTCCGTCGCGGCGAGGCCGGCAATAGGGTATATACACTTGGTAGGTATTGATGAAATCAAATCCCTCCTAAAAGGAAAAGTGAAAGAAATTAAATAGGCACCTTACCTAGAAGGTAGGTAGGTAAGTAGTAAGTAAAAAAAAAAGTGCCATGCCACAGGACCCCGCAGAACCTCATTCCTGGATCCAATTCTACTTTAGGGTGAGAATTATAGGTATGAGGGTAAGTAAAAAGCCATTTTTCTTTCGCTCTCTCGCTATTCTGCCCCCCTTTTCTACTTGTTGGTCGCGCGTCTTTATCCGGTCTTGGACGCCGCCTTCTCTGCTCGATGAAAGAGGCAATTGCGTGGCGATCACCATGGGGGAGGAAGTACCGGGCCCGGGAGAAAACACATGCGTTTACGTTTGGGAGTGTGCGTATGTATGTATCTTGTTCAGGGTAGTTAGGGTAGGTAGGGTAGGTAGGTAAGTACTCGAAGTCCCATTTCCCCAGAATGAGGCTAAATCTACCTACCGCATTTCGAAACCGAATCCACCCCTTTTATCGCCCTGCTATATGTACATAAGTACCCCAGACTCTCGTCTAATACCCTAAATAAAAAGAATTGTCCTCGCTTCGGCTCTTATTGTATACCCTGCACATGCCTGCCCGTATGTTAGGCCTGTCTATCTGGCGTCCTTGGCTTGGTATATATGCAATATAAGCAAGATATCCGACGATTGTGATTGGTCGGGTTTCCAGGGACGTGGTACGACGAGTTGCATTACAGTAAGACAACAACGTACTTACGTACCTATATATGCCTAAGTAGGAGGCACCTATAAGCATGTAGGCGGGTGTTCGGCTACTTGCGAGCGAGTCACGCCTCGAGTGCGCTCTGCGTGCGACTCTTATCCTACACCTAACCCATATCTCGTGGCATGTGTTCGGCTCTTGCTTGGCCTCATGCGCTGTTTTGGGGAATGGGGTATTGATTTGCATTTCCAGTTCGTAGGAAAATTATTCCCACCCAAGTACTAGGTTAGGTACCTATGTCGGTATATAGGTAGGCACCTGGTATATAACCAGAGCGCATTGCCATAACACTTTGGATCAGCCTAAATATACTACCTACCTAATAATCATCTACCTAGGGACGATGCACAATACGCTTCGACGAATTAAATCGCCAGCTTTACTACTGATTATTTGATTATTTTTATAGTCATCATATGACCCTCTTGTCACAATCACTACCACAGCCGAGAGGGGCTTTCTTACATACGGAGCCTGTACTTACGAAGTGTGTCAGATCAATCTACGAAGGATTTTTTTAAGGGGCCAAGAGTTTAGGTTAGGTAGGTACTTAGGTAGGGATGCACACGAAGCGAGGAGGATTAGACAAGTTCCAGAAGCCAGATAATTGTATAATTAGGAACAGGGCTTCTAGAATAGCACTCGTATGACATGACTTTCATTCATCGCGTGGTGAGTTCCATCACCAATCCCTAACATCATAACCAACCATTCCTGACGGCGTAGCAGTATATCCAATCCTGGCAAGATTATCAACCCTTCATTAGTCGCTATCGCTGTTTCCATCTGAAATAGTTGTCGCTCGACCCAGTCTTTATGCGCCGTTTCCGTTGTATATAACAGCGTTGACGGTGCCACTGGGGATGCCAGTGAGCTTGCCAGTGGTGTAGAGAGCCTTGATGCGGCTGGTGATCGCAGCAGGGGTGGTAAGACCCTCAACCGAGATCAGGTAGAGTGAAAGACCGGTGACGTGAGGGGTGGCCATCGAGGTGCCGGAGATGGTGTTGGTGGCAGTGTTGCCGCCGATCCAGGAAGAGAGGACATCGGTACCGGGGGCAAACACGTCTACAACGCTTCCGTAGTTGCTGTAGGAGGCAATACGCCAGGAAGAGTCGATAGCACCGACAGTGATCGCGTTAGCAGCAGAGGCAGGGGATGTGTTGCCAGCATCAGTGGCGCTGTTTCCGGCGGCGACGACGGAGAGGACACCAGAGCTGTAGGCAGAGTTGACGGCGCTGTTGAAGGCAGATGAGAAGCCACCACCTGTGAAAGGAAGAGAAATGTTAGTCAGATTTGATTACTAGTTAGGCTTTCATTTCCAGATTGTATCACTTACCTAGCGACAAGCTGACAGCAGAAACGCTAGCGCGGCCCTTGGTGGTGATATCGTTGACGGCCCAGTTGTATCCGTCCAAACTGTGACATGAAAACGTAAGTAATTGCTCTTCTGGGCAGCCGTGTATGAAGCTGCTGAGACACAGCTGAGATATGTCTCGGGGGTAAAAACTTACATGATCGCGGTGGTGCTGCTAGTTCCCTGGAACACCTTGACGGCGACAATGTTGGCTTGCTTGGCGACACCATAGGTAGAGCCTATAACGTATGAATTAGAACCAGCCATCACAAGCAACAGAAGGGAGCCATTTCATCCACTCACCTCCAATAGTACCCGCAACGTGGGTTCCGTGGCCGACAGCATCAGCATCGCTGCCGCCAACTGCGTTGTAGCCGAGCGAGGCACGACCGCTGAACTGTTGGTGCGTAGCTAGAATACCAGTGTCTATGATGTAGGCGTAAGTGCCACTGCCAGCGGCGCTGTCGTAGATGTACGAGGTAGAGCCACTAGTGCGGTGGGAAACGGTGCCGAGACCCCAGGTAGCTCCAGTTTGTGTGGTAAGAGCTCTCTTGGAGACCTCAGGAGTCTCATCGTAGAGGTACCAGACTTGGTCTTCCTCAATCTCAGCAACCTGCCATGGAGGTTAGTCTTGGGGATGCCCGAATATTACACGAGTATGATATCTATAGCTGATCATTCCGGATGTTGGCCCTTTGGGAAGAGGCAACTGAAACGGAATGTTTGAAAGTCATCGCCCCTTAACAGGCCCATACATATGACAAGATGCATGGGTGAAAAGAATGGAACGTACATCAGGGCTGCTCTTAATCTGCTCAAGAGTGGCCTCGTCAAACTCGCCGGCGTAGGCGTTGAAGCTGGCGATCTGGTATTCGTGAGAGACACCGGTGGTGTCACGCTTGCCCAAGCTGCGAGCATGGACATCACGAGCCCAGTTCACGTGGGACTTGAAGTCCTCGGAGGTGACGCCCTCCTTAAGCGTGATGATGTACTTGTTGGGGACAACTTCTCGCTTCTGCTGAGCAGCCGGAGTAGGGGCAGCAAAGGCAGCAGGGAGCAAAGCTCCAAAGAAGAGCGCAAGGCGACGAAGGCTAGCCATGATGAGTAATGGATCAGGTGGAAAAGATGGAGGACTATGAGTTAGGGTTGGTGGATTATTTCAGATACCATAAACTTGAGCGACCACAACGGTTTATATAGGCATTTCTCACGGCTCTTGAACTCCTCAAGCCATGAGAATATCGCGGTTAACGGCAACATCCTACAACTACCACAACAAGGTAAGACCATGGCCTCTTAGACGAGGTTCACAAGGTTCTCATCGAGCTTCCCAAATCAGATCTAGGTCCTATGGGGGATCGACTGAAGGAACCATGCAATGGCCATTACGCGATTCAAAATACGGAAGGAGGGATATGGATCTCAGGTAGACTGAAGCGTAGAGCTCAGGTAAGTGATGATTTGAGCTTAATCAGAGGGTTATCCTCGATGGTCACCATTTGACGCAATAATTCGTTATGACATTCGAGGGGGCGCTGACTGGACAGCAGTTCGCTTGGCAATACTACTCATGCGCTTTAGAGTGAAGTTGGCAGCAAGATAGGACGTAGAGGAAAGCTAGCGAACCCAGAGTTAGGCCGAGGTGCGGTTGCTTTGGAAGTATCTGGTGGTGTGATAGGTGGCTACGGCCAAGTCAGCCGCATACGGCATGCCATACCGGATCGGCAGGGACCTTGCTTCGATAACCCTTCTACAAGAGGGCTCTGGAGTCTAGCCTTATATCAACTATTCAGGCAAAGATCAACTACAGACCAAGAAATAATAGCTTAGCAATGGTCGAATTATATAGGAAGGGAAAGATAATGAAAATGGCCAACATCTAAGGAAACTAAATGATGATTGCGGGGTCTGAAATAGACTGCCGCTCGGTCTCATGATGATAAGTTTGTGCGGTATTGGGTTTCAGTCAATTCATTGTATTTCGAGGCATCAGAACAACTCATTCAACCATGATTCCTGGAAACACATAACTCCACTGGAGCCATTCGAATCCTGGGTAGTAGCGGCGAGGAGAGCAAGGCCCAGCAAGATGGGCTCCCTACCTTCTCTCGACCACTTTCATCGGACAGTCGTGTAATCCACCAATAACAAAGCATGTGTTAACGTCCCGGGATGGTTATCATCAAGGGCGGGGCTGAGAATGGGCGCCAACTCAATCTTGGCACGATGAACTTGGGGAAGGTCGTTGCTGAAGTGAGCTTGTGAAAGAGGTCGGGGGGTGGCGCCGGCAAACGGTGTTACGGCAAGGATAGCTCGGGAGATGGAAATACATTGGAGATTAAGTCCGTTAAGCATATCTGACTGGGCTGGACTGAGTGAACCGACTACGCCAAGGCTGGTGGACACGGCAGCCCCTGGCTGGCTACCTTCGAGTCAAGGGGGCGATGTAACTTGGGCCAGAATATATGAACTCCAGGGCTTCAGAGCTGCCGTTTTCGTCCAGCTACCCCCCAGCACAATCGCATCACGTTCATCTATACAGAATGGCGCGAAGGCATGACCAACATGATTCTGGCTACCTTTCCGCCTGCGCAGGATGACATCGAGACAACTGCGAATGGCGACAGCGAGGAAAATGGTGCAGGAACAGGCAGTGCAATGGCTAGAAGGATTTTCTCGTAAAAAAAAAAGGAAAAAGGAAGAAAACCCCCAAGGAAAAAGAAACCTGGTTTCCATGGAGTTCTCTAGGATTTGCAGTCCATCTGCAATACTACATCACCTAGAAATATAGGTCTCGTGAGCTAGATAACTTCCTTTCTGCTGTATTAGGTACTACCTATTGTATAAAGTGTACAGGAGTGACACGCGACTAAATTTAGAGTAGATAGTCTAGATTTAGCACGAAGAGATTTGAAGGTTGTAGTTTGCAAAGATGTGCAAAAGGTCGAGACGTGGGGTGGGAGAAGTGGGAAGTGGGAAAGGTGGGAACAAGTTGGAGGGTTTAAGTCAATACAGGCCCGTGCTCATCCTTACTTAGGCGTGCTAAATGCGTGTTGAATAACTAAAATGCAGATGCAGATGGAGGGTTATATGCAGTAGGGGATTTATGTGCGTCTTATCTGTGGGGTATTACATAGTACATATGCATATACCCAGTATTCCGAGTCGTCGACAACTTGAATATTTCAATGTTTGGGTTACATAGCTCACGGCATTGTGTTACGTACCTAATATTATACCATATGTATTCGGAATTGCATCCCATAGGCATGAGCTTAGATAATAAGACAATATCCATAGATACTTGGATGGAAGACCTCGGCCTCTGATATCAAATCAACCAACATACCTGTAACCTGATATACCTAAGGTTCGGGTATGATAAGTCTATATTATCTAGTACTTTGTTCCTAATAATGGTAAGCATGATCCTGTAGTCAGTCAGTCGGTGTAAGACATAGAAATTGCAATGCTCACTATTCAATTAAAGTATATATCACAAGATAAACATAATAGTGTCAGCTGTATCTCCATGCAACCCATTTCGCCTTCTATGTCTTATCTTTGTCTCTTCTGAAATCAAGGATAATCAAGTTCAGATTTGACGTTAACAAGATCGGAGGTAACTAATGCCATGTGCACGGACTAAAAGCACAATACCTTATTAAGTGGAGATGGGTATAATATTCCACGTAAGTACCGAGGTACCTGAATGGCATATGCAAACGATCGATAATTCCTCGAGGACCCTGTCGTCATCTATCAAGAAAAAGATATCAACTGGTGCCAATTTGGTTTACCAAGTTCTAACTATTGCCCACTGCCAAAAAAAAAAACCTGCTATAAGTCTTGAGTCCTTGGCCCCTTTTCAATAGCAAAAGGAAGCCATTTCTGTTTAGGTAGCTGGATTGGGCATTCCAGCAGCGGCAGATTTACTTCCAAGGTTCCAAGGTTGTTAGCACCGGACTGAAAGACTTAGTTACAGGGGTGGCTAAAAGACTTCTTGAAAGCGTCCCCCATAATAAGACCGAACGAACGCGTTACCTACCCAGCAGAGACATTCGTGCCACGTGATCAGTTACAGGTGACATCACTGACATGTCTAACCTAGGTACCTTGTAGTTAGTCTATCAATCACATGACCACATTCCAACAATTGTAGGTTAGCTCAATACCAGGAAAGTCACGATGCATCAAACACCTCAAAGTCAAGAATGCAAGTAAACTCTTGTAAATTGTAGAAAAAAAAAATGTTGTATGCCATTTCTTTATGATCGCCAAATACTCCTTTATAATTCCATGCATCCTTCCTTCCATGCGTTCCATCCAACCATTCCATTACACACATACAAGGTACCTAGTATACCCCCAAGGTGCCTCTCTGCATGTCCCGAAAGCACACATGCACCCTTTATTCTAACTCTTTGGTATCGAAATCGAGAAAAAAAAAAAAAAGAAAAAAAAAGCAAATTCTTTTTAGTACATCACATCACATCATCTCATGCAATCCCATCCCTTGATCAACAAAACGTCTAAAAGTGAGGCGCATTGAGGAACAGGCCCATGAGCACACCACCCAGGGTACCCGCAATCGGGATCGTTGCGATCCACGAGAGCAGCAGAAGCCCAACTCGCTGGAAGTTGACCGCCTTGAGGGTGCCGTTGCAAAGACCGACGCCCACGGTAGCGCCCGTGATGCACATGGAAGTCGAGACGGGGAGCGAGTACTGCGAGAACACGAGCACCGTGATAGCGGCGCCCATCTCCATGGACGAGCCTCGGCTGGGGGAGTGGTAGGTGATCTTGTTGCCCATGACCTTCATGATGTTGTATCCGTACGTGATGAGGCCGATCGAGATCATGGCGGACAGGACCGCGAGCTGCCAGACGGGGACGGTGGCCTTGGAGGCGGCGACGCTGCCGGTGGACCAGGCGGAGTAGATGACGGCCCAGGGGCCGACCGAGTTGCCGATGTCGTTGGCGCCGTGGGCGAAGGACGCGGTGCAGGCCGTCAGGATCTGGATGAAGGAGTACGTGTGCTCGACCTCGTTGGGGTACTTCTCGGCGTGCGCGTACACGCGCTGCATGCGCTTGCCCTCGGGGGTGCCCGCCAGCCCGCTCTGCGCCGCGTGGATGTCGTAGTGGAAGCCGTAGAGCGCGCCGCACACGATGGTCGCCGGGATGCGCTTGCACAGGATCTTCATGTTGCTCGTCTCGTAGATCTCGCCGGGCCCCATCGGGTTGTCGCGCAGCGTGCGCATCGCCCAGCCCATCGGCCCGCGGCTCTCGAGGAGTTTTGCGTGGAGCTTGCTCTCGCCGTGCGCCATGATCTCCTTGTAGGTCTCCTGCTTGGCCTCGACGGCGACGAGGTTCTTCTCGTGGTCGCCGGTCTGCGTGTGGCTGTCGGAGATGGATTCGGGGGAGCGGGTGGAGGAGGCCTGGTCCTCGTCTTCCTGGATGACGGCGTAGTTGGGGACGGCGGCGCGTTCGGAGACTGCGACGGCGGGGCGCTTGAAGAGGAGAGGGCCCTGGAGGAACATGTACCACTTGACGGAGTGGTCTTTGCGGATGACCTTGGCGTGTACGAAGGGGACGAAGAAGAGAGCGGACAGGATCGCGATACCACCACCACAGCCCATGGTAACAGCGGCGACGTACCAGCCGGGCTTCTTGTTCAATCCTAGGTTCGGGGAGCCCTTGTAGACGATGGACAGGGTGCAGACGGTGCCGGCGATGAGGAAGAAGAACGGCGAAGTGTAGACAGCCCAGCGGACGGGGTTCTTGCGGACATGCACGACGAGCTTGATAAGCATGAAGATGGCGGCGCCGAATCCACCAGCGATGCAGGGCGCCATGCCGAGACCTGCGAAGATGGCACCGAGACCCTTACCACCGTTCCAGCCCCACTGGACCTTGGAGGCGCCGACGGTCGCAACACCGACACCAGCGACGGCGGAGATGAGAGAGTAGGTGGAGGAGACGTGGGCGGAGTGTCGTGTACACCACATCACCCATGAAGAGGCGGCGATGAGAGCGCAGGTGAAGGCCATCATCTGAACACCGGCGTTGTCACCGAAGGAGTCGTTGGGGATGATGCCGTTCTTGATTGTCTCGGCGGTACGAGCGCCGACCGTGATAGCTCCGAGCATTTCGAATATGGTGCCGAATACCATGGCTTGTCTGTAAGTGATTGATCGGGACGAAACACTGGTGGCCCAGGCATTTGCAACATCGTCTATTAAGATGGTTAGTATCAAGACTCTTTATCATCTCACTAACACACGTTGGTGTGTATAGAAGATGATCTTTCGAGGACTGTTGATCAACTTACTTGCTCCATTGTTGTAGGCATCGAGCATGGCAAACAGTGTGCCGATGACAAAAACGTATGTGTACTGTTCGAGAACCATTTTGGCGGTTCAATGAGAGAATGCTCCTCGGTATCGATGTCGATGGTCGATGCCTTGAAGGTAAGTAGTTACTGCTTATCAGAATCAAGGGGTAAGAGGAAAGAAGGAGAGGAGGAGGTTGTATTATATATCTCCCTGGAATCCTATCTCCGTTCCTAACCTTAAACACTAACTTCCTATCTCTTAATGGATTCACCGAGGGGAAATTGAATTTACGGGTATAGCCCGAAGGTAACTAAGTAAACTAACGGCGTTGGCTACTAGGGAAAGTTAACTTCACTTTTTTCTATGGTAGCATGCCGCGAAAGGATGATGTCTAGCGTATCTAAAGTAAGCCACTTTTCTCGCGTCCCCTAAGAAACTAAAGTATACACATAGAAAGGTAGAAAGCCAAAAGGCTAACCAACCCTCTTTGCCATTGAGGCAAGGACAAGAAAAAAGTCCCAGGGAAGCTTGTTTCGCTTGTCATTGTCTAAGCAGGTTGACTAACTTGGCGCAGCTTGGCACGTCCAGAGAGGGACATCTCATAGTATCAATATCGGACCTGATATGTGAGAGGTAGGCAATTGTTGACGATGGTTCGCTCTGGCTCGCGGCGTGTTCACGGCTGAGGCTCTTGGCGGAAGACAGGCCCCCAGCATACCCCGGAGAGCCCATCGTCCAATGAATGGTGTCAAATACCCCACGTGGATGGATCTGCCGTCGTGAGCGGCTTAATATGGAGCCTCGCAACCCTTGTCGGATCCAGTCGCCCGGGCACTTACAGGCAAGGGGCTGTATCAGCAGCTGGACCACGGACCAACCAAGATCTTGGTAGGAATCTGAGAGCAGTAAGGACCTGCTGTTTCGTTTTGCTGTAGTGGAAAGGTTCTAGATTAAAGATTGCTGTGAAGTAACTACATAATATGTTGACATAGTATGTTGGTTGTCTAATCCAGCTGGTGCTACAGTACTACAGTCAGCATGGATAGATAGTATTAGATACGCATATACTCCAATTAAATCAACATCCTTTTTTTCAGCTCTTGCGTCACTCATATGAAATCATCTCCTTGCCATCGTACCCTCGCATAGAATTGAATTTGACGTCGTATCATCCGAATTGAATTCAACAACCTCCAATACCCTAGGTCTAAATACACGTTGAGCTTATTCATACTAAACTGGTCTTAGTGTCCGTTAAGCTGCAGCCTGTCTTTTCGTAGCTTAATGCGCTTCAGCTTTTAGTGCCCTGGGCATCTATCTTCCAAGGCTTATGTACCACAGGTATTAACATATCCTAAAACTGACAAGAAAAGACCCAAGAAAAATTTTCCAGGGCCTAAGGGATGGGTGGGCGAGTTACACGTTACATACTCGAAAGGGCTCCAGGGCTGTCTGTCGGTCATACATACATAAATAACTTTGAAGCACGTGGGGGGTGGTGGTGACAAGATTCAAGCCACCAAGATGTTTCGAAGTAAAACGCCATTGGCGCATAACATTATGCTTCTAAATGTGAGGTCGCTGCTTGTTTCAATGTTTTGGTTTTATGTAAAAAAAAGAAAAAAAAATGCCAAACAAAGATAAAAATAGCCATTGCTTGAGGTAGGTGTATTCCTCGGAGGTAATGCGATCTTCGTTCGTTCGACCCGTTGCCAAGTTTGCCATCGTGGGCAGATTTGATTCCTGCGATGTGCAAGAATTGGTAAAGAAAAAAAAAAAGGCATCAAAAATTTCAAGGAATATCTTCACGAAACGTTTGGAGCACGTGTATCGTATCAACAGCAACACGTGCGCTCTTCTACGTTGCAAAAAGGTCCAGGGCCAAGGGATCAAAGGGATCAGGTCCCCAATTTAGTCCCCTCTTTAGCAGGTTAGTTAGACCGAGCCGCTCGTACGGTGGGTGGGTATAGTGACGAATGATTCTAGAACTTCTTTGATGTTTAAATCTTTATAGTAGATGCCTCCCGAAGCTAACTTCGGAGTACTAGTCGGTTTATAGAAGTTATTTTGCAATTGGAGTTTGTGAACATTGCGTTGACAGCGCGGAGAGAGGTAAGGCTCAGAACTATTGATGTCACTGGGCTGAGTTGACAGAATACCCGCGGATATGCTCCCTCGTTTGAGCAACTGGGACCTCCGAGGATCAAGTCAACCCCTTACATACCGAGGTACTCACGAGAAACCATATTTCCAGGTTGAATCCTAACCAAACGAAGCAATGCCAGAGAGGCGTGTACATTAGCGTCCTATCGAGATCGGCCTTAAACATCTTTAAAACTCTTTCGCCAACACCAAGTCTATACATCTGCATACCATCAGCCCTTTCTACCCGGCCGAGTTCGATCATGCTTCTGGAAAAGAAAAAAAAGCTCCCATCGATCCAGACTCGTCCGATATGACTCGCCAATGCAAGTAGCTCGTATCCCCGCGAAGACCAACAAATACAAGCGGGAAACTAGGAAGCAGCTCGAATCAACGCCGGCATATTTGACTAACCTAACCTAGGCCAGTACCTACCTACCTACCTACCTCCCTCCCTAGCTACTCACATCGCTTCAGGAAAAAAAAACAAACACCCAGGCATAAAACTATTTATTTGCCCGTGGACTTATAAATAAGCCTAATTCAATGTAGCTTAGCTAGGAGATATGCACTATACTATAACAGGGGCTAAGAAAGGAAAGCCCCCAGGGCTAAGAAAAGAAATAGTGTAAACCCTTATATTTTTCCAACCTAGGCTCTTTAGGCTCTTACCCTTTCCAGACCTGCAAAACAAGCTGAATCCAAGGCGTCGGGTGTATAGCTTGATACTAGTTGATAGGCTAGTTGCTTTGAGCTGGAACCTCTCAACGTCCAGCTTCGTTGCCCGTGTCATACCAGGGCTAGGAACGTGGCACTGATTCGGCAGCTCGTAATCGGAATTGTTAAGGTCGTATGATGGAGGTGCTGAATATATCGACAAAGGCTATCAAATGATTACCAGGCCACTGCGGGTGCAAGCCATCCCAAGAGGTTGCGGGCTAGTGGCAAGTGATGCTACGCTTCCATTCTTTTATCAGGAGACCCTTTGGAGATCGGATCAACATACATCCATTATTCGACTCCTGGTCTTTCATATGGGATGGTTGCTTTATTATTTGTTGTTAGTAGGTGCTGGCGATTTTTCCGTTCCCGTTGTTGCGTTAGTTATCAGGTATGTTGCCCCTGAAGTCATCGTACTCATACATGTCTATAGGCCTATAACATCTATAATAGCGATTACTTACCTATATTCCCATGATCGTTGCGTTCGATATATTGTGTTTAAGGCAGCTTATTATAGATTGCATGAATATCGTCATGACGTACAATTGCAATAGTCTCCCGAGGTCTGTCCATGCACAACGACTCAACAACGTCGTTCCTGGGCACATGGTAGGGAAATATCGGATACGACGCAACTAGAAACGACCATAACCTGATATCCAGGATAATGTCTCTCGAATACAATAAGAGATGCTGCTATAGTACTCATAATGCTCGAACACAACCTTTCCTATAGAAAACGGTGACCCCCCTTTCAGGGGCAACGAAGAATGTCGACACCTATTACTCGTCACGAGATCTATATCCACGTCGCAAACCGTGGACCCGAGCAGCACTCCTTCCCCCCTAGGCGGTTTTACCAAATCTTTAGTCCTCCAACTTTGTTGGGTAGGCTGCCGGGACAGGGCGTTCTGTTCAGCCCACTCGAGAACCAACACTTTATTCAAGGAACCTCGGACCATGAACATCATCTACAAGGTGCAGAAGCTTTGTTGTGGGCCAGATTATCAGCATTCATTCCACGGAGACAGCGGTGGCCAAAGCACAGCACCAGGAACAACTTCTACTCCAATCCTAGGGTAACTACCTACCCCCATACACCTCTATGTTGGATCGAACTATCCGGTGTTTCTTACCGTCAACATCACGACGATACCTAGATATGATATTTTGGATGCGTTCAAATTTAGCATTAACCGGTAGGGTCCCAGGTGTATTATTGAAAATTTAATTTAATTCACATATCGCTACCCAGATAAGTACCCAAAGCCACGACCCATCCACTCACTCATCCACGGCAAAAGAATGTCCCACCACATTCTACCCTTCTCCGTTCCCAGTTTCCCCAGCATCCTCTCCGTTTCTTTCCTTCTCTTTATATGTACACGCAAATTTGGGGGAAAATACAATACGACAATTGAAATGCACGACTGGGTCGTGCATCACGCAGACACAGCGTAGAGGTGTGTGTGTGGCTATATCATGCCACACAGTCGACGACCGCAGGCGTCCTGCGGGAATTAGAAGGATCTGTGGTTAAGCATGTTAGATTATGCACATATTTTTTTATTCATTTTTCCTTCTCACAAAAGGAATTATTCCACATACCTTATATATATCCCCAGAAAAAAATAAGAAGCGCACCAAATTGCAGCTACATCCTCGCAGCACTCCGAGACGGAACAGAGGCACTCCCGCTCATGGTCTCGGAATCGAAGGACGGCTGCGGCGAGGAGTTGCGCGAGGACGGCGACCGGTGCGCGGCGGCGTTGAAGCCGGGGAGCCGGTAGCCGTCCAGTCTGCTGGCGCTCTGCAGCGAGAAGGGCCAGACGAAGCGGGATTTTCGGCCGGATGAGTCGAACGATCGGGAGGAGAATAGCTGAGGCATGGTTTTTTTCTTTGTCTCTTTGCCGCTTTCTCTGATATTATATTATGTATTATATTATATTGTATTGTTTCTCCTCGCGGGTTCTTATATTTCTGGATTATTCTTCTTTTCCTTTTTTTTTTTTTTTTTGGTCTTTGGTTTCGGTTGAAAGTTTTATTTTCTTTCTTTCTTTCTCTTGGTGGTTGAGGCAAAAGATTTCTTGGAGTTGTTTCTTTCTTTGTTACTTTTCACAAATCGTGAGATTCGATCGTAGAGGCAGGCGTAGGTGGAGAAGGACATCTGCAGAAGATGGATCGAGAACAGCCATTGTTTATAAATGGGCAGGGAACGAAAAACAAGGGGTAAAGAGGAAACCCTACTGGTGTTGGGGGCGATCCAGTCAGGTGGTAAATCCGAGGAAACCTGTCTTACTAACCACTAACCGATGTCTGACGGGTTGGATTTGGGGGCGAGGGAAAGGTATGTAAGCCCGTCATTCGACACAAGGTCCTACATACGTGAGTGACATCGTTCACATCTAACCGATTTTGGTGTGCATGGGAGCCCTCGGTTGTGTCATTGGCTGAGCAATCTGCATAACTTAACCGAAGGAACTTTTACGATGATCTGAGAGAAATAGAACGCCACAAAAACATTCCACGACCGCAGCTTAGCCACCCCAGGATCGAGCCAATGGCTATATGCCACATCCGCTTGTTTCTCCTCTCTCAGCTTATATACATATAGTTTCCTGCATATGCAGTGCAGCGCAGTGCGGCCCGCGCGTAACTCTTATTTTTTTGCAGTATGGAAAGAGCGGAGAGACGAAAATGGCGAAGGGGCTGTAGGAAAATATCACCCAGAGCCTGCTTCAAGTATGCAGGAAGCCATTGAGGTATATACCTAACCAGGTATCTAGAATGGTGGACGCAAGGCAGTATTATCGTAATATCTAGATACCTAGGTAGGTAGGGACAGTAGCAAGATAAACAAGGGGTCACTCGAAATGACGGTGCTGAGGCTCTGTGAGGTGGTAGACCTCCCCTCTTCTCCCCATTCCCACCCTCGGAAAGAAAATGTGAGATCGTATAACGATTGGAGTCCCAAGTTTTCCCTGAAATCCTGCCGTCCGTGCCTTTCACCGTAGACTCGACTTCCCCTTAACTCGATAGATACCTGCGTAACCTAGTTTAATTCTACACCATGGTATTTTTACAGGTGGGGTTCTACACCATCACCATCCTGGCGGCCTGCAAAGTGCTTCTCGTCAGTGTCGAGATCTACGTCACAATCCGGAAGCCCAAGGCTATATTCCTAGCCTACTTCGGGTACGCCTCCGCCTTCCTGGCTCTCGTCCTCGGCTGCATATCGTTCGCGGGCGTGCGCGCGAAGCAGGCGGACGAGCCCGAGCAGTGCGAAAATGCAGACGCGGATATAGTAGGGGACGGGGTGCGGGCGGCCGCCTGGACGCAGGTGGGTATACTGTTTTTCATCACGCTCACGGGCATCTTCCACTACTACAAGACGGCGGTAAAAGAGATCGGTGGCGGCTTGATCATCACCCACGTGTCATTAGCTATTGCCCTCCTTGTCCCCTTGGCGCGTCATGAACTATCTCCTATCGATGCCATATTAGGGTCGTTGATTCTCGACGCCCAGGGGAACTCCCTCTCCATTCAATTGGTCACCAAGGAGACTCTAGCAGCGCGGTGGCAAGTAGGCATCGTTCTGCTTGCGCAGGTGCTCGGACTAGTCATAGAAGGCGTCCTCGTCGGGAGCTACACTACCAACCTGCTGCGTACCACGGACTGCAACTGCTTCTCGGTCTTCTGGTGGGCATGGTTCAGCAACTGCGCGTCGGTCTCGCCGAACGAGATCGAGCCCTTTTGGATTTACTTTGGCTATCGCTTCATCAACATCTTCCACGTCTCCTTCTACGCCATCACGCGCGCCAAAACCTTCGACGACGCCGACAAGTGGGACAGGGAAAACCCGTGCGACCCATGTGATCGCTGCCGTGGCGGGCGCGCTAATGTCTTCTGTCGATGTCACCCCTGCGAGCAGTGTCGCTATTGCAGGGTGTGTAAGAGACGGGCTCGCTGTCACGCACACCAGTCCATTCCTCCCATACAGAACCCCTTTAACAGCGCCATCGTGCGCTGGAACGAAAAGATCTGCAGGGATTGCAACTCGTGTAAGACGTGTGGACATAGCGATCTGGACGGGGGTTACTCGGTACTATTACTGGGCGAGCGGTTCTCCGAAGCCCCAGTCACAGTCAGCGCCAACTTTCTGGAGAGTAGCGTGTTGGCACTGCTAAGCATGGTCTCAGCTGAGGTCACAATGAGCGTGAACATGGTGCAAAAGACATCTCCGTTATACGCAGTTGGGCAAGTCACCGCCCTAATAATTGCTGGGGGGACAGCTGCTCGGGCTCTTTGGGTCTTTGTGTATATGTTTGATGGAAAATCTCGTAAGTTGAACCCTCTCTAATGGTTCTGATAACCTAAATCGCTAACAGCACTACCCTAGATTCTGGATATGATAATAAATAATATACATACATATATTTATGTTAGGCACATATATAAACGCGAGGCAAAAAGAAGAGCATAGCAGGTTATGGAAAGGAAAATCAGGTATTACGTTGGTGGGAAAATATCTAGGTAAACAACTCCGGGGTTTGGGTAGTAGGCATTTGACCTTTGCATTTTCAACCGTATTATCATCACTGTATATACATACCAATGAGTCACGATGGATGTTGCTACGAAGTAACGATTCTATGAAGGTGAAAAATAAGAACTTTTTCTACATCAGCACTCCCTAACAGCCTAACTCTCAGCTCAGTTAACCCTCGCCTCTACATGAGTCACCCCCCTGATCACCCCTAACGACCAACTAACTCACTATCAAGGTAGGCGGCAGCCACATAAAAATCGCCCCCGAAGAAGAAGAAAATAGGATGAAGAACAGACAAGTGAAATATAGCGTGACGAAGGGAAATATGCATTTCCTACTTTAGGCAGTATTCATCAGGTACTGACTATATAGATCTCTGTGAATGGTTCTATGTATGTACAATGTACATACCTATCCATTGCCTTACAACAAATAACTAATCAAATACGGCACCGAAGATAGGTAAGACAGAAGAGACTTCTGATAACCGTTGCCCTGTTGGATGACTTAGCAAGTACACACATACATATCTGTATATATCACCGACACAGTAAACAAATGCCAACAAATACCAACCAACCAAAAACGCAAAAGAAAAAAAAATCAGGAAGCCTTAAAGCCCTAACATACTGCCCAATAAGAACAACACCCCCAAAGTCCCTAATCAAATAATCACCGCTACGCACGTGGACCAATGCCCCAAAAGAAACAATCTAGAACGCGGCAGTGAACGGGGCTGTACCTACATACAGCTGAACCGCCTTGCCCTGCCTTTCTTTTCCATATGTATGTAAGGCTCTTCCATACAATACATCGCTAGCCTAACGTAGCCCAAACTAGCCTAAAAGCGTATGGCGAGCCGGTATGTCGGGTATGCGCATGCGTTGTAATTATGTAACCTAACGACATCTGTGTTTTGGTTGGCCTAACAAAACCATTGTTCAACTTCCAAGTTGTGAGTGAATGATAGTTTCGTCTTACCACGATATCCTAGAAAATGACCGAATGACTGGCTGACCAAATGGATGGATGGATGAATGACTGAAAAACATAATGATAAATCAATAGATAGGGCTGTGTTGCCTCATCATCATCAATCATCAATCACCATCATCGCCCCTATCTACCTCGTGCCTAAACCTACGTAGACTCACAGGTTGAAAATTCAAATCACAAACCACAACTCCCAAAACAACATCACATGTCCAAACACACCTAGGCATCAAAAAAAACAATACTCCATCCGGACATCCCGAATCGTTAATTGTGTTTCTTTCTTGTGATTCTGTAAATACACATGACGCAAGGTATAAGTAAGCTCTAAGCTAAGCTACAGCAAAGCCGTATCATATAAGACATGCGGATCGGAATAACGGATACCTTAACCTATGTGATACTGTACTCGGAAGACAAGCAGACAGACGTTGGATGGATCGATGGACCGAGCCCCCCTTCTTTTCTTTCTTCATACACAACAATAACTCTCTAAACGCCTTTATGCAATGCAATCCCGTTTCTAAAAAAAGGAAAAAAAAGACAAAAAGTGAAAAAAGACAAGGTGGAACAATAGCCATCGATCATGGGTAATCCTGAAGAGTTCATGGGGGGTGGGGGAATCATCTACCGCCAAATGCAACGAGGCTCCTATACCTCTGGGTGATCCAACGTGTCCAGCGGGACGTATCCTTCGTCTTTCCTCGTCCGTTTGCCTAGTACCGCACCTGCAAAGTCTTGGGCCCGGCTGACGATAGCATCCAAGCCCCAGCCGCGGCCGCGCTTCTTAAGCCCGCCCTTATCCGCAAGTAGAGCCTCTTCCATCCACTGTGGTCGTTTCCAGAATTTCAAAAGCAGGGAGCTCACTACGACGCTGACGCTGCTGCATGCCATAGCAGCGCCGGCGGCCATGGGGTGTAGATGCCAGCCAATCGGTAGGAATAGCCCCATGGCGAATGGGAGTCCGACGATGTTGTATAGGCATGCCCAGGTGAGGTTAAGCTTGATGCGCATGAAAATAGTACGAGCAAGATGTAAAGCCGCGGGAATATCCATAAGGTCGTTAGGACGCATTAGCACAACGTCGGCAGCTTCCATAGCAACATCAGTGCCACTAGACATGGCTATACCAACATCGGCCGTAGCCAAAGCAGGGGAATCATTGATGCCATCACCGACCATGGCGACGCACTCGCCTTGCTCTTGGATTTGTCGGATAATGGCCTGCTTTTGGTCTGGTGACACTCCGGCATAGACGTCATCGTGAGAGATACCAACCGCAGAAGCAACAGCTAATGCAGTTGAAAGTTGATCACCGGTAACAATTGCAGTTTTGACTCCCATAGTATGCAGCACAGCAATGGCTGCTGCTGCCCCTTCCTTGATCGTATCAGCTAAACATAGGTGACCGGCATATTTTCCATCAATAGCAATAAATACGTTTGTCGTTCCAGCAGAAGACGATTTCGTCTTGTTCGTCTTCGAGTTGATCTCTTCTGAGGCCTCAACGGCGTCTTCCGGAACATCGACCTTGTTCTCCCGCAAGAAGCGTACACTGCCAACGAGCACATTGTAGCGAACACGTTCCGCACTCGTAGACGGCTCGACACGCGCGGTAATACCCCGTCCCACGACGGCGTTGAATTCACCAATGCTGCCATCAATGCCCGCTTCAGCATCTAAGCCAAGCTCGTTACGTGCGGCTGCTAGAATAGCTTTGCCGACCGGATGTTCACTGCCCATTTCAGCCAGCCCTACGACCGACCACCAGAGACGTCGTCGCCATTGATTGTCTTGCCAGACGGATGGCATCTTGATGCTCGCAACGCTCATTTTACCGTATGTAATGGTGCCTGTCTTATCCAGAACGACCTTAGTGATTTTGGTCGTCGTCTCCAACGCTGCACCGCCTTTGACCAAAATACCATTTTCCGCGCCTATGCCTGTGCCAACCATCACTGCAGTTGGTGTTGCCAACCCGAGGGCGCATGGGCAGGCAAACACAATTACCGATATACACAGCTTGACGCAGACCATCAACTTGCCACCACTTTCGGCTTGTAAGAAGATCTTTGGCGGGTTGGTAAGGACATGGCTAAGAACCATCCATACGAAAAAGGTGAGAAAACCCAAAACTAAAATCGTCGGTACGAAATAGCCAGCAAGCATGTCGGCTAATCGTTGAATGGGAGCCCTGGTGGTTTGGGCATCTTGTACCAGCTTCACAATTTGACTTAGTTGGGTGTCGCGGCCCGCTCTCGTCACGCGGAAGTCGACCCGACCATGCCCATTGACGGTTCCACCGATCACATGGCTTCCCTTCTTCTTTTGGACAGGAATGGCCTCTCCAGTAACCATGCTTTCGTCCACATACGTTTCACCTCGCACAATGATGCCGTCGGCCGGGATCTTATCGCCTGGGCGGATGATCACAATATCGCTGACTGAAATGAGTTCAGTGGGAATAATCTTCGCCTCCGCTGCATTGCCATCACGCGCCGGTGTCTCTGGCTTTCCCGAGTCCCTAATGGTATCCCAACCCTCGGCGGCCTTCTCAGCGGCGATCGGATCCGCATATATAGTGGCCATAGATGGGGCCAGGGACATGAGTCGCGAGAGGGCCTTCGACGTCTGGCCCTTCGCGCGGTTCTCTAAGAATCTACCGAGGGTAATAAATGTAATGAGCATAGTGCTAGTATCGAAAATGGTGCTTGGCCGAGTGTGCGGCGGAATCAAAAAAGAAACCAGCATAGTTAGTGTGCTGAAGAAAAAAGCAGCCGAAGTCCCTAGAACGACGAGGACGTCCATGGTAGGGGATCTGTGTTTGATAGATTTATAAGCTGAAACGTAGAAGCGCTTGCCTATGCCAAATTGAATGGGTATCGTTAGAATCAAGCAGATGATATCGCCTAAGAAAAGTCCCGGAAGGAGTTGTAACCCTCCGAAGTCTAAGATGGGAATAGCCATGGGGAAAATCATGTTAACGAAGAAGACGGGCACAGCGAATGCTAATGAGATCTGGAATGCTCTCCTCCATTCCTGGATCTCTCTCGTCTTTGCCAAGGATTCTAGTTGTGCGTCGTTATCATCGTTGTCGGCAACCAAGGCATTGAATCCTAATTTCTCTACCTCCTCAACGAGCGTACGCAGACCTGTTACTGTCGGTTGGTGGGCTATGGTGAGTCTTGAGGTGGACAGACTCAGCTTAGCAGAGCTAACGCCAGGAAGACTGAGCAGTGTGTCCTCAATAGATCTGGCGGCCGAAGCATCCGGATTTCCAAATATCTTTAATTGAGAGGTCGAGGACGTGGTCGAGTGCTCCGATGTATCAAGCTGCGTTGAGATGATTTCGGCACCAAAACCCCTATCCTCAATAATTTCTGCAATTTGCTCAGGGGTTAATTTTGTCGTGTCATGAGCAATAACAGCCCGCTCAGCCAATAGACTGATGTTGAATCGCAGTAACCCATCTAAGCCGGTAAACCCTCCTTCTACAGCAGAGGTACAAGCACCGCATGTCATACCCTGGATCGCAACGGTGGTTATAGCAATAGATGACTTCGTCTCGAGGGTTGCTGCTCCTTCTATCCTGTCTGGTTTAGATTCTTCGCTAGATATTATAGTCGCGCCAAATCCACGATCTTCCATCATCTCTACAATCTTGTCGGCAGGCAGTAGGCTGGCGTCATGTTCCACCACAACTCTTTCGGAAAGTACTGATACGTTGAACTGCTTTAACCCTGGTACATCCGCGAAACCACCTTGAGCCGTTGATTCAAAGTCGCCATACATCAAACCCTCGACAGCAATCGTAGTAATAGTGGTGGGTGGCTCGTCGCTGGCACCATCTATGGTATTGAATCTCGGGGTTGGCAAAGGAGTTGGCAAATCTGTTGCTAATATTTCTGCCTCGAATCCACGGTCTTCGATGATCTCCTGAATTTGTTCGGCGGGGGTTCGTTGGGGATCGTGCATTACTACGGCGCGTTCCATGACCAAACTCACTGACACGCTGCCAACTCCATCGACGCCTTTGAAGCCTGCTTCAACGGCCGAAGTGCAAGCACCACATCTATCAGCAAGTTAGTATTTAGGATATAGACTTAAGTCATAAAAATGATTAGGGGTCGTACGTCATGCCACCCACTCTCAGAGTGGTAGTAGCCCATCGGGGAGCTGCCGGACTCTGTAAATAAGATCCGGACTGTCCCTTTGGGGGCACCTTGATATTTGCTGGAGCCATGGTTGTTGAGGTGCGCAAGGGCGCAAGGGCGCAAGAATTGGAAAGTAGATCAGAATAAGCGCAGGCTACGTTGCTAAAAGACAGTGTACGTGATATGCGGGTTTCCTAAACAATGGCCGACATGATCCTATTATTCTATGTCATTCCCGGAAGACAAAGAGGAAGTGTGTATGTAACAAACACTTGGGGCAAAGGGAAGTTGATATGATATTGCACCAGCGCCAGGCGGGTAGAGGGGTGGAAGGGGCGGAAAGGGTGGAGGGTGAGAGTATATTAAAAAGCCGGCTTATGTAGTACCGTGGTGTTGCGTAGGTGTGTTCTGCAGGTTTGCGGCAGACAATCGCAAAAAAGGAAGAATTAAAGACGAGAAGTCGAACGATCCAGTAACTGTTCGGGGATGGGAGGGTTTGTAAGCTTAGATACGACTCCACACTAGACCGGGGTTACGAATCAATCTAATCTGAATCAGGTAACTTTAACGGTGTTAATTCGAGAAGATGACTGTGTGGGATTAAGAGAATTAAGTGTAGATGGGGCCTATAATTTAAACAGTGCGGCGCATTACGGATAAACGTTGTTTTTTTACGATATGTACCTGGGAATGTACCTGGGAATGTACCTGGGAATGTACCTAACCCAACTTAGTAGCTACATGTAACTGGAGTGAATCACAACATGGAAGATGCAACCAAATAGGAAGGTATGGTAACTTGAGAGACTGGGCGATTCGATGTGATTGACGGTTTTGAGGTAATCCCGGTATGGATCTTGGTTGGCATCTATGAGTCGGTTAAGAATTGGGACAGATACGAGGAATTCCAGAATCCAGTGTTCTACATGTACCTAGTAGGGAGTAACTAACATGTATCTGTGGAATAATACCTAGTAGGCTGCAAGTATTGAAACATGCGTTGTAGGCCTATGCCGATTAAAGCTTTCGGGGCGTTCGGACCGCCCAGAATATTAAAGACAATTTAAAATTTAATACCAAGATGAACCTGGACCAAGTTATAGGAGCAGAATAGGATACAAATGAACCGGCAAATGTGTTTATTTGAAATACTATGATACGCTTTGCGGCATGGTATGATATAGTGCTGATATTTCATGTTTATTTCCATTGTTTGATATTACAAAACACAGTTAGCATTAGACGGTACAACATTGAACAAGGCATTATTATCCGTTGAATGCATTTTGTTGTATTCCATATGATAAGATAAGAACATTTGACATTACGGCGTACATGTAGTAACTTAGCGGCGTTTAAGTCATTATAGGTAGATACATTGGTACACATAGGTACTAACTAGTAGTACTAGGGACCGCTTTTAAAGCTCAAACAATGATGATACAGGCACCACTTTCACGTTTACATCAATGCCAAGCATCAGCGAATCATATCCTCACTCTACACTCTTGATCCCTCTTGAACCTTGGTCGAACCAACCCCAGACGTTTCGATTGTTTCTTTCACTCCACATAATACCACACCTATTATCTAGCTGCCTAGGTGATAGAGTATTAATCTATTATTCTAACGGTACTCATTCAAGACAAGGCTAGTCGATCAAGAAGCTTAACTTCAGGTACCTGGTTAGATGTAGTCTGACGTCGTTCCTACATACCATTAACCGTTACAACGAGCAACATTGAACAAGCCTGCCTGTCTTCACCATGGAGCAGACAAAAGCACTCAACGCTCTAGAGGTGTGATTACGTCTTATGTTAAACCCCTAATACATAATGAGTACATAATAACTAACGACGTCAATAGCCCTACATAGCTCTCACCAAATCCGCATCTGCGCTCCGAGCAGCTGCAGATCTGGTCACGCAAGCGACCTCAAACCCCAACACCCACGTCTTCGCCGAACTACTCCAGGCCCCTCAAATCCAGGCACTCAACCAGTCACCCGAACATGCTCCTTACTTCACACTCCTCGAGATATTCTCTTACGGCACCTTCGCCGATTACCAGCAATCCGCATCCGCTCTCCCAAGTTTGAACGACGCTCAGATACTCAAGCTACGCCAACTTTCACTCTTAACCCTCGCCCGCGACCCACATAACCTAAGCTATGCCACACTACAGGACAACCTCGGGCTCCCCGACGCCCGTGCGGTCGAGAACCTCGTAATCAGCGCTATCTACGCCGGCCTTGTGGAAGCTCAGCTCGACCCTCGCCACCAAACCGTCCAGGTCTCCAGCGTCTCCCCCCTCCGCGACCTCGCGCCTAACTCTATCCCGGACATGCTAACTGCACTGCGCACTTGGTCCGGCCGCTGCACCTCCACACTAGCCGATCTCGAGGCCCAAGTCGCCGGCATCCGGGAGGCCGCGCGCCTACGCCACGAGGAAGCCCAAGCTTGGGAACAGACACAGGCACGGCTGGTGGAATCGCAGCGCGGAGCCGACAACAACAGCACCTCTACGGGCGCCCATAGTCATGGCCAATCACGGCTCATAGACGCGGCAGTCGCGCGCCTCCGCTCCGGTCCGCGCAATGGCAAGCGGAGCAGTGGCAGCCTAGACCCAGAACAGGACTCCGACGAGGCGATGGACGTGGACGAGGAGGAGCCGGATGATACCGAAGCTGGTGCCGGGAGCCAGGGCAAGAAACAACGGGCAAGCCGTCGGAAGCTCTAGTAAGCCATCGGGGCGCAAGCTTATTAATCCAAGTTGTTTTAGCACTGCGTTGCATTCTTCTTAGTAGCTTAGAGGCGAAGGAGCCAGACACGCAACACGCAACACGAAATCAACGGCACAGCAATAGTTTACGGCTAGCTAGCCATGCTACAGTAGCTAACGCTAATGAATGAATGAATGAATGAACGAAAGTAGATGGATACGAATTGCGGCAGAACCACTAGCTAGCATAGCTACCTCACCTAGCTACTTACCCAGCTACCAAAATAGGTACCTAGATAGAAATGAAGACAGCCCTACCAGATGAACAAATATCCCATCCTAACCTAGGCCGTTGGCTTGCTACATACATACATGCCTACGTGCAAACCTACGTACATGCATACGTACCACGCTGCCCACACTCCCAAAATCCAGACCTTATCCACCGGATCCATAGCGGAGATTAGGAACAGTAAATAACTAACTACATACCTAGTTCTACAAAAGGCGAGGCAGAGCACTATTAGCCTAACCTAGAGCCTTAGGTAGCCTACCAAGCTGAAAAAGACGGTACTAGGTAGAGAGTTATGTATGGACATACTTACTTATACTTAGCAGTACGCAGAATCCCAAAATAAAGGCATTCCTTGTGAAGTGTGTACAGTCCTGAGGGATATGTTTGGCGACAGGAGCCTACCTACTGTCTACTGTCTACTGTCTACTGTCTACTGTCTGCATGGTACATATGTTGCTTTGTATAGCGTCTACAAGCTCAAGTTTTTATGTAGAAACCCCTATCTGCCTACCCAATCTTCCTAGGTGGCCAGCAACTATACATGCTCTCATGACAGGGCTGATTTGGTACTCAACATCTCAACATCTCATCATCACAGCACAGCACAACATTCACCAAACCCAGCAAATATCACTGGTAGGGTACACGTAGGTAAAGAAGAAAGCAAGCGGTAGTTAGAATTCGCACCCTCGCGGGTTGGTATATCAACTCCCTCCTCTTACAGCCCCCAATCTCTCTCCTTTCGAAAAGAAAAGCCATAATATCCGGCGAATAGTACGTAGCACCATCCATCCATCCATCTATCGACTCAGTACAAAGGGGGAAAGAAGGGGCATTGCATGGGTTTTTCTCCTCTGATAGCCGTTCATTGTCGATTAGACCGACAACACGGCACTCAAGTTTTCGACAAAACCATTATATGTCCATATCCCTGACACCCCGGAATTTTCCTCTTACACCACACTACATTTCGATAGAGCACCCCCTTTCACTGCAGGGCGAAAAGAAGAAACGAAGTAAAAAAAAGTTGGAAAATGAAAATCGGCTTGCTCGTGCTTGATGGTATCACATTATCCTCCCCGCCCCTCACACACCGGAACAGAGTTTTATTATTCAAGACTTATTTATTTTGAATAAATAAGTCAATCTTTTTGAAACTCTGTGTATTTTGAAACTCCTCGAAAGAAAAATGGTCATGACGTCGTATAGATTGAAAACAGCAATGATGCAATGGATGGTCTTAGATTAATAAAAATCAATCAAGACCATGGCGAAAATTCGATTATGATGTAAACATGCTTATTAAAGCCTGTGTCCAGGCACGAGGATGAACAACACACAGAGTGCTGCATCAACGAGAAGAGTCACAGCTAATACCATGATAGAACGTCGAATCAGCAGCTTGCGCACATACGGTTCTCGAATACGAGTGAATTCAAATGGCGTCAGTTCACTGTAACCGACTAGAGCCATTATAGGGTCCAGTGAATATTGGTAGGAAGCTAGAAAGTAGACACCAATGGTGAATGGTAGAATCTCCTATATTTCATGTTAGATTATCTTCAGTCGAGAATATAAGATGTGAATCATGAGGGATACATACCCAGCATCGTTCCAGGCGGGAACGGTCGAGGAATATCAAGTTAAATCCAGTCCAGAACCCACCGAACAAAGCGACAAGACCAATAATCAGTCGCGCAATGAGGGTAGGGGGGATAAGGTTTCCGAATGCACGAGCTCTCAAGAATCCAGGAAACGCATCTCGCTCCATAGCCTGAAATACGTAGTCCTTAGCAACATCGAATAGCTCCGGGTCATCACGGTTGCCCTCCTCAATTTCTCTGGTGATTGTCGCGGCGATATCACCATCCAGAGTAATCTCACGTTCGGCTCCAGGGAGCAAGAAGGTATAGAGAATCTTCTCAGCAGACGCCCGGATATCCTCTCGGGCTACGGCGTGTTCTGGCGAGGTCGAGTCAGTGACATGATGTGGCGTGCCAGAACTAAGCTGGGTGCTAGCTCGAGCTCTTCGTTCTTGGCTACTAGCCGGAGAATCGTGAAAGGTGCTCGGGGCCGGTTGATCCCGAAGGTAAGTTGAGATCTGTGCATCGCGTTCTTTCTCCTTCTCGTTTCCAAATCTCGAGGGGCCAGAATGGGAATAGCCCAGGTCACCAATCGCATCTAAGGCTCGAGAAGATCTCTTAGACTCTTCTACCTCCAGGTCGGGTGTTCCTACAAGGACAGATCTTCGCAGTTCTCGGACATAATGACGGCAAAGGGACATGTGCTGAGCAACATCAAGCCTTTTGCTTATTAGCAGAGTATACTAGCATCAGCAATTGCCAAGAATACTATACCAGAAGTCAAGATAGTCAACAGAACGCTGCTGATCTCGCATATAAATATAAAACGAGAACAAGTCAACCGGAGGATGCGTACGACGGCAGAGAACCTCGAAGAGTGTGGGTAGGCGATTTCGTATCGTAGCTTCAGGACTAGACGATAGTTGATGCTCCTCCTCGGGCAGATCATCTCCGGGGTACGCCATTGCTATATTGATGAATTAATCAAATAATTATCAAATAAAGTTATTGGCATCCAGAGATCCACCCTAAGTATATCAGCAAACAATTTCGAATCCCCAGTTTGTCTTTCGTTGTTTAAAAGGTCAATCGATACTATCGTGGCTTTCGGTACGTGCGTCGCTTCAAAAGAGTGTCTTTTTTGGTGATGGGAATGGAAACTGCTTGGCGGTGCGGTTGTTATAAATCTGGCGTCGCGTAATATCGATGAATTAAGCAATAAATTGATAAAAATCAAGTTGCCTAATTTTCGTTGCGAAATACAATCGAAACGAATGAAATTGCGCTCGGCGCAGGGTTGATGATTGTATATTCAAAAGATGAAAGGAGAGTATCGGCGTTGGGCGAGAAGCAGAAAACGGGATAAAAAGGGCAACTGTGCAATGTATGATTTTCATCCATGGGGCACCTTCCTTCCCTATGGCGGTTTGCTGTGTACCAGCTAAGTCGGCCGAAGGACGCCTGGGCCACCCGTAGCCAAATTATCAAATTAAACGGGCTGGGAGTACGGGAATACTTGGTGAAACGATACGGGTAATACGTCACCAAACACAATATCGGGATCAAATGGTTTCATAAAGCATTCGAGATCGAATGGATGCATGCATGAAGATAAATAAATGAATTACATTCAGGAACAGGGCCTGAATAAAAGTAGAAATCTTGATTAAACTTGATCGATTTGCTCATGAGATTCTCTACCTATGAGATATCACAAAGTTTCTTTGCATAACTGCGTGACCAGACAATCATATTCTGTGTAGTCTAGACCAAATCAGGATTGTACACATTGCTTAAGCCACAATGCTGCCACATCAACGCAACGTCAATTGGCCATTTCGGCACTTCCTTGGTGCTTCCTTTGGTGGAACCTTGCAAGTTTCAAAGTTGAAGGTTTGATTCCCTGCTTCAACTTGAAGATGGTGACTGATGGTCCTCACTAGCTCAACATCTGGCAGCTAGCTGCCTGTCAGAATCACGTGCAGAAAACTTTGTTCTAAGCCACTTTTCAGGTAACTAAGCCACACCCTAGCCACATGCACAATCCCCCACAAACCAAAATTTGATTTGTTCGCCTAACGAAATTCGTCCCTGCCCTCTCATTTTCCCACATCCAAGTGCTTATTCATTTTTCAATTTCGCAAAGCCAACAACATCACGACCCTGCCACTTTTCCAGATTTTCGACAAACACCCAGACATCAACCCAGTAAGCCAACCACCAACCAACTGGTAACTCCGAATACACGAGACGAATCTCTTTTCAAAATAATTAACATTTCAATTAGCAATGTCGTCGAAAACCAAGAAGCCCGCCGCCACCAAGTCGGCCATCGAGCAGGTCGTGTCCCGCGAGTACACCATCCACCTCCACAAGAGAGTACGTCCATCGTGTGATTTCCACCAAGATCTGAAAACTCTCAGTTCCAGAAGTCGAGTCGGAAGAAGGAATGATGCTAATCAATTGAATAGCTGCATGGTGTCACCTTCAAGAAGCGTGCTCCCCGTGCGATCAAGGAGATCAAGGCATTCGCCCAGAAGGCTATGGTACGAATACCTACCCCGAACCACCATCATAACCCTACCTTCGCTATGGATATTTCTAGCCTGAAATACCATGCCAAAAGCTTCACAGATTAAACAAATTACGATACATGAACCAGGGCTTAGACTAACCATTCAATTATATAGCAAACCTCCGATGTCCGACTTGACCCCCAGCTGAACAAGAAGGTTTGGGAGCAAGGTGTTAAGGGTGTCCCGTACCGACTACGTATCCGTATCAGCCGAAGACGAAACGACGAAGAAGATGCCAAGGAGAAGCTCTACAGCTACGTTCAGGCCGTCAATGTTAAGAACCCCAAGGGCCTGGTAACGGTCGTTGTTGAGGAATAAAGGGAATAACAATTGGCAAAAGCAAATGTTTCGTTGAGATACCGGCTGGGTTGGTGAAGGGCATGGTTTCGGAGTTCCTTCTGGCTTCATGACTTTAGATTCACTACTACTTGATGAATCAAATACCAGTGAACAACAATACCTACTGATAAATTCATTTTTGTCGCGATCACATTTCGTTACCTTCATCAACCACGACGCCGAATTTCAATTACGTTACGAATGCTAAAATTTAACGTATGAACATTTCCTCTTGTGTCGGATTAGGGGATAGTACTGTCATTGATTGATGAACTAGGCAGTATGCTATCGCGTCCTACTTGAAAAGTAACAGAAATGGTCATGTGCAGCGTGAAAACAACCTGTAAATGCAATGCGTACGTGAGGGCCGAGACCATGATGGTCAATTTCGGCCAGCTAAACAAATGCTGACTCCGATTCTCCATGCTGGATAGTTCCTCCACCAGGAGTATAGAACCCAGCCCCAGAGTATATAAAAGAGACGTTCAATCGTCATCCACATCTCGGTGGCGGGCCAAGACCTTCTTCTTGAATTCCTCGGCATCCTTGTCCCATAACTCTGCAGCCTCGCCGTTCAATGGAGAAGCACTATAGCCATGTTAGTAAAAAGGCGCATCCACTTTGACCTATGCAGAGGCTATCATTAGGGAACCCACTTGTTTGGCTCTCCGAGCAGACTTTGCAAGCTCAACAGGACAGTCTGAACATTGTACGCGGCGGTCCACTTATCCTTTAGGATATCGAGGCAGATACGGCCGGAAAAGTCTACATTCGGGTGGTAGATAGGTGTCTTGAACAGTACCGTCGGTGGGGCATAGGGATAGTTGGATGGGAAGGAGAAAGAGAGCTTGAAGGTAAGGCCAGAGTAAGGGGTGTCTTCCGGGCCTTCGATCGTGGCAGCCCACGACATAAGGTTTCCGTCAGCCGACGGGAAGGCCGAGATGCCTGGTGCCGGCGAGGTCATCAATTGCATGAGTTCTGTCTGCAACCTGCAGGCAATCCGAGTTAGTTTCATGTACATGGCGAGCGCATTGTTGTAGCAATTTCCACACCGTACCTCTTGGTGACACTCTGTGCATCGGGACCCCTCCGTGTGTTACCGAGCTTAGCGGCCTGCACACTGCCAGGTGCCGCATTCTGAGAATCCTCATTTGTGTAGTCCATGTTGGCTAGATAGCGATTGTTCGTCGCAAGCCGTGTCTCTAAATGCAATGCAAAGATGCGGAAGCACGAGATGAAATTACGAGTCGGATAAAGACCGAGTCGAGTACCAACTACGTATTTAATTGTAGCAGCTGGATTCGGAGCTACTTCCGCAAAATGAATTGCAGCACAAGAAGAAGAGAGAGAAAAGGAGGATAACGAAGCGAAAGTCGACCTGGAATGCAGTGGCGGTTAGTGATGAAAGGTTCGAGTAGGTATGGAAGAACTGACTACTCCCAATTGATAAAAGTGCTAACAAGAGACAGAAAGAGATTGGGAGTCGAGGAATGCTATGGATGTCATACGAACCTCTTTGATTGTAATTTTACCTTACCTTACTTAGGCCTTTAGTTAGAGAATGGTAGCAAGTGAGTTTTAGGAAAAGGGAGAAAGTAAAGTGCAAAATATGAAAAAAGTAAAGTAATAAGGTTAGTTGGTAAGTTAGTAGGCTAGGTGGAATCAATTGGGTTGTGAATTTGTAAACAATATTGGCTTACCCCATCCTGCCGAATGATCTTCTATGGCAACCGCGCTGCCGCGATAATAGGATAAGGATTCGTAGGGTACTTTAGAAAGTACTTGCGCAGATAGCACTAGTTATTACAATGGGGCGATAAGTTGTGGCTGCCACTGGCTGGCTTATGAGACCTGTGGGGCCCTATTATATTAAAAGTTAGCACTGAGGTATCCACTCGGAACAACAGCAGGCACACCATCCAGTTACTAATTAGTTATGACTGGGCAAGCACTTAGCAGGCACTTACACACAGGCATTGTGGGGACCCCTACATTTTCTAAAGATGAATCATTCGAAGCCAATAAAGTCAATTTGTCGCGAGGCAATCTCAAACACAAAAAAACATTCTTTTGACATCCCATACTTAAAGCCCAAACTCAACTCTTAATTGATATAATTTAACGCGTCAGAACGCGTTTATGAGCTATCATGGTATGTATATCCCGTCTCAACTCACTTCCTTCCTTAGCTTATCAGACTGTACCATTTATATTGGTTATGTACTTGATCTGCCTCCACCCATTTATTCTCATGTACTAGGCTTCCTAGGCTCTTCTCAGCGAATCAACTTACTCATCAACTTACTCAATACAAAAGTTACCTCTATGGTAAAATCAGTTCGCTAACAAAAATGATACAGTCTCAACTAGATCCTCTGCCGGCTGACCTTCCCTTCCGATTTATATCCAAGACCATTGGAAGGGGAGCTTATGCATCGTAAGTTCTATGCCTATGTGCAGTGTGCAGTGTGCAGTGTGCAGTGTGCAGCGCGCAATGTGTAATGCGCAATGCGACTCAAAAACATGCCCCACTATCGCAATCACTACTAATCAGCATCGCAGAATAAAAAAGGCCATACCCCTGACTGCTTCATCACCAGTCTTTGCAGTCAAACTGATCCACAAGGGTTATGCCATTAAACATGGCCGCATCTCAGCGAAGCAAATTGCTATGGAGGTGTCCTTGCATTCTCATATTGGTCAGCACCCCAATGTGATCGAATGGTTCGCAACAGGCGAAGACCACGTCTGGAGATGGATAGCAATGGAATACGCTCAAGGAGGTGACCTCTTTGACAAGATTGAAGCTGATGTAGGTGTTGCTGAGGATATCGCTCAGCTTTACTTCTATCAGCTCATCAGCGGAGTGAGCTTCATGCACTCAAAGGGTATCGCGCATCGAGATCTCAAGCCGGAGAACATATTAATGTCGGAGAATGGCGACTTGAAACTAGCAGATTTCGGTATGGCAACTATGTTTCAATACAAGGGCCAAAGGAAGTTAAGCACGACCATGTGCGGCAGTCCACCCTACGTTGCCCCCGAAGTATTGTCATGTGGCCGAGGGGATCGGACATCCAGTGAAGCAAACAAGTATTCAGCTGAACTTGTAGACATGTGGTCCTGTGGTGTTATCTTATTCGTCTTACTCGTCGGCAACACCCCATGGGACGAACCAACTTCTCAGAGTTGGGAATATCAGGAGTACAAAAAGATGAACGGTCGAAGTTCAGACAGTCTATGGGAAAGGATACCAACAGAGGCACTATCTTTACTCAGGGGCATGATGAACATCGAGCCAAAGAAGCGATTCTCCTTTGCTCAGATACGTCAACATCCTTGGTATACCCGACGCAACAAGTTCCTTGCAGCGGATGGTAAAATCACTGATCCTCTAAATCTAGCGACAGAGATGCTAGAGAACCTACGAATAGACTTTAGTCAAAAGGCCCCATCAGCTCAATGCGTATCACAGCCATCACAGGATGCTATGGAAATAGATAGCGCTCCACATAGGATATCCTCAACTCAGCCGGAAACGCCGATTAACGACGTGCTATTTGACTGGGAGCGGCCAATGCTGCGCTCTCTCGCCGTATCCTCTACACAGCCCTTGTCACGCGCAGACGCAACACTACCCCCTAGCGCAACACAATCTAATTTCTTCGACGCCCTTGCTGAAGAACCCTCCATGAGCCAGTTCTCCCAGACACCTGGCGTACCCCTTACTCTTACTCAACGCGCCCAGCGCTTCCGAGACATTGTCCCACCACACTCATTCACGCGGTTCTTTTCGCCCATGCCGCCACAGTTGCTCGTCCAAATGATCAGCGACGCGCTACACAACCTCAACGTACCTCTGCCTTCGTCACCTCCTCACATCGGCCAAGGCGACCACGTTTCGACCCTAAAGGTCAGGACTGTTGATGAGCGTAAGCAGGGTCTCCACGGTGAGATCCTAGTCGACAAGTACTTCCTCCCCGCGTCGCAGGAATTACTCGAGGTGCGCTTCGTCAAATTAAAGGGCGATCCCCTCGAGTGGCGACGTTTCTTCAAGAAGATCGTCCTCCTATGCAAGGATGGTGTGTATAAACCAGAAGCTTAGAGGGATTCTAGCATTCCATACTACTGAGGGGATTGATAAAGGGGGGCAGGAAAGGATTAAGAGGTGTAAATGTACGAAGTGGAGGGGAATGGCGAAGAGCGGAGTAACTGGCATGGCCGAGATAGCCTTTGCTACTTTTGGGGTGCGTTGCTTTTATCTCTATTAGGCAAGCTATGGCATGGCATATGAGTTCGGGGAAGCGTTTGCGATCACACTATAAGGGAAAGGGAGGGGACTTTGCTTAATTGATTAATAGGCGGCTAAGCTAGATTATACTGCTTTTACTACGATGAGCACGGTATAATGGATTGTATTTTTATATTGATAGATGACCATAGGGTCTAAGTGGGTTGCGTTGCTCTTTACACCTGTTCTCGGGGAGAGGGAGCTGCGGAGAGGGACTCATGTTTCTGCAGGGCGCTTATGACTAGGTAAATTGCTAGCAGTCAAATATCTACATCTTAGAGATTATCATGATCTTAGTTCTGGACTGTGCTACCCACCTATTCATCTAATAGCCTCGAAGTTGAATGTGAAGCCAACAGCGAAGGGGGTAGGGCACTCAAGTTGCAGGGCGAAGCCTATCATTATCATATATATCTAGGCACATTCACCCGAGCCACGATCATTGCCACTACAACGTTCTAGAATTACCAGGATGAACCACGACTTGCCTAGAATAATCTTTAGGTAACTGTAGAGGCCTAATGAGAAACAGACCCAAATTATAACAAGTCAACTATGCAGTGTTCCGATAAGGTGCGATTCCTCTGAACGGAAGTTCGAAGGCTACGGAGGCACAACTATCACTTGGTGGAATTAAAAGCCTAATAGCCACGGTATTTTGAAATACTACTCGGTACCTAGTGAAGTTCAGGAAAGGAATCGTTTTTTTTTTTTTTCATTTCAAGCAGGGCAAGAAACTGCTATAGGCATGATCCTACCTAGTTCTCGTCCTAATAACCCTGGCCACATGGAATCCCATTAACCGTATTGTCACTCGAGTACCATTCCGAATCAAGTAGAGGCTCCTTAACGAGCGAACGAACGTTCATCATCATCATCATCATCATCCCTACTTCTTCCATCAGGCCCAAATACCCTTGCCATTAAATGCCAAAACCACCCGGAGGCGGCGGCGGCGGCGGCTGAAAGTTTCCGGAGCCGTACTCCTGGATCCAGCGATCGAGGACATTGTGCACAACGACGGGGGCAAACGCACCAGGGTTAAGCATGCGAGCTCGCAGGCTGCCGTTCGCGTACCGAGGGCTGCCATCGTCGATCCCGTTGCCGTCCCCACTCTCCCCTTCACCCTCTCCACGTCCGCGCCCACGCCCACGATCTCGGCTGCGGCTGGCATCAGCAACAGCACGCGGATAGCACCAGTCCCAGTGCCCCGTCTCCCGATACCGCAGCATCCCAATGTACCGCCCCGCGCGGTCGAAGACCACCGAGTCGAGCAGGTTCTCCGGCACCGGCGGCGCCCCGCGGCGGAACCGCGCCGGGTACTCGAGCGGCCGGCCGATCGACGCTCCCGTCATCATGCTGCCGCCCGCCACGCCCATGCCTCCCAGCACGCTTGCCGCCATGCCTGTTGTCGTCGTCGTCGTCGACACTACGTCATTCGTGCCCGTGCCTGTTGACGGAGCGCCCAGGCTGGCGAAGATCACCGCCCGCGTCTGGCCCGCGAGGTACGGGCGCGGCCAGCGCGAGCCGAGCGAGCGCTCGTTCGGGTGGACGTCTGGGCCTAGGTCTGCGAGGGCGCGGGCGATGAGGGCGCTGATTTCGCGGCGCGTGTACATTCGTGGCAGGGGGGGAGGCAGGGAGCGCAGGGAGCCGCAGATTACGAGGGGGGGGATCCGGTGCGTGTCTATGTGGATTGAGGGGGGGACTTGGGATTGGGGGGTTCGAGGGGTCCGGGGGGTGCTGGGGTGGGTGTTGGGAAGGGGGTTGCCGTTGCGAGTGCCGGTGTAATTGCGGGCGCGGGCGCTGGTGCCGGTTCCGTTGCCAGCGCCGTTGCTGGTTCCAGTGCCAATATATTCGCTGTCGCTGTCGCCGTCGTAGTTTCCACTGCTTTCGACATCAGCACTTGCTTGGAATGCGTTGCTACCGTAGGGACTGGGACGCGCGTGAGAACGAGGTGGGATAGGTGGCGGCGGGATGCCGCTTTCAGCTGGGCGGAATAGAAATCCGTCGCCTAGGTCAATGAGGCTAGTGGTAGACTATATTTGCGAGGTGGAGTGGTTAGTTTGGTTTGGGTCGAATAAGTTACGGGGGCGAGTGAGTGAGTGAGTGATGAGATGTAGGTTGTGGTGGTAGGGGGGGGGGGGGGGGGGGGGGTATTCTCTCTGGATTTGGACTACATTAAAGTCCAGCGTCAACTGGTATTCAGCGGGCACACCAAATGGCGAAACGGCTTGCGTGGTTGATGGCTGCTGGGGCTCGATGCCAGCAGCTGTAATTTCGTTGTCTTGCTCGCCGGGGTTCTGGACTTGAACAGAGTAGACAAGCGCGACGAGGCAACTCAGAATAGCGGTAACACTAAGGACCTTCATGATTTCCGTTTCTTTCGTGATGCTTGAGGAGAGTGAGAGAATGAAGTATTTATTTTCTTTTGATATCTGCTTCGTCTAGTATCGCAAAGATTGAGATGAGCGCGAAAGAAGACTCGTCTCTGTTCTTTGAGATATGTGTGCTGTTGATCAAAGCGGATTGGGAGACTCTGTGGAAGAAGAGGGAAAAATAAGAAGGAAGAGAACAATTCAATTGAACACTTGAACTAGAAGAAGAATTGGATTATTGCTGCCACGGTCTGAGCTTCATCGTCCACCATCTGCGGCTTGGGCGGCTTGACATCAGCCCTCCTTGTACAATGTACTTGGGGCTCCCTGCCGAGAAGCCAACTGAAGGAAGGTGCAGACCTGGGGGTGCAATCATGGCGAGTGGCACCCATGGATTTCGAGTCGAAAAACGACTGCTTGCTCGATGGCAAGTAGTCGTTTTACTGGTAGAAGCTATCGACGACATCGTTTGGGATTAGCCTTACAGTGCCTAACTTGGATACCTTAGTTTATGGGACCCATGATGGCATTGAGTTACACTGAGAGCTCTAGAGAATACTATATTCATGAGACTGTGAACATCACACATCAGCAGTTATAGCCTGAAAAGGGGTATACTGAGACGAACTGAAAGGGACAAAGGAGGCCATAATGTAAGGTAGGAATGTACCAAGTTTGTGATCTTTAGCTATGAGCCTATTATTATGAGTCTCATTATTATAGCAATAATGACTCAAGATGTTAGTCAATGTTTTGAGATGTGATAAGAGATGTTTTAACGTTTAGTGAGCATAGAAGAGTGACACTACATAACATGAGCTACCCGTCGCTGTTGATATAGTTCTAGAGAGTGGGATATGATATAATCTCGTTACAATATTTAGGATGAATTCATTAATACTAGGGGACCAAGAAGTGGTATATCTAATACACTGTGAAGAGGAATCGTGCCTTTCATGCTAAAAAGTAGCATAGCCTCATAACATAATCTTGATGGAAAACACTGAAAATAGGGGGGTGATGTTGTACTGCTTAGTCATTCACGATGCAAATCATTATCGATAAGGAAGGTTTTAGTCATGTGCTTGTGGTGTAAATGGATGACGTAGGGGCGCCTAGCATTTTAGTGTATGATCCTTGCCGGCCATCTAGTTATTTACTAAGGTTTTTAGTAAAGAAACTAAAAAGGAAACTAAAAGGAGCATTGTCGTAAAATGATAAAGTCAATAAAATCTAAAGCCCCTTGTGTTCTGACATCTTATAATCCAACATCTTATGATCCAACATAAACATTCATCACAACTGACCTTCATGATATATAGTCAATTCATTCGAGGAAAGCCATTCCATTACGACATTCTATAATACATCCATGCCGAGATATGAAATAAAGGGCCCACACGAAATAACTAGCTAGCAACTGAACAGCCTGTCCTGGCAAAAGCTCTTGTTCTGATTTCATCACCACCATCCCCAACTCTATTACGTCAACCCCTTACCTCAACATGGCGGCCAAGGCCGATTCCTCCCGTGGAGCCCAAGGGCGCTCGCCAATGCGCTTCATCTCCGTCGACAATGTGCTACAATATGCCTCCGAAATACCATCAGGCCAACCTCGTATCCCCCCAGCTCGTGGCCCACGTGGCATCACTGGCGTACGAAAAATAAGCGGCGGAGGTCTTCCAAATCTTGCTTCGCGCACAGGGCAACATAACATGCCATCGCGGACAACACGAATCAGTGAGAAGCTAGTGTTACTACCCGAGACGATCAATGAGATAGAAGATGCCGACGAAGAAGCTGCATCTCTTCTCCGCGAAGATGAATCAAGGCCGTTGAAGGATGAAGAATTGGATGTTTTGAAGAAAAGGGGCGGACTACGCGGCAAGAGTTATGCGGAACGATTACCAAAGTTCGAGAGAACCGAGAAGCTGTCGAGGCTTACGGCATACTGCACAGCTCAATCCTACAAGATGAAATCAACCTCAGAATTCCTACGAAAAAAGCACGATGCCAAGACGAAACTCTATGACGATTGTCTCTATACAGTCTACCATCTACCTCTACTTTCCGGCGTGGACGGCTGCCGCGTCCGGAGTCGACCAATCCTCAAGACCCCGGGCACAGGCAAAACCGTCCTTGATCTCGAGATTGAACGAAGCGAACGAAGAGACGAACATATGGGATATTACGACGAATATGCCTATCCGGAGCGAGGCGGAAGCCCTAACCGGGAGAATGGCGATTATCGAAACGAGTCTGACCATTTCGGGGGTCGGGATAATGAGACTCATGATGATCAGGATCGACAAGCCTTGAGTCCAACAACCGGAATCGTGCCAGACGCTAAACAATTTGCTGAGATGTTCGTCTTTTCATACGGAGTTGTCGTCTTTTGGAATTTCACCGAGGCACAAGAAAAGGCTATATTGGCCGATATAACATTTGCCGAGACGACGGAGCCTGGAACCTCGCTGGTTATGCGCCCCCTTGACCAGAGCGACGTAGAAACGGAAGAATTTCATTTCGAGTATAATGCGGATGTGAAGAGACCTCGAATATTCAATGATATGATCACACTTTTGCCGCGGTCCGATCACATGGTGAAGCTCACCATTAGCCATGCCATCGCTCAGAGTACCAAGTTGTGTTTCTTCGAAGAGAGAATGTCGGAAACTATGCTTAATGCACAACACGTACCAAAACAGTTAGCTCTCACTGGGGAGTTGAACATGACGAGAACCGAGATTGTCAAGATACTAGGTCGTTTGTTCAAGAGTCGTGTAGAAATCAATCTCTGTAAGTATCTATCCTGCCGCATTGGATTCCTATACTTGAGCTTACGATTTGTTTAGCATCTAATATTCTTGACGTCCCTAATTTCTTCTGGGATTCCGAACCAACTTTACATCCACTTTATGTCGCCATTCGCGAATACCTAGAAATTGATCTCCGCACCAAAGTCCTCAATGAGCGATGCCGTGTTTTCCTCGACCTTGCCGAGATTCTTTCAGACTCGGTCGCCGATTCAAAGATGAGCGCTATCACGTGGATTATTATTATTCTCATTGTTGTCAGCATTTTGGTAACCGTCACAGAAGTCGGTTTGCGATTTGGTATTTTGACAAGAGATAGAAATAGCGGCAACAATGTTGCTATTCCAGAGGGATGGGTGGCTGTGAGATCAAATGCCACCCTCGAGGAACTAAGATCGTGGGGCGTGAACTTGAACCAGGAAGATAAAGTCGCCCTATGTGGTGCGGATTACATTGGCACTACATATGCTGGCATCTGATTTTCACCTTACATGCTCACCTACCTACCTGCCTACAAACTTACGAACCCTTAATTACCTAACCTACAGTATTTAGTATTTATTTATTACCTAGGCAGGTAGGCATTCATAGACAGCGTTTGCAATGCATTCTGGGAGCACGGAGAATGGCTGTACGGAATTTGTATATTTTGATACCCATACAGATGGTACCTGGCGAATCTGTTGCCGGGTATTCGACGTACGTTTGTGTCAATTATTGCTTTATTGCCTTACCAGATGATTACACTTGCATTTGATCACTGTAAACTGTCTATTGTATGGTGCCCCATTATCATAAATCATAATTAGTTGAGTGAATCATCCACGTTCATGGTATTCTCAACACATCGTCAACATTTACCACCTGCCCCGTAGCAATAGACCTATTCGCAGCGATACCTGTTAGGATAGATAGGGCACCGTCGATGTGACTTGCAGCACGCATATACTCGTCGGTTGTCGGCTCGCCGAATATATCGTTTAATAGCACAGTATCCCCACCACCATGGGCACCCTCGCTCTCAGGGATCTCGATCTCCTGCGGCTTCTCGAACAGCTTGCGTAGGGTGATCGTCCTCCGCTCTAGCGACCCCTCAGCCGCCTGGTCGCCCCCGGAGTTCACGTAGCTGTTCTCGACGACCTCCATCTCCAGCCGTCCGCCCGTCCCGTTGAAGCTGACGCGGAACCCTTCCCATGGCGCGTACGCCGTCAGCGAGTACGTCAGCACGGCGCCGTTCTTGTACCGCACCAGCAGGTTCATCGTGTCCTCGATGCTGATGCCGTCCCCGAACACGCTCTGGTCCCGGTAGTACGCGTCCTCGTGCTCCGCGTCCAGGTACATCGCCTTCAGCTGCTCGCTGTCCTCGAGGTGCAGGGCGAACGGGTCGTCCTTCGCGCTCGCACTGCCACGGGCGCGCGCATACATGGCGGAGGGCGGGACGCCCCGCAGCTCGGCGTTCTCCCGCCCGTAGAACTTCAGGTCCCCCTGCGCGTACACGGTGGCGGGCCGCGTGCGCAGCCAGAAGTTGACGAGGTCGAAGTGGTGCGTGCTCTTGTGCACGAGCAGCCCGCCGCTGTTGCGCTTGTCGCGGTGCCAGCGCCGGAAGTAGTCGGCGCCGTGGGACGTGTTGAGCATCCACTCGAAGTGCACGCTCGTGACGGCGCCGATGGCGCCCGCCTGCAGCAGCGAGTACACGGCCGTGTTGTGCGGCGCGTACCGGTAGTTGAAGGTCACGCGCACCCGCTGCGCCGGGTTGCGCTCCACGGCCGCGAAGATGGCCAGGCACCGCGGCGCGTCGATCGTCATGGGCTTCTCGGTCACGACGCTGCAGCCGAGGTCGAGCGCGCGCACGATGTACTGGCTGTGCGTGCGGTCGATCGTCGTCACGATCACCTCGTCGGGCCTGGTCTCCGCGACCATGCGGTCGAAGTCTGCCGCGGCGAAGGTCGGCACGGCGCCGTGGCCGAGGGATGCCAGCTTCGAGTTCGCGTACGCCATGCGCGTGGCGTTCGTGTCGCAGAGACCGACGACGCACGACGTCCCGGAGTACGTGCGCGCGATCGCGGTGTAGAAGAATATCGCGCGCCCGCCGGTGCCGACGATCGCGTAGCGCTTCCGCCCGGCTGCCGCTGCGGGGGCTGGGGATGGGCGGAGCGGCGCGGTGGTGGAGGCCATTTCTTGGTAGGTAGTAATAATGCCTTTTTCCTGTTTCCCGTTTTCCTTTCCCGAGAATGTGAAACTTGTTGCCACTGCACGCAAGCAAGCAAGCAAGCAAGTTGCAAGGGAAACGAAACGAAAACGAATCAGATAAAAAAAAAAAAAAAGGAGCCCAACAAAAAGAGATAAAAAAAGAAATCGGGCCTTTAAGCTTGGAGTGATGCGATGTGATGGACACCTCGGTGATGCTAGAACGGTAATGTCTTAGAGGTTTTATCGTGTCAAAGTGACAGGTATATTCGGCCCCCGGTCCGATAGGTATCTTGGATGCGGTGCGTGGGGGGGTATAGGCGATGGTCGTTCGACTCCCCTTTTGCTTCGGACAAAGTCGGGGTACGAGGTAACGAAACCGACGAGGTGCTAATACTATGTACTACTATGTAAGTAGCTAGCCGGTACTGAGTGGTGGTGATGGGTTGGGGAAGGTTGGGGAAGCGTCGTCTTTCTCCCCACAATAGCCAAGGGTTCTGCTGTCTACTCAGACTCTACTGTAGTATATACCAAGATAGGTTAGGTATTCTATAATCTGTCAGACAAACCTCCTACGCTAGAGCTGGGGATGCCAGTCTGGTGACGTGTATGGAGCCATCTAGTGATGTTTTTGATGAGGTTCCTGGTCGCATGGTAAGATAGCTAGGATGGGTTGGGGACTAATAAGAGAAAAGCATGGACTTGGACGCGTTGCCTTTTTTTAATCGCCGCGATATTTGCCGAAAACGAGGAGGTGGACGATTCCCTTTAGCCGCATCTGGGGATGCCCCCACTCAGAATGCGGAGGTCTGGGGTTTTAGTATAGCTAAACTGTTCTGGTAACAGACATCCGGGGAGAGTCAGATGGCTGATTAGCCGCTAGAAGTTGGTCGACCTGGGGAAGACAAGGAAATGGGGGTTGATCCTCTTAATACCTTGGCTATCATCTAGCGCTCCCCTTTGACCTATGATATTTCGGTATAGTCAATTTTCCACCAATAAGATACAGTTAACCCCTTTAACTAATTATGACTTATACTTGTCTAAGATTAGATCTCTATGCCTCGGTGTTGAAATTAGTATGATGACTATCATGCTGTCGTATACGGTGACATAGGGAGTATGGATAGCAGATTACGTACTTAGGGGGAGAATGGCAGAGCTGAATAACTGGTTCAGCTCATGGTCTAGCCATATACTTATGTAAATTCCGACCCAAGGGCCGATTTCCTAGCTTGGTGCACGGAAATGTTCTCTTCCTAGGTAATTGTCGCGTGGGGGAATTCGAAAGTGTAACTATCCTGGGAATATCTTCCATGCCCAGACCGCCAGCGTTCCCTTGACCAGCATCTCCGCATCCCCAACCTGCAGCCGTCTAGATCTTCCCAGGTATCTGGGACCACAACATCATAAAAGGAACGCAGCGGTCGTATTTTTGTGTCCACCCCTGCTTGGAGATTGATAGCTCTTTGTCTTTTATATTTGGCTTATCCCCGTGGACTTAGGGAGTGTCAACCTAGCTCTCAGTTGTCTCTTTATTAACCATAAGTACGCGTTGAGAATCGACAACTGGAAGTCAACATGGCAGACGATAAACAAAGCCCAGCTCCAGCTACGGCTGTTGGCACCGCCGATGTCATCACGCCTGTACAAGAGACTACCGATCGACCACAGCCTGTTAACACACAAGCAGACAAGGCTGCCAAGTTCATCGCCGAACATGGCGAGGTTACGTTCGATTATGAAGAGGAGAAGAGGGTGCTGAAGCGTGTGGACATGCGTATTCTGCCTCTGATCCTAGGCGCCTACTTCTTCCAGCAGCTCGACAAGTCCGCCCTCTCGTATGTCTCCATCTTCGGCATCATGGAGGACGCGAATCTCAAGTCTCTGGAATACTCTTGGCTCGGATCCATTCTATACATCGCACAACTCATCTTCCAGCCTCTGGCTGCTTTCCTGCTCGTAAAACTGCCTACCGGAAAAGTCATTGGAGTAGCTATTATCTGCTGGGTATGTTGTTATGAAGTCTCAGCGACTGCCAGATTCACATTGTTTTTAAATAGAAACTAATCCTATATGCTATCTAGGGTACTTGCGCAGCAGTTATGGCCGCCTGCACTGACTTCAAATCTCTCCTCGCCCTCCGTTTCTTCCTCGGCTCCTTCGAAGCTATGATCGCTCCGTCATGCCTGGCAGTAACACAGATGTGGTGGCGACGATCCGAACAAACCCTCCGAGCTTCGTACTGGACTTCCATGAACGGTGTAACATTCATCGTCGGCAGCTTAGTGACATATGGCCTCGGGCACATCGTATCTACCAAGATCTACCGATACCAGACCATCTTCATCTTCTGCGGCTGCCTCACGGTTATCTTCGGCGTAATCTTCATCATCTTCATGCCTGACTCCCCCATGGAGGCCAAGTACTTGAACGAGCGTGAGCGTATTATCGCAGTAGAACGTCTCCGGGCCAACCAGATGGGTGTCGCGAGTCGGCAGTGGAAGTGGGATCACATCAAGGAGACGCTCACGGATATCAAGACTCTGCTGTGGTTTATCCTCATTGTCGCGATCTCAATCCCTAGTGGTGGCATCAGCGCCTTCGGCAACCTGATTATCAAGGACTTCGGTTACAGCAACTTCAACGCTATTCTGTTCAGCATGCCGACGGGCGCCGTTCAGGTCTTCATGATTGTGGGCTCCGCTTGGCTCGCTACTCGGCTTGGCCGCAAGGGAGTGGTTCTTACTGGCGTTGCCTGCTTCCCTACCGTGGGCACTATCATCATGCTTACTGTTCCCCGCACCGATGGTGGCAACAAAGGAGTTCTCTTGTTGGGTTACTATCTAGTGCAGTGCTTTGCTGCGATCACTCCGATGATCTTTGCTTGGTCAGCACAGAACACTGGAGGTGACACCAAGAAGAAGACGAGCTCAGCTGTTATGTTCATGGGAATGTGCACTGGTACGTTATCAACTCCCTTTTTAACTAGAAGTCGCAATGTTCGTGGATTAATATCGGAGTAGGAAACATTATCGGCCCTCTATTATACAACACTAAGGATGCACCAATGTATCGACCTGGTCTCATTGCCAATTTGATCATGTTCGTCCTTGTCGGCGCTCTTGGACTGTACGTTTCGTTACCCCTGACTCCAAATGCCGCCATATGCTTACTAACAAATCAACACAGACTTATCCCCATGTACCTCCTATTACTCAACAACAAGCACTCCAAGAGACGAGTGGAGCTCGGCAAGCAAGCCGTCATTATCGACGAGTCCATGATGAAGAGGACGGGGATGGAAGACAGCAAGACCATTGAGCTAGAGCAGAACGAGCATGCACAAAGGAGCGTCGAGGATGACAATGGTCTAAACGATCTTCCAGATCTGCAGAACGAGGACTTCATCTACGTGTACTAGAGTGACTAGTACCTAGGTAACCCTTAGATACCAGATGATAAATGTAAATATGTGTTCTTAGCATTGTTGTATTTTTTCTTTTTACGTTAGCTACTTGTAAATTCATTATACCAAGTTAACAAAGACACTCCTACATCATAGCGCCCACTGGCTCGGCCCGTCTTTGTTCATGGTAACAAGGAATATAGAAGCCACTTTTAGCGAGATCGTGGTATATTTAGGGGGGAAACGCCGAAAGGACGTTTGATGCTTTTGTCCAAGATGATAATCTCATTGTGGTCACGACAAACACCACTTTTACTTGAAACCAGGTGATGCGTATCGAAACAAAGGTGTCAAGATTGAATAAGAGGATCTCAGATATCAAGCACTTTGAACTTTTTGGGGAAAACTAAACATTTATTTTGCCCTTCCCAAACAACGCTCTTTACTATCTAACTATACCTACTTATGAATATAGTTACCCACTGCATGGCAGGCACCAGCAAACCCCCCTTTTCATTTTCTAACAACCATATCTACTACATCGCCAACTCCGTCATCATCTTCGTCTGCGACACATACCAATAATCATAAATAGACACTTGCATAGCTATTCCCATATCAGAGAAAAACCAAACCCCTTAAGATCAAAAACACCAAAACAAAGCAAAAGTTCCAGAAGAAAAGAACCCGTTATAGACGAATAGAAAATCACCACCATGTGCTACTACTACCAAATCAGCAAGTACAACTGCGGGCACGAGGAAGCGTCGGCGCAAGGCGAGCGCAGCGAGTTCTGCCTCTTCGAGCAGCGCAACGGGATCTGCAGCCGCGAGCTCGGGAACTACCGACTGCTGGACATCGTGGTCGACGACTGGTGCGGGCGGTGCCTCGCGACGCTGCGGCCCCTCCTCACCGAGTTCGCCAACGCCCAGGCGGCCTACGTCCCCAACGGGCCGCCGCCGCCGCCGGCGCCCGAGGCAAGGATCACGCCGAGCGAGCGCGCGGAGCAGGGCGCGACAAGGTGGCACCTCAGGCAGGCGGCGCACGTCCCCGAGCGCGCGCCCCCGCAGAAGAGGCTGGGCCAGCTCAACTCGATGGCGCACGCAAACCTGGAGATCTTCCTGCAGAACGGCGCGGCGTACGCCGCCCGCACGTTCGCCTGGGTCATCAGGTATATTGCGTCGCTGCCGTGGTGGCTCGACCGCAAGGGCCTGATGGATGAGCTCGAGCCGTGGTTCGCCGAGCTGCTGGACGAGGAGCACCAGATTGTTCTGAGGGCCGCGCTGAGGTCGCTGGGGTGCGAGGGCGCGTTGGATAATGTTATGGTGTGGAGACGGACGGCGTGAGGGTTGGACTGGCTTGGGTTGGGGTCGCGGTTTAATATTGGTATTGCATTGGAGTTTTGGGACGGAATGGACGGGATTAAACGGGATCGGGCTGGCTGGCTTAGGCTGGGCTTGGTAAAATTAATGATTGGGGTTTTGGAATCGTGTGTATATAGAGGCTGGCGTATTTAATAGTTACAAGTTATATATGTGTCACTTGTCACGAGAAGCTGGTATAGAGCGTTGCATATTAGGTATCATTAGATTAACCTAGCGGGTGTTAAATCTAAGACTGAGTCTTTTTCTACTAAAACTGAGCTATCCGCAAAAACGTGTTAGCTCTAATATATTCAATTTGCGTTGATTTGGTTCCTGTCCTGCAACTTGAAGTTATTCCCATTCCCACTTGAAAAGCTGTATTCTTACGCCCCACATGCCCCCTTTTGACCCCTCCCCCTTCTCCCTAGTCGACACTAGTGTAAATATTTTGTCGAACCAGACCACCGTTATAAACTTACTTTGGCATAGAACTTTGCGAATTGTAGAATGGTCTTATTTGAAGAGTATTTGCAGAGTGCTTTTTCTGATGTACCTGAAGGCTGGCAGGAGCGGCTTACCTAGGTTAATATACTTGGTTTTGAAAATTGAAGCTATTCGCATTCGATCTATTGAAGTTATGGACATGAAATTAGAACTTTATTACATATAGACCTACCTAGGTAGGTAGCTAGTGAATTATTAACTATGTTCCAAGGTTATTAATACATAAATACCTTAGTCATCTAGTTTTGCCCCTTTCCTCCAGGGGCAGTTGGTGCCTGACAGTTCTCAGGCCTACTAACAGCTACAAAGGTCTTTGGTAGGTACCTACCTAGTAATTATAAGTCCTTGGATGAATAGTATAGTTACATGGTCAATTGTAACGATACGACCAGGAGGTTCTTGAATTTATCAATCGCTTTATCTGCGGTCGGGTTTTCAAACAACATTCTTCCCGGAGAAGTGGGTTAGGTAACCTCGTGGCTTCTCCAATGTCTGAAGGAATTTGATTAAGGCACAAAAGCATCCGTGGATTTCACATGGAAACTGTAGCAGCCTCAAACACTGTGATGCACCTAAAGACAGACAAACGCTTTAACATCCTAAACACCTTGGACAAAGAAGCTTCTGAAATAACTAGTATAATAGCTCGCTTGTGCGTGCCATAGATTGATAGAGCACAATACGCAACGCTCAACACGCAGTACGCAACACTAGACGTATCAATCACCTAATACTCATCTATTGGTTCTACCTCTGAATTATATACACACCGGATTACTCACCTATCAAGCTTTACCTGTAACAACAGAATAGAAAACATGACTACTACTAAAGAGGGACCTGATAGACTGGAGCTTCAACGCTCGTATGTCGTCAACCGAACTCCCATGAGACCAGATTTGGCAAATGTGGAATCTCGATGGAAATCCCACACAAAGGAGCCTCTTTCGCAAGGTTGGAAGGCCAGAAAGAGCATCATCATAGCTTTGGATGTATTGAATAGGCTCCGTAAGTAATTGACTTGCTTTCTGTCTTTCCTAAAAAGAAAAAAGAAAAAAAAAGTATTTGGCTACTAAGCAACGGACATGCTACTAACAGCATATGTAGAACTCTCGCGTACAACGGATGTCAGCCACGAGTCCATGAGTTTGTGCCTTAAAGTCTTGCGCGAGCGTTTACCTTCATATGTGCAGAACGACATTCAAATCATGAGCTATGAAATGTGCCTAGGATTCAACCTTTCAGAGGAAGAATACCAGACTTTCGTTCTAGAAGAAGAGTTACCTGAAGCTAGCATTCAGTCATACGACACCCTGAAGGAAGATTACCAGAACATGTTCAGGGCGCCGTACATTTTCTGGCCCATCCTCTATATGACGGACAACCGTATGCAATGGGCCCTAGCTGTCATCCACCTCAACCAGGGATCGGTAGAAAACCCTGACTGGAAAGAGGGTGATTGTGTGACCCAGAAAAGAATCAAGCTGAATATCTTCAATTCCATTGAGGGTATCGCTGTCCTAGACCCTGACCAGACTGATGGTGACAAACGATCGACTCTGATTTACAACAGAATCTTGTATATGTTAACGAGGGCTGGTATGGAGAGTGGCGATGATCCAAAGAAGGAGGTGTGGCTACCACCAATGAACAGCGTCCAGCATCAAGGAGAGCTTGAATACTGGAGCTCGGGCCTGCGCTGCTTCGATCTTGCCCGACAACTCATGGACCGCATTCTGGACCGCTACTGCGAAGAGCCCGGTAGCCACCCATGCTCCTTCTGGGGCCCAACACGTGGGTGGTTCAACCCAGATGCCGTGCGCGCTGACATGATCGGTATCGCAGCCATGGAGGTCAACAAGCGTATGGCATATACAACCAAAATCGCGATAGAGCCCGTGTCTAATCTCAAGCATGGAGATAAGGCTGTAGGCACTAGATTATTGCGACCCGATAGAAGCCACGTGCATATGTGGCAACCGGGAAAATACGATAAGAACGGAGAAGCTGTCATGTGGGAGACCCCAGGGCTAACAAACGAGCTTAGAACTTTCGTGACCGAGACATGTGTATATGGGGAAAACCCCCCTGAGAAGAGACCAGAAAGGAAAGAAGGAAGAAACTCTATCAGAGAGCCTACCTGTAAAGATACCACTGGTGCCAGCAAGGCACCTGACCTGGGAAATCTACCCCCTTATCCAGGCCAAGACACAAATGCGCAGACTCCATTCTCTCCCGAAGACTCCGACGACCCCAACATACTTAGTACTAAGGAGGAGTCTAAGGACGGGGCCCAAGAGGAAACACCGACTGGAAAGAAGAGAACTGGAGACGGTAACGGCTCAACTGGCACTAACAAGAGACTAAAGACGGAAAATTCTTAGGCCAACGGTGCATCACCCAAAGATTCACTTGTATAAGAGCCTGAATTTGTACTGGTAGGTAGCTGTAAAGCTACTAGATAGGTACATAGTACTTTGATGTTGGGTAGTCGTGTACTTTTTAATTATGCCATAGGTCAGCGTGTTTACGGAGAGAAATCGTTTATTCGTACCTACTAAATAATATGAAACATTTTATTAGCTCACTGTTCCCAGCTCTTTCCCAATTGTACCTACCCAACTTTACTTCCTTACCTACTTCCTTACCTACTTCCTTACCTAGGGTATGTATTAGACAAGTAGAAACTTGCTCAGAGAGAGTTTCAGGGATCTAGCCGTCCACTTTTCTCCCACTTTTCATTTGCACACCTACTTGAGCATCTATCCAAGTAGCAGGTGCGCGCATTAGATACTACTGGCATGTATAGTCCTAGGAACATTGAATCATCTATACTATGTACAGCATGGCAGCCAGCTTCCAATCCTCTTCTACTTCAACTTCTCTCTTCATCGAGTTCTCATCTCCCTATAGCGAACTGTAAAGACCCAAAGCCTCTCATATATATCTCCACAGTATCTGTGATCTAATTCTTATTCAATTGAGTACTGATATTCCTCGTCATAATGATCATCAAGTCTATCCTTGCTGGATCTATGGTGGCTGTGAAGGCCGTAGTGAGTACACTCGTCCTCCTGTAAGTCATACAAAAGTTGACTGATACCCTGTGAAGAGCGCCTTCAACATCACCAACTCACCTAAGATACTACCTAATGGATACACTGAGGTCCCCTTCTCCATGACAGGATCCATAGAGCCAGGTGGTGAGGCGATGACTTTCACCGGCCCAGTGAATGTAAGCCATGCTTGTTGCGAAGTTAAACTCAACATTTGATCTAATATTTGGCAGGCCGTCTTTGACCAGATTCAGAAAATCAAGCCTGGCTTCACGTGGAAGGACTTTCAATCTAATGTCACCGTGCCTTCGTCAGACAAAACCTTGAGTGAACCTTCAAAAACGATCGTAAGACTCCACCATACTACTTGACCTTGACTAGTAGGTACCTAGTTGTCTTGTGAGAATCTGATACTAACATCTTGCCCAGGTGAAGCAACTTTGCAACATCCCCAACTTTGATCATGCAAATCGATTCGAAACTCTGTATGGCTATGATCACCTGTCGCTAATTGATGCAAATTGCCATGTCGACGCAGGTCCCCGCAAGTGCTCCCAAGTTTTCTGTCGTACCGGCTCTAAGATTTGGATGTGCAATGACAACGACACACCCCTCGACTTTCCTTGTACTAAAGTTGCCTGGCCGGTGCTCTTGTTCATTGGAAACATGGACTGCGTCGAGAATGGATGGCTGGGGCCTGCAACGTGGACTCAGGGGCAGGCCTTCGATGATGCGCGCTGGAACGTGATTGTTGGTTCCGATGGCAAAGATGCTGATTGTTAAGCTATAGGTGTGCAACTGTGATATTTCTCGCCTGTCTGGAGCGATGTCGCGTTTAAAGATTTTCTATTCTGTCCTATGAGTTGATTTTCACCAGTAAAAAGTCGAGGAAATGGATGGAAGCAGGGATGTTACACAGATTATATCGTGTAGGCTCGAGACATCTTTACTTTCAGCTTCTGACTCGCATTTTCCCGAAACGGGTATTGCTATCAACTGATAAAAACTGATAAATAAGATTTAACTGAAAAAAGAATCCTTTAGAACGAATCTTGAATATTGCGATCGCCAGGTTTGAAGAAAAGGGGGGGAGGGGGTGTGGATCGGACCTCCTGGCGCAACCACGATGTTGTTCTGCGTCTTCTAGCTTTCGCCTCATGATAGAGATACTGAGCGGTCGCCCAATCGCTTAGGTGAGACTACATTAGGCTATGCATCGGGGAACTTACCCCTTCATCCGCATGAGCCTCATCCCGAGGCGACACCGAGGTAGGTATCTATGCGAAGCGAACTGAAGGTCAGCAGGTTGAGCCGCGTGACTCGTCTAGCATGTGTGCATGCCAAAGTGGTACAGCGGTTACACAGCGGCGATGGCAGTCGCAAATGAGGTCTACAAGATCGCGTTGAGGAAACCGAGTAAGTAGATTAGTACTTGCTGAATACATACATGCCTAGGTAGTAGGTACATGTGTCGCTAACTACACATCAGAGATATCAGCCTCTGACGATAGTACGTAACCTAGGTATGCAGACTCGCTGGCCATGTGGGCTGCATGTTCCGGGTAGTTGATGCCGCCAAGGGCGTAGGCAGACGGCAGCAGGGGGTGCAAGTAGCCTCCGCGGAAGGAGAGCTGCTGCTGCGGTCGTCGGCGGCTCGGTGCGTCACGGCGGTGCGACGTGATAAAAAGAGAATGATGGAGGGGGGAAGATAATATACTATGCGTGGCGTGGCGTATTCCAGAAGGCTTCCATGCGCGCTCATCATTCTACTTTTGGCTTTCTTGCTCGGCAGCCGGCTTTCTTAGCGTCTTACCTTTTGCCTTTCTTTCCTATTCTTAGAGGCAGGGTATTTGGTTCGGGGTCGTCTAGCTGTGTGAGGATAGGGGCTGCGGATAGCTGAGAGAGAGAGGTGTAACCGGTCTACGATATGATGACCTGCTGGCATACATACATACATACATACCTATTACCTACGCGCGTAAGTAATTTGCCCGAGTTGAGGAATGATTATAGCCTGCTACTGCTGTGGTAGTAAGATCTGTAGTAAGATGTGAGATTGGACAACATTAAATGTGAATGAAATTCAATGAATAGATATGTAGGTACCTAGGTAGCTTAGGCAAAGAAATGCGCCCTGGCTTGCCTGTGCCTGCCGCGAACATTCCAAGAGCCGCATATTACATAAGTAGTGGAACTAACCTAAAATGTAAGTACTAAGACTATCACTAACCTGGATGGGCCAAAGCGTCTGAGTACATCACGTGCATACACCGTGTGCCCTTTAGGCTGCAATAGTCGGCACTGTATACGACACTGTATGCGTCGCACTTTCAGCTTCAATATTGTCACCAGGACCAGGGCTCACTTGAGAATTTCACCATCCGATAGTTAAACTCAACTCATCTGTTCTTCTACTGTTTGTACGATTTTATGTAATTCTTTCCATCTACCTATAATCCATCCATCGTACATAATTTTCGCAAATATTTAGGCATCCACTTGAACTAACTGTCATCTGTCGATAGAATATTCAACCATGGCAACGGGGACCAAGTGGCATCCGTTGCCTGTATTTCCAGGCCTGCCGGTCCTCATGATCTCACCGCACTTTGAATCTTCGTCATACACACTCCACGTCACCGATCTTGCCAACGTATGGGTCGAGAGTCTTGACCGAAAGGGTATCCTATTACGAAGTTTACAGGAAGATACGAGTATTGATTTGAGCCTTGGAGATCCGACTCAATGGACTGAGTTTCTTTCCAAGCTCAACGCCGCTTTTGATCCCACGTCAAAAGGCTACGATAAGACTAGTCTTAGTATAGCTGCCTCGTCGTCAGATAGTCTCATTCTCCACGTCACTTATGTGCTACCTAAAGGTTTCCAGCCACTTAAATGGCCCATTCACCTAACAAAATGCCCGCCTGCTGGTCTGGCCTCGGAGTTGGTATTACCCCTAATCCAAGCACAACATGTACGGACTCTAGAGATCGAGGACCTCGTAACGAGACTCAAGGAAAAGGACGCCGTTATCGCTAAGCTAGTCGACAAGTTAGATGCCATGGGAATCGGACTAGACAAAGTCTTCAATGCACTGTCTGGCAAACGGAAAGTCAATCGTGAAATGGCTGGGGACAAGGTCAAGGGTCTCGCTGTTTTTGATGAAGGCAACTGGAGCTCAGCATTGAGTGCGAACCAAGAGCCTCCTCAGGACGTGTCCTCTTTGGTCCACATGGCCTTTCCAAAATCGGGGTTGCCCGGTGTACACGCAAAGAATAACGCCTCTGCCCAACTCAACGACTGGTGGACCAAGATCGGCTCTAGCCCAAAAGCCGCCATAAGACCTCAGATGGAAACATCAAAGGAGTCTCAAGACGCACCTTCGCACAATACGAAAACGGCTGGGGAGAGGGATGATGACGACTTCCAGGTTCAGGCTACCCCACCTCATATCCAGTCCCGCAGGCAACAGCAAAGTAACACCCAGACCGCTGATGATACAACGGATGACGACGACAGCCTAGCAATAATTCCTGATAGTCTTCCAGCACCCTCGCCAGACAAACCTCGTCCCCGGATTGGTGCTCTTGGCGGAAAACGTGCCAACCAAGAGAACTCAGCGAGCCAATCTTCTCGTACCATCCCAGCTGATGAAGATGAAACTCAGTCAGAGTCCGAACCAGAACTAGCACAGCCCAAGTTTCGTAACCTACCGGATTCCCCGTTAGGGACAATCCGTAAACCAAAAGAGGCCTCGCCTCCTCCAGCAGACTCCTCCCTCGTCCCCCCACCCAACGATGACGACGATGAAACGGCATCTAGCTCTGACTCTGATAACAATAAAGGGGTAACGTTTGAGGCGCGACCCTCTGCAGCTGCACAACCTACTCTAGCCCAACGAAATAAGGTCGGGCTAGGACGGATAGGTGGCAAGTCTAACCTCCGGGCCACACCAGAGCCACCCGGAGCACAAAATATGACGACAACTATTGAAGTGGAAAGCCCTAAAGCAGCTACGAGTCCTGCTAAACCTGCGGGCCGAAAGATCGGGACCATTGGTCACAAGGCTGGCGCAGATGGAAAACGATACCGGCCAGAGTCATCCGCAGAAGCCGCGGAGCCCGAGACGGAGGAGCAGAAAGCAGAACGCAGAAGAGCAGAGATAGCCAGAGATCTCGAACGTAAGGCTACAGCTCCAACGAAGAAGAAGAGGAGATTTTGAGGCGCGGCTTTTACATTGAATTGGTGGCGTTCATAGATACCCAGATTGCCATTGCGCTTGAAATTGAATATCGCGACTCTTTGCCCTGTCATGTTGGAGCTATGGATACAAGACTCTCTTTACCTTGTGCTAGATTTAGCCATCCCAGCGGTTTCAACGAAGGTTCGTCCTTCTCTATTATTGCTATCATCTATTCATAAGCTTCATATGGCTCTGAATCAACCCCATAAGAGTGACCGCTTCACTGGAATCAACCCGCCCACCCCCCTTTCTCAAAACTACAAGACCCACAACCACCCCCTCCTGTGTTTGATAGAAGACCTACAATTTACAATGACGATAATAAGCGATGACCTTTCACATCTAATAGAATAGCACGAGTACCTAGTACTCACGAATTATACCATGGAGCCTCAAAGACATATGGGGCTCTTTCACGTTATCTTGCAGCAAGCGAGCAACCATACTTGCAATACATCAAGGCAAGGCGGTTTATTTTCGCTTAAATCTCCATTGACCAGTTCGATTCTGTGTCGTTAACATGCCTTTCATTTCCCAACTTCCACCAATAGTCCCTCGGTGGTTGCACGGGCGTCCTCGCGACTCTATACGACTTCTCATGCGCATCATTCAACGCTGTAGGATGATCAAACTCATTGTACACACCCACACCATCCAACCAATCGAATCGACAGGGGTAGTTAACTGACCGACTCCTTTATGGTACCGCCATCCAAGATATGAATGGCAGTGCAACCACGCAGCCATAGCCATAACCTGAGTGGCTTAGAGCTTCTTTAACCCTTTTCTTACTTAGGCACATAGCTATGTGCTCTATGCATGTGTTGATTAAACCAAGTAATAACAGACCCCTGGTTGAACCCGTCTTGTTCCGATGTGGAAAACCAGCTTCGCGGTTCGGAGTTCGGTGCTGTGGAATTGCATACCTTTAAGGTAGGCAGGTACCTGAACTTTGAAGTATAGAGTGTTCGTGCCACATCAAATATATAAAGCACATGAGTTCTAGACTTCTTGACGATAGAGCTAGACAAAGTTGCACAACGTTAGTAAGTCCATCTGTGTGCATATGTACCTAGGTAGTCCAGTAACGAGCTTTTCACCGCCGGTCCATCCCAGCGGTATTGGCATTTTACCTAGTATGGAAGGGAATATCCTTTCGTAACTAAACACAGCAGCAGGTACTCGATGAGTGGCAAAACGCCAGAGAGAGATGATACAGTACATGTGTATATCATCAATCTTTGTGAACCACCGACCGTAAAGATAACGTCAAGCATTACATAGGTAGTTGTATCTAGGCCATTAGGCAGGATAACATGTTGCACACACAGCACTGCCCTGGTTACTAGGTGGGCAGCTATTCGCTCCACTGTCGTTACACGCCTTTGCCCCGAAACGTGGAGATCCTTTCTCTCTATTCTGCCTCTTCTCCAATCTCTTTGCTCGCAGCTTGCGGCGCGCAGCACAGAGGTCCATACCTGTCTACCCTAGGTACATGCTACAGATCTGCGACACTGCTAGCAGCCTTGTGCCACGAGTCTAGGTTGCTTCGGAACTTTTTCGGTAACCAAGCTACGTGCATAGTATTGGTAGGTAGGACGTCAGCATCTGTTGTATTTTCAACGGTTCTTCTACCTAGATACCTACCTACCTACCTACCTGCATGTGTGGCACTGTGTGCAACCGTAGATGTGGGATAGGCTCTCCCCGGCTGTCCTCCGCCTATTGCCGCTTTTCTATGCACGGAGGTAGGGAGGGACCCGGGTGTGATATACATACATACGTCACGGACAGGTTGGAAATATCTATCACACTGCCTACCTACCTACTTCACCCCCATTGTTTTTAAATCCCGCGATATCTGCCGGTTCAGTTCATTCTTTTTCCCGCAAAGGCGAGATTTGGGATTGGGAGCGTTTTGAGAGCCGAGTCGGTGCCAATTATAGAACACTAACCGCGTCACCCGTCACCGCCACTGCCCCCCTATTGCGTAGGTAGGTGGTTTATGGATCGTGTTGTCTGCCTTTCGGTAGGAGGTGCGTGTAGCTGCTGCTGTGATGATCAGGAACTACACCCCTTCGTTAACGTTAGGTACATTCATCCGGCGATCCAACGTATCTCCCTTCTATACAGACAGGTATGCACCGCTGGGCAATGACATTATTATTAGAAGGAAGCGAGTAGTATCAGCTTTCTCAATAAGATGCCTGGGTACATAACCGTACCTAGTAAGCACTTAATCGCCATTCATCACTATTAACTAATCTACCAAGGTTAGCTACCCAAGGCATCCCTGGAGCACCGGTACCTCTGCCGAACGCCAAACCAGGATACCCTGAGGTAATATTGAATCCTCAGCAACGATCTATCCTCTGTTAGGTAGGTAGCCCAAAAAGCCACAGCTCCAAAAGAAATAAAACGCCTCCCCCCTCCTCCTTTACCGCTCGCCTCTAGACCCAGTACGTACGTATCGTTGTGGGTAGCACGGAGGATAATAGGAATTGTTCATCGAAACCCCCAAATATATATCTCTCTAGGTTACTGTAGGTAGGAAGGTGTGACGAGAACCGCCGCCGCGTGGACCTCGAGACACATAACCTAGCAGGAGGAAGCTCTTAGACAGGGGCTGAGGGGTGAATTATTATCCTCGCGGAGTTGGTAACTGCCGCGATCGTTATTGTATGTTGGCTAGGACCGAGCATAACATGGAATAGCGTACTCAACGGCGAGCCTATCACCTAGTACCTAACTAGATAGGCCCCTTCATACCTAACTAGTACTATCCGCAGAACTGGGTAAATTAGCCCCTACCTGACCTCACCTAGCGACCTTCCATACGTGCCCTTCCCGTGACACTGGACACTTAGGTTAGCAGTCGGAACCATAGCCGGAGTTCAGAACTTGACTATGAAGAAAACTAACCTAGGTATGTCCCGTTGGCCAGTAGCTCTATGGCCGCGCCATGTATAATCTCTGGCCACCAACAGAGTAGGCACCTAGGCAGACAGCGAGGCAGTTAGCGATCTGATTCTCGCGCCCTTTTGTCAGACTTCCTCAAAAGGAGACATAGCTACCTAGCTAGCTACAAGTGTCCAAGTAGCCAACATCGACAGGGCCGATATCGAGAAATACACACATACATACATACATACGTAGTACCTACATATGGGGATAGATTGAATGCCCACTAATTAAGGCACGTGTAACCGAGGCAAGGAACACTTTTACCCACTGTCCGCTAGGTATTATTATTTCCCTCGTTACACAGCACCATATTAACTTACAGAAGGCGAGGAAATCCTAGGTCAGGTACCTGACTAACGTTGATCACGACCTACCTCGGTGCTCGCGTCCCAAGAACAGTAGTAAACAATATAATTTATGTAAGTCCTATGTTAGTGTGGGAAAAGGGGGCTAGGCTTTAGGTGCTAGGTTAGAGATACATGCGTAGACAGCGCGGGGGAAGGATTCAAACTCTGGTAGGCGTTCGTTAATTACATAGTACATTCATGCGGCGGGCGTCTACTAAGCGCCCGGGATCTTATGAGTTTGAGCGAGTGCGTGGAAGGAGCTGATAGCACAAGGAGCACAGGGAGCTACTGGTATCATATATATGACAGAGTGGGTTACCTGACTGCAGTGGCAGGTACTGTATCTGGGTAGGTATGTTAGCCTGGTTAGGTGGGTAGGCCTGGTGTACATAGCACAGACATACCCGTAGCTAACCGGTTTCGTTCTAGAATTTATCTTTAGTTGTCCGTTCGTGCGCTTTGTAGTTGACTAGGTAGGCATAATTGTGCGCTATGGGTGCGTACCTAGGTATCATAGTAGTTAGAGAGTTAGGTAATTTACTAAGGTAGGTATCTAGGCAGTTCAATTTATCCATGGATACTAGCAGTAGAAGGGGGCAGAGAAACTAGTGCACAGTGTTGAGTGCCCTGAGTGAGTACTAACCACCTTAACCTTAGCAGACTAGAGAGGCTGAAAACATCTTTTAGGTACTCTATTACATAGTACCTACAAACCGCCCACACACTTATTAAACAGTAGGTAGGGTTCTCCAGAGTCCAGACACCACAAACCTCCGGGCTGCTGTCTTCAAGCAAGGACTAACCTATGTACTTATAGCCCTGTAAATATAACCCCCCCCCCTTTCTCTTCCTCCAGGTGCCAGCCCCTTGAACATCCTCCGCACCACGCACATGCCACATTTTACCAGATTTCACAACCTAGATACCTACCTCTAAAAGAAGCGAAAATAATAGGCAATAAAATGAAGTAAAAAGACACCTATATAACCCCCGAATCCTATCCACTGACCCGGGTACGCTAGCTAGGACCGGTATTATTGCAGGATAGGTACTTGCATGTGTACTTGACTTAAATACTAGGAATACGTAAGGCTAATAAAGTAATAATTGAGGATGTGAGGAACTCGGTAATCGCCAATTTGTGAAGAACGTCTATGTAGGTAGGTTAGGTACCTAGGTGAGTGCTGAATTCAGAGAGTGTGGCTACAATAAAACCGACTTCTCTGTTTGAGGTTTGAAAGGAGTCTCCTCTGCTCGTAGATTTCTCTGGTCTATTCATTCTGATCACCGTACGTGTTCGAGATCTATGTATAGATCATTGACCTACGTCCACATTGTTCAATGGCGTTTTGGTGTTTCGTAGTGGTGGCGGTGTCTACCTCACCAGAGCGTGTCTTTGTAGCTTCCTGTTGTCGTGGTTGCCTGGTGTTCCTACTACATGGCAGGTTGTGCGTCTAAGTAAGCCTTTGAAAGTATTATACTAGATGTTGCAGTTGGTACCTACTTGTAAGTTGTAATAATTTGGTCGTTTCTACCATAGTCAACCCCTTTTCACAAAACTATCACATCCGGAAGCGCTCCGCACCGCTCTCATTACGGTGCAAATAAGTTGGTCTTATAGTTGTGGTTGTAACCAAAAGAGAGAATGATGGAAGGAAGGAAGCTTGCTTTATTCCTAACTGCGATGGCGCAGTACTAATATCTCAGGCAGCCCTAGTGGAGACATGGCACCTAAGGCTAAGGTACCTGCAACACTTGGTATACATTATTATTTATTTCCTGTATACCTACAATCAGAAGGCTATGGTTTTTATGAGAAGATTGAATAAAAGGATATTCATCTTCAGCCTAGTCGTAAACGAGCGTTGTGCTGGGACCAGCGGGTCAACTTAACACATTGACTGTTTATTCAAAACTATCGCAGCTTTTTACGGATTTTTCCATTACGAAAACCCCTCCGCTCGATCGTGGCATGGGATCACAGTGCCACGCCCTTTCGTGCTGCTCGACCAATTGCTCACAGAGAAAGCCTACCTACCTAGGTA